GCCTCTTCTACCGTGCCTGGCATACCGCCTTCACAAAATTGAATATCATGGCGGGGTTTGAAGCTACAGGACTATCACCTCTCAACGCGGAGGTCATCCTACAAAGATTCAAATTAAAAGAGGTAGAGAGGCCCTCATCAAGTGAGAGCACTTCTTCAGTACTCTCTGCTTCAGATTGGCGCAAGATCGAAAGCTTACTACGACAAGTTGTAGAGGACGTTTACGATAGGCGCTCGCGTCAGCTCTCACAGACGATTCATACTATCGCCGTACAAAAGCAGCTTTTACAGCATGAAAATGAAAAGCTTTGCGAAGCTCTCTATTATGAAAAGAGGCGCCGTCAACGTGGCAAACCTCTCCTACTCGAAGCGCCTGCAGAATACCACGGTGGTGCCGTCTTTTGGTCTCCTACGAAGGTCAAAGAAGCTCAAAATTGCCAGGCACAAAAGGATACCGACGAAGAGGCTCTACAGCTTCAAAAGTTAGAGGAGCAACGTGCAAAGGAGCTTCAAAAGCAGGAGAAACAAGCTATACTTAAGGAGAGGGCGCGGTTACGTGTGCTTGCTAAAGAAGTACGCCTTCAACAGAAGGAGGATCAAGCCCGCGAGCGTGAGGAGCGACGTATCGCAAAACAGGTGGAAAAACAGCTCCATCAAGATCAACAGGCCTTCAAAAAGGGTAACAAACTACGTGGTAAATCTCCTTCACTGCTCCCAGCACCTCCTATGGCCCCTAAGGTGGTAGAGGTTGTTGCGATAGTTCCTAAAGATATAGTGCCCTTGGTGCCTAAGGAAACGCGTACGCGCAAAGTTCTCCCCCCACAGCGTTATCGCACCTAATTTATCGCTCCTAAACGAATTGCAAGGTGTTTTTATTCACTCCTACAAAAAATCTGACATTTTAACCATATATATGAGGCTCTATAGCTTCAATTCTGCTGGTGGTGGGCATCTCCAAATCGGGCGTTAGATGGGGCTGGGCGTTGGTTGGTGGAACACGTTAATGCATATATCTAAGAACCTACCTGTCTGCTTGAAGCTGTCGCCGATCTATACACCCTCCTGAGCACGAGTTCTACAGCTGCGCGGACCCACATGTCTTATCCACCTTCTACTTCCCATGCCTGCCTATTTGCATGTATAGAATACAGTTGAAATGCAATTTGGATGTTCCTATTAGTCCCTGCGCATATAAACGAAGCTAGAAGGGCACACTTCGTGTGTGTATCGCTTCCAGTTCTAGCACTTTACTGTGTTAGTGTCCACCGTACCCTCCTCATGCTGCTTCCGCGGTTGGGTACAACCTCCAAAAACCACTCTTCCTAAGGTTCTATGCTCTAACGCGCATCTGACCATACGTTCCATTGCTCTTTGCTAATGGGGAGCCAATAACACGACCAGTGACAATCTTTCTTTCTGCGCCTCTTCCGTTTGAGACTGGAACTTCCCTCGACCTCAACATAGACCATCACATCATGCGAGGTACGCCGCACCAGCGCTGCACCCCTGAGTCTGATTTCGAATCCGTTCTTATGCTCTCCAGCGGTTTTGCAGCGGGTGAAATCTGCCAGCGTCACCGTAGACGGAAAGCTGATATCCGAAATCGGCAAGGGTCTACTTGTACTGGCGGCAATCTCCAGAGATGACACAGAAAGAGATATAGAAGCCATGGCTCAAAAAATTCTGGTACCGCTTGACCCTTGCCACCTCCTTTATGACCACTCACACCATGCTCAGAAAGCGAAGCTCTGGGACGATGCATCCAAAGAACCCCCTGTTCGCGTGGGTGCAGTCCAGGATCCGTTGCTCCATCTGTTGAGCTGACCGGGAAAAGTGGAAGCTAGGGATAAAGGACATTGGAGGTGAAGTTCTTTGCGTGTCCCAATTCACGCTTCATGCCTCTCTGAAGAAGGGTGCGAAACCAGACTTCCACCAGTCAGCCAACGGCCTCAAAGCGAAGACTCTCTATGAAATGTTCTTCAACAGGGTGCAGGCGCTCTATTCATCCGAAAGGGTTAAAGACGGGATGTTCGCGGCCATGGTAGGCGCTGGGAGTCTCTAACGCCGCAAAGAGCTTGAACTGATTGCGTAATGCAGATGGATGTGCAACTCATCAACGATGGGCCGGTAGGTAGCCCACCCCACCCTTGGATCTGTGACGTAGGCTCAGCGAGTACAATCATTTACTGACTTTACTTAGGTTACTATACAAATAGACACGGATCCTCCAAAGTTGCAAGATCCTACGTCACTTGGTACCCCCTCCGCTTCCATCGATAATATGACTAAGATATCGAAAGAGTCGGCTGAACCGCTCGAGTAGATCCTTATTGCTGCTTTGCACCTGAACTTGCACGTTCGCAGCGGTCAGTGGCACGGAAATGCACCCAGCTGGCACCGACACCACTGCTCAGCTGAGGCCACAGTTCAAGGATAGAGATCATTAGATGTGGGTTTAAGGTTTCGTTGAAGTCAAATTAAGGTTGTTTTAGTGTCCCCGACGTGCATGGCACTTCTTCCCTTCGGACTCGTACTCTGCCCTTTATGGCAGGAGCACCAACGTGGCTACAACATGGTTGCTTATTGACACCACAAATGACTACACCACAAGCAATTCGTGACACTTACGCCCACCGCTGGCGGAGTCCACCTTATTTCCTGGGAGGGGGTGGCAAGCTTGAAACCCTGCAGTCTCGTTGAAAGGAGTACTTGCGCCTCAACCGCTGATTGTCCTATGAATGAGCACGATTGGAGTAGCGACGAAGCTTACTTTGAGGCCATGTATGCTCAGTTACGGCGGAAATGCATTGTCAGGAGCTCGAGATCTCATAAAGGGACACCTGGGATTCTGTATGTATACGACAGCTAATCTTCCGACCAGATCTATTAGCTTGCTCCGCAAGCTTGAATTCTTCCTGCGTTTGATCAATTTGGCATGTCCACCGTCTCCCGCATTTGCGGTCGAAGTTTCTACAACAAATACATCTGCAGAAGCATGGTGGAACCCGCGTTCAGTAGGGAGGCCGCCCTATCTTACCGTGGAAACTCGAATCGGAAATGTAGACGCATCTAACATAGAAATTCATTTACTTTGTGTCTTAGCTAGGGTGCTATGAGTTTCTCGACAACGTAGCCGCAGCGCTAAATATTCAATAATCTCGGACCTCGTGCATGGCAGAGGAACCACATCTCCTAGAGATTCTCCCAGAGAGCGGGCGATATGGACGAAAGGAAGGTCCCGTCACGATCCGACCGACCTTTATCACGCTAAACTTACTGTTAAACAAAGTCTGACTAACATTAAAGCCTTTTGGCCCCCATGTCTCTAGGGTTCCCCCTCTATCCTGGACTACACTCTTTCGCCTCTCAAGCACACAATATGTGAACATTAGCACTTTAACTTTCTCGGTAGAATGCTAGAGAAATATAAAGACTTAACGTGCCGTCTGCTATCAGTTGTTGGTGTCGAAAAGCACCATCCCTGGTTGGACAATCGCTCAAGCCACTAAGGAAGAAACAATGGAAAGCGAACAACTTCCGAACAATAGTAAGGGAATTTCCGTGGACGAACCACTACTATAATTTTACTGTCGAGATAAACTTTCGGCTCCAAATTTCCACAGTGCGCAGTCCTCTGTTTCGATCAATTTCAAACTTCAAGCGTACATATCTTGTGTGCTCCATTCATATGTCTATGGAGAAGGAACTAGGGTTCAGCCAGAACGAGAGCCACCCCAAAACAAGTTGTGCAACTTCAATTGTAAGCAGAAGCTCCCCCGAACGCCGGACTGTCCTACGTCCTAACATAATTTATAATAAGATGAATGAAGAAGAGATGGGATCGTTTGAAGAGCAGTTCAATGCATGCTTGAACCAGGCCAACTGGGGAAACCACACAATGCCAGGCGAATACCGGCCAGAAGCCATCGCTCGGCCCGCCAGCAAGACAGCTGATATCCAGTTCCGCTTTTCACAAGACAGATCGGAGAGCAGACGTATTGAGGGCGAGACGCAACGCGGTTTGACGTCAAGTGGGTACAACAGAATAGGCGGGTGCATGCCACATGTGAAGAATGCGAGATCCAAGCGCCTGAATGGCAACTGCTGCCACCGTCTCAACCGCATCGAATTTCCGTGATTAGGGCCTTCGTGAATGGGATGAAATGGCTTGCAAGCGGTAAGGAGTAGTTGGGGGTATTTCGTTGGCATTTATGCGCTGGCAGTGGGGGTCCTCAGTGAGGTTGTAGCACAGCCACGTCTCGTTGATATCGAAAAATCGATGGATATTTGCATACGCACCTGGGCATGGATCTGATTATAGTTGGAGTATGGTATATTTCGCATCTTACATTAAAAATTCCTAATATATTGTCTCCATGCGTTCTTTTGCTTGCAGGGTCGAAGGAAAGCCACAAGGAGCAGGAAGGGACATTTCTGCCTAGCTACGGTGCAACTGAAGGCACTCAAGTTAGTTTATTCATTATGGAAGGATAGTAAAGGTGCCCTATTGAAACGGCGTGACGATGCCTCATACAATGCTTACACGCACCTAGGTAATCTCGCAAACGGCGCTAACCTCTTACGGGGCCTTGCCCCGCCCCGAGAGCTGAGAGCTGAGACGACAAACGCGAGCCATCTTTCACCAGCCACTTCTGTTGTACCACTCCAGAACCCTCGATTCAACAAGCTTTTGATCAGTTGAGGGAGTAAAAGATGGATTCCGACAAGATTTCTCTCCAGGCCTCCGCCAAGCCTCGCTGCCGCCTCCTGCCTGCCTCCCACAGCCTCATCCAGCTGCAGGCTCCAACAGCTGCGCTCCATCGGCGGGCCTTTCTGCGCCCTCCTAATCAGCGTCCACCACGAATCACACAGCCTCTTCACCTAATCGTGCAGCTCCGTAGCGCAGGCGATCCGCGGGCCGGCTACAGCCCTGCCCTCACCGCCAGGCAGCGAAATCCGCCATATAAAAGCGCTGCTTCCCTTCGGACGGCACCATGAACTCGTCTGAATTCGACCCGGCGCAAGAAGCAGATGAATTTCCATCCCTGGTGCGATTCTACCAAGCTTTATTCAATCAACGTGCCGGCCCCGCCGGAATGGCAGCTCCGTTTCGTGTCCGTTTCCCTGTGATCCAGCTGCCAGAGTCGGGTCCTCCCAATGCCAACGGGTCTAGCAATGGCGTCGAGCACGTGACCGTAAATGGAGACGGGAGTCCCAAGGACGATGCCGCAGAGGATAGTGAACCAGAGGTGCAGTATGAGCGTGGCATGAAAAATGGCTTCAAGTCGCTCTTCGGCACCGCCGATAAGCAGAACCGCTATACGTGGAAGGAGAAGATACCGGATGACCTAGGCAAGCCTGCGGAAAACAAGAGAACTTCCAAGTGGGCACTGATCGTGCGGAAGGTGAGAAAGTATAACGACCCGTCCAAGGCAAGTATCACGTCACTCGTCTGCAAGCACCACTCTGCTAACGCCTTCAAGGTGCTCGAGATCCACTCGATTGCGGTGCAGAGCCCGCTGTTGAAGAAACTGCTCGCGGGAGTCCTGAAAGGCTACCCAGGAATTACGCCGACTCTTGAGAGACTGGAGTTTGGAGGCCGCTTCGAACCCCTCATTCACCGATGGGAAGAATTACAAAACGCTATCGACGGCCTTGGAAGCGAGACCGAGGATGATCGTACCACCAAAGCGCATGCCATGTTGCTGAAGGAAGTTTTGATGGACGAATTCCAGTCCCTTATCGAAACATCGCAAGATATGAAGAGAAAGAAGGTTATGACGTTCGAGCACCTTTGGACCCTCTTCCAGCCCGGCTCCCTCGTCTACATGCGCAACGATGGCCAGGAGACGGCTCTTCACATGCAAGAAGCGAAGTATGGCGTAGACGCCAAAGGCTTACCCGTATTCTGGGTCATCGGGAGATATGTTGATTATGATGGCACGAGATTCGGATATCAAAAGCTCAACGTCTCAATATCTGCGTATAGCGGGACTCGTCCTATCAACTCTCTGGCCGTCTTTCCACTCGAATATCACCACGATGCCGAAGGTCTGAGAACCCGGTTGGTTGAACGTGGAGCGCGTGTGGAAGCACTTGCTGGACCCAGTTACCGAGCTTATGATGGAATGGCCTGGAGGCTCAACGACCAGACTTTGGCAAAGGATAAGTATAACGTCAAGGGCAGAGTAAGTGACTCGGGACAAAATTCCGTAGCGGAAGGCTGACGATAGCCCACAGATAATGATCGACACGTACGGTTGGAACCGCTTCAATCCTGCACATGCTGTGTATGTTTCTCCGCTGACGCAGAAGCAATTCCATGGCCGAGCTCCGTCTGGTCGTCTGCCGCCTCCTCTTGGTTCGCTCATTCCCCCACCAGCAGGTATCCCGCCTCCACTCCCCCCAATTCCCCCTCTACCCGGTTCCATCGATCTGGATTCAGGCAATAATGAACCCGACGCTGCAGATGACTACGTAGAGGAGAATGATTGCGGTGAGATGCCGTTTGACGGAAAGTTTGCTAGCGAGGATGAGGTCACACAGAAAATCCCGCTTACCACAGAGCAGAAGCTGATTTGCTCGCCGGTCCTGCGCGGCTATAGCCTGAAGCACAAACTCTGGCTGAATTTCTTCGTGAATTGCGTGGAAGAAATACAATTCCAGACGGATGCATTCGAGAAGCTTGTGCTACCTGAGAATCAAAAGGAGCTTATTCTTGGCTTCACGGAGACACAGGTCAAGTGCAAGGGTCTCTTTGACGACTTCATTCAGGGCAAAGGCCGTGGGATGATTATCCTGCTTTGTGGTCCCCCAGGTGTTGGTAAGACGTTGACGGCGGAGGCCGTGGCTGAGGAGATGCGCGTCCCCTTGTATGCAATGAGCGCTGGCGATCTCGGTTTGATGCCCCGCGCCGTCGAGAGCCAACTGCAGCAAGCGCTTGAAATATGCACGCGCTTCTCCGCTTGCTTATTACTCGATGAAGCGGACATATTCTTGGAGAAGCGGTCCCTTCACGAAATCGAGCGGAATAAACTCGTATCTATCTTTCTACGGGTATTAGAGTATTACGAAGGTAAGATTCTCTCTTTAACGTCAAGCCTCCGGAAAGTTCATGGCACCCTTGCTCACTACATTTTAGGCATCATGTTCCTCACCACGAATCGGGTCGAGACGTTTGATCCAGCTTTCGCTTCCCGGATCCATATCAGCATCAACTACCCAGAGCTCTCCATGGACTCTCGTACCAAGGTCTGGAAGAATTTCCTGGAGGCTTCGCCCCAGGAGCACACGATCACTTCCAAGGAGCTTGCTTCGCTGAGTCGCATGAATCTCAACGGTCGGCAGATCAAGAATATCCTGAAGATCGCTCGCCTGCTCGCTTCTCGGAAGAACGAGAAGCTGCGTCATGACCATATCATGACCACTTTGGAAGTGACCCAGCATCTTCATAATGAGTCCCAGATCTCTGACAGGACGCGTGAGACTCTTTATCACTAGTGACTCGGTGCGGCCGACACGGTTAGGCCTAGGGCTGAGGGCAATGAACTTTACGAATCAGAGGGATTTGGGCGTCATAGGAATGGATTTGGGAGGAGTTTGACGGTTCAGCCTAGATCGAAGACCTAGGCGTTTATAACGAGTGCAAAATCAAATATCTGGTAAATGAATAGCTTCGCTGTTGTGCTCTGCTTCAATAGGTGACAAGTGACGATCCAACCTGGAGAACATAAAGGTAATATTACGTTAGTACTTGAAAGGAGTAGCTGTTCGCTTCACAATATTCCGTCGATACAAGGAAGTGATATACAAGAATAGTATACTCCAATTGTGGACATGAGGCAGCGGCAGCTTTTCCGTCGCCGAGAGGCCAACGATCCATTATGCCTTCTCTTCCAGCCCATGATGAACCTGTGTAACCCCATCCTTAACCTTTACCCTCCTAATCAAACGTCTCCCGTCGGCTTGTCCAACCCCACCCACCGCCTCAAACAATACATTTCCCGCGTCATCATGCGTCCTATCCCATTCTTCGACTTCCGCCTCCGGCACCCTCCTCAACACATGCGTAACGCTCCCATCCTGCTCCGAAACCAGCGTCTCCGTCCTGATAGCATAATATTTCCACTTCGGCAACCACTTGATCCAGAAAAGATAGTAAAGCCCCATTCCCAGCATCAGCCCGATGCCGACGGCACAGTACGTTGCGTACCAGAACGACACGTCCCCGCCATCATCAGGCGGATACCACGGCATGATGAGCAAAAACAGACACACAGCGGCCGAGAAGATGAGCGCAGAGTGCCAGGCCTGGAAAGCCGCGGGTGGCAACCCCGCCTTCTTCCGTCGATACCGGAGGTAATAGATGCCGACGACCATGAGGAAGAGGAAGACGGAGTCCGGGTACGAGCGCAGGTCGACGAGGAAGTTGAAGGCATCGCCGAAGGGGAGGGCGAGGATGACGATGCATGTCAAGGCCCATTTTAACACGATGGGGGCGAAGGGCGTGCCGAAGGGACGGGTGGATGCCCAGAGATGCGGGTACGGTATCACCCCTTGTCTGGCGCACTCCCTGATCATGCGCGTGCTGCCGATGATGACGGCCATGATGTTCCCTGCGGCAGAGACCGCGATGAGAGCTGGTAAACCTTTGGCGGACGGGCCGAAGACTGCTTCGAAGAAGAGGGCGGCGGTTAGCGTGTCGGAGTTGAGGATGTCTGAGGCTGGGACTGCGGCGAAGTAGGCGACATTTGCGAGAATGTAGAGAATGGATACTATGAGGAGGGAGAGGGGCGCGATGCGTTTGAGCGTGCGGAAGGGGTTCTGCGGTGGTTAGTGTGAGTTCGGGTTCAGAGTAGCGAGACATCGTCAGTGACTTGCCTTGATTTCAGCTACGACGTTGAACGCATTGGAGTAACCCGTATAGGCGAAGTTGATGTTGACCAACGCATTCACGATCCCATTTCCGTTATTGGTCACTTTTTTGAAGCTGTCGCGAAAATTCGCGTGCGGGTCCGTTACACTGGTCCTGCCATCTAGTACCGCGAATCCCGTGCAGACGATGAACAGCAGAATGATCAGCTTGACGGCTGAGATTAAGTTCATGAGTCTAATGGACCAGCGTGTCGAGATCAAGCATAGGATTGCTAGGAATGTATATGAGGCTAGGGCCAGGCCTTTGTGAGCCCATTCGGTGGCTTGGTACTGCGCAGCGCGAAAGATGTATCTTGAGAGCACTGGTTCGATCAGCTTCCGCCAGTGGAGATAGATGACTGAATTAACATACCCACTGCATTGCTGCTCGAGAACGAGAACGCGACAACGAAGAAAGCGTATGCTGTGGGAAACAAGAAAACGGGTCTTGGGTACGCTTGCTCAAGATATGTCACTTGCCCGCCAGAACGGCTCGGAAACATAGAGGCGTATTCAAGATACACCGCGAGGCCCGCTTGTAGTAGAGTTAGTGCAACTTCGCATATCGAGACGTCGCATAGATTTACCAGCTGCGATAAGCGCCCCAAAAACCCAGTAAAGTAAACTCAGGCCCACAGAATCCAGGGCCCGTAAAATGGATCCCGCTACACAAAGTCAACTCTTTGTCTTCTTCGCGCAACGGCACACCACACTACTCACGAGTGCTGAAAATTCCCGTTCCCACCATCTGGCTTACGTTGAGGAAGAGGATGCCGGCCCATCCAACGTGGTACCCTAAAGGACTCACTTGCTCTACGGGCGCTCCATTTGGATCTTGAAAAACGCGGATGCCATCAACGACGACCTCATCGCCGATTTGCGTATTCTTTTCCTTCGCTTCTCCAAGACTGACGTCTGAATCCGTGGACCAGAACAGCTTCTTCAACGTCGCCGCCGCCGCCATTGCAACTCTGAAGGCCAGCGGTGGCGATAATCCAAGATGGGAGAACTCAACGTCTTAAAGGCTGAGCACCCTATAGATAAGGATTCTCTATCCTATAAGTTATATGTTGTGCTTCCGGAGCTAATTTATTGCACCATGTCCTCGGGTGAGCACGTGTATTGCTTCAGTTCTTGCATCATCGTCCTCACGGCCAAGGGAGCCAAAAGTGGAAGGAGGAAGTGCTGCAAGGTATGCAGCATATCTGTTGGAAAGGATCGGAGACAGTGTCTTAAGGGGCTTGTTTGTCTGTGCCGCGATGGTGGAATTTAAGGCTCGTTCAACGCGATACTCCAGATGTGGTACGATTCTGGAGATGCCGAAGGCAGGGGTGGTGCACCGTACTACATGAAGAGAACATGAGCTTTCGTAGCCACTCTCGACGGTCTTGGCTTGCCCATCCGGCCATTGAAGAGACAGGATTTTGCTGGTTCTACACACTAGACTGTCGTTAATTGTAGATATCACTTACTGAGCTAGAGTTGAGGGCAAGGACCAGCCGCTGCACTGATCCTCCCTACTACTATTCCATCGGATTCGGTTGGGATTAGAACAGCTCGCCTAATTAGATTTGATAATCTCGATTCTAAGCTAGACTTGAGCATTTTTGTCGTTTATACTGAGTCGCTGACGCTCGTGTTGCTTGAATCTACTGTATGCGTTGATCCGCGGATTGAGTGGCGGCTTTCCACGCGTCTAATAGACACTCACGAATCTTGAAAATCAGAGTGTTATAATGCAATTCGCCCTATGTTACAGCTGGGAGCTTAATCCTTCCTTGCGCGTAACAGAGCGTCGTTAGGATTTCAGACACGGTACGGATGCTTCAACACTTAAGTAGCTAGTGTTGAGGATACTGTGCCGGACTTCGTGACTGCGGGCCGTTATTTGTGCTTTCATGGAGGCTTCAACGCCGATTAGATGCAAGACGACATCTGGATACACTACTTTCCTATCGCCTGGCCGTACATTACAATATATCAGGAGAAAGGATATGGTATTTATACTGCCTGGAGTCAACCGTTTACTACGGAACAGACACTCAGCATGTGCTACGTCATTTAAGCAATAGAATTCGTTTTAGCGATGTTGACCTGCGGAATTGTAGGTGCAATACGCTGGCTATAATTCTTAGGCCTAGAAATATCAACGCTCGAATATAGGAGCGCATCTTCAAAAAAAGGTCGATAATTCTGTACACTAAGAACCTGCGTAAGACAAGCCTCTAAAGCTGCGTCGTACAAGATAGTAGTTACGCGCTACCTAAACTAATTCCTAGAGAGATCTCGACAGGAATCTATTCAGGGAAAGCTGCCGTAAGACTACTATAAGGGAACGTCCCGTGTTAAATATTAGAGGGTAAAGGTACACATCACTTTGACCAGGGTAACAAATGTAGATGAACGTTGAATGGCAGCTTCTTTTAATACACGTGCAAGTCTTGGAGGATATTTGCGCTCCATGAAACACGTTTTGTCGACCCAACATTGTCTTGAAACGTGCGCTATATGGATTCTGGACTGCTACGGCATCCCTTGAATGACGTGTTAATTGAGAAATTCTACATTTCAGAGACGTCCATGGCAGGTCAAAGTGCGATTGGCTGCACATGCGTATAAGACAGCATTCCGGTACCGCATATTCAGCATTATAGAACTTCATTTGAGGCAGTGAGAAGCCCTATGCGCTGCTAAGAACAGATCATGCAGAGAGGTACGCCAGTGACAAACTCAAGTCGGCCACACACAGCTAGATAACATCCTGTGACCTTGCCGCCTACTTTTTCGATGACTCCTTCACCGGCGCCGCCTCAAAATACTCATCGCTTTCGAAAAAGTCCCTACCAGGTTCCTCATGATCAACAGCACCGTACTCATGATCCGCACCATCACCATCGTCCCCTTCTTCAGCATCATGAAACTCCTCTCCCTGATCATCCTCATCATCCTCATCAACATTCTCATCGGCGTGCAAGAATGTTCCCAATGCTCCCTCATTCCCGGGCTCTCCATCCTCCTCCACAGATTCCGGAAGGAAGAACGGGTGGTCCACCGTCAACGGCTTGCCTGTAGTGATTGAACCCATCGGCGTATGTTCAAAGTCCTGCCCCTTCCTTCTGACGGCAAGCCAATCATGCACTGGTCAGTCTGTTAGTAAGACAGTATATCCACAAAGAGTTCAGACTTACAGAAGGCGGAGGGCCTACTGACGAGAGCGTTCCTTTGGGAGATGGGCTCATCGCTAGTCGAACTTGCACCGAACAACTCCAGCAGCGCAGAGTATTCCTCCCAATCAAAATAAAGACGACCAGCAAATATTCCTACATGGATCTTCAGCCACATTGGCGCCTCGAAGCTTGCTGGCAACGGTGGGACGGCATAATAGTCCAGGTTGTTGAAGTGCAACATCCTTCTCGTGACTGGAGCCGCATAAACGATGAGGTGACAGAGAGGCTTTTTCTTTGTGCGAAGGATGGGTATAAGAAGGTCTGCCTCCTCAGGTGAGACAATAAGAGCGGTTGCAGTCAAACGGCTCCACAGAATCCACTGGCATGGTCGCAGAAAATTGTCGTTCGGCTCACTCAACTTGACGGTCCTCTCGAACTGTCGGGATACATGAATATTTGAAGCCAGTGAGGTGGTGAGAACACCTGCATGTTTCCGTCCTATGGAGGTTCTCTTTAGAACGGAATACATCTCATCATAAGCACGGATGCTACTTGGAGCTGGTAACCGTCCCGTCATAGCGAAAGTCTTGATATCTTATGTAATCCAGGAAACTTGAGGGGATCGAAGTGAACCGGTTTCTGTGTTTCGCGGACCATCTCTAGTTCTTGTTCAATTTCCCTTTCTTGTTCGACTTCTTCCAGTGCGGATGAATGGACGGCGAAACCGCGATCCTGGAACTCTTTCCGCCGTTGCAAGAGTTCCACAACGTAGTCCTTCAATGGAGGTGCAAAAGCATAAGGTTGAACTCCGATTGCTCGATGAAACTTCGGTCCGTACAACTCCTCCAAGGTTTGCCTCTCGGTCGACCGAATAACCTTGAGATAAGCGGTACGTTGCAGTGGATCATGAACAAAGCTCGAGTTGTTTGGTTTGCTTTTTAGGCGTTTCAAATAATCCATGCCCTGGTTGTAGTATAGGGGTTCGGTTTGTTCTATGCCATTACAAGTTTGTTGTAGAAGCCAGGCAATAACATCGGACGATTCAAGCTGCTGAGCCGGATTCTCATAGCCTCGGAGGTCTGTACGGAAGTTAGCCGATATGCATTTGGAATGGTCAGATAGCTTACCTAAGATACTCTGATGGACCTCAGGGGGGGCAAAGAAGGTCACGGATTGATTATCCCCAAGCAGTCGCAATCGCATGGCCGCTTGCACCAACGCGTCTTTACTGAGCTGGGGTCCGAGAGTCAATGCCGCTCTCGCATCTGCTGGGAGTTTGAGATCTGTCCCTCTGCAGTGACTCTGATCCAACTAAGAAGCTATCAGTACCTGATCTCATGCACTGAGGGACGACTTACATAGACAAGACACCCCTCAAGATTTTCTGCAAAAGGGGATACAGAGAGAGGCATCTCCTTGCCCTTACCCCATATGACGTTGGCGCGATGATTACTGTCAAAGAACACAGCGGCTAAGGCTTGGTCGTCGATTTGGAGCCATAGATTCGCCAGTCCTCTATTGTCATGCTCCAGAATTTGGGCGCCGGCATCAATAAGAATCCGAATTGGTCTAGACCTCTCCCAGCTTTCGCCACCTTCAGTTCTAAGCAGCTTTTTCAGGAAGCCCTCCTCACTAAGACGCCTGCCGCGCCCGTCAATCATACGCACATAGTGCCGATTTCGAGGTTGAAGAAGGTAGTATAACACTTCCGCGTTGGTGTGTGAGAGTGACTGGAGATCATTTTGTTTGATCGTCATAGGCAGCTGATGTCTGGTATCATTGGTACCGGAGAAGCCAGTAGTCTGACAGTGAGACCTTCTCTTCGGGTTGAATAAGATCAAATCCCAGCCTGATGCTTGCAGTTTGGACGCAAATTGTTTTGCATGGGCAGGGAATACGAAGTTATTCAGATAATAATCGAGAAGATAGGGATTGTATCGAACAAAGCGATGCAGTTCGCTGAGCTGAACGCTATCCTCGACGTTTATAGCATGGTAGTCTCGGAAAGAACCTGGCAGATCATGCGTAGCCCACTTCTCATACTCCACGCCGGGTTCATCCGACTTCAAAAGATGCTGGAACGCTTGTTTGAACCTTGAAATATCTAAACCTTCGTAATAGAAGGAAAGACAAGTCAGGATTATTGCAACGTCTGGGTGACCCCATTCATTTGTTGGCGATGGCTCACCCTTCGCCGAGTAGGGCACTGCAATCGGATCGCGAGTAGGATGCAGTCCGTAGGTGACGTTCCATCTCTTCTTGAGCGAAGAGATCAATATGCGGTGAACAAAGAGGCCGCGAAGTAGGTAAGCGATCTTCATAAGATGTGAATTATCTTTGAAAATCGCCTTCACCCCCTTTACTTCCTCTTTAGACACAGTGGGCGATAAGATGAACGTCTGGATAGTCGATCTGACCTCAAGAGGGTAGTCGGCGCAGGGCATAATGGATGTTTGCCCACTACATATGGCATTGACGAGCTTCAAGATGATGAATTCTTCTCCGTCTGTTCGAAGAAAATACATGAGTGGATAGGCGCCACGAAGTCCACGGTCAATCTCAATGCTGTGGGGGTGCTCCTCTTCAAGTCGAGGTAAGTACTCCGGGATCAGACGGAGGATAGTTTCAATCGCCTGCCACCTGTATGGATGACCGTCAACGGCCATCTGGGAACCGGAAGGATAGATAAGCTGTGTCCGAACAGCGAGTGAAAAGTCGCATTCGTCTAGGATGTCCCTGGCGTTTCGCTCCAACCAGAGCTGTATTGCAATTAGTCTCTCCGCTTCCTTAAAACGGCCGTCGCAGATTCGCTGCCGGCCGCACAGCTGGAACGATAGGATATGTTCAGGCAGTGCTATCATGACACCTTGGTCATCCATGCAATGGTTATGAAGCCGACAAAATGTCTCGAGAACCTCAGAGGAGATTTGCGTCCTTCTGGAAAAGGTAACATGAGTCAGCTCGCGGTTCAACAATCCGCCAATCTTTGCCTGAATGACTTGAGCGGATTGGAGCAACAAAGCTCGAGGCACGACAATGCGGGCAAGTTGCTTTCTGTTCGCCAAGGTTGACGCAGCCATAGCTGAAATGAGTCAGCAAACGTAGTGACCTAGCCAAGAATATCAACTTACGGAGAATACAAGATGTTTTCCCTCTACCCATTAACAGTTGGAGTACCGAATTGTGTCTTGATGGCGGAGAAATCGTTGCTTGGGCTACTTCCACCTGCTCTGGTCTGAGAAGGATATTGGCATCGATCTCTAACAGCAACCAATCGACATGATCGAGGGGATCCCAGTTGCGGTGCCCAGGATTCTGTCTTTCGTCATGGAACTGCTGTCCTTTCCTTTTCAGCAACGAATTCTGCATTCTTAACAGCCGCTGATAAGTTGTAACAGCTAGCCCAATTCGAACAAGGTTTTCTTTCACTTGCCTGCCCAATACGAGCCCTGAGCTAGAACGAAGCTCTGTGAGCAGAGAGATAAGCGTCATGCTCGGCCACAAGCCGGTGAGTCGGAGCCACTTGGCGGAACGCTCATTCTGTTCAAGAACAGTACAGAACTTGGATAGCACATCTTCCAAGAACTCTTTGGCCTCAGCGAGCTGAAGACCAAACTCGACAGGATTGTGGTGAAGTAGCGGTTCTTTAGGCAATGACAGATGCTCGGAGAGCGCCTCGACGCTCTGCTGTAATTCTTTGCCATATTTCCTTTGGACAGCCGAGGAAGAATGCTCCAACTCAGAGACCAGCTGACTTAATTCCTTGATTCTATCCAACACCTTAACTTGCAGTGTCTTAAGAACTACAAGATCACCGCAGGTGTGCGTACGTGTTTGGATAGTCAGAATGGGAGCGGCAGGTGTGATCCGAACGGTTTCGCCAGATAAAGAAAACACAAGCATATCCTGCTCCAGAAGGGCTGGGATCGTGGGGAGTTCCCATCTGTCCGATCCAGCGGGATACCTTGGAGCGGGATTTATATGTGACGAAGACCCCATTCCTGGGTATTGTTCTGATTCACAGTCGCCCGGCTGAGCGTTCATATCCTGGTTGCTCCCATGATCCAAGATGATTTGCAGTTTCTGTAGGTACTCCGAGAATTCCCAATTGTGCGTTAATCGCTCCCATTCCGGCCTTACAAGTTCCAAAGCCCGATCCTTTTCCAGATAGTCGGCGTCAACCTCGATGAGGCGCGAAACGTCAATTGTTGTCTGTGGCCATTGCGATAAGATCGACCTGGCAAGCTCCATGCAAAGACGCAGAGACTCCTTCTCATGGGCAAATCTTTGAATCGCCAGTTGACCCCTCGGTGCGTTGGCTTTCACTGGGTCGAAAGGTACACATGCGCCTTTGATCAGTTGCGTCAAGAGATCCGTTGTAGGTGACTGGTAATTCCTGAATGCGACGAAGGAAGGACAAGTTGGATACTCCACGGACTTCAAATCCTTCGAAATGGCACATGCAATCAGAGCCCGTACTAAGTTCATGTCCGCGTCCGCCGTAAAGCCAATTTTAGAGAACATGAACATCAGCTGGAACCTGTCTTCGAAGCCAGAATTGAGACATGTTCGCGCAAGTGCACCCCACTCGCATTTCATGTCAACGGTGAGGAAGTCTGTAATCTGGTTTAGGTCACAGTTCCGGATATACCCACAGATAAGTTGCGAGTCTTCCAGAAGATGCGCTAGCTCGGTGGTATTCTGAAAGCATGCCTGCCATTTAGACAGCAGCTGTACAATATCTTGGATGTTTTTCCGTTCTGTGCTGTCGATATATCGGTCCCTTGACGGATAACACGTGTCCAAGGCCTTGAAATTGTGAGTGTATAGGTGCGACAGAGCTCGGGTTTCTAGATGTTCCTGCTCCTTTGACCAAGCGGGAGGAGTGTATTGTACTGGAGAAAGACTGAACAGAGCAAGATCTGAGAGCATTCGCAATATCTTTTCGATCGCGCCGTGATACCTATCATCTTGTATATGGGTGGTGAGACACTCACTCCACTTCACTGTCTCCATACATCTGAGATGGGAAGGGTAATAATTTCGCTTCGGAGATAGCCCTGCAATATCGTATAAAATCTGGGCCACTTGGGGATTAACCACATCCCATGGTTGATAGAGGCCAGAACGTAGGAGAGTCAGAGATTCTTCAACACCGGTCCTTGGAGTGAGCGGGTCGGGAAGAAAACTGCTGGTACAGGCATGAAATAAAGCTTTCAGGTAGAGCATCCTGGGTTCAACAGGGCATTCGACGCGACCCAATACAGGATTGATGTTGAAGCGTAAGTAATCCCCGCGGTTGGTAACGAACATTTTGATGTGAAATTCGTCTTTGAGAAACTTGTATTCGCCCATAGGGACAAGAATGCTCCGTTCAGTCGTGTTCTCAGTAGAAGCAACAACCAGCTTGCTATGCAGCCCGTACCAGGTTCCAGGATCTTGGTCTTTCAGAATGACGCATTTAAGCTTGTCGTTTTTCAAAAATCCTGATTTGGCCACGAAGAAGTCCAGCTCCAGCCGTTTCAGCTCAACTCTCATATGTGATTTATCTGGCTGATACGCAAGAATATGCCGCGCAAATTCGAAATGCCGGAAATTGGAAGCGATTGTACTGAATAGATTGCTGTATGGATCAATTAAGGTCAAACAGCGACCCTTCACAGTTCGCTGTGCGCGACGCCCATGGAAATCTAAATACCAATGGCTTTGTCTAGATTTCCATGGGTCGCCTTGACGAATTTCCATGATTCCTGAACGTAGGTCGAGCCAGTGATCTGAAAGGGGTCAGTACGCCGCAATCGAAAACATAACAGAAAAGCTTACAGCAGTTCGAGACCATATGAAACGGAAGATCGAAATCTTGGCCGGATGCGGACTGGAATGAACCTGAAGGGATTAGCTGTAGCCGGCGATCGCCCTTTACAGCTTGGATTATCAGCCCATCCCCGCGGAGGTCAAAATGAATCCAGTGCCCATTCGGCATTCGGGAGTCGAGGGTGAACGACATTCCGTCCAATCTTGAAGGTAAGCAATTCAAGTTTGAAGACCCGAAAAGTTGCTGAACAATAGGCCAACGTCGATACTCAAGAGGAAGCGAGCCAAGTTGACAGCCGTTGATCAGCAAGATTCCCGTCAGCAGATGGTAGTTTAAAGCATCGGTGCATTGATTGTCTCTCTGTAAAGTCATGCCAATCCACTCCTCACCAAGCTCGTCGACAGCTGCGAGAGCTGCGTTGGAAGGTATAGGCCATAACCTGGACAAAGCTTCTACAAAGGCAGCATTATTAGCGCAGATTGCCGTTCGAAGCTCTGTCCTAAGGAGATAGGTTGATATCAGATCCTCCAACACTGTCTTTTGCAAGGGAAACGGCAAGGTCGCCCAGTCTTGCGTAAAAATGTTCTGGAGATGGATGGATGAACTGATAAGCAAACCCAGTGAGCTTGAGTCGAGAGCTTTGGATTTCTCAAATAGCGTGTAAAAGACACGTTTGCACAGCAATGAAGCCCAGACCATACATGGCATAAGTCCGGTAGCATTGTGTACGCCGGCTGACTTCAATATTTGCTGCCAACCCCAGGTAATGTCCCGAGCACGTTTCAGGAGTTTGATAGCGCCTTGTTTGATCTCCGTGGTCGGGGCAAGTTCAATCATCCTGATCAGTATAGAAATGGCGAGACTCATCTGGAGCGACTCGCGCCAACTTCGACGTATGGCCTCTAACCGACGCCGGACCTGCTCCAGGAGTCTGCCACAAAATTCAGAATCTCGAAACACAGCATGCACGTCACGCAAAAGATCTTCTGTCGATGCTGGTCCTGCTTGAAGAATCAATCGCGTAACAACGGCCCAAGTAGACTCTGTAGAGAAATTGATGTTGGTTGACCCTAATTCTCGCAGCAACGAAAGCCATCGACAGTGTGTCCCAACCAGTAGACTCTGCTATGCCATGAATTCGTGAGCATTGACCTCGGCTGGACACTTCGTTTGGCTGGCAAGAATTTGGTTTGAAGAAGGCCATGGGCCGTATAGACCTAGGAACGAACGATAAGGTGTCGTAGGTGGAAGATTCAAAGGGAACTGGTGTTCCAGTGACGGCCGAAGATCCGATGTCCAGAAGCTGCATGATGTATCGTAGTAGCTCAGCTTCATTCCAAAAGGTAGACAGACATGTTTCCAGGCCACAGGAAAGCCAACCTCGCCGTAGTGTGTCTCCAGGTGTGACTTCGTAGACGACCCCAAAGTGACATCGGACACCACATTGCGCTTGACATACTTCCGAAGTCCCGGATAGTCACGAATAACGGACCTCTGAGGCACAGGCTCAATACCATGTCTCGCAAAGGTTTTCAGCAAGTACCAAGTAGCGTCTCGATATGCAGCAAAAGCTTTGGGGCAACAAAGCTCGAACACCGCTGCCTTAGCGAAAGCTTCGGAAGCGGGAAGCGGATGTTCCCAAATCCTAATCTTCATCTGTCGGGCCTGCCACTTCAGTTTGTGTTTCAAGCAGCCACGGTGCTCCATGATAGTCTCGCCGAATTCGTTCACTGTCTCCGTATACTGGCAAGCCATTTCAGCGATTTGCTTTGTCAGTTTGTCGTGCCTGCTACTGGTCTCCTCCCACTCCTTTTTCTTCTCTTCGCGTGACTTCGCAGCATCCGATTTGATCTGATCATGGAGTCTAATCATCTCCTGTGATCCGTTGAAGTAGCGAACGGCGAAACAATTCTCAGTGGGACTGGCGAATATTGTTTCACTGTCTTCGGAGACTCGACTTATGATATGCAACTGAACTTTGCGTAACCGACCCATATCTTCGTTAGACATGAGGTGCAGAGCGTCCAGCATGTCCGCGTTTAGTCCAGGTCCATGCTCCTTCAATAAACCATAACAGGCCATGGCCGCTTTATCCATCTCCACCCACAGTTCCAAAACATTGAGCAGCATCCGGCTTTTTAATAAGGGGAAGACATTATAGGCATCCGCGACTTTGGATGTGTATGCCCTTATGGTATCTGCGAGATGAATGCAGCGAGTGTGGTTGTCGTTTGATTTCGTCGCACACTTCGCGGTTAGAACAATATCTTCTTCGTACTTGAGAAGCGCGGAATATCGTGCGGAGAGTGCGGTAAGGGCTGGAGTCTGCTTGTTCGCGGACTCCCATCGGTATAGATGCTCGGCGGGCGATTGGAAGCGAGCAGTATTGGTGACATGTGTCCTGAACAAGGCCGAGGAAAGGGTGGACCCCGAAAGCCGCAATTGAAGCTTCAGGTCGTCAGGATGTGCGAACTGTGGAAGACGTCGGATTGGCCTAGCTGCACGCGCCTTATAACCCTCCCATTGACTCTCGAGGGACTGGGCAGCCGTGTTGAGAGATCTCTCGAAAACAGTGGACAACCTACCCCACATGACAGTGAGTTTGCCCGCGGTACCAATTAATGGATCTTTTCGGCTTTCGATCTTGGCCAGCCTACGGCTGAGCTTTTGCCGAAGAAGATGGACAGCATCGGGGGGTAGTCGCTGACGGCTATCGTCCAAGAAATGGGACAAGAAAAGGCACATAATCACTTTGTAGTACAGTCTGCCGACCTCTGGTCCAAGAAATCTGTACAAGTGACGGAGCATGCTCACCCGAATCACGAGATATAGAGAAGATCTGCGCCATGGCTTGCGTGCATGGAGGAAGCGTACCGTATCACGGACCCTTTTCTGAAGGATAATCGGATGGTGGACTTTCCCAACAGTCCCCAAGAGGGTCATCAAGAGTCCGCTTATGAGAGCCGGGTTAGTGGTGTCGCGGATTTCAGGCAGTGGCGATGCCGCCTTCTGGGTGATGGCGCAGAAGGCTTTGACCGATTCCATCGTAGCCTGCTGGAGAAAGGCAGAAAGACAATCCTGAAATGATGTGTTCGAGAAAGTGGAATAAGGGACCTTAGCCGCGGAGCCCGGGAAATCCCACAGCAGAGCACCTTGGGAAGCTAGAACCTGGTCGCTCACCGCGGAAGCTTCGAAAGCCTCAAAAATGATGTCGTCGTCGCCGCTCGATACTCTGCATCGATAAAGGTCAGCGAGTGTTATGGCAAACCACAGAGTAGAACGTCATGGGTGTCACTTACTTTGATTCTCTGTAGATGAGAATGGCCGCGTTCTGCTCTGCGATAAAAAGGATCAGAGAGTTCCGCGCATCCAGTTCCCGAAATTCCTTCAGCAGGATCTTCCTGTCCATTTCTGCCTCAACATTCAGGAGCTTGGCCGTTGTGAGTGCTATCCGCACAGCATCCACGGAGCCGTGATGCTCCAGAGGCAGGAAGGGTGCGATTGCTTTGACAGCCTGAATTAGGCGATGAAGAAGCTCGGCGTCGACTCGCTCCATACTATCGCTTTGGTGTCCGGGTACATCGCGAGGCAGACAGATATGGTGAAATAGCTCGAGCTGGAGCTCGGCTCGATCCGGAGCGGGCATGGCGCCTGCAACGACGGGAAAGGCGAGACAGACAAGTGAGAAGAGCGATACAGACAAAGTAAAGAGACCTCAACACAGAAAAGGAGTTGTTACAAGGTGAGTGGAGGTGAGGAGTTTGCGAGAAGGTACTCGCTGGGGGCAAACAAGTCGTCCGGGCCCGCGCCAAGACTTTGTGTAACACAGAGACTGCGCGATACGGGCGGCGCGCGGGAGTTAGAGTCGGTGAAGGAATGAAGGCTGCAGTAGAACGCGGTGTTAAGTCAATTTCTACTGAGTGAAGGCGGGTGAAGTGAGAGGGAAGTGGTAAGTGGAAACCAAGTCCGACAAAAGGAGCACCCCAACATATGAGGGTGGCAGCGGCATCGATCTTTTGGAGCGAGTAAAAAAGACAGAAATGCTGAAGCCGAGAGTAAGAGAGACGACAGGTAGAAATAGACATTATAATCTAGTGGTAGGAAATGATGAATCCAGGAAACGAATACGGAGATAATGAGAACAGACAAGTTCAAAATCCTTACCTTCTCAAGTTGACCTGTACCTTTTCTTTCTCCATACATTAATTGGAGGCCCGCTGCTTTTGTCCAAAGCATACTATAGCTCAGTCATCGACACGATGTAACCGTCCCTAGATCGCTCGATCTCTCCAGAGTGATCGTCCTCCTAGGCATGTTGGATGGGGTATAAGCCACTGGTTGAATCCCGCCTCGAAAGCTGGAGGATACCCACTTCCAAACCCGTTAGCCCTCTCTTCCTCATCGTTTTACCGTCACCGCCCAGTGTCCAGTCTTTCCCCCCTTCTCCCCACAGACTTTCAATAGCCGTCACGGCCTCCGGTAGGCTGATCTCCACCTCCTTGGTATACTCCGTATACCCTACATACACATAACTCAACAACATCCCTTCTTCCCGAATCCAGGCCGTTACATCGACAAGCTCATCATCTCCTACAACGTCCAGCGCCGTAACACGCCTCGTACCAAGCGTATACTTCGTGACTTCAGGTGCAGTCACCACCTTCGCCAAAGAAGATGTTACTTCCTCAATCTCATCTGACGTCGGATATAACCATGCCACTATACCCTTTGCCCCGTGATTCAGTCTGAGAATCGCCATCACAGCCTCCTCCTCCTTCGATGGCCATCGCTGCCAAAAACTGCCTCTGTCATAGAAAGCTTGCGGGACGCCCCAGATGGGTTTCTTCGCGGAAGCTCCGAGCCATTCCTGGTATGTTTGCAGGTTTTCCGTGCGCTCAATGATGTCAAGGAAGGGGTTTCTGATGTATGCAGGATAGGCGGGGTCGTAGGCGTGGCAGTTGTCACAGCCGCAGTCGCCGTAGGTGGTGTTGCAAGGTGTGTTGTAGACAGTAGAGAAGGAGGTATTGACTGCGATGGGGTACGTGTCTTCCAGAATAATATCGGCACCTGAAGAGTAGTCCTTGAAGTAAAAGTTGGCACAGTTTAGGACGAGGGATACCGGATGATATGGATCGATTGAGTTGATGTGCTGATATGCGATCTGTGTGGCGTTGAGTGGGTCAGTCCAGCCATCTGGTTCATCTGCAGTATAATACAGTAGCAAGGATGGGTGATGTTGAAGGCGAGAGAGTTGAGCAGATATCGAAGTGTTGTTTTTGTACGTGTGGCGCATATCGTACATTACGTACAGTTCCAGCTCGTCGCAGATGCGGAGGAACTCCTCAAAGACAGTGTGATTAAATGGATCTGTGCCTCCTGGCGGCACTGGATGGATGAGGTTGTAACCATTCGCACGGAATGTGGCGAGATTCTTGGTTGCAGTGGCGCTGTTGATCGTAGACGATATCCAGTCCCATGATGTGTAAAATGAGTAAGGGTAGATGGTTTTCCACTCTCCCTTGGTAAGAGAGGATCTGACCTCAATTCCACCAAAGAGGTAATCAACGCGGGCTACGCTTCCGCCGTCATTCCTCTCCGGGAGTACTGTTACAGTAGCTGCTCCGGAGTAGGACGTCTGTAAAGCTGCGTCTGGCGACCTGCCGATGACGGAGACTAGCCAGGAGATTCCCCGATCCACTGGCGTACTTCCCAAGTCAAATTCAACCTCATTACCCCACGAATTGACTGGTAGTGTTTCCCAATTGACCAAGGTTTCGCTTGTCTGCGCGTTGCTGATCCGAATGGATATATATGTAGATGGTCCTCGGGTGGAATTGGCCGATGTCCTACTTCTAAAATGTTCGCCGGAAACGCGTTGAATAGGCGTATCTACTATCAATGAACCCTTTTTTTCTGATGACAGATAGAAACTGTAGCGCGGATAAACCACCAGCTGTAAGCCATCTTCGCGCTCTGGAGGGGCAAGCTCGCCGCCTGGGTCGAAAGAAGGGTCCTAATTATGGTCAACATTACAGATCAAGCGACAGAAAACAACATGCCGTTGGATGATAAGCTTTTCCGCACCAAAGGTCAATGGGGACAGGAGGTGGAGGAGGGTCACCGATAACACCTCGAAATTGCTCAAATCTGTAGTGAACCTGCAGGAGTATGGCCGGTATCATGATGAGGGCGGATGTGCAGAAGAACCATGACACGAGTGGATGCATTGCAGGAGTTCTTGTCTGCGCCGTTAGTCTTTGTGTAGGGCTCCCCGGTCCATTAACTTGGGTAACTGTGCCGCGAAGCGTTGCTTCCTGTCTTCCTGGACGTGGAATGCTGGTGATAGTTGAAGCGTAGCGTATTACGCGTGCACGATGGCCTTTGATTGATATCAAAGTAAACTGATGCAAGGTCGAAGCGGTGATGTCGGATGAACCTTTATCCGGCCTGGGCTTGGCGACGCCCCGTTGATGTCCACCGGCCTGCAGCTGGGACATCCATCTTTCTCCCCTTCACCTCATGTCCGGATCGGAGATTGAATTCGCGAAACCGAATTCATAATGTTAATGGTCTTGAAATTACAAATGCACCAAACCCCGTGATTAAAGCACTCATCTCTTTGGGCTTGTACAAGACTGGCATTCCTTTTAATTTGCCCATCCCCGCGGAGCGGATACCTATGTATGCATTATGTCCCTCTAGGACTATCTACTAGTTACGCCAACAGTCAAGCACCTGTTTCACATTGTCATTTCTATGTTCAATGCCAGAAACCAACCCCAACCCCCCTTACACCCACTCCCTCAAAACCCTCGTCTTCGACTCCTCCACCTTCCTCTCCACAAAAGCCTCCAGCCCCTCCCTGACCTCTTTGTCCAACAATCCCAACCTCTCCATATACCCTTCCCCCGTCCCATCCCCCCCAAACACCTCCCTATCCACAAAAGTCCAAAACACCGCATCAAAAGCCCAACTCCTCCTCACCGCATAATCAATCCAAAACCTCCCACTCGTCCAACTCTCCATCATCCTCACCGACAACCTCTCCTCCTCTTTCATCCTCCCCTTCTCAATAAACGCATTTTCCCGCTCGCTCATCACGCGGATGAAGGTCTTCATCCTGGGTTCGTAAACCCTGCACCAGTCCTCGAACCCGCGGATCCAGTACTCCGGCGCCTCAAGCAGCAGCCACCACGGGGGGTTGAAGGTAAACTCCGCCGGCGCCGCGTACGTAAATTCCCAGTCTATAACAGCGAGGACGCGGCAGTTTTCATCGACGAGGATGTTCTCCGGGCGCAAGTCATCGCACCATAGGCGAAAGGGCCCTTTTTCGAACCTTGGGTCGTGGAGACTCTTCTCAATGGCGAGTTTCTTGAAGAGGTGGCGGCCTATGTATTTCCGTCTGCAGTCGTCGGGGGATTCAATGGCGTCGTTGGGTTGGTAAGTGAGGTGCATGATTTTCATGTCTGCGATGGCGGAGAAGTACGCCGTGGAGGTGGCGAAGGTGGTGGATATGAGCTCTGAGCGAGGGCAGTTTGCGAGTTGGATCATTTCGTTCATGTCGAATGTCAGTGGGCGCTCGGTGATGGCCCACTTTTCCTCTTCTACCTCGAGCGGCGTGCCGATCTTGTCGAAGGTCAGGGTTGAAAGCTGCAGTAGTATGTCGGCCAGTTGCTCGTAGACGAAGATGAGTTTCTCTTCCGATACCTCAGGATCCAGTATCGGGCGGTCCTGCGGCGTGAAGTAGGGGACGTTGAGTGCACTGCATAACGTCTGCGCGCCGTCGATGTACTCCATGATGATGAAGGGACCTAGGTTCCCGGGGCACTCCTCTGCCGTCCCGTGGTGTAACACAAAGGGAACCGGTATCGTCGTGTGATCGGAAATGTACCTCATAATAGCGACTTCGTTCCTGACCTTCTCTTCAGGAAACATGTGGATCCCCGGACACGGAAACCGAATGATCGCAGAGCCACCGTCGGCAAACTGCAGGCGGTATGTAACATTGAAGGCACCTCGTTGCGGCGCAAAGAGCTCTTTCGGGACACCTCCGCGGTGTTTCTTGATTAAGTCTGCGATGGCTCGCTGCGTAGGTTCATGATATAGCTTTTTCTTCCAAGCGTCAAAGATTTCATCACTGCGTTCCCAGGCTGCGTCGTCGAACTTCATGCGGGGTTCCATTGTTTGGGCCGGGGTAGAAGGTAACGGAGGTTAGAAGCGGTGAAGGAGGAAAGAAGCGAAGGCGGAATCGAGAGTGAAATTATCTGGCCATACCTAGGGTAAGCCTATGCACAGGGGAATATGATGGTGACCATCCTCTGTGCAGTTTACTGTTGGGCGAGAGTGTGGCACAGCGAGAAGCAAGGTGCTTGGTTTGGTGGGGGCTGAGCCATCTCATACACTCACTCCTGGTTCGTATGAGAATCACTTTATCAGCTTGGAACCTTAACTTAAATTGACCTATCCTTTTAGAGTTCGACACCGACATCAATCACCTCCAAGAGTCTCAAAATATCAGTCCATTCTCAATATATGATTTATCGGTCTATGTCGCAACTACCTCCTCACACCTACCGACCATCACCGGTTCGCAGCGCACAAGCCTCACAAAACTACATAATACATTACTCCCCTTACCCTACCTTACCCTACTCTACCCTACTCTGTCCTAACGCCTCCCATCCCCCCTCTCACCATCTAAAATATGTATATAAACACTATCATCAATAACCTCATAAGCCCCACCAAACCAAAAAACACCCGCACAACCGAAACCCCATCATAGCCATCCTCATCAGTCATGAATACAAAAGAGCGCAGCTGCAAAAAGATATAGCGGACATGATACTTTCATGCAAAGAAGAAGAAAGCATAACACGAAAAACGGCCAAAAAACACCATTTTCGAAGCAAGAAAGAAGGGAGACACGCATCCCGTCCAACAACCTTCCCTAAACACCAGTCCAGCAACCCAATCCATGCAAAATCTCGCGCTCCCACACCTCACCATACTCCACATACCTACCTACCCCCCACTTTCCCCACCCCCTACTCATCCCGATAAAACTTCTTGAAAATCAAGTGCAAAAAGAGATTCACATTCAACCGCACGCAGCCGTTGCCACCGCCATCTTTGCCCTCACCAAACAAATTCATAAACTGGTGATTGTCAAACTGCGCCTGCAACAATCCATCCAGCGGTACCTCGGCAAACGCGCCGGGGATCATCATGCTACCCTGAGACCCCTGGATCTCAAACACACCAACCGTATTAGAGCTGATGGTGATGTCGAGGCGGTCCCATTGGCGTTCGGGATAGCCTTGCCAGGAGACGAGGATGCCCTTCTCCGCGAGGTTGCGGGCCGAGTACTTGAAGGAGCCGAAGCGGTATTCGCGGCCGGCGCGTTGCAGTTCGCGCATGTGGTTGTATTGCCGGGTGAAGGGGAGGAGGAAGCGCCGTTTGCCTCGTTTATTTTGGAGGGTGACCATGGCTTGCTCGATGTAGTCGTTGTATGATTTGAGCTGCTGGTCGAGGTAGCGTGCTTTTTCGTCAAGGGCGGCGAGAGTGGCGCGAACCCCCTCCAGTTCCTTTGCCCGTTGGATGCGGCGGCGGTGTTTCGTGCGGATGTCCACGGCAATGGCGTTGAGGAGGTCTTGGTAGTTGTTGTGCTGCGAGATGCGGCCGGCCCTTTGTAGTGTGAGGATGTTCTCTAGAGCGCATCGTTTGAGTGTTGGATAGTCGAGATCCAGGACGCTTGTCGTCGACATGTCTGTGGTGTAGGTTGAAGCGGCTGACGAGCGGAGATTTCGGCTTCGATCTCGTCTCTGCGCCGCGAGTTCCTCCCGCACAAGAGCTTCCCAGCGAGCTTCGTCTTCGGGGGTGATGGGCCGGCACATGATCTCTGTGAGATTGGCACCCGACTGGATTCGGATGATGTACAGTACGTATCGCTTGGTCTCCATGAAGAGCGCCTTCACTGCAGCGTCGGGATCTGAAGCGGTCAGTATCCAAACCTAGAGTGAACAAGGTCCCATTTACCTTCTTGTTCGTGAAACTTGGGATTCAGCGTCAAAGTGATTTCTGTTGAGCTGACGTGCAACAGTTCATTCTCATTGTTCTTTGCGCTGCCCAGTTCACGAATGATTTCTCGAAGTGGATCGTCTTGGGAAGGACATAGTACCGAAAGGTCATCGACCACAAGGTTGTGAATTGCGAAGATGTCGGCAAGCTTGATGTATAAGGTGGGCTTTGTGCGGGCGTAGAGGTCGTTGAACTCGTCGATGTCAAACTGCGCCTCTGCATCACGCACGTCGATCACTGTACGTGTATCAGTATTACTCAACGGACGTGTTGTGCTTAACTTACAGTTCGACCAAATGTCCTGCAATCTGTCGATGGCTTCCGTGACATAGCTGTTCAGGGGTTGAAGGTAGATATTCTCTCCGCCAAACAACCTTCCCGCAGCGATCTGGCCCAGGACCTTGGCGACTTCTCCGAGGTTTCGGTTCATGAGCGGGGAGAGACCTCGATCGACCACACCCCAATGCTGTGGCTGGAGCAAGGCAGGCTGCAAATAATGTTTCCAAACCCAATGACCTGCTATCTGAAGCAGTTGCTCTGGCGGCTCTTGAGGAAATCTCCTCCTCAACTCCTCAAAAATCTGCTGCGCGATGTAACGAACGCCGTAAGGCATCTTGTGGAGGACCTCCTCGAATATGGCGAAGAACTGATCAGCGATATCCCGAAGATCTTGGAGATGGTGAATGAAGGTTTCGCGTGTCTCAGGGTCTTTGATTGCTTGGTCTCGCGATACGTTCGGGTCGCGGTGACTACGTCGCCCAGTTCGAAGTTCTTCATTGTTGATGGCTGATCGGTAGATCTGCATGGGGTCACTTTCCAGGTCTAGCGCTTCGTTTTCGATGATGTTCTCCTTGATGAGCGGCCCAAACACGTCTTTCAAATACTTGCGATCACGGGGAGAGCGGACAAAACTGCTAAACAGCCTCATCCAGAAGAAGTTCCCACGCGTGTACTCCTGTATGGATGCACAGGTGTCGACGTCTTCTTTCAGGGAACGAGTGATAAGCTTGAGTAAATAGTACTCTTCTCTCCGCTTCTGCGCCAAGCCAAAGAGGCTCATTGTCAACTGTTCGATGCGCTTGGTGTCCGTCTCAGCGAGAGCCTGTTCGCGTATCCGTCTGAACAAACGAGCCATGTATTGTGGTTGCGTTTGGAGCAAGAAGAAAAGCTCCTGGTAGTGCTCCAATTTCCTCCGAGAATTCTTATTGAGTGCTTTGAGGTCGAAGGGATCCTTGGAGGAAATGTCTTTGCTGCTGAGAAGCGCGCCAACATGGCCACCAAAATGTTTCTGGTGCTTCACCACCTCATCCAGGGTGATTTTGTTCTTGACGAGCAGAGCAATCTTGATGTCCAGTTGATCGATGTACTGCTCTGCGAGCTCGTTCTGCCGTACGTGCTGGACAACGGTCTTGCGCAGGCGTTCGAATTCTACACTATGTTAGTCAAGGATGTCAGACTTCTTAGGGCACACATACCAATCTCCTCGTCGAAATCAATATCGCTGTCATTCAGAAGATGCACAAAGTTCTTCACAGTCGAGACCGGTGGGTTCTTTCCGCTAGTCAAGCTCTTGTAAGCCTCCCCCTGTTGCCGTCCTCGAATGAAACTCTGAATCTTGATGACCTTCTCCATGTTCTCTTCGTAGAACTTCTTCTTCTCGGCAAAACGTCGCCTAACCAACATTCCTCGGGCAAGGGCCTGAAGCTCAACAATGGCTTCCTCATGGTCTTCAACCTGCGCTAGCAGCAATCCAATGGCCATACGGTGCAAAAAGCCACGAGCATAAGCTTGAAGTTGGATAATCTCCGGCTCTTGACTGTTGAGTTCGCACAATAGCTCGTATGTGCGTTGACGTTGCACATAACCTCGACATGACGACTGTAAGTCGACGATGGTGGGAATCTGTGCCTGCAAGGTTTTGAGGTCAGAGAAGTACCTCTCACGGGATATGAAACCGCGTATGGCAGACTGCAAGGACGAAATAGCCGGCTCGTGATCTTTCAGCTGAGCCAGAGTATGGGCAAAATTGGATCGAATTTGCCTAGCTCTTGCAACAGACTGGAGATCCGTGAGTTGAGGCTCCTCTGCGCGAAGAGCCTCCATCAATCGCTTGACGAAGGCTCGAACAGAGTTACCTCGAATCTTGGAGTGGAAGTTAGACCAGGCAGGACCAGTGCTTACCAGTGCACTAAGCGTATCTGCATTACTTTTCCTGGCTATAACTCCCCTAGCGGCAGCCTGCAATAAGGTGACGAGGGACTCATGCTGTCGTAGGCTCTCCTGATCCGCTCTGAACGATTGACGTAGGAGCATGGCTCGGCAAGCTGCTTGCAATTGCACGACAGCCTCCTCACCCTCTTTCAATTCAGAGATGTCGCGATTGAGTCGCTCCCGCACAAGAGCGCCTCGTATCATGGCCTGAACCTGCAGGACGCCGGCTTCTGCAACTCGCGTCTCTTCGTATTCGCGGTCTACCTTGAGACGATGGAGAGCGCCTCGGATTGCTGCTTGAAATTGGCGAATACCGTGCTCGTGACGCTGTATACGTGACTTGATGTACTGGACTTGGGTTCTCGCCTTGCGACCGCGGAAAAGGCTCTGAATCTTCGTCACTTGATACTCTTTATCCCTCCAATACTCTTCCTCCCCACGTAACCTCGATCGAATCAGAAATCCCCGAGAAGCGCTTTGGAGTGTGATGGCGAACCTCCGCATGTCGAGGCGATAGTTCGCGATCTGCCGTGCCCAGTCTCCTCGTATCCGTGATTGCAAGTCCACGATCGCATCTTCGTGGTCCCATAATTGCTGCATCAGATTTCCCAGTCGTAGCCTGAGCACTGCCCCCCGAATCTGTGCCTGTAGATCCAGTATGATCGGTTCCAGCTCCGACAGCTCCCGATCAATCCTGTCCTCTTCCGACTCGACGGGTTCCGGCTCCGGCTCTACTGCAAAATTTGCCTGCATGCTGGAAAAGTTGGGCATGCTGACGCCCGCATTGTCAAGTCCTTTTTGCATTGCCTCGAGCTCATGATCTTCAAAATGGAGCTTACCCACTAAGTTCCCGATACGAAAGTCAACCATGCCCTTCCGAAACAGCAGCCATGAGAGAGCATGTATGCAGTATATAACTTTTGGGACATTCTTTTTCTCGTAGAGGTCGACAAGTTCGAATCTGAAAAGCTCAGGAAGATCCACTTCTGCTAGAAACTGGAAGAAGTGCGCATAATTGTTTGAATGGCGATACTGTAGCTTTGGTGCCCGGAATATTCGAAGGGGCTGGCCTTTGATCGCTTCGACGATTTCCGCCAGTGTCACGCCATCACGTAGCGCTTCCTCCAACTCGACGATGGGCGGTATGTCCTTGTTGATGATATCCTCTATCCACTCCTTTGCTTCTCCAATGTGGCAGAGATACTCGTAGGCCTGTAAGAATTGGCGTTGTTGGTCCATCCAGTTTCTGCTGGCCCATCCAGATGTTGACTTCTTGCGCATGGAGGCAGATCGTTGAAGCCTTCTACGCCCGTGCAAGCCGACGACCTCTTGCTCTGGGGACTTTATGGTAAAATCCTCCTCCGAGGCCGATTCAGCAAATTTTGACAACGTGCGCAGGTACCCGGTAGACGATTTACTCAAACTCTGCAAATCAGGTCGCTCAAGATGGGTGGTGGGGCTTGGGCGCTGGTGTTCCCTGGTGGGCGCTCTAATGGAGTCTGAGCGAGATATGGCCATGGACAAGGGGCGAGGTTTCGGCGGAGGGGAGCCAGGGGATTCGTGATGGATAGGACGCATCGCTTCAACGCTCTGAGACCGGCTGTGAGTAGGAGTTGGGCTGGGGGGCGTATAAGGCCGTGAAAGCTTTTCGGCGACGATAGACGGTTGATTTTGAGCAGATGGTGGGAGTGGGCGCAATGCCTTCCGCATGCTCATGTATGTGCTGCCGGGGCTCGTGTCTTTGGATTCGAAGCAATTCTCCGTCCGAGACTGAGCGAGTGCCGTGCCATCGCTGACCCCACGACGATGGCCATACGACGGCTTCGGCGGCGACCCTGTCGCTCCATTACTGGAAAGCGTGCTGGACCGGCTTGGGGGGTATATGGAGGAGTTGCTTGAGGCGGTCGATGTCTGGCGCAGAGGGGAGGGCGACGTCGCCTGGTGTCCTACCCGAGTTCGCGGACTGTAGGTGTAGCTCATGACCAGAGAGAGTTTTGACGTATAGGTTCACACTGGGTTCGGTGCGGGCATGCGTAGTACGGAGCGGCAGAGGCGGGATGGACTGTCGTAGCGGCTGAGGAGCAAGAGGCCGTTCTGGCGGCCGTGATGATACAAGGCGAATGGCAAGGCGCCTGCGCGGAAATGTATGGCAACGGAGCGAATATGTCGCACGGTGAAGGTCAGGGAGGGAAGTGTCCGCACCGGCACAGAGAACAGAACGCTAAGAAAAGAAATGAGGAATCTGGAGAGCACCGGCAGATTGGAGGGTGAAGATGGAATTGAACCTTGATTGAAGATGCGGATGGGGTGGTCTGGGCGGGCTGAGCGGTGTTTACCGCCGGGCACGTGTGTTGTCGTTGCCATGGGCGATGCCAAGGCTGTGCCCGGTTATATACTGGAGTACATCTCCCGCCGCTTTGCTTTTGTTTCTTGAGGCTGACTGCCGGCAGACTTCTCGCATTGCCGTGCCGCTGACCTTGTTTTCTCCACCCAAGCAAAAAGGCAGGAGGTGATTACAATGTACAATGCACGCTATCTCAAGAGATGATGTCCTCAACAGCTTGAGCTCGCCAAAGAAGACACGCTAATGTAATCTTCACGTGACGATAGCACGGACCATGCCTCGAGAGTCTCCCCACAAAATTTCTCACGTCCCCGCCTGAAATCTTCTTTCTCTTGGGAAAAGTTTCGCACTTTTGCCCGGCCAAAGTTCGCCCTCGACTTGGTCTATCTCTCTTTGTCTCTCTCCGTCAAGTCGCTCTCCTAGCTTCTCTGTTCCTTGAGAAGCCCTCTACTTGGTTCACCATGCCCGCCACCAACGGCAACTCACTGGTCAACGGCGAAACCTTGGACTTCCGCAGTGCCACAAAGGTGCTGCAGTCCGAATACGCGGAGCGCGATGGCATCTCCGTCAAGGACCTGATCAACTCCAAGGTGAACGGAGGCCTGACCTACAATGACTTCCTCATGCTCCCTGGCTACATCGGTAAGCAGAACCCAAACCGGTTCCGCGTCTGTCCACTGACAGCAGTCAAGGCTTCGCTGCCTCCGAGGTTGCGCTTGAATCTCCCATTACCAAGAGAATCACTCTCAAAACTCCCTTCGTTTCCTCTCCCATGGACACCGTTACGGAACACAACATGGCCATCCACATGGCCTTGCTCGGTGGCTTGGGCGTCATCCACCACAACTGCTCGCCGGACGAGCAAGCCGAAATGGTCCGCAAGGTGAAGAGATACGAGAACGGCTTCATCCAAGATCCCGTCGTCATTTCTCCTAAGACGACCGTGCGGGAGGCGAAGGCGTTGAAGGAGAAGTGGGGCTTTGGTGGTTTCCCCGTCACAGGTCAGTACTGTACTCTTCACCTACCCACGAGCCCAACCGGCTCCAATGACATGATGAGCAAACTTTGCCCTTTTAACTTTCGTTCATCCGCAACGACTCCGTCGTGCTGTGGAATAATGGAGATTTCTGTCTGATGTCGCAATTCTCTGTTCTCTACTTTGGCCTTATATGGTTGCGCTGGCGCTGACAGTGGTTGTGCACAGAAAATGGTACACTTCGGTCCAAGCTCATTGGTATCGTTACTCCGCGGGATGTGCAATTCCATGAGAATCTGGACGATCCCGTCACCGCTGTCATGTCCACCGATCTCGTCACCGCACCCCAGGGTGTCGATCTGAAGGAGGCAAACAGGATTCTCAAGGCGTCTAAGAAGGGCAAACTCCCCATTGTGGACGAGAATTTCAACCTTATTGCACTGCTCTCTCGGTCCGATCTGATGAAGAACCTTCATTACCCACTTGCTTCCAAGCTTCCGGATTCAAAGCAGCTCATTGCAGCCGCTGCCATTGGCACTCGCCCGGCAGACAAGGACAGGCTTCAGAAGCTGGTTGATGCCGGCCTTGACATTGTCATCCTCGATAGCAGCCAGGGGAACAGCATCTACCAGATCGAAATGATCAAGTACATCAAGGAAAAGTACCCTGAATTGGATGTGATTGGCGGCAACGTGGTGACCCGCGAGCAAGCGGCCGCTCTGATCGAAGCCGGAGTGGATGGTCTCCGTATCGGCATGGGCAGCGGAAGCGCCTGCATCACGCAGGAGGTCATGGCTGTCGGTAGACCGCAGGCCACGTCCGTCTACAATGTTGCACAGTTCGCCAAGCGATTCGGCGTCCCTTGCATTGCGGACGGCGGTATTCAGAACGTGGGCCACATTGTCAAGGGTCTGGCCTTGGGCGCCTCGACCATCATGATGGGAGGCCTGCTTGCAGGTACCACCGAGTCCCCTGGCGAGTACTATGTCAGCCATGACGGCCAGCTTGTCAAGGCCTACCGTGGCATGGGCAGCATAGACGCAATGGAGGACAAGAAGGCCGGTGCTGGCTCCAAGGACGCCAAAGCTAGCAATGCCGGCACTGCCCGCTACTTCTCCGAGGGAGACCGCATTCTAGTCGCTCAGGGTGTCTCTGGATCCGTACGCGATCGCGGCTCCATCACCAAGTTTCTGCCATATCTCCAGGCGGGTGTGCAGCACTCGCTCCAGGATATCGGCGTGCGGAGCTTGACGGAGCTGAGAGAAGGTGTCGTCAATGGCACTGTAAGGTTTGAACTGAGGACCGCGAGTGCTCAGGCTGAGGGCAATGTGCACGGTCTGCACAGCTTCGAGAAGAAGCTGTACTCTTGATTTCTTGGTCACAGCTGCATAGAATTGGCGTCTGGGAGGCTTCATTGGGTTCAGTTTTTGATGACGGTGTTATGCTTCTAGAGAGGTTGGGCTTAAAATGATCGTAGCACGACAATCTATTCGCCATGATATTTGACGATTCTATACCATCTTAGTCTTTTATTTATTTAGCTTTGGTTGTCTCCTTGCTGTTATGATCTTGTCTTGACTCTTGCACGCTGCGTCACTCCGCCGGAAGGCCAAGTCCAACCTCGGCATCTCCAAGCTCCCCGCGGCTCACAAGCTCACTTCAACCACACCATGGCGGTCGCTCGTGCCGCGTCGAATCGTCGCGTTCGGGCGTACTATGCCAGTTCCTCGTTCCTTGCGACCCCTCTTGCTGGTTGATAGAGTACTTTTACGGCCTCTTGCCCCCTTCCAAGCGTCTGGTCAGAGTCATCCAGCCGTTACTGCTGGCCCTTCACCGCCAGCAATTGCACTCGTACAGCGCAAGATGAGTACTCCAGCAGACCACAAGCCGATGAAGAATCCTCCAAAGGTTCCTGCGGTCCCTCGTCCCAGCTCCAGGTGCGTGGGACGAGTTCCCATAGCGATTATTTGCCTCCATGCTGACCCCCTTTCCAGTGTCCTCCTCATATCGCCAACCAACCAAATCCTCCTCCTACACCGCGTCAAGACATCCACCTCGTTTGCCTCCGCGCATGTATTCCCCGGCGGTGCCCTCTCCCCGGAACATGACGGCGACATTCCCGCCGTAGACTCGCCCCTCCGCCACCGAGACGGCCCCGCCTACCGCATGGCCGCCATCCGCGAGACGTTCGAAGAATGCGGCATCCTCCTGGCCAAACACAAAGACTCGGGCAAACTGCTCAGCGGCCTCAGCGACGCTGAGCGCGAACAAGGCCGCCGAGCCGTGCACAGCGGAAAAACTACATTCCCAGACCTCCTCGCCCGCTGGAACGCCGTGCCCGACACCGAATCCCTCATCCCCTTCACCCGATGGATCACCCCGCCCAACGTCCCCAAACGCTTCTCCACCCAAATGTACCTCTACTTCCTCCCCATCGGCTCCGTTTCGCCGACCAAACGCGCCGCTCCGGGCTCCACACCCCCAGCGTCCGGCCTCGCCGAAGAAGACGAAATCGTGATCCCCAACCCCACACACGACGGCGGCATCGAGCACACAGCCGCGCACTTCCTGCCCGCGAATAAATGGATCGATCTCGCGCGCCAGAACCGCATCATCCTCTTCCCTCCGCAGTTCTTCCTCCTAAATCTCCTGGCTCCGTACCTCTCGCCCACGGTCACCTCGCCCTCGTCGCCGATCCCGGATGCCGCCGCCTTGCAGCGGGAGCGGGATCGCTGTATTGAGTTTTTGAATAAGCCGCGCGTGTATCATGGGGAGGCCGAGGTTTCGTTCGCAGAGGCGTGTATTTCGCCCTTGGTGCTGGGGAAAGGGGTGTATGGCGGGGATAGGCAGAGTGGGGTGGGGAAGGGGGTGGATAGGGATACGGCCGTGCTGGATTTGTGTGATCCCGGGGATGAGGTGAGGGCGCAGGGGCTCGGGAGGAGGGGGGTTAGGGAGTGGGTGGTTACGACTAAGTTTAAGAGAGAGGGGCCGAGGGATGTGGATGTGAGGTTGAGGGATGAGGTTTTGGGCGTGTTGGGTGGGAAGTTGTAGGCATGGGAAGAGCCCATCCAGTGAGTTGAGGGATGCAATGCCGAGTAAGTCGCGTAAGATGCAGTCCAGTAGCAAGGGTTTGGAATGGAAACTCTTATGAAACTATAAAACAATCCAACCATACAATAAACCGAAAACATCCGTTTCTCCGTTTGACAACATAAGAAACCATCCCATTCCCCGTCTATAGACTAACATCTATACAAAAAGAGAAAGCACACCTAGCGAAAATCAATTAACAAAAGAACAAAACCAGCGAACGCAACAGACAAAGAGCCTTCCCTCAAGTGCTCTTCTTCTTCAACCCAATCTTCTTCACCAGCGATCCCAAACCCAACCCACTCTGAGACCGCTGCCCATCCTTCTCCTTCACCGCCTGCGCGCGGTTTCGAGCCTTCTCCCCCCAAGGACTCATCTCTTCACTCTCAAGCACCTTCTTCCTCTCCACCGCCAGCAATCCAACCTGGTCCACAAACACAGACTTATCAATCAGGTCCTCCACCCGGACCCTCAGCCCCTCCTGGTCCAGGATACTCGCCACCTGCGCCAAGCCCATGATATCTCCCCCAAGCTCGAAGAAGTTTGAGCTCAAATCCAGGGAAAGCAGGCCGCCGTTACCGGGGCGAAGTATCTGCTCCCATGCCGACCGTAATGTAGCAGCGAGGGTGTTGAGTTCGTTCTTAGGGAGGCCAGTATCGGTGGGAAGAGATACGGGCTGCTTCTCTTGCTTCACGCTCTTCTCTGAGTGCAGAGTGCTACTGCCTTGCGAGGTGAGTTCCGACGGCGACGGGAGAAGCGTGTACGGATCCTCCGCAAAGGTAATCGCAGTTGTACAGAGCATGTCAAATATGTCTTGGGCGTACTGCGACGTGATGGTGCTGTTCGGTGCGTACGTGAGCATGACCTCGAGCTGATCGCCGCCTCTGGACGTAGACAGGATTGAGATGTCGGCGAAGTCTTCTTGGGACCCAACAGCGCCCACTTTGTACTCAATGCCTCCCAGCTGAAGTGTGGCGTCGTCGGAATGGATGTTCTGGTTGTGCTGGAGGACGCTGGAGAAATTCGTCCAATCAGGCCAGTCGGTGCAGTTGCGCGTGATCTCTCGGAAACCGAGAGACTCGAATGGCATGTTAGCAATCTGCTGTTCCTGAATGTAGTTGAGAAGATCAAGAACGGTCCACTCGGGTCGATACACAACGCGCACCGGAACCATATTGAGGCAGGGTCCGATGATGCTCTCCACATTGGGAACGCCATTGTTGCGCCCTGAGACGACATGGCCGAAGACAATGTCGGACTTGCCAACGAGTCGCGCCAATGTGGATGCCCAGGCAGACTTCATGACGGTCGCTGTCGTAATGTTCAGGCGAGACAGGCTTGGAACCGTGAGCGTCTGCTTGAGTGTAACCGTTCGGCCAGCTGAGCGCTGGTAATTTGGACCATAACGATGCACGATCTCAGTCATCGTCGAGCCGCGGAGCACTTCTCTCCAGTGATCGTGGGCACCGGCAACAGTTTTGGCAGACTCTCGAACATAGGTCCCGAAGCTGGGGGCAGAAGATATCGGGAGGCCATTATATCCAGCTTGAAGAGCGCCAAGGATCTTGGGAAGACAGTATCCATCATACTGAGCGTGTGACAGGCGCATGAATATGCGATAATGCTCAGTCTTCTTTTGCTTGGCAACGATGAATTGAACGAATGTCTCTCCAAGACGGGGCCCATGTTCGCGATCCTTCTGTCGAAGTTCCGTGGTGAAGTCATCAAGGCTTTGGTCCGTCTCCTGATAGATGAAATCGGGTTGAAGTTTTCTCAACACGACCTGCAGGAACCGATCACCATAGGGGACAAAAACGGTTCGCAAGATGTCGAAAGCTTGCACAATGCGGAACGCCGTCTGTTTGAGCTTGCGAAGATCGAGCGGGCCACCACCGTCGAGGTAGAAGTAGTTCAACATCCATCTCGACTCCAGAAGGGTACCGGTGATTGCTAGAGACTGGAAGTCTGTCGCTGGAAGTACGTCTGAGATGCCACCCTTGAAAACTTGGACCTTCGAGATGACACTATCGACGCTTGGATCTCCAAGAAGCGAAACCGATTTATGAGCATTGGGGTCCTCGGGTATGGTCTGGACAGATGCCTGGTGTTGGTGCTTCTGGGTCGGGCGGGTTGACTGAGTCTGGTTGTTTGAGAGGGTAAATCCCTGCCAGCGCTTAAAGGCCCGTTCTGTCTTTTCTTTTTCCTTCTCTTGTTCAGTTGTTCGGTCCGCCTTGCTCAGTGCCACTCTACCGCTCTCGCCGTCCTCTTTATCATTCTCATCAATGATGGCATGTTCGGAGACAATTGACTGGAAGTCTTTCCATGCCGACGAGGCCCGCTCGCGAAATGCGTTGGCTTGTTTGGATGGCCCGGCAACGGATTCGCCGCCAGCCTGAGACCGGATCTGATCAATGACTTCACCAGCGACTCGCACAACCTGTTCACATTAGTAACGACTCCATACTCAGATGTCATGTAACGTACCCTAGCCATATCTGCAAACGTGGGGTTCTTGAATACATCCGCCACCGTCATAGAGAGACCTTCCTCTCTAGCTGCACTGACCAACCTCATAGCAATAATGCTATCACCACCCAGTTGCTTGGAATGTCAGCAGCGTCACTGAGGGTTTGAGATCAAGGAGACTTACGAAAAAGCTATCATCCCCACCAATGGAATCCTCCACCATATCCAACAACTCGCTCCACAGACTGAGCAATTTCTTCTCAACAAAATCCGGAGGCACCGCCTTCAACGCCTCTGTAGCCATCACACCAGCTGCAGCTACCATGTCGGCAGCCGTTTGAATCCTACTCTCAGCGTCGCTGGCGCGGCTCGCCACACTCATGCGTCGAGATCGGACGGAGCGGGCGTCAAGGTCCTGTCTGCCGCGGATGGACTGCGACGCTTTGCGGGTGAGCATGTTCGCCATCTGATTCGTCATATCAGTGACTGTGGATGCTGCGGGGCGTGGAGCAAGATTATTCTTGGACAGCATTTGATCCACAATCTGCGGCACCACTTCCTGAACGATGTTCCGGATGAGGCTGCTCCAATCAGGCGCTCCACTTGGCATTGGCGTCTCGATCTTGGGCACTGGCAGCGATGAAGCCAATGGATCGCTGGTCTCAAATCTTGGAGTGGGTCTGACAGATCTTGCTGCTTGGGCCGAACCGTTGCTGATTGAGCTTAATGACCTTGCCAAAGAAGGGCGGCGCGGTTGGGCTGTCGGCTTGAGATAATCTTTAGGCTTCTCGGTGACGGCAGCGTCGAACTCACCAATGGTCTGAGTTGGGTCGACGAGAACTTGGGACAGGATCTTTGCCATGGTAGAAGAGATATTCTTTGCAGCTTGGTCGGACAACGAATCGGTCCAGTAGGAGAACCGCACGCCCTCGTCGTCACGCGTCGCATCAATATTTACGGTAATGGCAAACTCGCTTGGGTCATGAGCGTCGAAATGCTCGAACACAACATTCGACTCTGACCCCGCGTGGGCTTCAGCAGCGCCATGATTCTGAATAGAGACAGCGGTGTTGAAGAGAGCCTTGCCAGAGAGTCCGAGGTCATGCTGGAATTGCGCAAGCGAGCAATGTTGATGCGGTATGCTCTCGATGAAATCATTCTGGACCTTTCGGAATACGTCCAGAAGTGGTTGATTGCGCGATACGCCTACTCGCGACACCAGCATGTTGATGAAGGCTCCGACAGCGTTTTCGATGTTGTCCACGGGAATATTCCGGCCGGACGTCAGATAGCCGTAACAAACATCTGAAGATCCGGTATAGGAACGCAATACTAGTGCCCATGCAGCGAGCATAATGTTAGAGAACGTAACGCTGTTCCTTTCGGCCAGGCTCTGAAGCTCCGAGAAACGACTGAACTCCATGTAGAGCGAGTGCAGCTGTCTTTGCTTGGAGGAATGCTGAGGAGTGATGGGGAAGTGGCAGGGCTGCAATCCTCGAAGCTTCTCTTTCCAATAATTTTCCGAAGTTCCAGCGGGCTGACTGCGAAGGTACTTGATATAATCGCTATATAGAGGGCCTTCCTCTGCGGACAAGCGGCCCTCATAAGCCTCTTCAAGGTCGTGTCGAATGACGGCATGAGATCCACCATCTATGACCGCATGGTTAATCTCCATCTTTACGATGACTCTGCCGGAACTGGTTTGTACGATCGTGAACTGGTGCGGCAATTTCGGCTTCTTCTTTCCGTTGAGCTTGGTGTACTTGATGGACTCCAGCTTCGTTGTCAGATCCTCGTCTTTGCAGGTAAGTGTAACAACACCGCTGTCAGGCTTCTTGAGCACGATCTGGTCGAATACTCCACCCTTGCAGACGCTGTCGACAAAAATGGTTCGTAGGGCTGGGTGGCGGTTCACCACCTTCTGCCAAGCTTCCGCAACTCTGTGCACATCAACTTTTCCTTGTTTAGCTTTGACCTCGAAAGTCGAGTACGAGAGATAGGACTCTGCATCTTTGATCTGGCTGAGAATCATTCCCTCTTGCACTGCCGCACAAGGATACATGTCCTCGACCTGCTCATACGACAGAATGCCCGCACCAGGGAATGTCTTGATGACGCGATCCAGCCTATCGTACGACTCCAAAGGCAAGAGTGGGAAGTCTGACAGAGTTGGCTGAGGGCTATCCATGGTCGAAAGGGACGAAACAATCTCCTCAAGTGTCCGTTGACACTCAGAGATCCAACGACGGATACCTTTCCGATTCTTCATCCAGCGATTATACATGAAGCTGAACTGGATTTGTCCATGCACAACGGACGCTGAGACTTCGAAAAGCGCCGGTCTTCGCGTCTTCGCGCCCAGATCTGTCATCTCAGCTTCTTGATCCTCCTCGAACTGCACGGACTGGAACAAGGCATCGTCTGCCTCAAGTTGTTGCATCTTTCCAAGGTAATTGAATAGGATCTCCAGAGGCTGGTGGTCTGCATACTGTGCCTTGCCGTCGTCAGTGAGGAATCGATGCGCAAAGTAAGGGCGGCCATTATCGACGACTTTTCGGCGGAGATCCTTAACTCTCCTGACAGTATGGATCACTTCGTCCTCGTCTTCTCCAATATCGACCGTGATGGGGTACATTGTCGTGAACCAGCCGACGGTCCTTGAGAGATCTAGATTGCTTCCGTCCCAAGGCTCTCGCCCATGAGTCTCGTTGAATACGGTGGGCGTCCGACGATTGATGAACACTCGGGAGAAGGAGTGGACAAGAGCGGAAAGAAGCAGGTCGACCACATCGGTCCTCAAAGCTGAGTGATCGTTGAGCGCCTTGCCAGATACATCCTCTTCCAGAGTGAAGGAATCCCTTTCCACGTCGCCATAGAGGTTTTCACGCTTGTCAAGACCCCAGAACGACAGATCCGCTGAATGTACTTTATAGTCCTGGGCTTTGAGACGGTCGATTTGTGCTGGCTGGTTGGCATGTGCCGCTTGTTTTTCGCACCAGACCTGGAATGGAAGCGCAGGCTGAAGCGACTCATACCTCCCGGCTTGGAGGCACTCTTCGATATCGCCAAGGATGATTCTCCAACTCACGACATCGACCACGAGATGATGTGCGGTGATGAAGAGGATTTGGTCTTCCGCGCCGATGTTGAATAGTTCGGCTGCAAAGACGGGGCCTCGCACAATATCGAGACTCCTCTGTGTGGCGGACGCATGCTGGACGATATCATCTTGCTTAGCGACAGAGTTAACTTCGAATTTGTACGCGTCCACCGCGTCCTTCGGGATATGCTGTCGCCAAGTGCCGGAATCGTCTTTCGAGAAGCGGGCGCGAAGGATCGAATGACACTTGACGATAGCATCCAGAACGTTCTTCAACAGTGCGGGATCGGTACGCTTTGAAAGGCGAAGCGTAAACGATTGGTTGAAGTGCGAATTCTCGTCATCCCCGATCGACTCAAAATAGAATCTCTGGATGGGCGAGAGGTCGAAAGGCTGATCCATCTTCTCGGTGCCGTGGAAGAAAGAATCAGCACTGCTGGCTATGGTCTCTGCGAGGTGTGCCAGTGACTTGCTGCGCAGGACCTGGTTCAAGGTGAGGTTGATGCCTTCTTTCCTGCATCGGGCTAACATCTGCATTGCTGTAATCGAGTCTCCACCAAGTGCTGGACAAAGGTCAGCAAAATGCATACGATTTTGGTGCAATCAACTTACAAAGCCAGGATTTGTTCGGCTTGATACTTTCCACTGGGATATTAAGCACCTTCGCCCAGATGCTCCGCAACTTCTTCGTAGTCTCGCTGGTCGGTGCATCAACGTCGCCGCTGCTCTCAGATTCCAAGATGTTCCGATAGGTGCCCTCATCAATGTTCTCCAACCATGCAGTCACCTGCTTCCTATCCAACTTTGACGAAGCCAAAGCGGGGATCTTGCTCACTGCAACCCATACCGAAGGAACCATATAAGACGGAAGTAAGTCGGACAACCTCTTATTGACCTCTGCAACAACACGCATTGTCGCGGGGTCAGTAATCGGCGTGTTCCAGGGCTGACTTGTCGAAGTAGGAAGCTGGCGCAGCGCAACCACTGCTGCCAACTTCCTCTTTCCAGGGCCATTCTTCGGCATCACTACGACGGCCTGTCGTACACGCTCATCCGCCTGAAGATGATGCTCAATTTCTCCCAACTCCATACGTTGTCCAGCGAGCTTCACTTGGTTGTCTTTCCTCCCGATGTAGCGGATTGAGCCATCAGGTGCGTACTGCACCAGATCTCCCGTGCGGTAGATTCTGCTGTGTGTACCGCGTGGAAGGAACATCTTCATGAAAAGTGGATCCTCGACAAACGACTCTGCTGTCTTGACACGATTGTTCAGGTAACCTCTTGCAAGCAGAGGCCCTTCGATGCATAGTTCTCCGACTGAGCCCACCGGCGCTAGCTTGTTGGGGTCTTCCGGATTCACGATCCACGCTCGTCCGCTCTGTAGCATGTGGCCAATGTTGGATGTGTCGCGCTGAGTGTTTACTTTGTCGTTCGCGACAGCCACAATGGATCCTTCAGTAGGTCCGTAAGCGTTCAGAAGTTGCAATCCACCGCTCCACTTATTGATTGTCTCGGGCGTCAAAGCCTCTGCGCCGGATGCAAAAGTCTTCAAAGTTGGGACTGCTGCAGGACCGTCAATGACGTTGGCAACAGACGGAGTCAGGCAGGTCCAGGTAGCGTTTAACTTGTTGATCGCTGAAGTAATGTCCGTAGTCCGCTCCTCGTCAGACGGAATACAAATCGTCGCGCCGCAGGTAAGGGTAGTCAAGATTTCCATAACGGAGGCATCGAAAACAAATGAAGCGAACTGGAACACTCTCGAGGACTGGTTTAGGTGCAGAGCTTTGCAGATGGCGGCCGAGCTGGAAGCGATAGCTCGGTGTTCAATCACCACGCCCTTTGGCACGCCGGTACTGCCAGAAGTGTAGAGGACATAGCAGACATTGTGGCCCTTCGCACGAGCTGGGAGAGCTGTGTGGTGAGCAGGAACACCGCGAACAGCTGATTCGCTCAGTGGCACAACTTTGTCGACAGCATTGGCGAAACGCGTCTCGTATGCTGGTGAGCACAGAAGTACTGTGGCATTGCAATCCCCGATGATTTGACGGTGTCGCTCAGCCGGGTGTTCTGGTGAGAGCGGGACGTAAGCTCCCCCTGCGAGAAGGACCGCCATGATGGCAACAACAGCCCACTTGGATTTGTCGATGCATAGGGGGACCATCTTCTCCGGTCCGACACCAAGTCTCATGAGTTCCTGGGCGAGTCGAGATGCGAGATCGCTCAATTCAGCGTAGGTGAAGTCGCCGTCAAAAGCGGACACAGCCAGAGCATTCGGCCGCGCTGCAGCCTGCTTCAGGAACAGAGAGTGAATTGTATCGTCGACTACCACCGGCTCATAGGAGTTCCACTCTTTCACGAGCTGCATATCCTCTTTGCTGAACACATTGATGTCGCGGACGTTGTTGACGGAGTTCAGTTGGCCCAGGATTGCATCCAGTTGATACAACATGCGTTGAGCTTGCCACGTCGAAACAACATTTGCATCGTAGTAAGCAGTGATTTCAACATTGGTTGGCTGCGCTTTGCATTCAATGACCAGCGGGTAGGTGAAGTAGTTCTCTTGAATACCACTGTTGTGGAACTTCCACATCGTTTCCGTGGGTTGTTGACCGCCCGTTTGAATAGCGAGCAGATTCTGGAAGTCACAAGCAGCTGTCGTGTCTTGGTCGATGCGCTTGATTTCGGATAGGCCCAGATGCTGGTGGGGAATCCGATCTGTGGCAGTTCTGGCAATGCCCTTCAGCAAATCCAAAACGGTCAAGGTTTGACCGACTTTGACTCTCGTGGGCACAGTAGTCAGCGTTGGTCCGCATATCTCAGTGATACCCGGAACGGCGATATCTCTTCCAGTCAAAGTCTCTCCAAAAACTACATCCTCATTTCCGGTGTAAGCTGCCACAAGGATCGCCCATGCCGCTCGAATGACGGTTGACGGTGTAATGTCAGTGTGTCGAGGAGCCGTAAACTTCGCAGTATGCTGCGAAACCTGGCCATTCGGCGCCGTGTGGGAAGTCGAATGAGGCTGCTGTGGGAACTGGTAAGGAGAAGCACCAGCCAAATGCTCTTTCCAGAAGCTCCTTGAGGCATCCGGGTTTGCATCTTGGATGTACTTTATGAACCTGGTATATGGCACCTTTGGCATATCCGAAAGGCCGGTTTGATATATCTGCTCCACTTTCTGCAGCATGAATGGGATACTCCAGCCATCATACAAAGCGTGGTGAATCGTCCAAACCAGGTACCGCTCGTCTTTCTCTGTACGGACGAGAGTGTATGCTGCCAGTTGGCCACCAACGTAAGAGGGCACTTGTGAGACTTCAGACTCGGCCGCTTCCAGAGTGGATGTTTCACGCCAGGAAATAGGATCTTCCACCAGCACTGCTTGTACAAAGGCACCGGATTGAGTCTGTGCAATGCGCGTCCTGAGAAGGTCGATTTCTTGTACAGCTTTATCCCACGCTGCCTTCAGTTTAGTGATGTCGACGGACTTGGACAATGCGAGGATATGCTGCGCAACGTGTGCTCCAGGCTGCTTGATTGAGAGCGTAACAAAGGCTTCCTGGAGTGGACTTGCCGGGTACGCATCCTGAATCTTGTCTTTTGATACACGACACTGCTCAGCAAGTTCATCCAGGACCTGGGATCTGGACAGCGGATGTCGTAACAACTGGAATGGCTCGATGCTTCTGTCCGTCTTTGCACCGGTATCAGTCGCAATGTTACACTTAGCCGCCAGGTCCGACAACTTCGGCTGCTTGAATATGTCGATAACGGATAGCTCGAGATGCTCTGCTTGTGCCGCCGCTACAAGCCGCATAGCCGCCACAGAGTCACCACCCAGCCGGATGAAGCTGTCGTCCAGACCGACAGATGAAGCTGGAAGGTTCAACACCGAGCACACCAGCTTCTGCATTTTCTTTTCGGCGTCTGTCATAGGTTTCCGCTTGTTTGCTGCACTTGACAGTCGGTACGGCGCCATGGCTTCTTTGGTCAAATTCTGGACAAGATTCTTCAGGCGATTGCGATCGAGCTTGCTCGCTGTTGTCCAAGGCATCTTTGCAATGGGGATGAATATCGATGGGATCATGTACGAAGGCAGCACGCCTGCCAAGGCATTCTCCACTGTCTTGCACATCTGCTGTAGCCGCTCGTCCATGGGCAGTAGCAGTTCATCTGAAGCAGAAAGCGGCTGGGCGGTGTTTCCTAATTGATTCTCTTCCGATTCATCCATGGAGAAGAATACAGCAAGAGCTTTGGCGGAGCTACGACTCGCTGGCGCTACGAGTTCCACAGCCGATTGGACGCCCTCGGGGAACTTGCTCTTGACGTGGTACTCAATCTCACCAAGCTCAATACGCTGGCCATTGAGCTTGATCTGGGTATCCTTGCGGCCAATGTAACTTATGGATCCGTTCGAATTGTAGCGCACAAGATCTCCGGACTTGTAGAAGCGGGCCGTCCGGAACGAAGGGTTAACTGCAGCCAACTCTTTGGTCCACGCGGGATTCTCGATAAATACCTTCGCTGTCTTGACCTCATCACCCAGGTAGCCACGAGCGGCTGTAAAGCCTTCGATGAGCAACTCGCCAACACTTCCGATAGGCATCAATTTGTCGTGATTTCGCGGATGCACCACCCATAGCCGACATCCAGAAGGAACACCGATGGTTCCTGGATCGGTATCAACCAGCTCTTTGTCGAGGGTGGATTTGACGCCGGCAACCGCGAAGACGGTCGTCTCTGTGGGTCCGTAGCCGTTAATGAGATTCACATGTGTACCCCATTTCGTGATGACAGGGCCAGGAACCGCTTCACCACCAGCGACAAGGCTCTTCAGCGTGGAGACGCGCTCGGGCTTCATCGTTCCCAACACAGAGGGCGTTAAGAAGGTCCAGGTGGCTTTCAACCTCCGGATCGCCCCTGCGGGGTCATTCATCCTCTCATCCTCGCTGGGAACGCAAACAGTAGCACCGACGGTAAGGGCGGCAAGGATCTCAGCACAGCTTGCGTCGAACGTGTAACTGGCGAACTGGAACGTCCGAGAGGTAGAGTCAATGTGCATAAGACGGGTGAATGCGGAAGCACTCGTGCAGAAGGACTGGTGAGGAATTATTGTTCCTTTTGGCGTTCCCGTAGTTCCAGAAGTAAACAGACAATATGCAGCATTGTCTGGCGTGACATCGGACTTCGGCTTCAATCCTTTGGCGGCGGCAATTCTGCTCACGGACTGCTTGCCAATGACCACTGCGGTCGCTGCGACCTCGGTTGCCCTTGGATGATAGTTCTTTGAGCAGAGAACGACTTTTGCACCTACGTCGCGAATCAGCTGGCGAAGGCGAGCAGATGGGTGCTTAGGGTCAAGTGGGACGTATGCCCCTCCAGCCTTCATGATTGCGATCATCGCAACAATAGCCCAAGAAGACTTCTCGAAGAGGATCGGAACGAAAGTCTCAGTCGATATTCCAAGAGTGTTAAGGTATACCGCCAGACGCGTTGTGAGTTCATCGAACTCTTGATAGGTGAAGCTCCCATCCCAGCCTTCGACGGCCTTGGCCGAGCGAGGCCTGATAAGCGCCTGCTCTGAAATAAGATCATGCACGCAGCGGCGCACTGGCGGTGGAAGTTCCCGATTCCACTCCATGATCTGCTGGATGGTCCCATCAGTGACGAAATCCAGCTCTCCAATCGTGACGTCCTTGTCCGCATTATCGACGATGCAATTCAGGATCTGTTCGAAGGCGTGCACCATATTCTCCGCTTGCGTGGGGCAAATCTTGTCTTTCCAGAAGCCAAAGTCGACAGTGGTTCCCTCTTCAGACACATCGGCGTTCACCGTAATGTGATACTCTCCAGGATCAGCAGCCTCAACGTTCTCGTACACCAGCGCAGTCTTCTCAGGGTCGCGGGAAAGGTGTCTCCTCTGGAAAGTGAAGACCGTATTGAATAGCGAGGGGAGCTGGAGCTCGTGTTGCACATCCGCCAACGAGCAGCTCTGGTGTGCCATTGCATTGACGGAGTCAGTCTGCAGCGTCTCGAGTAGCCGGTCTATACATGTCTCATCCGTAAATTGCAAGCGACAGATGAGCATGTTGACGAAGCAGCCTGCCGCCTCCTCGATGTTGCGAACGGGGACATCTCGACCGGATGCGACGACGCCGAAGGAGACATCGGAAGCTCCAACGTAACAGTGGAGAAGTAGTGCCCAGCCTAACTGCAAAACGTTCGACAAAGTGACGCCCTTCTTCTTGCAGAAGTGCTGAATCTCGGCAGCTTTGGAAAGATGGATTTCATATGAGCCAAGCTCATGAGGTCCAGGCTTGCCATCGTGCAGATTCGGGAAAAAGCAAGGCTCCACTCCGGATAGGTAAGCCTTCCAGTAGTTGACATCGGCATCCCGTGAACTGGAAAGGATATGAGCAATGAAGTCGCTGTACAGCGGCCCAGGCTCTGCCCTTGACAGCTTGCCCTCATATGCCCTTGCCAAGTCCCGGAGGATGTTGGGAATGGAACTGCCGTCGCAAATGGCATGGCTCATCTCAAGCCTAACCCATACGGCGCCGGATTTGGTCTTACAGATAGTGAGACGATGTGGCGGATTGAATTCGCGGTAATCCACTGGCGGTTGATTCCGTAGCAATTCGACCGCATCTTCGTCTTCGCAGTCGGCAATCCATGCAATACGTCCAGGCTTGTCCTTGAAGACGACCTGGTCCATAAGCCCAGTCTTTGAAAGGCTCTCGATGAACACAGTTCGCAAAGCTGGATGACGATGAACAACGATCTGCCAAGCCTCGGCGAGCTTTCTCGGGTTGACGGTCCGGGACGGGTCCGTCGACCGGACTTCAAAGATGCAGTGGTAGGCATAGAATTCCGGATGCTTCAACTGAGACAGTAGAAGACCCTGTTGCATCGGAGAAGCAGGGTAAATATCTTCAATGTCCGCAACCGTCGTTCCGGCAGGCAAAACAGCAGAAAGCCTCGACATGCCATTGTAAGCAAGGGGCAAGAGTTTGAAGTCACTCAAGCTCGGCTCGGGCCGTACTTGCAGAAGCTTCTCCACAGCATCGACGAGTGTCTGCTTGCATTCATGGATCCAGCGCTTGATTTCGGCTTGTCGTTGCATATGGCGATTCCAGCCAAAGGACATCTTGATGGTTCCCTGGGCGACGAGTGCTGTGACTTCGAACAGGGAGAAGCGAGGTACTTCAGGGCCAATATCGGATGATGTGACACCGTCCAATTTCTGTAACAAGGCGTCTTTCCGTTCGAGATTCTGCATTCTTCCAAGGTAATTGAATGCCACCTCCGCTGGCCAGTGACCAGGGAACCGCTCTTGGCCTTCCTCGGTCAGGAGTCTATATGCGAAATATGGACGTCCCTTGTCAGGAATCCTTTCGCGGAGATCCTTGACCCATCGAATAGTACTGACAATGTCGGTAGGCTCCTCAGGTGGTACAGGCAAATGAATTGGAGTCATGGTAGTGAACCACCCCACGGTTCGGGAAAGGTCCTGCTTCGCATTCCACGGTTCACGGCCGTGCCCTTCGTTGTGAATCGTGATGGTAGACCTATCGGTGAACACCTTGCGGAAAGACTCCAAGAGAGCAGCAATGAAGACATCCAAAGGCTCCGTGGCTAGCGCATCGTGAGCACCCAAGAGCAGCATAGAGTCTTTGGGACTGAGCTCTATGTCTTCAATGATCACATCTCCGTTGATGTTGGCCTTGGCATCCATGCCCCAGTATTCGAAGTTGGCTGGTGGAATTCCCGCAACCGGAAGCACTCTTCCTGCAGTATCCTGCTTAGCCTTCTCCACCTGCTGTTCTTGCCAAACGTGGAACGGAAGGCTCTGAGGCGGCGGCTTGGTACCATTCAGAAGGTTCTGCAGATCCTCCAGGATAATGCCCCAAGAAACAACATCAACAACAAGGTGATGAGCGACAAGGGCGATGGCTTGTGTAAACGAGTCCTCCAGGTCGAACAGGTCCACTGAAAAAGTAGGTCCAGAAGTGATGTCCAGTGTCGCTTGGCTCTCGTCGACAATGGGCCGCAGGGTCGCTTCATTGCCGTTGCTCACGCGATGGTATCGCAACCTAAAGGATGCTTTGACTTCCTTTTCGATCCTTTGCCGCCACCTCCTAGATACATCTCGAGAGTATCGTGCTCTAAGCATTGGGTGTGTCGTCACTAGCGAGCTGACGGCAGCTTCGACCTCCTCTGGCTCAAAGGATCGGGCAAGGCGCAAGATAACGCTTTGGTTGAAGTGGTTATACGTGTCTCCAACAGTTTCAAAGAAGATGCGCTGGATCGGAGTGAGATCGAACGGAAGATCGTACTCGTTGGCTTTAGATGCAGATGCATCATCTTCGGTAACGGAGGCCTTGGATGCCAAAGCTGCAATCGATTTCGACCTAATAATGTCCTGGACGGTAATCGCAAGTCCCTGTGCGCGACATTGCGATGAGACCTGCATAGCAGCGATAGAGTCGCCACCAAGGTGCAAGAACGATTGGTTGAGTCTCACATCTTCGACCGGAAGATTGAGAACTGTAGCGAAGATTGCCTGGAGTTTGCTCTCCACGTCGTTGACGGCATCTTTTGGTGCGTCTAAGCCCAGAGTTGATATAATCCGGTAAGTATCGTTATCCATCTTCTCGAGCCACTGAACAACGCGGCGCCGGTCCATCTTTCCGGATGGCATGAGAGGGAATGCAGCCACTGCCACCCACAGAGACGGTATCATGTAAGCAGGAAGGCGCTCACAGATGCGGTCGCGGATTGCTGAGATGCTGAAGGAAGCTGTCTCTGCGGGAAGGAGCTGTAATTCTTGACCTGTGAGGGTTTCATATTAGCGCCGGTCAACGAAATAATCTGTGAAACATACCGGCTGGTCCAGAAACAGCGACATTCTGTAAGGAGACAACTCCAACAAGACGCTTCGCGCAAGGTCCAGCGGTGGGAACGGCGGCAAGGGCATTCTGAACCGCAGCATCGTCGATGAGATGATGTTCCACTTCTGACAACTCCAGCCGTTGACCGCGGACTTTGGTCTGCGAATCTTTGCGACCGAGATACTACGCAATCTCGTTAGTATTTCTCAACGGAGACACAAAATTACTTACCATCATAGTGCCATCCTCATTGTACTTGACCAAGTCTCCCGTCTTATAGAACCTCCTCTTAACTCCTTCATCGACTGAGCTCGTACCAAGTGTCCAGTTAACATTATCAATAAACGCCTGCGCAGTCTTCTCAGGATCGTTCAAATAGCCACACCCAACTCCCCCACCTTCAAGCAGCAGCTCGCCAACTGCACCCAGCGGCTGTAGAACATGATGGTTATCTTTCGCCACGATCCAGCCTCTTGCTGTCACTGCCTTTCCAAGGTTATACGGCTTAGTCGTTGGAGTCATAATGTTGACAGTCGCAATGGCGCTGCACTCAGTCGGTCCATACCCATTGCCGAGCATAACACGGTCAGCCCAGGTGAGAAGGTCTTGTTGAGACATCGCCTCGCCAACAAGCACCAGAGTTTTCAACTCGGGAACTTGAGATGGCTGCATCGTTCGCACCACAGAAGGTGTAAGTGTAGCCCAGTTGACATTGAACTTGTTGATAACGCCTGGAAGATCGTTCGTCCTGGATGCTTGGTCCGGTACACAAACAGTCCCACCGAGCATAAGTGTGCTCAAAATCTCCATGAGACAGGCATCGAAGGTATATGAGGCAAACTGCAAGACGCGCGAGGTCTCCGAGATTCCCATCGCAGGCGCAAAAGCCGAAGAACTTGACACCCATGCAGAGTGGTTGATGACAGCTCCCTTGGGCTTGCCCGTGGATCCAGAGGTGAAGATAACGTAGGCAGGACTGTCGCTTTGAACGTAGGGCAGGGTGTACAGGCGTCCCGGTTGACGCTCAGTGGCTTCTTTATCTACTGCCAGGGTCTCGCAGGGAATAGATTGGCAGAGCCGTTCGTACTTCGGTGCACAGAGAATCAGCTTTGCGTTGACGTCCCCAACAATCTCGCGGAGTCTGAGAAGGGGAGATTCGAAGTCTAGCGGCACAAATGCAGCTCCCGCCTTCAGGATTGCAAGCATGGCGACGATAGTCCAACCTGACTTGTCGAAGCAAATAGGTACGAAGGTGTGCGGTTGCACACCAACAGAAACCAGTTTGGACGCAAGACGGGTGGCTCGCTCATCTAGCTCCTGGTAGCTCATAGAGCCCGTATCCCAAGCATCGATGGCAATCGCCGAAGGTCGCAGAATGCATTGATCCTGGTAGATCACGTTGTGAATGCACTTGTTGATAGTGTTGACGGGGCGACTATTCCAAGCAGAGATGACGGCTTCATCGTCCGAGTTCAGCAATTCAAGCTCAATAAGGGATGTCTGACGCGCCTCTTGAGCATTCAGGCGCTTGAGCAGGAAGTCGAATTGTTTCAAGAGACGTTGCACAAGCCAGCCTTGAATAACTTGGGCGTCGTAATGCGCTTCAATATGCACACTGCCTTGCGAGACAGTGCAGTTGAATATGAGCGCATAATTGAAGAAGTTGGTTCCAATGGTTCCAGTACTTTGGAGATCCCAAAGTCCGCCTTCTGGATCCTTCATGCTATCCCCTGCAACAATAGCCAGCAAGCTCTGGAACTCGCACGCAGCAGCTGTGTCAGAGCTTAACTTGCGAATGTGCTGAAGTCCGGCGAACTGGAAAGGCAAAGCAGCTGAAGCTTGTCGCTGCACTCCTTGGAGGTATTCTTCAACAGTGGACTGGCGATTCACTTGCAGCCGGACGGGGGAAGTGGCAATTGTGGGCCCAACAATATCCTCGATGCCCGGCACTGGCACCTCGCGGCCGCTGTTCGTCTCCCCCCAGAGGACGTCGTCGGAACCGGAGTAAGCAGCGAGAAGCAGCCCCCATGCCGCGCGAATCATGGAAGGCATCGTAATGTCCATTCCTGCCTTTCTCGAAACGGAGATGGTATGCTCGATTTGTCTGGAGGCTTGAACATTGTAGTCCGGACTGGGGAGTTGAGGGAATTGGGGCGCCGCGATATTCTCGAGTGTTTGAAGCCAGAAGTCGTCCGATTGCTTCTTGTCGATAGTGGACAGATATTTGATGAATCGTGAGTAGGGGACGGATGTGATAACCTGTTGGCGCGGCTGGCGATAGCAGTTCTCCACTTTAGACAGTAGGGCCGGCAGACTCCACCCGTCGTATACAGCATGATGAGCCGTCCACACGAAGAACGGAGATGTCGTACCCTCACCCACAATAGCATATGACGCTAGAGGAGCTCCGTTCTTAGCGGGCAAATGTCGATGCGTCTCGTTGATGTCCTGCAAACTCGAAATGGACTGCCATTCCACTCCATCATGTACCACAACCTGCAGGAATCCGCAGTCTTCTGTGTAGATTATGCGTGTTCGAAGAATAGACTCAGAGGCAATGACTTCATTCCAGGCCTGCCTAAAGCGATCGACATCGACATCTTGGGGCAAGCGATAGATCGTCTCAGCGACGTACGATCCAGGTTCTTTGCTGGAAAGCGCGATGAGGCCCTCTTGAAGCTGGCTGCAAGGGTACACATCCTCGATAGAGTCAGGGAAAACGCCACACTCGGAAGCAGCGAATTCAATCAATCTCCGTCTCATGTCTTCAGGGAGAAGCTCAAAAGGCGCCATGTCGGGCGTCGGCTCCTCTTGAATATCCTGAGATGACAGCACGGTAGCGGAGGCTGCCATGTCCGCAAGTTTAGGGTGAGCGAAGATGTTTGAAACAGTAAGGACGATGCCTTCCTTTCGGCTGGCTGTCACAAGTCGCATCGCACCGATAGAGTCACCACCAAGTCGGAAGAAGGAATCGTCGGCTCCGACAGAGTCCGCACCCAGTTTCAGAATTGAGGACCACAGGCGAGCCAACGTGATTTCAGCAAAGCCAGAGGGCGCTCGGCCGCTCTTGCCAGCAAGACGATAGGTATGAAGCTGGTCCTCTGGGATTGTCTGAGCCAGCTGACGAAGTACTTTGCGGTCCAGCTTTCCGGAAGTTGTCATAGGCATGCTGGTGACCGGTAGGAACATTGAAGGTACGTAGTAGGCTGGCAGTGCATTGGCCAGCGCTTGCTCCATCTCTTTTCCAATGGCACGGATCTCGTCTGTCATCTGCCCTATGGCGGATGAGGAATCGTTGACCGAGCCTGCAGGTTCCCCTTCGAGGCAGAGGAAGGCGACCAACGCTTTTGTTCCCTTCTCGTCTGAGAACTTGACAAGCTCAACGGCAGACTGGGCTTCGGGAGGCAGATTCAGCTTCAAGTGGTGCTCAATCTCACCAAGCTCAATACGTTGACCGTTGAGCTTCACCTGGCTGTCCTTCCTTCCAAGGTACATCATCTCTCCAGATGACGTATAGTGCACGAGATCTCCCGTGCAGTAGAACCTCCGCCCCGTTGCGCCACCTGCCGAAGCCCATTCAGGATCCGTTATGAACGCCAGAGCCGTCTTCTCAGGATCATTCAGATATCCTCTGCTCAAGATCGGCCCTTCAATGAGAAGCTCTCCCTTACAGCCAATCGGCACAAGGCGATTTCGGTTCTCTGGGTCGACTATCCATGACACACTTCCAATAGCGTGTCCGATGTTAGTAGGCTCGCCGCCATTTTTGAAGTCCTTCCAAGCAGAGTTGATGCTTGCTTCGCTGGGGCCATACTGCCCATGCAAATGAACATGTTTGCTCCACTGATCTACTACCGCCTTCGTAAGGGCCTCGCCACCAAGAGCCATTCCTTTGATGGTAGGGACGTCTGCAGGATTCAACAAAGCCGCGACTGTAGGAGTGAGATCCATGAAATTGGCGTTTAGCTCGGCGATCGCTCCCGGGAGGTCGTTCATGCGCTGTTCCTCAGACGGCACGCAGACGCACCCGCCTCGTTGAAGGGTGGTGAACATCTCTTCAAGAGAGTTGTCGAACGTGTAGCTTGCAAATTGGAGAAAGCGCGATCCCGGGCCAATACCGAGATTTGAACCATGGGCGTTCGCACTTGTGACCATAGCTGCATGCTCAAGAATGACGCCCTTTGGCCGCCCTGTACTGCCGCTGGTGAAAATGACGAATGCTGGGTTATTCGGTTGGACCGTCGTGCATGCTGGTCCTTCTTCTTCGTCTCTGCATTCCAAGTCTTCGAGGAGGACGGAGTCGACGATAACAACGTCCGGAACGACATCCTCAAACAGGTCTGACCGCGCTGCAGATGTGAGCACCACTTGCGCCTGGGTGTCTTCGACTCGCAATTCCAGTGCGTGCTTGGGATGCTTCGCGTCGAGTGGTACAGCAGCTCCACCAGCCTTGAGCACAGAAAGCATTGCAACAACTGCATAGGAGCTCTTGTCAAAGCATGTTGGTACAAATACTTCGGGTCCAACGCCGAGTTCAACGAGGTGACGTGCTAGACGAGTGGTAACAGCATCCAGCTCTGCATATGTGTAGTCGCCATCAAAGCCTCGAACAGCAGGGGCATCCGGCTGCGTCTTAACCCACGAGGCAAATCTGTCATGGACACGCTCGTAGAGGGTCTCGGGCATGATGTTCCAACCCAGAATTTGTTGCCATTGCTTGCCGCTCAGGTGGTCCAAGGCCGACAGTTTCTGCTCCGCGTGGAATATAATGTTTTCCAAGGCTCTCACGAGAGAACTTGCGACATTAGCAGCCTGCCCATCCGACAGATGATCGGTCCAGTAGTCCAGGTCAATCATAGCAGCTTCATCGGAAACTTCGATGTTCAGAGAAACTGGATACTCGGTAGGATCATATATCGGTTGGACTTCAACAAAGCGAAGACTCGCGTCGTCAGTTGGGCCCACTGGAGGAAGTCTCCGGTAGGAGAGTGCAGTGTTGAACAAAGAATCTCCGCCTAGGCCCAGTGCGTGCTGTACTTCAGCCAGTGAAGTATGGCGATGTGGTAAACTGTTCATATAGTCTTGCTGGACCGCCCTGACGATGTCCAGCAGGCACGAAGAACTGTCAGTAAACTGGACTCTGCAGACAAGCGTGTTGATCAGCGGGCCAACCATGTCCTGGGCTCCATCGAGCTCGTCGGCGTCCCGAGCAGACGTGAGATAGCCAAATGTGACATCCTGGGTGCCGATGTAAAGACCAATAGTGAGAGCCCATGCTGTATGGAACACGTTGGCGAGCGTAATTCCATTCGCTGCACAAAAGGCTTGAAGGTCCAACACGCTCAAGTTGCCAAGATCAAGGCGAATAGAGCGAAGTTCCTTCTCCTTGACGACAATTCCGTCATTGAGAATGGGGAATGAGCACAACTCGCTACCGCTAAGGTATGACTTCCAGAAGTCAAGGCTGGCGGCATGGTTGTGATTGTGCAGGTACGAGATATAGGTGCTGTATGAGGGGCCGTCCGGGCTAAGCGACCCGGCATAGGCAAGTTTGAGGTCGCGGAAGAGCAGGCTCATGGAATGGCCATCCATAATGCCATGGCTAATCTCGATGCAGAAGAATACGCGGGCGTCTTTCGTGGTACATATGCTGAATCGGTGAGGCGGGCTTCGGCCATGATCGTAATCGACTGATCGCTGGGCATTAAACATCCGAATTGCATCCTGCTCGTCTTCACTGGAGAAGTGGACAATGTTGGCGTCTATCTGCTTCAAGACCACTTGGTCATAGAGACCTTCACCAGCTCCGATGTTTTCCATGAAGATCGTTCGGAGAGCAGGGTGCCGCTTTACGACTTGTCTCCATGCATCGGCCAGCTTTTGCCACTCTGGCTGGCCATGCGGCAGTTTGACTTCGTGCACTGTGACGGCAGCATAGAAGCCCGCATCTTTCGTTTGGGAGAGCAGAAGTCCCTCTTGCATATTCGAGCATGGATATGCATCCTCAATGTTCGTAGCAGGGATCCCAATCTTCGCGAGCCGGTCGACCATAAAATGAAACCGCTCTTCTGTCAGGGACAGAAGCCGGAAGTCACTCAGGGTCGGCGTTGGCGCCAGATTGAGGAGAGACTGTACGATATCTGTACAAGTTTGCTGACATTCAGTGATCCAGCGCTTGATGCTATCCTGGTGAAGCATGTGCCTGTTGTATGTAAAGGCAAATTTAAGTTGTCCTTTGAAAACGATTGCGGAGATCTCAAAGAGGCCGAAGCGAGGAGCATCGTAGCCGACGTCAGCAGTGCCACCAGCTTCTCTTGTTTCGCCGGCCATGCTCTCTAGAGGCTTGAGAAGTGCGTCAGCCCGCTCGAGTTGCTGGTATTGACCAAGATAATTGAAGGAAATCTCCATGGGCCAGTGTGTCTTGAACCGTTCGCGTCCCTCGGGTGTCAAGCACCTGGCAGCAAAATATGGCCGACCGTTGGCTGGGATTTGTCTTCGGAAGTCTTTGACGCGACGGACAGTATCAGTCAACTCGGTCCCCGGTTGGACATAAACAGGATATACCGTCGTAAACCAACCGACAGTCCGCGATATGTCAATTTTGGAATCCCAGGGTTCTCGGCCATGTCCCTCATTGAAAATGGCCGGGACTGGCCGGTCGGTAAACACGCGGTTCCAAGAATGTATCAGTGAAGCAAGAAGAACTTCGACAGGTTCGGTCTTCAAAGCCATATGGCAATCGGTTAAGAACTTGGAAGTCAAAGACGCGTCCAGCTCAAAGCTTCCTTGACCAGCATTTCCGTAAGTATTATCCTTGTGCTGAATGCCCCAGTAGGAAAAGTCCAGAGGAGGTACACTTGCAGGTGGAAGGACGCTATCCAGTCTAAGCGTTTGCGCATGTTCCTGTTGTAGCTTAGCCCACTTCTGGAATGGAAGTGCTGGAGGAAGTAGTGTTCCACCTCGGAGAATCTCTTCCAATTCTTCCAAGAGCAACCGCCATGTCACCAAGTCGATGACCAAGTGGTGGCCGACGAGGAATACGTGCTGTTCGCCGTTAAACTCGAACATATCCGCGGCAAATAATGGACCATACGAATGGTTCAAACACTTCTGTGAATCCTCGATGTGAGCATCCACTTCTTGTTTCGAGGACACAATATGATGACGGAAACGGTAAGAGTGGGCAACATCGTTCGTAATCCGCTGTTTCCATACGTTTTCCTCTGTCAAGTGGAAGCGGGCGCGTAGCATGGAATGGCGAGAGACCAGTGTATCTACAGCGCGCTGGAATTCCCCCGGGGTAGTCTTCTTCAGCACGCGAAGGTAGAAAGACTGGTTGAAGTGTCCGTGACCTTGGTTGGGAAGTTGAAACCATAGCGACTGGATAGGCGTCAGGTCGAAAGGCTTGTCAATCTCCTCTACGACGTCTATTGCTGAATTCTCGATCTCCTTGACAGCAGTCGCTAGATGAGGAATAGACTTGCTCCGCAGAATGTCCTGCACGCCAAGGCCTAGACCTCGCTTTCGGCATTGGCCCATGACTTGCATGGCGGAGATACTGTCACCGCCAAGAGAAAGGAACGACCGGTCGAAGGAAACCTTCTCTTCAGGAAGGTTCAGCACATGAGCCCAAATCGCCCTGAGCGAACTCTCCAGGCTAGTAGCAGGCTGCTCGTCCGTGGTCTTCGTCTCCGTCTCGGGAATAGCACGTTGGTAGGTATCCTCATCCATGTTTATCAACCACTGTGAGACCTGTTTTCTGTCCAATTTGCCAGAAGTGAGTTTTGGAAGTGCAGCGACGGCAATCCAGACTGTAGGGACCATGTACAAAGGCAGTCGCTCAGAGATTGAGTTTCGTACATCCTCTATTTCGCGATATGTTGCAATTTTTTCTTCGCCGTCTAGCAGTGCAAGTGGTGTTTCGTTAATCGTCATCTTGGTGACAGAAACCACTGCGACGAGCCTTTCTTTGCAGAAGCCTTCCTTGGGTAGTGCAACGAGCGTGTGTTTAACAGAAGGGTGAAGATTAATGTGATGTTCTATCTCGAGCAGCTCGATGCGTTGGCCGTGATATTTCTAATCCCTAGGTTAGACCTCTCCTTGCAACAACAACGGGGTACTTACAACTTGGCTGTCCTTTCGTCCAATTATATTGAAACTCCCGTCTGGATTCTGACACACGAGATCACCTGTCAAATAACCGCGAAAGTCCCGATCAGTAGCCCAGTCGACGCTATGAATAAAGGCCTGGGCGGTTTTCTGCTCGTCATTCAGATAACCTCGACCAACAATGTGGCCTTCAACTAGCAATTCGCCAACGCATCCCACTGGGACGCGCTCGTTGTAGTTATCAGGATTCACAACCCATGCATGGCAACTGACGGGATATCCGATGTTCTTGGGGTCAGATGTAGGCGACAAAGGAGGGCTTATAACGGAGGCCACTGCGCATTCGCTAGGACCATACCTAGGATATATGTCAGGACTGCATTGCCGTGTTCGAGAGAGCAACGAACCCGTTGATCAGATTGATTTTCGACCAGGTGTCCAGATTTGCCTGAGTCATAGGCTCGCCCATAAGGATTATAGTCGCCATCGTCGGAACCATGGAAGGCTCCAAGAACCTAGGAATAAGTGAGCTCCTATTCAAGTGCCAATCGCAGCGTCTCAGTATAGGTCGAGCAAGCTTACCGGACGAATGTAGGTGTCAATTGAGCCCATGTCACTCTCATCTCATTAATGACTTTTGCAGCGTCATTCAACCGCGTATGTTCGTCAGGGATACACACTGTTCCTCCAATCATAAGAGGCGTGAGAATCTCGATAATAGAGGCATCGAAGGAGTGTGCTGCAAACTGAAGAACCCGAATGGGCTTGACGGCATCCAGAAGGAGGCGGCGGACATGACCGGTTGCATTAGTGCAGAAATTTCCATGCTGGATTAGAGTGAGTTTCGGTTGTCCCGTTGTCCCTGAGGTAGGGATGATATAGGCGGCGTTATGGCTCTCGGCCTTGGACGCTGGACGCTCTTCGGGGATGGGGAGAGACTCTATTGTCTCGAGATCCACAGGGACGACTTTAGCAGCAGTGCCTTGAAGCAGCTCTACGTGTGGACGGGAGCAAAGTACTATCTTGGCATTTGTGGAGCTGACCAGGTGCTGTACACGCTCCCGCGGATATGCAGGGTCCAAAGGGATGACTACTCAGATCAGCCAGAACCATACATGCAGAAAGAGCATAAAGAAGAAGATGATCACGGATTCGGTTTACGAAAACGGATGCGGGGTGACGGTATGCATGAGGGACAGGGTTAGGCAAGGCGGACCCCCCCTGGCAGTAGAAGAATATCCACTTACATGCGCCGCCAGCATACAGCGTTGCGAGCACTGCGACCATGTTCCACTTTGACTTGTCGAAACAGAGGGGCACAATGATTTCAGGGCCAATCCCGTTGCTGATGAGATGCGATGCGAGAATGCAGGCGTAGTGGTCAAGCTCTTGGTAGGTGAAATTACCATCCCAGGAGCACACTGCCTCCGCCTCTGGCAGCCTTTTGACATTTTCATAGATAATGTCATGGACCGTTTTCTGAACGTTCGGGAGTGGATCTGAATTCCACTTCTCAATCTGGCGTCGGTTCCGGTCGCTCAGGTAGCTGACGTGGCCCACAGAGAGGTCAGGTTTTGTGAGGATGTCCGAGAGGACCTTGTCTACGGTGCTCGCAACATTCTTGGCCTGCTCGGTGGGAATGAATGAGTTTCGGTACTCCAGAAAGACTCTCAAGCCTGTTTTCAGAACTTTCACCAAAAGTCGGACTTGGCACTATGGCTTGTCAGTGGGCTCTAGTGACGGTCTGGCCGGATCTGTTACCTTCTCCGACATGGCTGACCCAACGGTTTGTGTCTGCTTAGCACCAGGCTCGGCTGATCCAGCTCGGACAAGAACCGCAGTATTGAAAGTCAAGTCTCTGTTGCGGTTCGCGTCTTGTGACACGCATTCGCCGTGAGCTTGCTGAAGAAGGTCGCGCAAGGCCATTTGCTCATCGAGGCGAACAACCACTGTGTGGTTCCCAGAGACTGGAGCTGCAGCATCCGCGCCAGTAATAGGACCAGTTCCAACCTGGTCGAAACCAAAGCAGACCTCATTGAGGCCTGTATAGCACCGGAGGGATAGCGCCCAGGCGGTGCAGATGAGAGCTGACAAGGAATGGACTCCTGAATCGCCATTGAGAAGATTTTGGAGTAGTCCCTGATGTTGGAGTTCGAGCCTGACAGACAAAGGCCGTTTGGGGTCACCCGTTTGCCGGCTAGTGGGAGGAAAGTTGCAGGCGAAGGATTGCGGAGCCATTGCAGTGCCGGGCGAGATCTGTATGTTAGAGGAGAAATGATGTGGACGACTTACAAGAGAAGAACAATTCAACTCGGAGCTCTGGGATGCTCAAGATGGTTCCGTTTACCAAAGCTGCGGATGCTGCAGAACAGGTGCTTCTTCGCTGAAGCAGAGCAAGAGTGGAAGGGTATCACACAAGGAATTCCACCGGCTCAGTCTGCTGTGACGATTGCAGGAATGTTCAGGGCTCACGATGGGAAGCTGTGAAGTAGGGACAAAAGAACAGAAAAAAAGGAAGTCAAAGGCCTCGGGACGATTCCTGGCGCAGTTCTAGAGCTCGATGCAAGGGCTGCAGCGTACCTGTCGTACGGCTTTGAGACTGGAGCTTGGGCAGACTGTATATGGGAATGATGGGCGATGGGATGCAGGTCGATTATGTTTGGTTGCAAAGTCTGGTGCGGATGCCAGGCATGGGCCAGGGAACGGTCTCCTTGGTTGTTAGATCACCGCAGCCGAATTCCTAAGGCTTGATCATGCCTCAGCTTGAAGTTTTCGAGATGATATTCCCCGAGCAATACGGTGGATGATGTCACAAGCCAGCCAGTGTTTCCCATCTCGAGGGTGGCTTGCGGTCACAATCTGAACAGGGACCATGTCTCCATTTCCCGTGGCTTTGCCTCTCGGGCCGGGGAAGAAGCAGCATTGGGATCGGCAACTGGTATATTGACTTCTGTATACACTGGACAGCAAAGCCGCGGCGTCGAAGGTGAGGCTGTAGGGAAGGGAAAGGCAGGCGGGGCGCACGGTGATGGCATCGTGCTTTGGCATCCCATGTCCATGTAGGGAGCACCGTGCGCTCGTATGTGCCTGAAAAGGCATGGCGATCGGGATGAGTTGGCTTGCACGCGCAAGGTTGGGAAAAAGGACAAGCAACAACAGAACGGCGGCGAAACAGGAGGTGGAGCGTGCATACGTGGTGTGTCAGGCATCAAATCGAGGGGTCTTCCGGCGCGATGGTTCCAAGCGGGAGGTTGAGGTTGAGTAGGTCACGTGATTGGTCCCAGATCTGAAATACGCTAATCCCGAAGCAGATGGACTAGCCGAGCTCTATGCGGACGTCTGTCCTCCGTCTGATGCCTCTCCACCCTCTCCACCCTCTCCACCCCATCACTCCAAGTGCCTCCCAGCGGCCAGCTCAACAGCAGCCAACCCTCCAAACCCCCCCAGTCCCCTCCACCCGGTCCGTCCACCGTACAGTACACAGTAAAGAGCGTACCATACACAGTAGTACGAATGCGACCCGCTCTCTCTCGGAATGGAACGCTCGATTCCGCGGCCTCTTGTGCGTCCTCCTTTCGTTCCTCATCTGTGCTCGACACGTACATAGCTGGAAATCTCATCACGCCAGCGGCTCACTCTGCACAAGCTTCCGACAACGGTCGGCGTTTCACCGCTAGAAGACATGGTTACACAACGTGTGCCCCGCCAGGCCACCAGAATACTGTGGTACACACGCCTTTTGATGCTGGAGCCGGCTTCTGTTGTGCCACCTGTCAACCTGTCAATGCCAGCAGCCCTACTGCTTGTACAGGTCCTGCCACCAATGGTTCCCGTGCACATCGCTTGGGCCCCTGGTTGACTCGTTTCCCCAGGATGCTGTCCCACTCTCCCATGTCCTTGGTCATTGAATCCTATTTCCGGTTACTGGCCAGGGTTGCTCCAACTCCCCCGGCCCAGCCGCCACCCATCGAGGATCCCTCTGCAGATCCGGCATCCACCGCTTGTGTTCCCGTAGCGCCCGCTCGACTACCTTGGGTACGTCGAGAAAAATCCTAAGCCGCAGCCAGTCGCCGTGGCAATCCCCCTGGCCTACGGGAATCTGGCATTTCCCTCCCAGCCGCATCCGGGTGAGATCATCGAGCACCGTGCCAGCCCTCTCCATCTCTTCAACGCTCTCCGCCGTCGGCCAGCCATCACCGCCTCTCCTCTTCAGCCTGAACAATGCTGCTGCGAATACGATCTCGCAATGCCGTTGAAACACATCTCCGTTTGCCTTCTGTGGCTGTTCGAGGGTACCCGTTGCGAGCGTCTGCAACCTGGTTTTCCGGGTTTGGACACTCCGAGCACGTCGAGGATCCGGCTCTGAGGGCATCTTTTTATCCAGACGATGGCTGCTTCCCACGAGTCATCCTCGTGCACTGGCTCGCTCGGCTTACTGCTGTCGTGAAACTGTCGACGATGCACACTTGCGTCACTCTCCCCCCACCGCACAGCTTTCTGGGAGAATTCCCCTTGCTGCCCTGCGAGCCAGCCATGACTGCAAATTGAAAATGTGTCCCGAATTTCTGCTCTTCCTAAAATGACATGGTGCAGTTTTGTAGGTATACGGCGCATCCAGAGTATCCACTCGAGGTCAAATCTGGTCCTCTCATGGTCCAACCACTGTCCATGTTCCGGCCCACGGTGAGCCAAATCGCTCTTTCCGGCAAAGGCGCATGAAAACCGTTTCGCCAGGTCGCCGTCCATATGCCTCTACCAGTGCCACTCGCCAACCTTCCGGTGAGCTCGTCGGTCTCCTGGAGCCAGTCCAGGAGCGGCTCATCAAACGGCTTTCGCATGTCGATCACAGCCTGCTTCGCTGACCTATGTCTCCGGAACCATTTTGACACCACCGAAGATAATCTAGCGTGTTCCGCGTTTTATTTCCACGCTTGCGTGAAGATGCCGTTCCCGTAACCGGGATTGAATGGTGCCATTCAGCATTGCGAAGGCGCCAGCATACGGACCGATTGGAATTGTTGTCCTACACAGTTCCTGGAAAACTTCCTTCACTGGCGTTGGACGACATCTCGGTGGTGCATCACGCGGGGTCTTTTCCCCTTACCTATACGCAACATGACCTGACATCGCCATCTTCCTGGTCACGCAACAGTCTCTGCGCCTTGCATTACTTTATTGCCACCCTCTCGGTGACTGCTTTTCAGCAGATGGAGATGGCTTCCCGACAGTGCTTGTGATCGGGGGTGTCACCTCCGCAGCCTGGTCCCATGGTTTCAACGTCTGAAGATTGCTGGTCGTACTATGGTTGCAGGCACCTGTTTTGTGGAACCCAACGCAAGATGGCCCAGGACTCTCCGTTCTGGTGACCTGGCTGGCCAAGGATTCACAAAATATGTGCCTGCAACCCCAATGGTCGGTGGTCATTATGGGTCGCCTACGATTCCGGGAAGGATATCCGCTATGAGCAGCCGATGGCTAGTCCATGGTGTTGAGTTATTTCGGGTCATCTGTTGGGAGCCCAGGTCAGAGTCCGTGAGCAACCCGCTGCGAATGTGATACTATTTTACTCGGAGAAGCTGGTCTGTGAGCGCACTAGCGTTGAAGGCCGCGCCGGCCAGATGAAACTTCGCCCGAAGGATGGACCAAAGGGCCAAAGGTTATGACGATCGTTGAAGGTATATGTGCTTTCAAGCAATGCAACCTCAATCCCGACGGGCCGGCTTCGGCATACAAAATCTGCTGATGTTTCAAGAAACTTATGGATGGTTCGCCGGCTGCAGCGTCCGAGCTTCGCGCAGACTGGGAATCATGCGAATGTACGAACCCAAGTAGGATGCGAATCTGCACCTAGATGGCGATTTTGCCTTGGACTCAGTATGCTTCGAGGAAGTCCAGAAGATGTCCCTTTTAGGCAAATATTGGAGAGAACGCCAAGAAGCCAGCGATTATTTAATACCGTACGGTAATCCGCGGAGTACGTAGGTAGTTCAATCCCGACCGTAATCTACACATCGTGTAGATGGTGCTAACATGCCTACGGGCCACAGCCCATCCACCGACTGCCTCAACAGATCGCAAGGATGTCGGGGATGGGGTATTTTGTGCACAGTAACGTGGCTGAATCGGGTAGCTTGTACTTCGTGAAAGTGGGGAGCCAAGGCGCGGTTCGATCCTTTGCTGAGCGGCTCTGGACAACAAATCATTTGTCGATCTTTTCCCCAAGGTTGGCAAAAGTGGATACGAGTTTGCACGCACAATACCGGTATACCCTGCACGATGCACATCTAGAGGCCTTTTGCAATCACGGTAAGTAGTCTAGAGGCCTCATCCATGGAGAACGAGAAGCCTCCGCAAGCCTGCTGCCGGAACATCTTTTTTTTCCCCTTTTCGTATGGGATGTCTCTGCTGCTTCCCGGATATGTCGATCACCAATATCCAGCCACGATCTGCAACGGGAACGCCCAATGGCAATGGAGTCGGGTTTCACACGGGCTCGCTTTCCCATTCCAGAATCACGTCACCGTCCTTTCTTTGTACTGTCTTTTGGCTTCCATCCGGTACCCAGCACGGCGGTGGATGATGGCCCTTTTTGGCCTGGATGGCATGGAGCCTGTCCAAGCTTTTGCGCCAGCCTTCGGACACCAGCCAACGCCGATGAGGTCGGTGGAGAGAGGCTCATCTCAGGCCGCTAGCTGATCAACCCCATAAGACTCCGTATACTCTACTACTACTATACCAGGCGGCCGACTCGGTCCCAGGCGTTGACTCTCAGATCCACAACTACATCTATCTAATGCCCTGATCAGAGCCTCGAGATTGGCATTGGATTTTCTCTCTACCAACCATGCGGTTCGACTCTCGTTCCTCCTCTGGTTCCACCTGTGTTGCCGTCGACAACACCTTTGGTCCTTACGCAGGACCGTGTCGTGGGGGCTTTGACTTTACCTTGCTCTTCGAGGATACTTTTCTTTCAATAGCTCCTCTTGCACTGCTCCTCTGCATCGCCCCTTTCCGTATCCTCTTCCTCTGGAGGAAGAAAACTAAGGTGTCACGGTCGCTGTTGCTGCCTGCCAAACTCGTATGTCTTCCCCCAACGGTTGCTTTATGTTGTTGTTGTGGTTGGCGATTCTCACAATTACACCAGTTAGCATGGACGTTCCTCGCTGCATTCGATCTTGCCCTCCTCGCTCTCTGGTCGAAGCCGTCCACGTACAAATCCAAAGCATCTGTGCCTTCGGCCGTCCTCAGCTTTGTCGGTGCAGTTACTCTGGGCCTGCAATCCTACTTTGAGCACCAGCGGACCGTGCGCACTTCGCTGCTATTGAACGTCTACCTTTGCATCACGGTGTTATTCGACGCGGCGCGGTCGAGGACGTTCTCCATCTCCAACAACCTGGAGGTCATATCCGTGCTCTTCACTACAAGGGTCGGTGTGAAACTGTTTCTGGCAATATTCGAGGCAAGAGGGAAGTCGCATCTCCTCCTGCCAGAGTTTGCGGATGCTCCACCTGAAGCCATTAGCGGGATATACAGTCGAGCACTCTTCTGGTGGCAGAATCAGCTTTTCCGTCATGGTTTCTCAAATACGCTGTCCGTGGATGATCTGTTCCAATTGGACAAACATCTGCGCGCTGATTATCTCCAGCAACGGATCGAGTCCGGCTGGCGCAAAGGTGAGAATTGTAGATATGCTCATGACCCTTTGTATTCACAGTGTAACAGTCACAGCGAAAGGCGCCAATGCTCTACTCTGGGTCACCTTGAGGAGACTTAAGTGGTCCATTCTTGCCGTGATTCCGCCCCGCCTCTGTCTGATAGCATTCAACTTCTGCCAGCCTTTCTTGATTGATAGAGCGATCCGATATTCCGACCAAGCCGAGCTGGATCCAAGTGCGCCCCAAACCGCGAATATTGGATATGGATTGATCGGCGCCTATGTTCTAGTCTACGTGGGCATCGCGGTAGGTTCCTCGCCTAACCTGGTTCTTAATAGCCACTGACCATCTTAAGATCTCCACAGGGCAACATCAACATCTCACCTACCGCTTCATAACAATGATGCGAGGAGGCCTGATTTCCCTGCTCTACAACAAATCGACCGAGATCACCTTGCCGGATGTAGATCCTTCATCAAGTCTTACTTTGATGTCCGCAGACATCGAGAGAATCGTGGTGGGAATGCAGACCTCCCACGAGCTCTGGTCAAACACTCTTGAGGTGGTCTTGGCCATATATCTGCTTGGTCGGCAGTTGGGAGCCGCGTGTGCGGTCCCGATTGGTGTTGCCGTCTGTAAGTCGATCCCTTCCCCGCTCTTCACCCTGGCAGCTCGCCAACTCATCCATCTTAGTTTCTCTTGTTGGATCACTAGGCGCCACGAGCCTGGTCATGAAGCGCCAAGCTCTCTGGCTAGAGGCTATTCAGAGGCGCATAGCCGCCACTGAGGCCATGCTCAGCTCCATGAGAGGTGTGAAGATGAGCGGGCTCACTGATGTCCTTCGCGACGACCTGCACCGACTCCGCATCGACGAATTGGAAATATCAAAGGGATTCAGGAAGCTCCTCATTTGGACTATGGGATTCTGTAAGGAGCATGTGACTCCTACATCGTGATTGGTCCCGCTGACATAGGCATTGTAGCATACATCTCGCCAGTTGCTTCGCCTATCCTGACGTTCGCCGTATTTTCAGTGCTTGCGAAGAACCAGGGAGGCGCAAGTACCCTTGACACAGCCAAGGTGTTCACCTCGCTATCTCTCTTTTCCCTGTTGACCGAGCCCCTGGGATCGCTTATCATGGCACTGGCGAGTTTCATGGGTGCAGTGGGAAGCTTCCAGCGCATCCAAACATTCCTTTCCGCAGACTCGCTGTCAGAGAGACGCAAGCTGCCGTTCGTAAACAGGAGTATCGCATCGGCCTCTGACATCGGCGGCTACGATTCCGATAAGGAATCGAGTGCATCGAAGAAGAGCGGCTTCTCATTAGATATCACAGAGCTGCAAACTGGTGATCAGGCTATTGTCATCGAAAAGGCGTCCTTTGGCTGGGACAAGGAGAAACAGCCGCAAGGATTGCTACAAGATATCACCATGACTGTCCCTCGTGCCAAGATTACCATCGTTGTGTAAGTCGATCCTTCTTCGCCCTCGCCCGGGGGCATCTTTCTATTCTTCGACAACCCTAACCCTGTCGATATTTTAGGGGGCCCGTCGGATGCGGCAAGTCCACCCTGCTCAAAGGTATTCTGGGTGAGCTTCCCGTCATGAATGGGACAGTCCAACTCTCGTCCCTGCGTATTGCACTCTGCGACCAGACTCCCTGGCACATGAACTGCGTAAGTTCTACCACAGTCTCATTGCGAATCGCTGTTGACTCCTTGTTAGACGGTCCAGCAGGCCATTGTAGGCATGTCCGACTTCGAGCAGCGGTGGTACGCGAAGGTGGTGCGCAGCTGCGCCTTGGACGAGGACCTTCGACAACTACCACTCGGGGACCAGACCGTCATAGGCAGTAAGGGAATTGCTCTGAGTGGTGGACAGAGCCAGCGAATCGTGAGAACAGCCCACAGCCCATATTTTCCGGTTACTGCCCGCTAACAATGCGACGTGTAGGCTCTGGCACGGGCAGTATATAGCCAGAAAGACATCATAATACTTGACGACTGTCTCAGTGGCCTCGACTCAACTACGGAAAACAGAATTTGGCACAGTCTCTTCGGGAGGGACGGCTTGCTTCGTGCTTGCAGGTCCACCGTCCTGATCGCGTCGTCCTCAGCCAAACGCCTTCCGTACTGCGATAATATTGTTGTCCTTGGCAGCAATGGCTCGATTGTGGAACAAGGCTCTTATGATAAACTCAACCGCGCCGGCGGTTATGTCTCGAGCTTTGACTTGCCGCCGCCCGACTGGGACTTTGTCCCAGAGAAACACATCTATGAAGCTCCTCCAAAGTACACAGAGCAGGCCACGACTGAGAAAGTCACTGAAGACGACATCATGGCCGAAGCCAATAGGAGGACTGGCGACGCCGCCATCTATCTCTACTATATCCGATCCGTGGGGTGGATCCCCACGCTCATCTTCGTTGTTTCAATAACAATCTTCATCTTCGGGCAACTTTTTCCAAGTAAGTGACGTCTCGGTATCAGGTGTCTTTCGAAGATAGCCGCCTCCAATCGCTACTTCTGTTCCGTATGTATCCTGACGACTGATTCTAGCATGGTGGGTGAAGGAGTGGGCTGCGTTCAACGCAGATCACCCGAACCAAAAGCTTGGCCTATATCTCGGCGTCTATGGCATGTTGGGCGGCGTTGCTCTCTTGTTCTTGGTAGTCAGCTGCTGGTAAGCACACTTTATAGAATGACCCATGGCCTAGACTAATGTCTCAATCAGGCAACTCATTATAACGATGGTTCCCCGCTCAGGGGTAAACTTCCACTGGAAACTACTCACCACCGTCCTAAAGTGAGTGCTCACGTTTTCACGAAAAATCCATACTAATCATTGTAGTGCGCCAATGACCTTCTTCTCCACAACAGATACAGGCGTCACCCTCAATCGCTTCAGTCAGGATCTCCAGATGATCGACATGGAACTTCCTGTGGCAGCGCTCAATACTTTTGCGAGTAAGTGTTGTTTCCCCTATGACGTCGAGACCACATAACTCATGTTTGCTTAGCCTTCGTTCTCTGCATCGGCCAAATGGCTTTGATCGGCGCATCGTCTCCCTATGCAGCCGTCTCTTTCCCCATCGTGGGCTTGAGTCTCTACATGATACAAAAGTTCTACCTGCGTACCTCGCGTCAGCTCAGGTTCCTTGACCTCGAAGCCAAGTCGCCTTTGTATACTCAGTTCAATGAGATGCTGTCCGGCCTGGCTACTATTCGCGCTTTCGGATGGCAGGAGTTCTTGGTCGAGAAAGCTAAGGGCCTTCTTGACCGGAGCCAACGCCCTTTCTACCTACTCTTCGCTGTTCAGCGCTGGTTGACTCTGGTTCTGGATCTTGTAGTAGCGGCTGTCGCGACTCTCCTCATCACGCTGGTGGTGGCGCTGCGAGGCAAGATCGATCCTGGATACGTTGGTGTTGCTCTCCTTAATGTCATTCTCTTCTCCCAGAGCGTCAAACTGCTTATCTCCTTCTGGGCGCAGCTTGAGACGCATATTGGGAGCGTGGCAAGGGTAAAGACTTTCACTACGGACGCAGTCAGCGAAAACCTGGAGGGAGAGGACAAGACTCCACCCCCGAACTGGCCCTGTGATGGAAAAATCGAGTTCAAGAATATTAGCGCTTGCTATCGGTAGGCATTGTCCACTTTGCACAGAGTTCTTAAGCTAACAGAAGTAGTCTCTACGAGCCTGTCATCGACGACTTCTCGCTGTCCATCGCACCAGGGGAGAAGGTCGCCATTGTTGGGCGCACGGGAAGGTAAGCATGATTTCTCCCTCGTTATCTTCTTCCAGCAGCTCACCTTTCTACAGTGGCAAATCATCCCTCGTCCTGACGCTTTTCCGCATGCTGGACCTCTCGTCTGGCACCATCAGCATCGACTCGATACCGCTCCATCGCCTCCCCCGGCAGACAATACGTTCGCGCCTCATCGGCCTCCCACAAGACGCATATCTGCTCCCTGGCTCCGTGCGCCTCAACGCCGATCCCTTGAAACAAAGCAACGACAAGGCGATCATGCAGGCGCTGAAGGACGTGCAGCTCTGGGATATTGTGGTGAACAAGGGCGACGAGAATAAATATGCGCATCCGCTGGACGTGGACGTCGAGGACCTTCACTTCTCGCACGGCCAGAAGCAGTTGTTCTGCATCGCCAGAGCGATATTACGCGCTGATAAGAGCAGCGTTGTCGTTTTGGACGAGGCGACCAGCAGGTATGTGTCCGCAGTTGCGACACCTGGTTCGAATGAACCGGCTAACTTTGGAATATAGTCTCGACAAAGCGTCCGACTCGCATGTCCAGCGCTTGCTCCGCTCACGGTTCGCATCCCACACCATCATCGCCGTGGCGCACAAGCTCGACACGATTCTGGATTTCGACAAGGTCGTCGTCATGCAGCAAGGTAAGCTGGTGGAGTATGGCGAGCCCTACAAGTTGCTTGAGACGGAGGGGAGTCGCTTCAAGGCGCTGTATGAGGATGGGTCGAGGAGCGAGGATACGGAGCAGGGCGATGAGAATGTCATACAGATAGCGCAGTAGGTTGGGTTTGTGGTTTTCGCGGGTAGAGTGTATAAGCTAGGTGGTGTTTTCGTCTTGTTCATTCTAGTGTGGCTTCCTCTTTCGGGAAAAAACTGGGTTTTTGTAGATTGAGCGAAAGTCCGTATCTGAGTGTTTTGGTGTCTATTCAGAGATTACGTGCAACTGTGCCCATGTCTGTCTTGCTGCCAATCCAATGGGGCGTACGATGAACAGATAAGCATGCATGCATAGAGGGTTTCCGAAGGTCTCCGCTCGGCGATGACTGCGAACTGGTCATTCAGGTCTCTCAGTGCGGCCTACGCTCCGTTCCACACTCTTTCAAGAGGGAGATCCTTTTAGCGTACAACGTCCCTCTCCCTCGCACCCAGCCCAACCAAATCAGTAAGACCCATCCTCCAAGTACCCTATTCGCCAGCGGGTCCCGGAATCAGCAGGTCGGACGAAACATACTATTACTCTATCTGCCGACCCGCGTGCAGTGACGATCCCTTCCCCCTTTGTGACTCCTGTGCTGTTCCAGACCGGGGAATTTACGTGTTGCAGAGGGGGGTTAAGGTAAGCAGTGGCCTCCGAAGACCGGAGGGCATGTATCTTTTCGGAAAACGGGGAAGGGGAAAGGAAGAGGAAGGGAGGGAGGGAGGGAGTGTTGGTGGGTGGGGGAAAATGCGGCGCAGTGCGCTGGCAATCTCCGATCTCAACGTTTTGAGTACTGGGGTATGCGTGTTGGGGGAGCGTGTGTTGTATGTACGAGATCTTATTGGAGGTATATAGATGGCGTGTAGAAGGGAGTAGTTTACATAGGTGCTATAGTTATATGGCTCGCTGATACGCGGACGTCGTATTTATGCCCGAATCCGTAAGGTGTTTATCAGTTCCCTGGTACGAGCGCATACTAGGCCCTACGTCAGCGGGTATGCTGATGGAGGTGTTTTGTTACCGCTTGATACTTTCGATGGTTGTTGGCAGTCGACTGCGGCTTGGTGTCTCTCAGTTCATGCCTCAGGGTGCATGGGCAGTTAGAGGACCTGGAGTTGGGGTAGGTAGACGGCACTGAGATGTGTCTCCCGCTAGGGTACGTCTCTGACGTGGAGGACTCCATGACCTAAATGGGCTTTAAGGGTAGAAGTCTCCAAGTGTACATACGGGTGACCGCGCCTTTTTTGTTCCTTGTAGCAGTTCCGTCTCACTGAAACGTACTCGGTGTCCTATTCCACTAGCCCTGCCCCGTCCCCCGTCCCCGTCCCCGCTCCACCACGCGGCATCGTCCAACGCAAGTCTACCCTACCCGCTGTACGTCGTCCCGCCCATTCCCGCGGACCGTACCCACCTCCTCCCCTCCTTAACCGCCTTGTATATCCCACAAAGAGTTTTTCCAACCAGGCCCCCCTTCCACGGAGCAAAAACCCGATCTCGATCCTCCCCGTCCTGTCCCCGTCCGCACCACTGCGTAGCCCCCGTCAGTTGGGTCCAGCGAATCACACCTTGTATCACACGCATCTGATATCTGTGCCGCTTTGTACAAGGCTTTTAAGCAAGGCAGGGATTGCTCTCCACTTAACACCGCCCACAGGGCGTTAGAGATTACACTGCTTCGTCCCATCCCCAGGGTATTGATGACGCATGGTTAGTGGTCTATGCAGTGCCATGTCATGTTATGTCATGCCCGTCATGCTCTCCTCCCGTCCCCTGTCCCGTATTGTGGGAGTGTACTGCGCGTCTTACATGCAACGTGGCACACGCGGTGCCATGGGATTCCATGACGAGGGCTCCGGGACGAGTACGGGAACGTAGGCGTTTGGGTACGAAAAGCCGGTTTTACACAGTAAGGCTGTGATGTCGTACGGGCCCAACCAGCTGGAAAGACACAAGATGCTGGTACGTGGAAGACGCATGGGATATTCTCCGCATTGATGCGCCACACACCCGCGTACATGCGTCAGAGGTGGCAAAACCTTAGAGCATCCCCGTTCCCCAGGTTCGGTGACGGGAGTACGCGGCGGAGCGGGAGCCCGAGCGGATGGTTGACTGGAACACAAGGGGGACATGTGCGTCATCAGGTCACCTTGATCTGCGCAGGAAAGAGGGCTTGGGTCGTGGGGCGGCGTATATAGTCTGTCTGATTCCGCCCTGCTGATATTTCTGGTTTTTCGCTGGATTTGAGTCGGGACCTGGATTTGGACCTACCGGATATTCGCCACTGGCCCTGAGGCTCGGTGAGGGGCAGGAGGGGGATGAGGGGGGCTGTGGTACCGTCGCTGGGTCTGGACTCGCTTTGGAGTCCGAGAGTTGTTTGCGATGTCGATGTGGCCTCGTCGGGCGTGGATGCTGGACTTTGCGGCTTGAGGACTTGCGGTACTCCTGTCGCCGGCTGCCGATGGTATACCTCCGTCATGAACATAAGAATAAGAACTACCGAACCGGGGTCCCTTTTGGAAGACACACTTGCCAATCGTTGAGGAGCGTGGATTCACTGTCCATGCCCAGGAAAGCAAAACGACCAAGAAAGGAAGAGAAGTTTATATGAGTGGGTACGTATGAACGAGTCAAGAATATACCTCCAGTTTTGAGAGGAATATATGAAAAGCAGGTAGCTCGCAGCGTAGATAAGATTTTGTCTTGAAGGTCGGAGAGGAAGGATATAAGAGGATGATGATGGTAACAAAGGAGTGGATTACCCGTCGTGGCCGGTGGATTATCCTGAGGTCCATTGCGAATCATCTCTGCTGGAATATCTGGGGCAGATTCTTGGGCATAGGACGCATCCACATAACCGTCAGCAATCCGTGTGCTTAGGGTCCGAAAAGAGGTTGATCAAGCTTGAAGAGGGCATGTTGATGAGGTCTAGGATGGCACTCTGATCAAGGCTCAAGAGCAAAGGATACTCAGTGATCGAAAGGAAATGTTTATGGTCCCTCTAGGGTATGACATAAAGTTCAAAGAAAGTTCGGACATGTGGACGATCCTCATACCACGGACAGGGATCCCTGATCAGCACCAATGCGTCGTCACTGGAAGCTGCGATCCGTGGGTTGTCCAGAATTACCGATACTAGACTAGCCGGTCCCACGGTTGCAATTACGCGATACGTAATGGGTTAGTCTGGGTATTAGTCTACAAGTTGGTTTACAGTGAGACGGGACTAGAAAGGATGCCGAGCAATAGGGTTACATAGTGGTCAAATCTCGCAAAGAGCTATTGCCGCACGCAGTTATTGGATCACTGGTGCGTGTAGGTCATAGCAAGTGGGGTGATTATCTCGCAGCGACGAATCTCCATACTTCAAGCATCTTCTCAGAGGGCTTTACAATTGCCAGCCAATTCTAAATCGACCGCACCCAGACCTCTGCAATCAAGCGGTTCCTAGCCACTTCGACAAACCGAGAAAGGCCGAACTCCAATCCTCAGAAAACGAGCCGCACACACTTACCCCTCAAGCCTGGCACGCACCGTCGATTCTTACTCTGCGTTAGCCTCTGGCCCAAGCCTTGAAAACCTGAAAGACGAACCAAGCTTCCAAGCCACCTAGCTATGATATTCGGGACCGCGCACATCAACATCCGCCAGCGTCAACACCGTGTCCGCTAATTTAGGGAACTTCCTGCGCAGGTAGACTCCCGCAGCGTCCATGCCATTTGTAATCCCACCTGGACCCTATCAGTCTGCATACAGGAACACACTGAGTTGGACTGGCGTTATGCCCGAGGCAACATACCAGAAGTGTAAATCTTGCCGTCATTCGTATACCGCTTGTCCACCCAGTGCACCTTCGGAAATTCCGTCTGGAGGATATCCATAACTCCTCTCGTCCCAGTTGCGCGCTTTCCGTCTAGGACTCCCGCGTAACCGGCGACGAAGACTCCAGAGCACACTGTGAACAGCTCTGTCCCCTTTGCTACATGATCCCTCACAAACTGCAGGACAGACTCCGGTGGTCGTAGGCCCGGCGGGGGTCCCGGGATAAACAAGAGATCCAGGCTGCCTGGGGCGACCCGAGGGTCGTCAAGGCCGGCGTCGATTAGGAATCTTACTCCAGCCGAGGTAGGCGACGTGCTGTTCGCCCCGTTGTGAGAGATCCACGTGATATGGAGGTCCTTGTCGGGGATAGCTTGGGCGACAAGCGCTGGAGGCTGCCTGGCGCCCTCGAAGTAGGATTGGCTGAGCATGGCGAAGAGGTCGACAGGGCCGGCATCGAGGAATTGGATGGGTGGGACGATGAGTACGCCAATGCGAAAGGGGCGCATTGTAGGGTTGGATACTGGATTTGATGTGACGGGGGAAACGAAGGGGGCCACAGCGAGGAAGAGGAAAGGAACGGATGAGAGAAGACAATTGAGATGGGGGAAAAGAAACATGGCGATAAATACTGCTTGGAAGCTTGTGACAGGCAGATGCTCACTAGTTGCTTAGGAGACACGGAGTCGGATGGTACTTGCGGCCGAGTTGCGACGTTGCTGGAGCAGTTCGCCGGCCTTAAGTAGTAAATCGAAGCAGAGTACGGAAAAAGAGTCATGAGTGAAATTGAGAGGTTTGGAGAGAGATTCCTTGAACTGCTATATTGAAGGACATCAGCGCTGCAGGTCTTGACATTGAATGTGAGCACATTGTCCCCGCAATCCTTCTTGGTTCTGGGAATACCATGAAGTGAGAAGTTCGAAGTTGGGGTCGGATACAGTTAATGAGCAAGATAGGATGACTGCTTTTGCATCGTTCCAAGTCGGAACCGGCTGCAGATTTACTGGCCGTCCCGAAAGCGCCAGAGATCCAGAGTCGAGCTATGCTGTGATTCATGCTGTATATATGGTTCCAATGAGACTGGGGCTGTGTTTCCTGTGTCAATGCTGACCGCACAAAATGGTCATAAGACAAACTTCTGGCGCGTCTCCATCGTTTGGTGATGCAAAGGTCGGGGTGTTGTTCAGAGGTTGAAAAGCCGAAGCTTGCGGAAAAACAAATTTCCCGGAGCCGGGCCCTCGGTACCTCGGTCCTTGGACCGTTGCTGCAGTGCCTTGGACCCCACCTCATCAGCAAGATGGAGTAGAAGAAGTCGGACTCAACGGCTTCCTTCATTCTCGTTCCCTCTCATTCCAAGCTCAAATGTCGACTATGGATGTCAACAATCTCTTCGGCGTCAAGGTACTCCAAGTAGACCGAGTGATAGCACCATTCACTGACAATTCCCAGGGCAAGGTCGTCCTCGTTACCGGCGGCGCCAAGGGTATCGGCCGCATGATTTCAGAAGGATTTGTCGCCAACGGCGCAAATGTTTATATATCCTCGCGCGACGGAAAGGCCTGCGCCCAAGCATGCAAGGAGCTCAATGCCATGGGCAAGGGCCAGGCCGAGTACGTCGTCGCGGACTTCTACAAAGAGGAGGATATTCTGAAGCTCGCCGAGGAGCTGAGAAAGAGGGAAGGAAGTAGGTGTTCGACCTTGACTTGGGACGAGACATGCCGGTGGATGACCATCTAACGGATACACAGAACTCCACATCCTCGTCAACAACAGCGGCTCCAACTGGGGCGAATCGTACGACACTTACCCCTCGGCAGCCTGGGACCGTGTCCTGAACCTGAACCTCAAGCGCGTCTTCCAGCTCACCCAAGCAGTGACTCCTCTCCTCGAAGCCGCTGCGACGAAGGAAGACCCGGCCCGCGTCATTAACATTGGGAGCGTTGACGGACTCCGCGTCCCTGCTCTCGAGACCTTCGCATACTCCGCCTCAAAGGCCGGGCTACACCACCTGAGCCGGGTTTTGGCTAGCCATCTGGGTAAAAGGGGAATAACGAGTAACACGCTTGCGTGTGGACCTTTCCAGAGCAAAATGATGAAGGCCACACTGGAGAAGTTTGGAGACGCTATTGCCAGCAATGTGCCCCTCGGTAGAATCGGCAGCCCTGAGGATGTTGCCGGGTGCTGTATCTGGTTGGGTAGCAGAGCGGGTGCTTGGGTTAATGGTGCCACTATTGCGCTGGATGGTGGCACTGTTGTTGCTTCCAAGTTGTAAGGAAACTTCTATAGTGTATAATATGTCACGATGAGCAGGTAGAACTACCATATAGACCGGTTTATCGGGTATCTTTCAGTAATGATTTTAAGAATCATGTTTCTCTCGCCCGGCTGCGCTCTCGTGAGGATATTTCCATTCCAGAAATAGATTCCGCATAATTATTCTCTCTGTCTTCGAGACTTCGGTTGCCTCGTGAAAAGGCGCTTAGCGTCCATAGATCAGGGCAGGTAACTCCTGCAGAAGGCATGCTCCAGTCCTTCCAGTTGTAACGGTGACACCGCCGTACGATGTCCATAGTTCATGCGCCTCTCGGAATCCTGTTGGGATGTGGGCTTTCCCAGCCGAGGAGACGGGCCTTTACAGGGCGATGTCGTGATTGTTCTGTTTCGTTGACTTCGTTTATCGCAGCTCTTCACACAGCACCAGCGCGTCTCCTCCCCAGTATCTGCTGCTTCAATTGTTCGGCCGCAACCTCGGCCTCCAGCACACGACCGACACCTCGTTTCCACGTCTCCTCAAGCGTCGTGATCTCGCCCTGCACCCTCTCCTGCTGTGATCTCCTCAGAATCTCCACCTCCTCATGCTGCTTCCTCAGCTCAGCGAGCTCCGCCTCGAGCGCCTTGAGGATATCTTCCAGCTGCGAATTTCCGACCAGCCACGTATTCTTTCCAAACTTCTCCAGCAGGCCTAGTTGCGTCAACCGGCCGTTCACGTACTCGGCGCTGGTATATGCACGCTGCAGCGCGGTCCTCCACTGTTCGAGCAGCTCAGGCTTATCTTCGTCGCTTGTAGGCGAGGTGTTCGGCGGCGCCTCGAGCTCCTCGTAACGCTTCGTGTCGATGCCAGACATCTTGGACGTCGCATCCGCCTCCAGACGGTCAAGTTCTTGCTGGACAGCCGGGGAGAAGGAGGGGGAGTAGCCAGCGGCGGGAATGAGAGCGGGGTGAAGCTGTGTGGCATCGACACCGGCGCTTTTTATGTCCGCCTCGATCAATTGCCTCGCAGCGGCGAGAGCGCTCTCGGTGGGCGGCGCATCGACGTCTGCAGTGTGTAAGTCTCTGGGAGCACATCACTGTGCTACTGTTTCCAGGGTGGGCTGTACTTACAGGGGAGGGCGTCATATGATTCATTGATTAGAGGCATGACCGGTTGTTGAGCGCGAAGTCGGGAAGCTCGACCAACCTGGATGCGGAGTTACGGGTGGAGAGACGAGAAGGTTTGGGGACCAGTCGCGCGATGTTTGGGAGGGAGGTAGCTTGGTCGCAGTAGTGCTTGGATAAACTGGGGAGATCACTGTGCCCCTAACAATAGGTGGTTGAAAATCCCGGTTCGTCCGGCTGCAAGTTGAGTCGACGTCGAGAGCTTCCGCATATTGTTTGCACTGGATTCGGGACGGGGACTGATGGCTTACCCATGCAAATACTGTAAGAAACGAATTGCCGGTCTTTATCCGGCAAGCGGCGTACATATAGCGTCGTTCTCACTTATATCGGGCAGGTAGTCCCACATAAATTACACGCTGACTGCACCACGCGAGCTAGCGTCAATACCAACCTTCACCATCTCCCCCATCATTGAGATGGAAAACGCCTCACCGAGCATGATGCCGCCCTCCGGCTCCCTCTCGTCGAGTCAATCGAAATAATGGAAAACTCACCGCGTTGATTACCCCTGACACGGTCATCCAGCACCCTCGAATACTGCCCCTAGCAGGGACCCTTGCCCTGTGTCATCATGCTGCGCTTTCACTCGGACAAGCGAAAGGACAGCAGACAACCATTCATCCACTCGCAGCCCTCGCAGCCATCTCTCCTCCACACTTCGCATATCCGCCCGGGCTCCTGGTCTGCCCTCGGTACGACGTGCGAGCTGCCTTTTGCAGTCACCTTCCCAGGCTGGCCCTGTGTTCATTCGTTGCACGACTCCCCCTCCCCGGTCTCCTTGTTGTGTTTAAACACCGCACAGGTCCCCCTATGCTGCCCTCAGCGTGGACACACCCTCCGTACACCTGCGAGCATCGCCTGGGAAAATGGCACGCCCGCATATCGCAGTCGCCTTAGGCGTCGCCTCGTTGGTTCTGCTCATCGTTGTCCAGCTTGTGAGCAACTTGGGCTTTCCCCAGGTTGACTTTTGGCATGGGCGCCTCGATCAAGACCATCATGGAATTGCGCAGAGACATCTTCTCACTGAGAAGCAGGCAGGGGATAGCGATCAAAATCCAGGGCAGTATCTCATCGGCGTTGGAAAGGCCGACATCACCGGGTACCGCTGGCAAGCCTGAGATTCAGAGCGCATAGCTAATAATCACTAGGCCTGTTGTAGAACTCAACTTAATGGGCTACGCAAATTCCTCGCAAATCGGCACAGGACTGCGCCAGCGCCTGTATTCACGCGCCTTCATTGTAGGAAGCCCTAGTACCCCGAGCGATCGCTTCGTCTACCTCGTTCTGGACACCGGGATGGGAGATACTGCCATCCGGAATGGCATTTTGGAAGGCCTTCAGAATCTCGGCTCCGATTATTCCATCTATACCAAAAAGAATGTTGCTGTGACGGGTACCCATAGTCATGCAGGGCCCGGCGCCTGGCTAAACTATCTGCTTCCGCAAATCACCAGTCTGGGGTTTGATCGGCAGAGCTACCAGGCCATTGTAGACGGCGCACTGCTGTCCATTAAACGGGCACATGAGGGTCTGACACTCGGCACCATCAGCTCGGGAACCACCAAGATTTCCAATGCCAATATCAATCGGAGCTTGTATGCTTATCTCGCCAACCCCGAGCAGGAACGAGCACGCTATCCCGACGACGTGGACAAGACCATGGCAAGTCTGAGATTCACCCGGGCAAGTGACGGCAAGCATATTGGAATCCTGACTTGGTTTGCCGTTCACGGAACGTCCCTCCTTGGAAACCAGACTCTCGTTGCCGGCGACAACAAGGGCGTGGCCGCCTACCTTGTTGAGAAAGAGATGCAGACCAATGCTGCTTCCTGGAACGCTGCGCCAGGCTTCGTCGCAGGCTTCTCCCAAGCGAACGTAGGCGACACTACTCCCAATGTAAATGGCGCTTGGTGTGAGGATGGATCGAACCAGCAGTGCAAACTGGAGGACAGCACCTGCGGCGGAAAGAGTCAGGACTGCCACGGCCGAGGACCCTTCTTTGGTCTCAATGACGGGGGTGCCAAATCCTGCTTTGAAATCGGGAAACGTCAGTCCGACGGCGCCCTTACCATCCTACGAGGCGGGGACAGTCTGACCCCCATCACTGGCAACGTCAGGTCGTTCCATACTTTTGTAGATTTTTCAAAGTTTACTTTTACCCTTCCTAATGGCACCCTGGTAAGCACGTGTCCTGCTGCCCTCGGAAATTCCTTTGCTGCAGGTACAACGGACGGACCTGGCGCCTTCGATTTCGTCCAAAATGACCCCGGAGCCCCCAAGAATCCGTTCTGGAATCTTGTAGGTAGCGCCATCGCCCCTCCAAGCCCTAAGCAGAAGGCGTGTCAATGGCCAAAGCCGATTCTACTGAATGTAGGCGAAGCCAAGGTTCCCTACGATTGGGCTCCGAACATCGTTGATGTCCAAGTCCTTCGAGTAGGACAGTTTCTCATCATCGTTTCTCCCGGTGAGGCAACGACGATGGCAGGACGGCGATGGCGTGAAGCAGTATACAATGCCGCTATTTCTTCGAACTTGGTTCGGAAAGAGACCCCTCCAATCGTTGTACTTGGTGGCCCGGCAAATACTTACACCCACTATATCACCACGGAGGAAGAGTATGGCATCCAGCGCTATGAGGGTGCTTCCACTCTCTACGGACCACATACACTCAACGCGTACATCAATTCCACGCTCACCTATCTTCCGTACCTGGCCGATGATGTCCAAGGCACGAGCCCTGCCGGGCCTACACCTCCGGACAACAGGGACAGAGCCATTAGCCTCATAACAGGAGTGGCCTATGATAGTGCGCCCATTGGGAAGAAGTTTGGCGAGGTCACCAAAGACGTTTCGGCGTCGTATAGCCGTGGGTCTCATGTCTCTGTGACTTTTGTTGGAGCAAACCCAAGGAATAACCTGCGTCTCGAAGGCACTTTTACCGCTGTCGAAAGACAGGGTACCGGTGGACCATGGACACAAGTCAGGAATGATCAAGACTGGGAGCTAGTCTATGAGTGGAAGCGCCTGAACGGCTTAACGGGGACGTCGGAAGTCACCGCCACATGGGACACTAGCATTACGGGAGTGGAGAGCGGGACTTACCGGATCAAGTATTATGGCGACTCCAAAGCGCTTGGAGGCAAGATTACCAGTTTTGAAGGAACGAGTGGTGTGTTCACGTTGTCATGATAGACGATGCTGTAGGGGTTTTCCTTGAGTAGCATTGCGTTCTTTAGCTTAGGTTATGTGTATGCTGTCTGGAATTAGACTTTGCAATAAGCGAGGATTGATTGTATTTGAGAGTAACCATTGTTTTGTCGGTGGCCATCTTCTTCTACATGTGACACAGTGAAGGTCTCGCTATGTAGATATGAAGCAAAAGTAAAGAGAATAAAAATGAAGAAGAAGCTGAACAAACAAAAACAAACTGCAACGATTTTTGCTTGCTATTGACTGCTTGGTTTTAAGGGTGGGTCTTCGTTGGAGTGGTGAATTGGAATGGAATTCCGTATAGCAACTTGTTATGCAATCCTAACAATGAGCTATTGTGCGAAACGGCTCAATCCTAGTATGAAATCGATGCCCACGGTCGTGGAAACGATTACTTGGAGGTTTGACGGACGGAGATTGGGGTTTTCACCGGGTTATAGCTGAAAGATTGGGGGACCATGGAATGGCGTAAGGCGCAAGGGGGCATGCTGAATTCAATGCATGAATAAGAGAGCGAGGAGCTTCAAGTCCATTGGCTTATTGATTGGGCGGACTCGTTGGCGGTATGGTTGGTGTCACGGTGGCGCGATGTCGGGAGAGGAGATTGGAAATGCAGTGCCGTATAACGGTCCAGTTCTTCAGTCTTCAAGCCATATCTTATTTTGCAGCCTGCTAATACTCGGGATCAAACATGGCCACGATTCTCCTCAGTCCCAATGCATTCCAAGTCCGGCGTGTTCCTCCCCCCAAACATTTCCCGAGTGGACTTCCCATTTTCATTGGCGTCGCTGAATCTACCATGACGGGATTCTATGTCTACATGGATGGTAGTCTCCACGGCGATGGGAGCGGGAAAGCCTGTCAACTCAGTTTCGCTGACCAAACTGGATCCTCTCTCTTTCTTCGGCCGTGTCGCCGATCCCGCCAACGAGTCTTCCGTATACACCATCCGTGTGGAATTGTTCTTGCCGTGTCTCATAAACGTCCAAATTGGCCTCAGGGAGGCAGGGAGGCACAGACTACTGCTAGCGAGAGCTCGATATTGGACCAGAAGAAGGCAGGCGCTGTCCAATCTATGTTTAAAATGTTAGATATAGGATATGTCACGAAGAAAATTGAACAGAATGCTTACACATCAAGTCGTTGTAATTGATCAAGTATTCACCCATCATCTTTGTGAGAACCACGGCCCTCGTAACGCTAGTTGCGCATACCCTAGCCACGTCAGTCCGAAGGCCAAAGTGTTCGAGATTAGGAACAATCATACAATGTTCCAAGCATGAAAACACCGATAATCCCCAACTTCTGAGCCCACGGAAGCTGCAGCCTTAGAACCATCGGGATGGGCATAATCAAGATCGCCACGTCGACGATGATATCCGTGTAAAGATTCGACAGCCATATCTCTCCAGCGTTAATACATTTGTTTCCGAAGTAGGGTTCGATGAGCACGGTGACGGGCCAGCATAAGAATATGTTTGCGAACGTGTGCGATATCACCCATGCTGCGACGATGCCCAGCATGATGTGTACTGCGATTCGGAAAGAGCGTATGCGGGAGAAGATGCCGTTGTAGAATAATAGGATGGAGGCCTTGATGCAGCCGAGCCCTACGGTTATGAGGATGGTCTGGATGAATTTCGTCTAGAGGTGGTTGACTTCAGTGTCCGCCTGAGGAGTGAGTGGAACTGTGGAACTTACGTGTTCGTACACGAGGAACTCTGGGTCATCCAGCACAGGTTGGCCATTGGCGTGAACGATTTGGTGTTTACCCAGTCTTCCGTGTACTGTTGCTGTTGTCCATCAGTAGACGCTAAATTGAATGCCTCAAGTGCGTTGCTCACCAACTATTTGTGTTCCACACGTAGTGATAGTAATTGCCTCCAAAGGCTGGTTAGAATGCAAATAGTTCCGATTCGGGAGATTAGACATACCAGCGCTCCCACCGCGAAATAATCATCCCACGACAAACACCCCTTCCCCAGCCGTTTAGCCCACATACGGAGTCCGGTGAAAACACATGGTATGACCATGCATCCCACTCCTAGGCCCAATACAAGCTCCGGGCTGTGGTGCTTCATGGCTACTACCAGTCCTAAGCAGCAAGTGGCAAAAGTGGCGGAAAAAGATTTCGAACAAAGGAAATAAGTGAAGTAAACCGTGTAAAGCATATTCCTCTGCGAAGCGACGTCCATAACATCTATTATCTATGAACTTGAACCTCCCTTCCACAGTGGCGTGCCTTCACGGCTTCAGTCCTGGGATTCAGAATATCTAGCCTATCGTGGGAGAGCTGACAACAAACAAAGAATCCTGATGGGCTTCATGTCGGCAAGCCCACCGCGACCAGTGTGCTGGGTCTCTCAAGCCGACCATTATTTTCCGCGACGAATTGTCTCGAGAGGAGGAGTGCAGTTGCAGCCGGAATGGAAAGTTACGCCTCAGCGGATCCTGATATATCCAGGCACCCGGGTGCTCCAATCTCCCTCAATCGACTTGGATAGCCGACCTGGAGAGCACAAATGAGGAGCAAGCTAAAGGCTGGCACACTAGCGGCTGGATTTGCTGGTTATCAACCAGCATTTTAGCGAATTGGCTGCGGCGTTGCGCGCTTGTTGCGGCACAGCAAGATGCTAATTGGTTAGGGGAACGCAATTGTGAAGCCGAAAAGTGAATTGCTTGTGCTAATGTCCATGCGTACCGGTACAAGAGGTATGCATGAGTCAGTGAGATGGGGTTTCTCACCGATCAATTGCGCATGGTGGAAGTGAGGCTTGACATTCCCCCACGTAAACTTTAGCTCACATGATTGAATTTGCATGCAGGTGCGTTCCCGTCACATTGCATCCCGTCTTTGGATCCAGGATGCCAGTTTGTTACTTCAATAGTACCTACCTAGGTATAGATCATTGAGCATATCATCACTGTATTGAAGGCCAGCTCGGCCAGACCCTCACAAATTGGCCTCAACGACTCTGAGTCGTTGTGGGACATGCACACAAGGGATTTTCATGGTAATGAAATCTTGCACCTTCGGATGGGTCTAATACTCTTCACCAAACCAGGACCGCGACGATGGTTGAAAAAGAAAGTCCCTGCATTCTTTCACGGGACAATCAGCTCTTGATCTGTGGGGGGAAGATCTCGTATATGTTGGATTGCGGCACAGCTCGCCTCCTCGCACCAAGGTCGAGGAAAACAATGCGGTGACCCCTCACAACACTTGAGTCCTTCAAGAGGTCTCAATAGATCTGATTGTATCTCGCGCTTCCAGCTCATATTTCAAAAGACGCATCGTCTTCCTTGAATATGCGCAACCGTGACAGCAAAGCTGCTGTTGTTGTATCTGTCTATTGTTGATAGAGCTCATGAGTGAGGAAGCCTTGAACAGCTTTGACTGGGGCGTTTATCGCGAAGCCAAGCAGAGCGGTAAGCGCCGTCCTGCGAAGTTGGGACCGAAAAGTCAGCCAGTTTTCCCTGCTCAGCCGCGCGGCGAACACAATCTGATGGTCTAGGTCGAGATTGCTGGTAGGTCAGAACGATATCTTGGGTCCTTCAGTTGACTCTCTGTCGATCCTATTCTCCTCCCCTCGCCCCTCCCCAGATCAAAACATCTATTCCATTTCTTCTTTACCACAGCGGCGCAAAAGGCCCTGGGGAAACTCCAGACCAGTCGGCTGTATTGTGATGAACACACCTTCAAACCCATCCCACTCCCCAAGGTCCCCCCACACATGACTCCACTTGCTGCTGAAGTACCCCGCCTCCGACTCTGTCAACTAGGATCCCCTCGGCGCACCAAGCCATCGTATCTTCCCCCTGTCCTTTCCTCCCTCCGCGTAGCCCGATAGTTCACAACCCAGAATCTGGCTTGCAGTGACCTTCAGTTCCGCAAGCATAGCAGGTAGGTAACAGTGTTAACACGATTGCCGATGCTGTTGACAGAGCTCGAACTCGACTGCAAGGTCGAGCTATTGGAAACGGGCCGGACAGTAACAGTGTGCATCTGAAAGGAGAATTCGGCGCGCAGATGGTTTCGCAGAAGCTCGCAGGGATGGTAGAACTTAGTTTTGCGGGCATACTTGGAGCTAGTAGGCCGTCGCCTATCGTCTCCAGGTGAGCATTGTTCTTGAACATATTGAGAAGTGTCACAAACTTCAACCCTGGGAGCCCGAGGGCCAGGTTGGCTGTGCGGCAACAGGACTCTTCGCTGGAGACCGAGCAGGAAAACAGATGTGGGGATCCCCAAAGGCCTTGAGGCCTTCAATGTTCTGAAGGGCCGTCGTGGTCTCCAGGCTGGAGTTGCGCTTCGCTGGCCTGAGCTTTGGTAACATCCATTGGACTCTTCGGCGATCCCACCCGTGTTGATTCTTGCACACGCATGGGTGCCGGCCAGTCGTTCGTTCTTGATTACACGGTCATATCGGATCCCACAAACCCTTGTGTAATTGACAATGACCGTAGGAGCTGGGCAACGAGGTTTGCGGTATTCACGTGGTGATCTCTTATCGCTTTGAAGTCAGTCTTGTCGCTGTGTTCTTCCTAACCGTTTTGCTCGTCTTGTGTTAACGTCGCTTGCTAGCGATTCGTCTTCAACTAGCCGTAGACATCTGTAATAAGAGTTGAGTGAGGTATAATCTCTGGCGAAAAGACGCAACTTTGATCAGTTTTTGTCTCATAAATAAGCAATCCGCAATTGCTGACTTGGAGGTAGCGAGCAGACTTATCCGGCCTTTCCGAGCTATTATCCATCAAATCCTCACTTCAGGAGCCGAGAAGGCGCTGCTGGAAGGCAATATTTTTTATTTTAGCGGGGTACGGTAAGCTCAGCCGAGTGCAAGAAGTGAGGGTTATAGGGGTTCGACACGCGTTTGCATAAGGGTAGGCAGAGTTGTTGCTGTCCACAGGCTTCACCTCAGGATAGGTATCCATAGTTAGCGTCACGTAATTATTCTCCAAAATTCAATCTAGCTCTTTTAGTTTAGAATGGTAATCTTCATCCCTCTTGTACATCGAGCACGGCTAGCGTTCACTCACCGCGCGAGGGCCACCGATCCCCGGGTCGGAAAAACACGAGACCCGCTCTTGGCGCGCACCGTAGATAATCGCCACTCCACTCGCCCTCCTCCTTCCCTCCTCACAACACCCCGAAGTCTGCTGCGCGTACTGTACGCGCATCGTGCCCAAGCAGCGCTTCTCTGTGTTGTCCGCTAGGTTTCCCCTCCGTGTAAAGGGGATAGGATCGGTAGCCCGAAAGCTCCGTTTTTCCAGGCTTCTCCGGAGGCCTTAGTCGCTGAACTGGTACCAGTTTGGCTTCTTAAAACTTTTGGACAGCCCTCCACCAGGGGCTAGTCCTTTTTCGAACCCTTTCTTTGGAGGTCTTAGTTGTTGAACTGTTGATCCAACTTCTAGAACTCCTGGGTAGCCCTCTTAAGGGTGAGCCCTCCTTTCGTACCTCCATTTCTTTCGCCACATCCGTAGGCGTCCGTTGGAGCCCTTAGTCGCTGAACTGTTACTGTACTAGTTCAGCTTCTAGAACTTCCGGGTAGCCCTAGACCAAGGGTGAGCCCTCTTTTCGTACACTTCATCTGGAGACTTTAGTTGTTGAACTGTTAGTTCAGCTTCTGGAACTCCCCGGTAGTCCTAGACCAAGAATGATCCGTTTTTGCACACTCCATTTGGAGGCCTAGCCGCTGAATCGTTACTGTAACAAGTTCAGCTTCTACAGCTTTTGGGCAGCCCTAGACCAAGGGTGAGCCCTCTTCTCGTACCCACTTTCTTTGGAGGTTTTAGTTGTTGAACGGTTGATTCAACTTCCAGAACTCCTGGGTAGCCCTCTACTATAAGGGTGATCCCTCCTCTCGTGGCTTCATTTCTGTCGCCACATACCTAGGCGTCCGTTGGAGGCCTTAGTCGCTGAGCTATTATTAGTCCAGCTACTTGAACTTTCGGGTAGCCCTACACCAAGGGTGAGCCCTCTTATCGTACACAGTACACTCCATTTGGAGTCCTTCGGTTGCTGAACCGTTACTATGTCAGCTTCTAGAAGTTTTGGGTTAACCCTCCACCATGGGTAAACCCTCTTTTCGTACCTTCTTTCATTTCCTCACATACCTAGGCGTCCGTTGGAGGCCTTAGTTGCTGAACTGTTACTAGTTCAGCTCCTAGAACTTTTGGGCAGCCCGAAACCAAGGGTGAGCCCTTTTTCGTACACTCCATTTGAGGTCTTAGTTGGTGAACTGTTGTTCAACTTCTAAAACTTCTGGGTAGCCGCGGACCAGGGCGATCCCTCTTTTCATCCACTGCGCCATGTCGTTTTCAGCGTCTGCGATGCTGCGCCCTCAGCCTCCAGGAGCATCGCAACCCGGTTCTCCGGCCGACTTGAACAGTCCATTGTGTGGTGCATGCGGGCAGGACTTACCTCCGACCAAGGATCGCTTCAAACTAGATGATGGATGGCCAAATGCGGGAAGTGCCGCTCATACGGCTGTTCCAGTCATGTAGGTTTCCTTCTATGTTTCCTCAACCTGACTTTGAGCAGAACAGAAGAAAAAGTCGACAAAGACTGCACTTCTAGGGTCTAGCGCGCAGAACGGCTGCGCCAAAAGAACGCAAACTATGAACCTCGCAAGCATCGGCTATTCAGGCGCGATCACCGAGTGCGTTGTCGAGTTACCAAGCAGTGGTTGCTGTATCTCAAGGACCATCATCCAAGCTATCGCGACCTGGACATCAATGAAGCGAATCTTCATGCGATCCCAGACAACACCTTTGCGGACAATAGGTTGTTCGTCAATGAGCTGAGGGATCAGTTTACAATCAACGCTTAGGCAACCGACCCAAAAACCCGATAAGGACGCAGAGCTCGCGCCCGGTACTGCCACCGTACCTGATCTCGACGCGGAAAACTGAACTTGAAGCCAATCACACCCACTTGCGCGGAACAGCAACGGCGGTCCCTTCCTTCTATGGGGATGCCTACTCCCACGCTATAGTGGAAGCATCCGAGGGACGCGCCCATTCTGGGGTGGCAAGATGAAAGCACAGGACTCCACGGTCCGCTAGCTTGGTTGCCCATCAATCTTCTTTACCTTTTCTGCGGTGGACTACAACTATGACTCTCAAATGCGCCACATGCCTAGATATGAGGATTGGGTTAATGGGACGCGTCCCAACGCATTCGGATCGCTCGTAAAGCTACCAAGAACAATCTTGCTCTTCTAGCTTTCTTCTTCCACTAGAGGCTCAATCTCCTCTGAGGAAATTCTCCTTGTCAAGTTCAGCAGCCGAGATCACTGGTGCCGATACGAGTAACAAGCTCGCGGTGATGCTCACGATCATGGCTCTATTGGTTCGATGGTGCTTCCAACCTGGACGCTATCTTGACACCGGCGCTGAAGCAAGACCTTGCTGGTTTCTGGGACCTTCACGCATGGGCGGTGAATCCCGAGCCGCCTCGGGGCACGTATAAACATCAAACCTGGAAGGGAGCGATCACCAATATCGATCCCCGGGCGGGATGTGGAGAACCACATGAAGTTGCTCTCCCAGTATCTCAAGCCAGCTCCAGGTCTTTGAGGAACCGAACTCGCGAAAGGAATGTCACTTTCCGTTCTCAGCGACAATCCGCGGATATTTGACCGCTTCCTCCCTATCCCCGACGATCCTATGATGAACAAGTAGAATCGTCTGCTGACAATGGCTTGGATAGACAGTACCGACGTTTCTTCTCTCACAAGCCGGCAGGACAGTGATGGAGTACGTATTCAAGCACGCCGCCAATTCTGAAGGGAGTCTCGTTCCTTCCGCGAGGATGTAAGATTGCTAGTTTTATATGTGAATAAGACTCATCCTCTTCAGTCCTTCGTCACTAAGGTCTTGGACAAGTTGATTCGAGATCGCGGTTATCCTTCCCAAGAGGTCTGTCACTCGCTGCTAGATCTCCCTTTGGCTGGAAGGCAGGGCATGTATGCGGACAAGGCGGCCCTGGACTCGAAAAACCTAGAAGGACTTCGCTCCAGAGTTTACCTATGTCGCCATATCTCGCATACGGACCTTGAATGGGTTGCTCTTCGAGCAGAGCTTTCCGTTTTGCGCCTCAAGTTCGCAGCCACCCACACCACTGTCATGAGAAACCGGTATCACCAGCTTCGGAAAGCTGGGAGGATACTCCCAATGGTAAGTGCGACTTCACACAAGGAAGCTCGTGCTAACACGTTATCAAGACGAACTGCTATTGTTTCCACCTGGTGACGGCCATCAGCTCCAGGTGCCCATCATCCGCTCCGAACCCGTCGCACACTCCGGAATCCACATCCCCAGATTTTGGGTCCATAGCGATGCTTCACGACTATTCAACAAAGGCTGCAATCGATGGACAGGATATCAATGGTGGTGACTGGAATAGGAGTGGCAGAAGACGGATCGTCTCTATATTGGACCGGGAAACGGGGGTATGGATATCGTGGCAGACATCTAGGGCTGCTGACTGGATAAACGAGCGCTCTGCAAGGATCGCGGCAGCGTTCTAGGGTCAATAAATCGGGTAATCTCTCCATGGAGCGTGGTGAAGGTGAATTCTGTTGTGACTCAGGCATAGTTCCATTTGCAACAAGTCTACATTTTTGGCTCCTCGCTGTCCACTGTTACGACGGCAGAAACACCACAATATGCCTTCTTCGCCTCGCAAACACCGCCGACACAGCGCATGCCGCAACCCTTTTCTAGGGCCATATTCTGACGATGAGGATTTGGCCTGCCTCACCTGCGTCCCGCCTCCCGCGTCTTCCCTTCCCCGCCAAGAAGAAGGAAAAGATGATGATGAAGAAGAAGAGGATACCGGTGCTCTTGGGTTGCTCAGTGGCTCATAGCCAGCGAAGACTCAGGCACCCGCTGATTTGGCCTCCCGGGTTGGTGGCGGTAGCCCTATTGATGAGCAGCTCTACGCTCATCTGATGGATACGTCCCAACTTTGGGGGATTGTCTCTCCAGGATGTACTAAGTCGGTACGTACGGCTGGCTCGGGAGTGCCAGAGATACTGGAAGGGCCTGTCTTTGAGCACTATGGGCTGGCGTTGCTCTGTGTGCCGAACTGGCGACTGAGCCTTGTGGTTAGTACAGATGGACTGTACTTGTACCGTGGTAACAGGAACCTAGATAATGTAGGAAGTAAAGTTTGGTTATGCCAATGTCGCCGTGGCGTGTTCGTGTCCATTGTTGACGTTTGGTACGGCCATTGTCGTCGCTCCTTCCTCCTTCGCACCTTACTAAGCGACGCGTGATGCTGCCACGCTTTTTTTCGCTCGCACACTCAATTTTTCCCCTCTTCACCTTGCTTCCGCGTCTTCTTGCTGTAGTGTTCACTACAGCTTGAATTCACGGTCGTAGGGTCATTGAATAGGCCGCCGGTCCGCGTGAAACCAGGTAATCCTGCCGCGTAACAGCTGTGGGTACAGTTGCTTCGGCATCTGTCTACATACCCAGGCTTCCATCGGAGGCCTTAGTTGCCGGACTTCCAGTTCGGCTTCTTAAAACTCTCGGACAGCCCTCCACCAGGGGCCAGTCCTTTTTCGAACCCTTATTCTTCCATTCGATATGTCTTCATATCGTCCCAATGCCGACTCTTCTAAGAGTCAGGGAAATACAAACCTCCGTCGGAATTGGTGCCCTAGCAAAAACCGACGCAAAGCCCTCGTGGAAGGGGCAGAGCCACGCCATGAAGGTGAGCGGCTATGGATAGACAGCAGGCGTCGAAGGGAACTTGCGTCCTCTTACCGCGCCCCTTCTGCAACCCGGCGTCCCGATGACCACCAGTCCAGCACGCACAGGGGACGTTCACGCAGCTATTCTCGCCGTAGACCAGAGAGGCGGGACTACAGCAGCGGAAGACCCCAGGAGCGTGAAGATTCACGACGGTACAGGGATAGCAGGAGCCGGTCTCCTCATTACGGTGAGCGGAAGAGGCAGAGTTCTCGCAGTGCAAGGTCCCGAGAGCGTGAAGATTCACGGCGTCACAGGAGCCACCGCAGTCGCTCACCTCGTCATGACTACGACCGGTCGGGCAGCTACCGGATACAGTCACGCAGTCGCCCGCGCCGTGAACGCAAGAGCAGAAGCCCTCGAGATAGAAGTTCACGGGGGCGATATTCACTGCGCGATCGATCCACTAGTCGACGGCGTTCAGCCCGCACCCCTCCTGCCCGCGCTGAGTTTGAGAAGTTGCAGAGGGAGGTGAAGAGACTTACAGAGCAACTGTCTGCAAAGACGCTGCCTCCGAAGGATTCCATCCAGTTGGAGACGGTAGTCCAAGACACAAGCCAGACCACTCAGGGCCATGCGGCTGCTGGTCTGCAGTCAATGGAGCCCGCTCTAGTTGGATTCCAGCCTGGATACTGTTCAACACAAGGCACCGTCGGCGGGGCCAACCTCTCATTTGGCCCGACATTGACCGAAGCCAATCTGGGTTTCCAGGATCAGAATGTCTACGGGCAGCAGGATCATTGGTTTGCAGATGTATTTGGTCCGTTCCAAGGCCAACAGGTTCTTGCTCCAGCAATTCCTATGGACTTTAACAGTGGTGCCATTCTAGTTGGAGCTAGTACTGCTGAAGCTGCGAATGCTAGCTATAGTCAATGGCTTACTGCTGAGGGAGGGATGCAATTCCAGCCTGCAGCCATTCAGGGAAGCCTTCAGGGCGAGTTTGGGGAACCCCTTTATCCTGTGCTGCCAATAAAGTGTGAGATAGAGGAAGGCTTCGGGCAGAGCGGATCGCTTGGAAGCGTGGAGCTTTCATCTCTGTTCCCCCATGACAGTCGCCAGGATGGGTACTTCAAGATCGATACACCCGGTCCATTGTTGGAACACATTCCGCTCAAGCATCTTTCTGGTCATGGCAACGTCAACGAGGCTAACGGTGTGCAACAGACCATCACCGATGCCGAGCAGAAAGCGGTATGCGAGGCGAACAGTGCGAAGGCTGCTGAGGAGGCAAAGGCACTCAAGGCCTACGAGGAGGTAGTGCGCAGTGCCTCGTCGGACAATGGATTGGCGAGATGTTCGATCGAGCTTCTGGACCACGAGAATGTCAGTGCAGTGTTCCATCTGCATCCAGCGGATGTACTCAGTCTCCCGCACATCGAACGCATTGAAGGGGAAGGGACGCAACGCAACTATGCCTGGGCGACCGATCGATTGATGCAGACTCTGCTTGAACAAGAACCATCGAGACCAGGTGCCTGTTTAGCGCCTGCAGCTATGCTCGAGGTTTACCTTCATGCGATACGGGAAGCCATTGATTCCGAGTATCTTGAGCTTGGACTCGCACTGCCGTTTTCCGATCTGCCTGGACCTATAAAAACGGTCATCTTCCCGTACAACCCAAGCGGAAGCCATTGGGTTACAGTTGAGGTGGGTGTTGACATTCACCACCCGTTTATCCGGCTTTACAACTCCATGAACCCAACGCCTCGAGGTCAAGAGTTTCGCATGGCAAGAAAAGAGATCCCGCAGCTGCTCTACTGGGCGAGTCTGCAAAGAGAGTCTCCTCTGGGGCTAAGAGGACGCGACTGGAGAGATGTGCCGGTCGAGGCAGCTCCGTGCCCACAGCAAAGCTCGAGCGGCGTTGACTGTGGCTTCTTTGCTGTGCTAATCGCGGCACTACGTCTTGCAGGCCATCCTCTACCGTCAGCGGTCGAGAGTGATGATGAGCGGCATCGGCTGGGCCTGCAGATCAGGCTCCTGTGCGCGAAGCGTCCTTGGACTGCTAAGTGCATCTCCAGACAACATGCCGCTGTCGGACGCCTTCCTGTCGCTTCACGCTCCAAGGGGTGAGGAAACCCCGCAAAGGAATACACAGTCAGCTCAACCTCCAAGCGATGCGATTCATACCCCTCGTTCAGGGGAAGTCGTGAACACACAGTCGGCTGAGGCTCAAAGTGGAGTGTCTAGCGGGAGGATTCACGCCCGTTGGTCCGATGACGACGTAGCAAAGTTAAAGGAAGCCTTCGAAAGAGGCATGACTGACAAGGAGATCCAAGAGAAGATTCTTCCTAAGAGATCATTAAGAGCGATTCAGCTCATAACCCGGACAATGCGTCTTTTGAAAATGCCGCGCTGATCAGAATAGGACATCTTGCATTGCCGGAGAGCTACAAGAAGTGGCCTGACAGCGCCTTCGTCCTGTATGATCGGCCTTGAAACGCAGTGCTCTAGTGGCACAGTCAGACTGTGGCCAATTGAATTGATCGAGACAGGTGATCTACCTTGGAGCAGAACTACAGGCGGTTGTTCACTCGGATGTGAGACGGCGCAGTATTGAGAAGGATATGGCGAAATAAGAATCCTAGTGAACATGAGTCGAAGTAGAGGTGTCACGGCTCTTCGCGGAATAGATCATGCTGGATAACGACTGGGGATCTGTTGTTGCTTCCTCCTGGGGAATGCACTGACGGGAGGGGGAGAGAGAGAGGGAGGGAGGGAGAGGGAGGGAGAGGGAGGGAGAGGGAGGGAGAGAGGGAGAGAGGGAAGGTGGGGTGGGAGGGAATGCGAGAATATGATGGGTGGTTGGGTGGGTTGAGGAGAAGTCGCTTAATGAGGTTGGAGGCGGAGCGTCTTAGGAGCTATTTGTCATGAGTGTTGCGGAAGTTGGAACAGCCGGACGGTCGCTGAGATGTTGGCCATCAATTGGGCTTGGGAGGCAGCACTGGACAGCATAAGAGAAATAAACAGGAAGAAGAAAAGAGGGAAAGGAAGAAACGAAGAAGACCAAGGTCGGTAAGGGAAGAAGCCGGGAGAGATGGCGGTTAAGTGCTTAGACCCTCTCTTAAGGCGCGGATTTCAAGGTACGTTCACTTGTTCTTTTGAGCGAGAGTACCTGACCAACCTCCACGTCTAGGGGCGCAAAAGACGACGGAATGGAGTGGAAGGCGAAGGGCTCAACGACAAGCGGGGTAAAGCCACAAACGGACAATCGAATCCAAATAACAAGCGGTGGAGAGGTCCGGTGCAGTGGTCAGTCTTTACCTTGCACCTCGCCCGGGAGGAAATCTGCTCACTTGGTTCAGTACAATGCAGCGCCTCAGCCTTGGGCATCACCAGATCGAAAAACAGCTATCATGACGCTATCAAACGAAGCGATGAAACGATTCCAGAGTACTTCGATCCGCTATTATCTCCCTCACCGCAGAGCAAAAGGGCCTAAAACAGCAGTTCAACAAAAAAAGATCGGATCCTTCGCCCGTTTATCCCTCATGGTTCCGTCTCCTCCGTTTCTCACCCCCATCAATGTTCGCCGTAACCAGAGCGCGGAATGCAGCAAGGTCTCCTGGATCGTTCGAATAACAGAGATCCGTCGTCATCTCCAAGCCACGATGTATGCCATGGCGGAGCAGCTAGGTAGCCCGACCCCTGAGGATCTCTAGGCCTGACCGTGTCCGTGGCGAGGAGCCCAGAACTTTCTGGAAAATGATCTAAACGGCGCTAGTTCTACGCGGTTGGGCAGAAACGTTCTCCTCTGGAAAAGATACTAGTGAAGGGTCTAGCAGGCGTGACATAAATGAAGTAAAAATGTCCGACCACACCAGCATTGGTAGCGACGGAATTTGGGCTCCGACAACGACCTATTTGCACACCATGATAGATGTACCTAAACTATGGTGCTTCCCGCGGCTCCGCCCATGTGACCTTGTACATATGTACCTACGACATCAAGTCGAGGACAGGTAATCCGGAGGGTCGGATGGCCGGGCCGTGGATCTCCGTATGAACACAATGCACCAACACCAAACCTGAAAAATATCCGGAGTATTGCGACAACCACAACAAAACCAGCATATGTCAAGACGATCGATTCATGACGGTAACCGGCGATTGCAATGATAAAGGGGATACACTTCTAATAAATATGGCCACGGCACTTCCATTTCAACGTTGCCTTCTGCCGACATGCGGCTGATTGTGTTGTGTGGAGCCGTCAGAGTGTGGAGCCGATGTGGTGAATGATTGCCGACATGGAAGAACCCCTCCATATTGAAACATTCGTTCCACTGCCTTCAGTCCCTGATTAAGCTTAATCTTAACATCTGCAGGTAATGCGGCTCAGACTGGGCGTTGTTGCGCCTGTGCGGGTTCGAGACCTACGTCACAATTTAAGAGGTTGTTGCGGTATTGGCCCAGATTAGATTAAAAACGACTGCATACTGCCCAATATCCTCAACTAATGTACAATGAGATCACCCCTAATGCAGTGACATGTGAGATGATGCCTTAACACGGCTGGTAAGGCACGTTTCCACTATACATACTAACCCCAGATTTTTGGCAGTAGCGTATGAAACGTGGGATGTCCGAACGTTCACCGGAGAACTTCGGTCAAGGGGATCCACACTCCGAACAAGCCTGTAGAATCTCACGAGGCAACCGTGACCATCTTTCGCGCCTACCAAAGACCAGGCTACGGGATACAGGCTAACAAGCCGGACAAGCGAGGAGGTTCGGGAAGCACCGCCAACGCCCGTCAATTACCTGCGCTGATCGTTAAGTCAGACTATCCCGTTGATGGCTACTCGCCGTTGCCCCTTGCCTATATTAGAATGTGAATCGGTAGCAGGTAATACCATCGATGGAAACAGTGAAGCCGCAGAATGGCGGGACGGAGAACGAGAATAATATCGCTTCCAATATATCCCCTGACGGACTAGATGGAACTGCGCCCCTGTTCAAGGTCCAGCACGGACGGTAATTGCCCTCGTGCCACTGCAATGTTCACAACTGCCTTGGTGGCTCGTACCACTGACGTCCGAACGTATCCATCAAATCTCCAGCGTGTGCCTTGGGCCATAGGTACCTCACTGGTGGGGCACGCAGCGGTATGCAGTCCCAGGACTGATTAAAACTCGTGGGTGACTTCCCATCTCAAATCATCCCTGTGTGTCGATTCCTCAGCATTTGTGTCTCGAAGGGCCTGGATTCACTCATCATGGCAGTCCCTCCGCATAACAACCTTGCTGACGACCGCAGCCAGGACTCCTTGGACGCTGCGGAGAAGGGACTCTGTGACAGCTCTTTAGAGTCTGTTGCCCCTCCACCTTTTGTCTATGTAGACCAGAGCAAGGAGTTACACATCGACACCAAACCCGTACCTCTGTCACCTGCCTCCCCAGTTCACCAGGGAATCACCCCTTTCTCCTCCGTACCGGAGCTTTCTCTACAATGGCCACCCGGTCGCCGGCCCACGGACGCGAACAAGTTGGAGACTGTAGAGAAGAAGAAGCCCCTACCGGCAGAGAAACCAAAACCTAAGATCAGCCGATGGATCCTTTTCGACCTGTGGTTTAACACGTACCGGAAGTTCTTCACATTCGTCACGCTACTCAACCTGACCGGGATCATCTTGGCAGCTTTGGGCAAGTTTCCCTATGCAGAAAATCATCTGGGAGCTCTTGTTCTGGGTAACTTGCTCTGTGCTATTATGGTACGGAATGAACTGTTCATGCGCTTTCTCTACATGGTTGCTATATACGGCCTTCGTAGTGTACGTACCATACCCCCGATCTCTGATTTGTATCTAATGCCATGTAGTGGGCGCCACTACGGATCAAGTATGCGGCCACTTCGGTCTTGCAACACGTTGGAGGCATCCACTCAGGATGCGCACTTTCTGGTGCTGGGTAAGTCGACTCTAGTTTTCGAAGCACAATGCATTCACTAATCCGATGCGCAGTTGGCTAGTGTATAAGATCGTTGACATTATCCGATATCGGGCCATTCAGCACCCTGGTGTGATTGCCAGCGGCATTATCACCAACGTATTCATTATCATTTCAGTTCTTTCCGCATTTCCCTGGGTTCGAAAGTCAGTTTCCCCATCCCAAGTATGATCACATTCACGGCTAACAGATATTATAGCACATACCACAATGTCTTTGAAAAGCATCATCGTTTTATTGGATGGCTAGGGCTGGCTACGACGTGGATGTTTGTCGTCATGGGTAACGTTTACGATATCAAGCTCGGCGAGTGGAGATCAGATGCGCACACGCTATTGAGTGCGCAAGAACTTTGGTTCGCCGTCTTCATGACGATTTTGTAAGTCGTTGCTCACAGGATGCTATATCTATAAATATTAACTCAACCTCAGCATCCTCATTCCCTGGGTAACACTCCGAGAGGTTCCCGTCGAAGTAGAAATTCCCAGTCCAAAGGTCGCCGTTCTCAAGTTCAAACGGGGCATGCAGCAAGGTCTGCTTGGAAGAATCAGCCGTACTTCAGTGATGGAGTACCACGCGTTTGGCATCATCAGTGAGGGTCGGAAAGCCGATTGCCACTACATGATTTGCGGTGTCCAGGGCGACTTCACGCGGAAGCTAGTCGAAAAGCCGCCCACGACCATTTGGACACGAGAGCTGAAGTTTGGTGCGTCAGATCTGGAAACCGTTGTAGCACTGCGCTAACCGTCGACAGCTGGCGTAGGGCATGCCTCCGCAATGTTCAACAGAGGCATCCGTATTTGCACGGGAACCGGCATCGGCGCAGCCTTATCCACTTGCATCCAGAGTAAAAATTGGTTCCTAATCTGGATTGGTTCGGATCAGGAGAAAACCTTCGGTCCGACAATAACCGGCCTGATTCGAAAGCACATTGAGCCGGAAAGGATGATCCTGTGGGATTCCAAGAAACGAGGCGGGCGACCAGATACAATGGCGCTTCTGAAGGATACGTGGGTTAGATTCAATGCCGGTGAGTTCTCGATTGTCCTCAAATTTTGTCAGAAGGGGTTTGCTGATTAGTTGTGCTACAGAGGTTATTTTCATCACAAGCAATATGCAAGGGAATGACGAGATGATGCAAGGCTGCCGAGCGGCGGGACTGCATGCATTCGGCACCTTGTGGGATTTCTAGCTGGGATAGAGTATTTTATAGCATCTTGAGGCGAGTTTAGGGGCGTTTTATGCAAGATCGATCTGTAGAAGGGGTTATTCCGATAGACGATCCCCAGTTACGGCAGCATTTATAAGTTTTCTTATTTGGGAACAGCGTGGGTGTGTACATGTTAGCGAAGCATTGTTTCCTACCTATTGAATGCATTTTCGAATGTCTTTACAATTTCACGTCCCGTGTCTACCGCCTCTTTTTACGTCCCGCTGAACACGACTTCGCGCGCAATGTTTATTCACCTTTCAATTAGCTCTTTCTGCTTATAACAGCGCTTCTGATAATTAGCTGTAAAACGCTATGCTCTAGTGGAGTAATCAGGATGTGACCAATTGAATCGCTGGGAAATGGACAACATAACTTGAAGCAGGAGTACAGGGGGTTGTTCAGTCGGACGTGGGAAGAGGCGGTATATCCTGTCTATTTTGTTCAGAGTTTTATCGTCTTATCCTGCCGAAAATACGTGGGTTATTGGCTAGATTCTTGCAGAGTTAATAAGTATCTGGCACGTGAAAGAGAATTCCAGGGTCTTTCAAGATTATATCACGGTTTCAATTGTCACATGCTCAATACCGAAGTGCATCTCAAACTCCACATCACTTCATTCCATGCTGGGCAGGAGCGCACCAACCAACAGAAGACAGGCAACATACATAACCAAGTTAAACAACGTCAGGTAGTACCAACTACGTCCTCCCTCCTCGCGACGGAAATACTTCGCTACCAAATTCCATTGCGTGAGACGCACACTTAAACGAGCTCATCCGCTTAGCACTTCTTCCACGACAAATGCAGCTGCATCTCAAACTTTGTATCCTGAGTATCAACACCCAAGATGGCATCCTTACTGCAGTTAAGAATGGCCTGGCTGTTGACATTAAACAGCGGGCCCGTAACACCGCACTTACTCCACACCAAAGAATCGTGTGGGATTGTGGAAGTAAGACGGTAGTTGTCGTCCTTGGGCCCATCGATGGTCAACATAGAGCGAGCCTTTTCAACAAGAGTCAGTCATACTTCCATGATATAGTATGGCAGGTAAGCAAATAGAGACGTACATCATTCTGGGTCCCGCTGAAGAAGTAGTTCGCGCCCAGTCGTCCGGAGCAGCCGGCCGGGATCCGCGCATAGCCTCTCATGTCCGTCGTAGCCACCGTCCAGGACCAGCCTTGCGGATAATGAAGGGTGATACGGACGTCGCAGTTCTTACGAGCGTCGGAGGAGGACTGGCCCGAGCCGGTAGCCGCGACGTACTTGCTAAAGGAGAGGGAGACGAGAGTGGCTTGCTCGCCAATGTCGGCGGAGACGCTGCCAGGAGGGCAGCCGGTGCCGGCCCAGGTTACTTCTGTGGAAATTGTTAGGAGGGTCAAGGTGATAGTGCAAGAGGTGGATGTGTCAATGCAAAGGTAGAACACCAGAACTCATAGCGAAGCCACTGTTGAATGTAAGACGAGGGTACATACTCTCAACGTAGACTTGGTCAGGACTCGGCGCGGACTGACGCTCCTCAATAGCCACAGGAGTGGCAGCGGTGAGAGCCGCAAAGGCAGCAATGAAGACGGAGTAGCGCATAATGGTATCGACAAAAGTCTCGAGTATCGTGCAAGATGAGATCGTAAAGCCTCTTAAGATGCTCCTTCACCACATGCGCTTCTATACCTCTCTTATACTCCTTCTCCTCAGCATCTAGACCTCTCCATCCCCACAGTCAGGTGGGCGCTGTCTCCGAGAACTCGTATGCAATATCTGCATCCACACGTTCGAGTCCACCTCTAAGAATAGCCTCCCTCCATATTCACGGATGAAGCTTGGCTAGAGAACGGAGTGGTGTATCGATTGGATGAGCTGCGAGCTAAGAAACTGCTCAGGCGGGCTGGTACTACTGATGCATGCAGGGCTGTGATTTGGATACATGTGCCGCGTGCCGTTACATGCTTCCGGATTCCATGACCTTCATGCGTGCTGCTCTGCTGAGGGGTCGATGACTCCTGCTTGGGTAGGAAGCTGAACAGACGATGTTATCGGTGATGAATATATCTGGCACGGCGTTTCCGATATGGCACTGGGGCAGGTCAACCAAGCATATCTTCATCATCCTGCATTCTCTCCTTTACTTCCTGTCTTTGATTTTACATGTGCCAACCGTGTAACACTGTGCTACTGAAGAATCACGCACATATCTCACCTGTTGCTACTGCAACCTACCACGACCCTCACCTGCAGTCCCCTCACCCAGAAGCAGACCACCCAGCGTGACGGCGCAATATGCGTAGATGGATATCTCGTGTCTTATGTGCCGAAGTTTGGAGGCGAGCGCTGAATATATTGGGTTTTGTGCTCAAGGAACACGTGATGGTAAGCTCAGTATATGATTTCTTGGTATTGTGGAGATGTGTAGATGACCTTGTGTGACGTGAGGGTAAGATAACTTGGATATGGGAATCTGGAAAGGGAATAAGAAAGCGGTTGAAGTTTGTGATTGCTGGAAACAAACGGGACCCTGTGACGCATGATTGGGGAGTTGTATATAGAAGCCACCAGCGGTGAATGAACCAGAAATAGCAATTCAAGATCGGGTATCTAGATGCGCTTCCAATGAAAACTCGTCTGGTGACCGAGTCACGGAGTCGAATTCAACAGAAAGGCGCATGCGGCGGGGATGGTGTTTGTTGTGAGCCCGACTTGGAGGGCCCAAGAGCTGTCATCAAGGAAAAGCAACGGCGGCTTCTTTGGTGGATGCAAAGTTTGAGAGATTTGCTCCTTGTCCTTGATGTTTAAACTTCCTTGCCGGTTGAATTTGATAGAAGTGAGTCCGTGAAGAATCCGGGGGATTCCAGCCAGATTCACAGTTTCTATCCAATTGTTTAGTCGTGATTCTTGACCAAATAGCACTGCTTGCATTTTGATTTCAGACTTCTTTGCCCCCAAGCTTTGAGGAGATGACCGATTGAAGAAAAAGCCTCGGACCCTGAACTGTGTCAGTCCAGATGCATAGCTCCAGTAACCCCGCGTGCCGAATGAGGGAGTTGATAATCACTTAGAAGGGAAACTACTTAATCTATCCGAAGAAAGAAGGCTGTATGCCACCGAAAGGGTCCTACTATCTCAATGGGGAGCGTTCTGGATCTCCCCAAACGTCACGAAGGACGAACTCACTGGATTCAACACCGCCCTAACATCAGTAACCCTATCCGCGCGTCCGTAGGCCGAGAGTAGAGATGAAGCGGAGTAGTGTTGAGCAATTCACATTGCTCAGCCGCAGGATTTACCCACTGAGGCCCTACGCAGCCAAGACGGATGCCCCGAACCAGTAAGCCTCCCGCGCGCAAGCCACAGACAAATACAAATGCATCCGAAGCGTACTCGAGGTTGGGTTGGCGTGTGGGGCGCGTAGACCTCATGAGTTCCGTCAACATCTACAGGTTCCCAGGAAAAAATCTCTCCTTATTCCTTTCCCTCCACACCTTATCATGAGCCACCACAATCTCAACCTGCACATCCCTACCATCCTCACCGACCACCTTCTTCTCCCCCATCAACCTCCTCACCCTCTCCACCGTCCTTGCCGCCTCACACGTATCAACATGCACACTCCTCACGCCACCTTTCCCATCGTCATACTCCGCGATCCCCTTCTCCCCCGTCAATATCCTCGGATCATGACAACAGTCACCACCTAAATATACCCACTTGTCCTCTCCAATCCTACAGAGTAAATTGACATGTCCGTATAAATGACCCGGAGCATCGACAATGTAGACGCTCCCGTCTGAGAAGAAGTCGATTACAGCGGGGAAACCGGCGAGAGGTCTCCACTGCAGGGACGCGGGTGTTTGCTGAGCAGAGGCGTATTTAGCATCCGCGGGTCTTACGGGCGGTAATTCCCGCGTTCTATCAACTGGAAGTTCGTCTGCGTTAAATAGCTCCGCTGGATATAAGGGTCCACCGCCGTGGGCTAGGAGGTGCAGAGTCCCGCTTCCGGCGATGAAGGTTGCGCTTGGGAAGTCCGAAGGTGTACCGACATGGTCCCAGTGCACATGGCTGAGGATTACAGTATCAATGTCTTGTGGGCTGAGGCCTCCTTTTTGTAGACTTTCCGCGGCGTCTGGGGAGACGATGGTTGGTTGGCGCTGGGAGATGTGGTGTTGTTGGGCCGGGCGGTAGCCGGAGAAGTCGCGCTTGAGGCCGAGGTCGAAGAGGATGTTTGTCGTCTTTGAAGACGTCGAGGATGGGTGTTGTATTAGGAAGGACATGGACGGGACCGTAGTCCGTTTTTCGGGGTCGGCATCTGTCACGAAGAGCCTCTCCGGAAGGGTGAGATGGCCGGCATCGAGGGCTGCGACAGTGACGTATGTTTGGTTGCGAACTGGCGCTGGGAGCGTCACAATCTGGGGACTTTGGGAGGACATCCTGTCGATTACATTGAAAAAGGTCACGGTGCAGTATTCGAGTCGTTTTGGGTTGTTAGGACCCCATGCGCTATTCGGGAAGCTCGGGGAAAGAAATCGTCTCCATAATGCCCCACCTCCAATTCGCCCCGCTGTGGGGATATGCAGGCATGTCGAGTTACTTGGGAAGATATTGCTGGAAGTCAACCAAATCTCTTGAATACCGAGATCTCGTTTCACAACTCGCCATGGCTGCATCACTTCCCAAGACTATGCTGGCTCAAGTTTTAGTTGACTTCGGGAAACCGTATGAACTCCGTTCTGTACCCCTTCCCGTACCATCCGGACCACATGACCTCCTCGTCAAAGTCGAAGCCGCCTCATATTGTCATACGGACTACGTCCTTGCCCAAGGGCAGATGTTTCCATTGCCAAAACAACTCCCACACATAGGCTGCCACGAGTTTGCAGGCACTATTGTCGCACACTTTGAGAATCCTAGCTCCCGAGCATCTGAATTTAAACCCGGGGATAAAGTTGGAGTTCCAGGGCGAGCATTCCATGCATGCGGGAGGTGCTTCGAGTGCCACGGTTCGAAAGATCCCGTTGCGCACGACGATGGAAATTATTCAGTCCACTGCCTTGAGGCTGAGAATAATGGGTTGAGCAGGGATGGGGGGTTCGCAGAGTATGCCGTAGTCGACGCAAGACAGATTGCCCCTCTGCCGTCCTCAATGACACCAGTCGAGGCCGCACCCCTAATGTGTGCGGGTTTAACAATCTTTTCTGCACTCAAAAGAGCTAAGCTTCAGGCTGGTGAGCGAGTGGGGATAATAGGAGCTGGAGGTGGGCTTGGACATCTGGGGTTGCAATACGCCCTAAAGATGGGTTATAAAGTGCTTGGTGTCGACGCAGCCGACGCACCCCTAGCCCTTGCGAACGATCTCAATACGGGGGCAAGGATCGTTGACGCTAGGCGAGAAAAGGCTGCTGATATTGTGCAGCAGCTGGGACTGGAGGATGGCAAAAAATATACGGCTGAGATGGGGGTTGATGCTGCAATAATCCTCCCCGAGAGCCAGCTAGCGTTCGACTTCGGGATGGCCCTCCTCAAAGCCCACGGCAAATGCATCATTGTATCATTCCCGGAACACGGATTCCACTTTTCTGCACGGGATATCGTATTCAGGGATATCTCAATTATTGGAAGCCTTGTGGGAAGCAACAAGATGCTTCGAGAGATGCTAGCTTTCTCGGCGGTCCATCGGATTCAAGTTATCAGTCGGACGTTCTCGCTTTGCAGGCTCAATGAGCTAGTAGAAGAGTACCATAAAGGGGAAGGAGGCAAGTTGGTTGTAGATATGTCCCGTAACCAATAGATTAAGCGTGTAACCTCTGGTGACTAGCAGGCTTCTATTCATATGGGGAGAAATTCTCGAAATCTTAAACGGCGTTCAACCAGACTCCAACATCTGAGCATAGATATTCAGGGCACTCCCAATAACATCAACAATGGCCCACGTTTGTGAGCCCTTGAAGATTGTAGCCCAGACCCTGAGGACGCCGGCGCTGAGGCTTCGCATGTAACATGACGATCCTACGGCGATAGCGGAATGCGGGGCAAATTCTGTCTCGTCCAGCATATCTTTCACGATCGCCACTATACGGAGTTCGTCCTCGGTGACGGCAGGCTCGGGGTCCGGAACGGAGAGGGCCTCCAGCCATTTGCTCAACAGGTAACCGCACTCCAGTGTGCACAGGGAGTGTTGGATTGACCAGATGAACGACTGAGTCTTAGCGACTAGTCGATAACCTATCTTTATGGGAATGCTTAATGCATGAGCCGAATGAAGAACGGCTCTCGTGATCTTCGGCGACCGCTTGATGGCGGGACCATGTCGAAAGGCGTTAGCGATCAACAGAGGGTCGCGTGTCTCAAGCGCTCGACCTGCGGTATCCACGTATAGTCTAATATAAGCCAGACGGAGCAGAGCTGTCGAATTGAAGGCGACCGGACCATTTGGACTCATCGGGTCGAGAGAAGACTCCGGGTTATGCTTCCACCCTGTCTGCCAATTTCTCAGTGCCATCTCCAGAGAAGCGATTTCTTCAGGATCGATGTCCCCTGCACCATCAAAGCGACCTTGGGCAACCTGACGGACGAAGAAAATGCGTTGGATGAGGGCATGAATCAACGCGTAGTTGCCAGCACTGGAATTCAGTTCTGTGACTTGACAGCCACTCGTTGAAAATAACTTTTGTAGCGCCTCCTGAAACTGGAGTTCGGGTGGACTGCTTTTCATTGCCTCTTTCCATTCGGCCTCGGTAGCGGCCTTGAAAGCCGCAGCTCTGCAGGGAAGCGGGAGCTTGACCTCGGAAGTCAGAATAAAAGGTGGAATGTTGTATACAATGCAGTGTAAATTCGAAAATCCATATACTATGAATTTGGTTCTTTTAATCGACTCTCGTCGGATCCAGTCTGCCCACGAAAGCGAGTTTTGGAGTGGCTCGTTCTGGAGACCATCATCTCTGATCAGTGTCGCCAGTATGCTCTGGATTGCGAGTGCTTCACGCAGGATTTCCTTGTGCTTTGCCCAGGTGCAGAGAGCCATGAGAAGAAGGAGTGCTTGCGCGGTCTGCATGAGGTCGTCGCCTTCAGAAGCACGGCCAGCCAAGAAGCCTGATTCAGGAGGGCTTCGCATTACGGACTGAGTATCAGGTTCGTGAGAGGATGAACATTCTGACTCTGCACAACGATAGTGCTCCACGAGTTGCGCATCCCTTCTGCGTATTCGGTAGTTTGCGATAGCTCGGCTGGCATTGAAAAGTTCAACGCCCTTCTCGCCTTCGAAAGTGTACTGAGCCCCAACAGCAGCAATGGCTAGGATGAGTTCGACGTGACAACTCTCAATAGACATGGTGACGATGTGAAGGAATGGCATATGCTCGTGAAAACCCTTGATATAAGCGGCGATATACCTGCACAACGCGAGCCTGCTTGGAAGACGGAAATCAGCCGGTAAAATGGCGGAAAACTCCTCCAACTTGTGCACAAGCTTTTGGCGGTCTTGAAGCGAGACATCAGCGAGCGATCGACGCTTCATAGCGTCCGCCTGGGGCCGCTCTTCCGGTTGCAATGATGGAAGTCTTGAACCAAAGCGCGAGAATGAGCTTGTCTCCTCTGCGGAGCCGTTGAGGCCTGTATCAGCAGAAGGGGCGTTATCGTGATGCGGAGAGTGTACATCGTAGCTGTGGTGGCTTAGCGCCTCCGGAGAAAAGAATGGCATCGGTTGCTCAGTGTTGATCAACGACGGGAACTGATAGGACGATAAAAGTTCAGTACCGAGTAAGGCCGCCATGCCATCCCCAGAGTCCCATAGACTCGGCTGGTGAGCATCTGCGTCACTCATGGGGCCGGCTTGCTGCACAACCGATGTGGCCACCATGTCAGCGGGTCTAGAGTGAGGAAGCGTCAGATGATGAGCGGCTCCATCTGTCACAGTCCCACGCAAGGACTGGTACTCGGCAGCCATGGATAATGTTGCAAGCGAGAACTCTTGCGGACAAGCAATCCTTTGAAGTCCAGTAGAGTTCGTCGAACGGTGCGTGCTCATCGATGGCGACTCCCTGTCGGCGGGAGAAAGGGGGGGCAACAGGGTGGGGATATCCGACACGGGTCGCCCAGCATCAAGGCTGGTTCGAGGACGTTTGTGAGTTCGCGATTCCTTGGGGCTGTGGCTCTCAGCTTGGCCCATTTTACCCTTCTGATGGTTCTCCTTGTGGTGAGTAAGGCGTTCATGCCGTACTAACAAGTCACTGCCATTGTTCAGCCCAGCACTTGCGTCCCATGGCCTGAAAACGCTACCTTCTTGTAAAAGAATAGTTGCACTTTTGACATCTGAATGGCTTAATGCCACTATGAATGCGTTCATGTCGCTGAAGGTGTTCCAAGCGTGCAAACATTCTCCGGCAATGCTGACATTGAAATCTCTTCTCTCTCTTTCCCGTTGTAGTAGGCTGCTCAGGGCCTGACGCCGCGTTGGGGTCCATTGCGAACGCAATTGGGTGAACCATGGAGGCCATTCACACCGTCCATTGGCTTGAGGTTTCCCGGTTCAGCATGGGAAGTGGATGAGAGTTGTGCAGACCTCAATGGAAGCTAGAAAAACTGGTGGTCGCTGAATCGCGAACTGGACATCGTTTTGCAAAAGTGCGGAGAACTCGAGCTTTTGCGGAGGGTTCCGTCATCCCATGCGGGGTTAGGTGTAGGCGCCACTACTGCTGTGTACCTAGGTAATGGACCGTGTTGGCTTGGCGGGTGCGAATCGTGACTCAGTGACACGGCAAAGGATAAACAGAACTGGGAAAATCCAAAAGACAATCCAACGATCATATTGTATAGAGATTATGATGATGAAAGGATGGAATTGCCTGGTGAGGTTGTGGGGCAACGAATGTTCCTCCCCCCCTGATGCCCGCACGTGCATATCTCTCTCGAATGGGAAAGTCGACTTCCCTCGCCATCTTCCAAAGTTTCTGCTCCTTTTCCCTTCCATCAGCATCACATCAATCTCTTTAGATTCGCCAAAACCGCCATCCTCACTATGCCTTCTCGCTCTTTCCCCCCAGCTCACGTGGCATTTCCCCCTTTTCTGCCATCTCGTTGAGCACCCTCTCCGCCGTCTTCATGGCGTCAACTCCCGCCGGAACGCCGCAGTACGTGGTCGCATGGATAATGGCCTCGCGGATCTCCAACTCGGACAGCCCGTTGTTCCTTGCCCCTCGAACGTGAACTGCCAGCTCGGGCCCTCGATTGAGCGCCATCAACATGCCGATATTAAGCAGGCTTCGTTGCTGCTTCGTGAGGCCTGGTCGTGTCCACGCATACCCCCAGCACCACTCTGTCACCAACTCTTGACCCGCCCGAGAAAACTCCGTAGAACCATTGGCCAACGCCCGGTCGACGTACTCATCGCCTACCACACTGCGCCGCATCTTCAGGCCCTCATCAAAGAGCTGCTTGTGGAGGTCGTCGAACTTGGGATCGGTAGACATGCCGGGCAATCTTGATTGGTGGGAAATTTGTCTCGGCTAAGGGGTGTGTCCGTCGTGCAGAGGACGAGCGCGAAGATGGGCTGGGAGCAATTCAGGCAAGAGGAGGCTGAATGGCGAGGTTGAACGGCTTCAGGACGGGATTGTAAAGGAGACAGCTTCTGCGTGGATGTTCATGTACGACCCCTCTTGTGGGGTCCCGGCTTCGGCTTTTGGAGACCAGAGCCCCTCTTCTCCAAATCCCCAATATCTGCGTCACTGCGACATGCAAGAGCCCCGAGAGCCTGTCGACGACTCGTTTCACAATTCGGATTAAGTCTACTCCGTATGACGATTATGTTACAGCCCATGCGGGAGGTGGACTCAGTGACCACCGAACCTCGTCAGCCAGTCTTCATCACCACCGAGATAGCGATAGACGACCCGAGAATCCAGATCTCGGCATCGTTCGTCCTTGCTGGCCCCATCATACGTTGCCAGTCCAGCTTCGCCTAACACATTCCTGGATCCAACGCGTTTCGCCATGTCCAACGCCAAAGCAAAGTCTTTCCGCATCAACTGAACCTTGAAGCCTTGCTTGTAACCCCCAGAGGAGGGAGCTTCCGGGTATACATGCGGAACTGGATTGAACTTGTCGCAGATGGTATTCTGTGCAGTACCTGCTGCATAGACCCTGGCTAGCACTCGAGGATCCAGCCCTGAGCGCATCCCCATGTCCATGGCCTCCGAGCAAGCGATTGCAATGATTCCAGAGAGGTAGTTATTTGACAGCTTCGCCGCAAGTCCAAATGACGGACCTCCGCATGGGATGATTTCCTTTCCCATGAGGCCCGCCAAATACGTGAGACGCTCCAGATTCGGGTCCGATTCTGCACAGCCAAGGAAGAAGGCAATTGTGCCTTTGATTGCTCCGATAACGCCACCGCTAACAGGAGCATCATAGAAAGACGCAGTAGGGAAGTTTGCCGCTATGTGTTCTTTCACGGCAAGACTTGTCGAAGTGTCGATTGTAGAGCAATCGATCAACAGTTTCCCGGATATGTCTGAGGAGCAAATTCCTTGTTGCGGATCGAGGTACACTGATCGGACATGCTCCCCTTCCGGAACCATGGTTATCACAACGTCCTATGCTACCGTCAGTTACGCTTGTCTACTTTTCCCGGATAGATCCCTTACTGCCTGGTCAGCGATGTCCTTCGCGCTGGATGCCTTGTACACCTTGTTCGGGAATTGGGCGCACATGCCATCGACTAACTCGTCAACGACATCAAACGCCCATATCTTTGATTGTGGAGGTAGTTTATTCGCAAGATGGCTAAGCATAGGTTTCCCCATGGCTCCAAGGCCAATGAAACCCAATCTCCGAATCTCAAAGGGTTTGTCCATCTTTGCAGCCGGGCACAGATCCGTTTGCCTGAAAATGGCAAATGCGAACAGTGCCTGTTACTTTTTCGAAAAGGAGGCTGGACGGCAGAATTGGACTGAAATGGTTTCACAGCGCAATAGCTTTTCGGCGGCTCAAGTCTTTCTCCAACCCGTTTCCGCCCCACTCTATTCGGCAAGCCCTAAGCGGGGTATGATGGGAGGTCGTACTCCACATACCCCAATGCGTCAGATTGATGTCCTTCCCCAACAATACCAATGCAGATCATTGAATACCAAGCTGCACGACTACATTATGGCAGAGTTCGACCTCAACCAATGGTGTCGATCATTGTGAATGCATTTCATAACGGCGGTCTCCTTCCATAAGATGGTATCCGTATACGCTCTTTCTTGTGGGCACTTTACTCTACCGGAATATCAATTTGTCCATCCTGTCTCCAAAGATGCTCGCAAAACAGTGCCTTCCCTTGCCTTCCTCCTTGTCCATACCGATCCCAACACTGGCCGGGCAACAAGGATTCTGTTTGACCTGGGCCTCCGGCGAGACATAAATCGATATGTTGCGCCTATTCAGAAACACATCGAGACACGGCAGCCTCTGACAACGGAACCAGACGTTGTGGCGAGTCTGGCCAAAGGCGGCCTCACGCCTGATGACATTGACTATATTATTTACTCCCATGTTCGTACCCGGTTTCCCTTCTAAGTCCCTGCGATCGTTGACACCGATGCATAGGTGCATTGGGATCATATCGGAGAGCCACTCGACTTTCCCACATCAACATTCGTGGTCGGGCATGGATCGATTGATGTCCTAAACGGCAACTGTTCCTCGCTGCGAGGGGGGCACTCGACATTTGAAAAGGACCTGCTTCCCGTTGGACGGACAATCGAACTAGCAGGCCCAGCACATGTTACAACGACAAATAAATCCCCTCCTCCCGAGCTTGGGGGATTGCCGAATTTCAGTCAAGATTGGAAACCCCTTGGTAGCCTCCCGCGTACTTTGGATCTATTCAATGACGGTTCAGTGTACATAGTTGATGCGCCAGGTCACTTGCCTGGACATATCAATCTGCTGGGTCACACCCCTAATGGCAGGATCTACTTGGGCGGAGATGCATGTCACGACAGGAGACTATTAACTGGAGAGAAGGAGATTGGCGAATGGCACGATGTTCATGGAAATGTCTGTTGCATACATGCAGACAGAGCTGCTGCTGAAGCGACAATCGAGCGGATAAGACGGCTTGAGAAGGATGGCGTGGAGATCATATTCTCCCATGATGTTGAGTGGGAGAATGATCCCGCTAATAGTAGCCGCTTCCTAGGGGGACGATAACCATTAACTTTCTATCTATTCCAAGGTTCCAATCTACTCCCTTTTCATCATCGAGTTGACGGACACTGCACGGTTAATCGAGCCAGCCCCGGTTTCTTCTTCGGTGATGTTCGCATTCTGTTTTTCGAGAAGTACCTGCGAGTCGAGGAATGCAAGTAACCCCAGTCAGGCTCTCGGGGAAGCTTCTCCAACCTCCGACCCTCCGCTTTACCCCAACTTCGATACCGTTTATTGTTGGAGAATGTGGGGCCTCCCATCCACCAATCAGAAGCGACCCTCACCATCAGATTCAACAGCACATGTACGAAGAGAGAGACCGTCCAGTTCATGACATTAGTGCCACAATCATATTGCTAGTATCGAGAGATATATACGTGTTTGTCCTCAAACTTCGACCGAGAATTAGACCTCGCTCATTCCGTACTTAGGTTAGGGAGAACAGTTTATGGAACCGCATCCTCTACCGCATCGCATCATGTCCTTCACCGCAGAGCAAAACCGCCTGAAACAGGAATTCGACAAAGAACTTGGACCCTCGGCCTTTGATCCCTCATGGTCCCGTCTCCTCCGATTCTCACCCCCAATGTTCGCCGCAACCATGCGCCTCACCTCTGTCCCGAAGCGCAAATCCCACCTTGCCCCCAAAATCCAAAGTCTCATCTCCCTCGCTGTTTCCGCCTCTTCAACACACCTACACGTCCCGCATATCCAGCGCCACACCCGCGCCGCCCTATCCCACGGCGCCACGAAGGCCGAAATCGTAGAGGTCCTGTGTTTGACATCCACGCTGGGCATTCACGCATGCAACATCGGCGTGCCGCTCCTGTGCGAAGTGCTACGGGAAGAAGGACACGACGTTCCCAGCGGGATGGACGGGATGAGCGAAGAGCAATGGAGGCTGAAAGAGGAGTTTGAAAGGAAGAGGGGGTATTGGCATGGGTTCTGGGAGGATTTCTTGAGACTGAGCCCCGAGTTCTTTGAGGCGTATACGGAGTTTAGCGGGGTGCCGTGGGAAGAGGATGCGGAGGCGGAGGGGGAGGAGGGTGGGGAGGTGAGGAAGGGTGTGTTGGAGCCGAAGGTATGGGTTTCCTTTGAAGATGTCTTTGAGAAGTGGTTTTGAGGGCTGCAAGGCTGACGAATTGAATTAGGTTAAGGAGCTCATATACTGTGCCTTTGATGCAGCGGCCACACATCTGTATCAACCGGGTTTGAAAATGCATATGAAGAATGTATTGACGTATGGTGGGACGGCCGAGGAGATCATGGAGGTGTTGGAGTTGGCGACTCTGTTGAGCACCAGTACGCTGGACGTTGGCTTGGAGGTTTTGGAAAGTGAGTTGAACCGGGATGGAAACGAGCTCACGCATACATGAGTTTGACCTGCAGGATTCTGGAAATCCCGATTCTACTTGAGGTGGTTATACTCTTGCAACGTAATCATGAGGCAATTGAGGGACGGACATGTTGAAAGCGACGGTCGCAAACCGATCAGATCGCAACACTGCTTAGCGCTTGATTCTTGAGCTTTCTTGCGTCCTCCAGTCTCAGTGCCCTTCCTCCCTCCACTCCGCACGCTTTCAAACACACTGCTTGTCAGTTCGCCGACCTTCTCCCACTCCACCCAGCATCGTGAAACACAGCGAAAAAACCCTTCACAAGCCGCTCATGACGTCTCTAGCAAACCCGCAAGCAGCAAGGCGCAAACGCCCACCGCTACGGATTAAAACCCACCATAAACCTCTTGTGTATCGCGAAGAAGCCTACATTGGACCACGCAAATCAGACGGCGATCTCAATCACAACAATGTCACCCGCGCACAACGACCACGACACCTCCCAGCGCTACTACTCGCGCTATTCCTACCGCCGTCGCGCAAGCCCGTCTGCTCACTCTCCGCCTCCACCACCGTACCACAGCTTCCTCCGCAGCCCATCTCCAGACTCCTCACTGACTGCCCTCGTCCCTCCTTTCCATCCTACAGGTACTTTTAAACCGCGCAGGAAGGACCCTGCACCAATTCCAACCCCTCCACTTCCTTATTATCATCCTGGGACGCCTTCTTCACTGTTTAGACATGCGGATGAGTTGACGGACCTCTCATTCTCAACGTCCTACCCTTCCTTACTGCAGCCGCGTAGCCGTAGGCGCACCCGGGCTCAAGGCCAGAACGCAACTGATTCATATGCTGGCATCGGATCGAAAGGGAGGTCCGAGCTTTATGAAAGCTGGGAAGAGTACTTATTTAGCAGGCGGAAAGCGGAAGAGGAGCGAGTAAAGCTTGAGAAGGATGAAAGAGTTGCTGCCGCAGCGAGGACTACGCTGGAGCGGAAGCAGGAGGAGGAGGGATTGAAGAACTTGGGAACGAAGAGGCACGGGGCGAGGGAGTCGGAGATGGAAGTGTACCTACGCGGTTTCAGGACGAGGGCCTTTGAGGCGGAGGTGAGGAAGAGGAGGGAGGAGAGGGAGGCGAGGGTGAGAAATGAGGAGGAGAAGAGGCTGAGGGAGGAAGTTGGGAAGCGATTGAGGGAGGAGATGCGGGAGAAGAAGGTTAGGGAGGGAGCGGAGAAGAGATGGAAGCGAGAAGTTCGCGAGAGGCAGATGCGGGAAGAACTGGAGCGGAAGGACAGGGAGGAGATTCAGGAAAGGGCAGAGAGGGAGAAGATCTGGGAGGCAGGAGGTAGGATAGATGTGCGGGAAGAGGGAGGACGTCGGACATTGAAGGAGATGAAGAGGTACGGTCGATATTTCTACAAGGGCAGTAACGGCGAGCTTCTAGAATATGTATGGAAGGAACGGCGGTGAGTCGTCGTATGGTCCTCTAGACGGACACTTGGTTCACGTTCGCGAGTGTAGGAGGTGTAAGTTGTAGCAAATGATAGTAGTGAGACCTATCATGTTGAATTGCCTCAGTTACGGAATGTACTGTTCCATTTACACAAAGAGACTGAGTGATATTCCCATTTTGATTTAGAGCTTTGATCGACGCTGGAGGTACATCCGGATGCCGATAGCGACTATTGCTTGTTAGTGAGATAGCCAGGTAGATATGACATGTGAAGAATGAAGCAGTGTAAATTGTAAACCGAAATGCAAAATAGTGACAGGACGAGGTTTATGTTAACAGGAGTATTCTCCGAATGGGATTGATCATGCCGTATAAAGATAAAAATGCAGTGCATTGTGGGTATCTTGTTCCAGAGGAATACGAAAGGAGACAGTCACTTACTGATCACGGCGGCGAAGCTTTTGATTCCCACCAGTCCCAAAGCCCATTGCAACCAGCCAATGGTTCTGCCCTGGCGGTCAAAGTTCGGCTTGATCTCGGCCATGTTCTCGTACCGCTTCTGCTTTTTTGCCGTATACGGCGGGTATCTGATAGAGAGCAGACCCTCTATCCAGCCCGGAGTCGTGGTGACCGGACGGCGATGCGTGAAGCAGTCGAAGGAAGCTTTGCCACGATAAGCACCAGCGCCGGAAGTTCCGACTCCACCGAACTCCAGTGTGGGAATGGAGGCGTGGTAGAAGCCATCATTACATGAAGCACCGCCGGAGCGGGTTTGGGAAAGCACTACATGATAACGTCAGTTCCATATGAAAGTTACCTATGAGCAGATAAGTACCTTTCTCCATTTCTGCCTTAGTACCGAATGAGTAGACACCCAGAGGGGTATCGTGGACCTGGTTTGCAATCTTGATCGCCTCGTCCAAGTCGGTGACGGGAAGGATAGGCATCAGCGGGCCGAAACTCTCGTCCTTGACGGTGCTGTCATCCAAACTATCGACCTGAATGACTGTGGGCTCAATGAAGAGGTCGCTCTCATCCATGGTGCCGCCAATCAGGATCTTGCCCTTGGAATCCTCGACCATCTTCTTCAAACGCTGGAATTGCCTCTGATTCACAATACGGGCATAATCAGGCGACTTTTGCACGCCATCGGGATAGAATTCCTGGAACGCATTCTTCAGCTCCTTGATAAAGGCAGGGAGCAGCTCGCGATCGATCAATGTGAAGTTCTGTGACACGCAGACCTGGCCGGCATTCAACGTTTTGGCCCACAACAGTCTCCTCGCCGCCAGACGTGGGTCGGCATGTTTGGTAACGATAGCGGGATTGCGTCCGCCGAGCTCCAAAGTGACGGGTGTGAGCGTCTCCGCAGCCTTCTTCGCAATGATGGTGCCAACGTTTGCAGAACCAGTATAGAAGACCTTGTCCCATTTCTGGTCCAACAAAGCAGTCGTCTCTGGGATCGCCCCCTGGATGACGGTGTAACTTGAAGGGTCGAGCGACTCCTTAACGATCTTCTCGAGTACAGCTGCGGCATGTGGGGCTTGTTCGGAGGGCTTGAGGACGGCGGTGCAGCCAGCCGAGATGGCACCAATGAGAGGACCTAGCGACAGCTGGATGGGGAAATTGTAGGCTCTAGCAAGCGAAGTCAGCGTCTCTCACAGCTTCTGTAGTCTGACCCAGTAGACATACCCAATGATAAGCACAGTGCCCAAAGGATCCTTTCTAATCCTGGGCCCAAAGAGCTTGTTCTGGAAATTCATATCTTCTGGCTTCTCGTCCTTTGCGAAACGCTTGAGGTTCTTCTGCATGAAGACGATGTCGTTTACGCACCAGCCGTACTCGGACAGGTAGGTCTCGTAGGTGGACTTTCCGATATCCTTTTTACAAGCCTCGATGATGAGCTCTCGGTTGTCGCGCATTCTAAACCATCCGTCAGTACAACGGCCGGTAGTAGACCAAGTCAGTCGTACCCCCAATAGAGCTTGCGCAGCTGCTGAATCCGGTACTCCAGCGGCCGCGTTTTGTGCGAAAGAAAGCTTGCGCGGATGCCATTGACGGTGCTCTCAATGGTCTCAATCGGCGTGTGCTCAAAAGCCGGAAGCTGCACCATTTTGACGGTAAAATGAAAACCAACGGGCAGCTGTGAGGGTGCGGCAATGTCAAATATAGGGGCCGGATTGGTTTGGAGGTGTCTGGAGCTATGTGGAACTCCTCCAAGCGTCCTTTGGTCTTCACGCGCCGTCATGATGAGCCTCGGTCGTCGTAGTCAGCCCCGCTTATCTTTGCCCAGGAATAGAATAGTAACTGCCTCAAGCGGTTTAGCCTAAGTTTCGGCGACCCTTATCCCCGAATAGTCTCCTACTCCAAACGGCATCATTCACGACGACATGCGATGGATGTGCCTACATCAATGGGAGGAGTAAGTGAATGGAACCCTATGTTAAGAGCACCATCTATACACACCCGGGTCTATCACCTTCATCTTCGCTCACTCTCGTTCAACCACTTGTACACTACCCGCGCATCCTTCCCCTTGTATCGCTCATCATTCTTCGCCTCCTCGAATGCCTCCAACGTCGGCTTATCTAGGATCGTTCTTGCACCGACCATTGATGCCAAATCGCTACCCATTTGCAAGACCTTGGCGCACAATTCAATCCGGAAGCCCCCTTCATATCCTCGAGAACTGGGGACATTGGGCTGGACTCCGGGCACCGGGTTGCTCTTGCTCGTGACCCAACACTGCCCGCCAGAGACGTTGATCACATCGGTGAGCAACTTGAGGTCCAAACCCATCTTCGCTCCGATGTTGAATGCCTCAGAGGCTGCCAGAGATGTTATAGCGGAGAGATAGTTGTTGATGATCTTGAAGGCGGTTCCAGCGCCAACATTTCCGCATAAGAAGATGCTGTCCTGCTTGCCCATATGGGAGAGGATTTGCTTCACCGTAGGAAAGACCGTAGCACTCTTCAGACCCACCATGAAGGTAAGTGTCCCGTCTTGAGCACCCATCGGTCCGCCAGACACTGGCGCATCAACAAAGTGCAGGTTTGAATGAGCTGCAGAGGCTTCAGTCGCTCTGGCGACCTCAAGAATGGTGGCTGTTTCGATGGTTCCGCATTCCATGATGATCTTTTGTCGGGCTGCTGATTTGCTCAGATCGTCTACAGCCCCTGCGATGATACCCTCCAATGGATCAAGGTAAACCTTCTTCACCGCGTTGGAGTCCGGGAGCATTGTGATTACAATGTCCTGTGATAACATTTAGTATTGAGTGTCACCCTCGGAGTTGATACCCGCACTTACAGCTTTCGACGATGCTTGGAAGCCATTGCGTATCACTTCTACAGGCCCGTGGCCTTCAGCATCTCGAATGAAGCGCGCCAGCGCATCCTCCACGACGTCGCATATCAGCAGTGTATAAGATGAGTCGAGACCTTTGCGCAGATTGAGTGCCATAGGGTAGCCCATCACGCCTAGGCCTAGACGGTGTTATTAAACTATTTCTGGTAAAATGCGATCTGAACAAACTATACCAATAAATGCGACCGTCTTCTCTTGGTTTGACATGTTGCAATATCACCTATGTTCACTGTCAGGCGCCTTGAGAGCTTGTTCTGAACGAAAAGTGGTGAGTGGTCGATGATCGTGAGTTCAAGAAAACTGTAACCTCGACAACATTTGCATCATTACCCAGATCCTCACTAATTATGTCCAGCCCTTGTCCCGTTCAGTTCCTCCCCACAAACTGCTCCCCAGAAAAGACCCCACATTCTCCAAAGCGGGGTATGAACCCTTCTTTCGATAAAAAGTACTTCGATATCAAGCCCTCTTCCAGAATCAATCGCCTTTTGTCCTAATCTCACGGTACTATTTGCCCGCCAACTATGTCGATCCATAATCCTACGTGGACTGGTGAAGGAGCAGTCACGTGACATGTATCGCCAAATCAAAAAGATGACAGGTGAGAGATGACGAGTTGTGTTTTTACATATCACACTTCGAAACATAACTTTGCGGTTCTCTTTTCAAAGAATGCGGTCATACAGGCCGTAGAGAACTGCACTGTGAATGTCACGTTCTTAGCTGACTAAGCTAGAATGGCGCATCCCGAGGTCGTTGCATCCTGGGCTCGAACGGATTCTGCACCTCGACAGTTTGACACCACCTTCTCCTAGACTACCACAGCTCTTCGCCTTGTCTTCCCATTCTTCATCCGACACTTGACTCTATTCAACAGCGTGGCAACACATTTGTCAATCAAATATCGACACCCACCTCAAATTTGAACAGGCACATTCACCCAAATGTCTGTTCGCTCTTGCCAACCAATGGCTAATAGAAGTGCTCATCAACCTGAACTCGACAGTTCAGTGCGTCAAAGATGTGAATGCACATGGTGTGCTCTGCGCATCCTCTCCATTCGCAACACTAGAGTATCATACAGAATCTACTAAAAGAGATACAATAAGACGGGAAATCGGAGGGATCTTCGTCAAGTTTGCAAAAGAAATCTCGACTTCCAAGTTACAATGACCTGAAGGAATGCGGAAGCATTTCGAATGCGAACTCCGTTTAACAGTTTTCCACCAAGAGCAACAGCTCTTTCATCAATTCAGATGCAGAAAATGGTATGCCGCCGACCAAACCCCATGTTCCGCCTGTCGGCCGACATTCCTTTGGCAGACCAGTCGACGGAGCTTCTGTTTCGCAACTTCAACGATCGGCAATAGCAATTCGACGACAGAGAGACTCGAACAGAAGTTCCAGAACGCCACAAAACCCCACCGCTAACCACGCGCAAACAATACAGAATCCGGACTCTTGTGAATCAACCACTTCTTCGCCTGTAGTTTACCGGGACGGGTTGGTTAACGAACACCTCCGCTTCGTTGGCCCTGCGCGATTTGTTCTCTTCGTATTCCTTTGAGGACGCTTTCAAATCTTCAATTTGCGCCTGTTCGGTTCAGCTCTGGCTCGTACACCGGTCGGTTTCCATAATACCTTCGTCAAAGGAGGCCCCGAAGTGGTGACCAGAAACCCATCCCTCCCCTGCACGCTTGTCAGTCAAGTTACAAGACGATACATCGTTGCAACAGATAATTACTTGCCTGATGTGTGTATGGTCTTACTATCGAGCCAGGTCCACAGTGGTAACATATCTCGCTCTGAATCACCGCTCGGGAGATTCCAAAGCCTGGAACAAAGTACGAATTCACCGTGGCCATAATTCTTTGAGAGAATAAGCGTTGTTCCCAACCAGCTCCTGAGGAATTGTTTCCACGGGGTTCTTGCCTCGTTAAATACAGTTTGCGACCGAAGGGGGAATGCAGTGGAAAATGGTAGCATACGGACTTACTTGCAGGTTCGCTGGAACGTGTGCCTAAGCGCGACAATGGGTCGTTGTGGTCAAGTTGGGCTCTTCCCATTCCTTGGACGCGTTGATGCCGCAAGCCTCACTCTTCGCCCTGCCCAACTTGAACGATCCCATTGGGCTGCAATAGCCGAACTAAGGACCACCAACTTCGCCCTATTCACCATCACCTTCTCCAGCACAACCTAACAGATTTGCTCCCTGCACACAAATATCTCCGGTAAGCATCGCCTTGACCCATCCGATGCATCTAAGTGGCAATGCCAGCTCAGCGAACACGTCGACAACCGTTCACAACATATGCTATAAGGGATATATAATGGACATTTTGCCACAGATGCAACTTGCAAATCTCTCTCTTTTCTATACTGTCCGTCTGAGCTCCAGGGAACCGCGCGGGCATCATGTGAGGGCCACAATGCCCAGGGTGAAAGATCTGGCTAGAACTTGGCACAACGCAACGCCGTCGATCTGCACTGATTCCTGGAACAGCGACGATCACCACGTCCTCCCCAGCCACGCTCGTCTTCGGACTTATCGAATATCTTGTGACCGGCTCCCAAATCGTCCATCCAAAGTCACTCCTTTGGGTTGAGGTTATGCAGGGTTTAGCTCCCGAGCCTCAAGGTTCCCCTCTCGAGTCTCAGCCCAATGGGTACCTGTGCATCGAGGGTCTTAGTGCGAGCGCGGTCCCTACATGTCGGTAAGCAAGAGTGCCTCGCTCTTCTTTCATCTGACATGATTTACTCCATCAGCCTTAGCGGACTCTCTGGCTGCATGGGATGCAGAGTTACAAAACTGGGTCATCTTCTCATCAAAAGAACAGAACCCTTGCTCATGTCATAATGGCAAGACTCTGCGGACCTGGATGTCAAGCGTCAAGAGAGACAGTGGCGGATCAGCATTGAGAGAGGCGTTCAGCTCATCACCTTAGGAAAAAATGAGGCTTTCTGCGAAGCGAGTGAGCAGGAAAGTGAGCTCTGACAATTTCATCACTCGTATGTCGATCAAAGAAGCCATATCCTCTTCCATTTGGATCTGGAGTTCAATGCTTCATTCTCTGCGCATACCTGGCTTCCCCCCTTTTGCGGAATCATGAGGACGCGAAGTACTGCTTTCCATATTGTCCTCGATGTCAATCGCACGCATCCCGACAAAGGTCCGCGGCTTCAATGAGTGCAACACAATGCCAATACAATAATTACCAGTTGAGCTCTCTTGTGGTTACGATACTTATCGCTTCGGATTGTTGCAGTTCACGATTACGAGCTGCCATACGCCTGAAGCTAACCCGCATTTAGAGCTACCATGAGCGTATGAGGATGCCTCATTCAGCAACGCAAGTACGGCCTCGCCAGCCAAACCAATCCTCGAACAGCGTCATGGTAGAAAACCCCTATGGTGCCATGCTGCAGACTTGAGGTCTTGTCTCAAAATCATTCCGAAGTCTTACTTTCCTTTCAACAGCCATTGGATGGGTCGAGATCAGATTTTCTTTTTCCAAGCTTTATTCTGCGGTCTTTGGCTTAATTCCGTTTCCGTCACCGAGGCGATTCCTCACAGTGAGGCAAGACTTCGCCTACATTGATAGGGTTTGGTCAGGAAATCACGACAAATCTATTCGGTGCGCTACATGATCAAACTACAGGCCCGTCACAATTACAGCTTCGAAATATCCATGACCGTTACCGTCACCTTGTTCGTGGTGCTAGGGGGCAGTTTTCCACCCCCCATGATGAGCAGCTTGGTCTCATCCTTCAAAACCCTCAAATGCCGCGTATAACTCGTCCCCTCCGGCGTACTGACCTTCCTCCAGGCACCTTCTCCCAACCCTTTATTGACGAAGATCTCGCCCGTCGTTCCGCAAGACACGATGAGCGTGCCATTCTTCCCACCGACCGAGCTCCATACAATATACGGCGAACCATTCGGGATCGTACCATCCGTCGCTTTGAGAGAAATTCCTGTCGCAGGTCCGAATTTCTCCGGATCAGACACAATCTTGTAGTACACCGGGAACTGGTAGCTTCCGGAGATAGCAGGTCCACCGCCATATTCATACGCCATGATGAACTTGCCGTTAGGCAAAGCGGCAACCGTGGGCATACCCGGACGGTCCGTATACTTCGGGTACGCAACATCGTCGACGACGGGACCCCACGTTTTGCCATCGCGCGTAGTTTGATGTACCATCTTCTGGCCATGTGTGGTATTGGCGCGCTGGTCCGAGTAATAGCATATCAACGTTTTTTGGTAAAGCATGAGAAACGGTTCCCACACTGGCGTGAGGCCATTCGTAGGCTTAGCGACACCGCCGGCCGCGATGTGGGATACGAACTTCCAGGTAACACCCTGGTCGAGAGAGGCGTAGAGGTCGATTTGCGTCTTGCTGAGGTCTGTGGGGATCGAGCTGCCGGAGAGGAGAACGGTGCCTGCAGGCCATTCGGCGAATGCTTCGGGCAGGACATAAAGGAAAGGCTGATAGCGGAGGCCCCAGCCGTAGCCTTTGTCTTGGACGCGCGATATCTCTTTCCAGGTATAGCCGTTGTCCGAAGAGCGGTAGATGGGGAAGTACACTGGTGGAGGCTCGGGACTGTAGTTCTCCCACGTCGCCAGGAGGTCGCCGTTGGGAAGCTGCGCCGTCCGCGCATATAGTACTCGCGGGTCGGTATAGGTCGAAGGAGGAGTAAATACCACTCGTTGGGAGAAAGTTGACGGTGCGGATTGTTGCGGTATCGCCGTTGCCAATGGCAGGAGTCCGAGGAGCCAGGTTATCGCCCTCATCTTGGAAGCCGATGGCCTGAGAGCTCCTTCGACGCAGTGAGACCTTTTTTTCGGGCTGGCGCATTTTTTTCAAGTCTGGGAACACAATTTATATGAATGTTTTCCTTCGTTCCTGGAGAGGTTCATGCCCTCCACTATTCAGGTGCCACATCAGGAATAGCGCCAGAATGATCCGGGGTAACGGGGAAATAGTCGCGGAGGAATTACATGCCACGATGGACCCTGATTGCGGGGTTAATCGCATATCACCCGAAACAGGACGTACAATTTTTTCCGTTTGGCTTTGGCGACGCCAATTGAGCCGGAAATTTGTCGCGTGGCAAGACGGGGAGGTACTTGAAAGTACTAGGCATGGCAAACACGCGTTGCGCTGGGGCACAAAAGGGTGATCATTGCCGTAGGGGCGTAGTTACTGTACTCCACTTGGTGAACCTACGGGAACGGAAAACTTGCTGATGACTTCACTCGGCCGCTGTCGAGGTATAGTTCCTCGGATCTCACAATACTACTGAACGAACGTCCCATATGTCCAAGGCAAGTATCCTCGGCACATATGGCAAGTAGAGTCTTCCACTCAATTGGTGATGCCATATATAAGGACATAACATGCTAGCTATATACATGCCGAAGTCAAGATCCGATCGAGGTCTGCTATATATAGATTGATTTTGCTATATAGCATCTCAAACCCCCCTTCCTCGTCACAATTTGAGGCTCCGCAGCGTGACAATGCGCGTTTACTCAGCATCGAGGACCTCAGCCTCAGCCTCCCTCTTCGTCGGGGGACGGCCACCGCCGAAACCGCAGTACCTGCAGGTATCGGGATATCCAGTCCAGGGAGAGTTAGGAACCGGGATGCCGCCCTTCTCGGTCCAGAAGTTGACGGGCTGAGGGTTCTGCCTGGCCTTGGGGTTGACGCCAACGTCGATGGTAGCGTACAAGCCATCAGCGATGGTCTTGCCGATGAGGGAGATCTTGAGCACGGGGTCGTCGCCGCCCTGCTTGCCCATGTTGAAGAGCGGGTCGCGGGCGTTGGTGGTGATGGCTTGCTTGTTGGTGTTGTAGGGGGCGGTGGCTTCGACCTGAGCGAGGAAGTTCTGGTCAATGTAGAATTGGCCGACGTGGGAGATGGTGCCGCCCTGGATGGTGTTGTTGGGGAGGACCTTGGCGCCGTGGTGGATGATGGCTATCATTTTCTGTTAGAACTGAGGAGCAGAGCGTTTAGCGCGGAGACATACTGTGGAGATGGTTGGTTCTGCCGACGTAGTGACCGGGGAGTATGGTGATGAACGTAGCAGTTCCGTTGGAGCCGGTTGGCTGGATGCCGCGCAGGGCGTTCGTGGTGACAGCGCTCTTGCTTCCATCACCGTTGCCCCTGGCCTGGACACCGGTGTAGACGCCCTGAAGAGTCAGTTACTTATATTACGTGAGGAAGGCCAAACTTACAGTGGAGTTGGCTCCCCAAAGCTCGACATAGGCGTCGGTGACGGGCTTGCACGTGGTGGTATCGACCAGGTTGATATCCAGGTGAGTGATGGCTCCCTTCTCACCAGTAAGGACATCCTGACGGATCAGTTCGCCGCTAACCCCTATGCACAGTCAGCGTGGATCGCACATTCCAGCCATGTTTGCTTACAGTAAGGGCCCTCAGTAGCCTCAGGGTCGAGAGTGCACGCCGCCTGGATGCCGTACTCCTCCTCGACCTCTGCGGGATCGCGGCGCACCAGCTCGTGAGGCTTCGCGAATCCTGCCGCTACACGGAGTTCATGAAGGCGAGCTTCGCGTCTCATGTGCTGCTCGCGGACCCATCCGCTTTCCACGAGGTCCCTCTTGCATGATTGAACACTGCGTCTCTCGGGGTGGTCAAGATGGGCCTGCCTCCTCAGAATATCCTTGTTGGTATTGCCTCCGGGGTGGGCGACGACTCCCGTAGCCAGAAGAGCGGCCGCAACAGCCTGAGTGAACTGAACCATCGTGACTGCGGTGTATCAAGTGAACAACGACTCACAACAACCGTGTGAGATGTGAAGGGATCTGGTACTCTATTATATCTCCCTCACCCTGTGGATCCTCGGCGGCTCGTGCAAGGAGTAGGGGCAGCGATCTGGACAAACGGGTCCTTCGACCTGCCATTTCCTTCTCTGTGCCAGGCTGCCCCATAGTTTTTTTGCAAACAAACGAATCCTACCTAGTACCAGCAAATGAGAGTTGTAATTGCAATAGTGGTGATAGGTTGAAGGATATGGTGCCAAGTTGCACGTGCTCCACCTTGATTAACCTTGATGATTTTTGGGACCATGCGCGAGGTCGGCAGCGGGGTGCAGCCCTGTTCTTGGCCGGCGGAAGCTGTACAGTACGCAAAACTGGACTGGATAAATGCTTCGTCGGGCGGTCAGCGCCATAAGAAGATATTGGGAACATTAGCCGGGCCTATAGAACTCTCCATTCGGTAGTTGGGGAGACTGTGAGGGGACGAGTTGGGGGAGGGGAAATTTGAACGGTGATGACGAATTCCATAGATTCTCTCTCGTACGCCGCATAGTAGATTAGCAGACCGTCTGATAAACGCCCCGGTCGATGCATCAATTCTGTAGATAGAAACTCACTCAGATATGTTAGAATTTCACCAGAACAGATGACACTCGAGGCTCCTTAGGGCATCTCTGTTTATCGGAGGTTGTCCCGGCCGTTGTAGTTCTCGCTAACAGGATGCTCCTGTAAAAGTAGCGGGTGGAAGTACATACATGCTGACGCGCTCCACGTAACTAACTCAACTCCAGAATGATAGTCTGAGTGGTGACCTCTCTCGTGCAACCTCTGATGAGCACATAGTGCCCGGAAGCACTCGCGTGTCGTACGTTCGATGCCACGTTATTTCCCCACAATTCCGAAGAACTCAACCGACTGCGAGATTGAAAGCGTGTGCAACATTATACACGTGCGATAAAGGGCGTGGCAACCCAGTTTCCGTGATTGGCTGAGAGAGCTGGTGTCGATCATGAAAGCCAATAAACAAGCGTTTAGGGTACCCGTAGTCGCCGTTGTTAGTGTGGCTCGTCCGGCAGACAAATTAGCTGCCGTGGGTACGTGCCATGTAGCATGTCAGCTCATATAGACGCGGTGTGATGATTCCGAAAAGAAAGGGAGGGCGCTCATGATGCGGAGGAGACTCACCGCAAGAACCAGCAGCTTCTGCAGAATCATGCATTCTCTTGACACTATCAGGCCGAGATGCGTTGGATGTACTATTGAGTGGACCTTTTTCGCCAGTGAATGCATCATCTGCGGTTTCAGGTGTGCTGTGCCGCACCGCCACGTTGGTGATAGGGGTTCGTTCAAGCAGAACCAAACGAAGCCACGGAGCTGTGGCAGTCAGTAGTGCAGGATAACATTGAAAAGAACGCCATTTGCCCTTGGAGTGTGACCGAATGTGACGACCCTATGCAGATGATGACTTGGTCGCAGATACGGTCTGTTAGTTATTATGCGCGAAAGGTCGCAAGAATGCATTCGTGAGCTTTCACTTTGCAGTTGCATTCGCGTTTTGAGACTGTGGACCGACATTGCGACATGCCACCCATTGCAGAGGCCACTCATGAAAGAGTAGCTCCAACGTCTTACCGATCACTGAGGCCCAAGGCAAACTCAGCGGCTTCGCTACAGACACCAGATGGTGTCATACCGTCACACTGGACACTGGGGGTGGCGTAGCACCTGCGTACCTGCATGAACCAGTACATGCGCACGGGCAGGGGAAGACTAGAATGTCAAAGTGTGTATTGAGGTTGCTGACCCAATCTTATGGAAAAAGACATAGGTTTCGTGGGAGGTATCGAGAAGAATCATTGGTGGGCGAACTTGTCAAAATAAGAGGATAGAGAACATATCTACTCTCTCACTATGTTACCTTCAAAGACCCAAGCCAACCATCAAGGCAGAGCATTCAGCAAAGTTTCAAGTCGTATATATCTTCCCTCATATAACTCACTTTCATGAACTTCTCAAATCCTGAACGCAGCGCTTGGTTCGGCCTTCAGGGCGGTGATGTATATGCATGGGAGGAGGTTGGTTAAGATGCCAGGAACACCAGTCCTGCATCCCAGAAGTTGGAGAGCAGATTGCGACTACTGGTAAACTTAAACTTCACTGCGACGGCGAGGTTTGCAGTAAGCGCCTAAACAGGCGAATGGCTTCGTGATCTTGGATGCCATGGTCATGAGGTCGATATCGGCAACGAAAGTCCGCAATGGTGTTGTCCATGTAGATATTCGGTTGAACGCCGCCGGACAACGGACTTTGGTTTAACGGCTTCGAAAGGCGACACCAGCGTTACGCCCAAATGTAGACATCGTGAAGATTGCGTACATGCGACTTGTGACGAGGATGTGAAGGCGTCGGGTGGGTCGCATAACGGCGCGACGGGAACTCTGAAACGTGCCCTGCCAACCAATCGCTTCTCTCCTCCCTTTACTCCGAAACTCTTGCCAAGACCACAGACCAACCCCGAATCCTGCTATTGGTCGCTATTGGATCTTGAAGATGATGAGAGCAGAAAGCCTCCTTGGTCGCATGTCCAATATCTCCATCATAATCTTCAACTCAGGGTGCGTCCAAAGCTCGAAAGCGCTTCGACCCGCGATCAGTGTCCGCATGATTCCTGGACGTCATGGATTTTGCCATCCACAAAGTCCGACCCTGACGCCTTGTGTTCCGAGACTATTGGATACTGGGTTTCATGTGTCCGCTTTCGTTCTTCCCGTCTAATGCCATCTCTTTTCTTCCAATTAACTCTTTCTCCGCCCGGTTGATAACAGAACTACCCCAATTGCAAGGTTGTTGAGAGGAATCCCGCAAGCGCCAACAGAAAATATTGGTGAGAGTCGTGTTTCGAGGCATTACACAAGATTGCGGGGTGTCGTTGAAAGCATAAAGGCAGCACCACGCCGCTGCCTTCATCGCACTTCAACTGAAGCGAGTCACAATACAGTGATCACTCCACTTCTTTAAAGTCTCGCCATACCAGTCAAGACCCGTCGACACATCCTTAACTGCGTCCGACATTCTGACCAAAATCCCAATCGAACCGCCAAAATGCTGTGTCGTGTCGTCCTTTTCGCCACATCCGTTGTCCTTTCCGTTGTCGCTGCGCCTATTCCTTCCGTTCAGAAGTCTGAGCATAGTGTGGCGCCTAGAGATCACAACATCGCCTGCTCAGTGGACTACTGTCTGGTAAGTGGACTGTTTGCCTCTGGTTCTGGTGTTTTGCTCACAGGAGGTAGATAACCCGACAAAGTGACGACCATTTCGATGAGGCCTCTTTCGAAGACATAGATAACCAACAGGAATTGGTGAACGCTCGTTCCGTGGATACACCTCTTGTGAGTGGATTTCTGATCCGATTCGTACTTGCCTGACAGGTATAAAAAGGGCGCTCGACAAAGCGACGACAGATTCGACGAAACGTCTTTCGAAGACATAGATAACCAGCAGGAACTCGTGAACGCCCGTTCCGTGGATACACCTCTTGTGAGTGCAACTACTGATCCGGTTCGTATTTGCCTGACAGTGATAAGGGCGCTCGACAAAGCGACGACAACTTTGACGAAACGTCTTTCGAAGATATAGACAATCAGCAGGAAATGGTACAGAGCTGATAGAGTCGAATTTCGCTAGGTGTGGCATTCAAAGGGAGCTGAGAAGGCCGGCCCTGTGCTCCAGCAGAGATAAAGAGAAAGGAATCCATCAGATGATTTTCCTTGACTTCCACACCGTTCGAGAATACAAAGCATGAGAAAAGGAACCTGCTTGAAATGGAGGGAAGCAGTGAGGCTCCGGGCAATTACAATTTCTAGTCGCGAAGTCTTCCATATATCCAGTTTATCAATCTGATATCTCATTTGATTCGTTCAACTTCCGGCGTATTCGGTGTTATCCTTTCCAGCCAAAGCGATGGAAATTGGACTTGTTTGTCGACACTTTCTTTCTTGTCTGGAATTTTTGACAACTCGTCATATCCAGCCAGGCGGCGGGCGATCTTGTCTGACCTTTGGTGTAAGAGGTGAGAAAAGGCCGGAAGCCCTCCATCCCTTTGAGAGCTTTTTGACTCTGAGCTCTTTGGCTTTGGTCCTTGGGGTTCCCTTCACTGCGGATGACTTGATCTTTTGCTGCAAATCATCTGGGAGTCCATAAAGTAATGTAGCGATTGCAGATGTTTTCCACACTCCAACCCTCTCACTCTCGATTGAGGCCTTGATAATTGTGCTCAGAAGGAAGATGAAGCTCATGAGTAGGAGTCCCAATGGCAAAACTAACCAAACCCATCTGACGGATACGTAAATCTCGGTACTGAAAGTCATACCCTCTAACATTTCCTTGCTGTCCGAGGAACGAATGGCGTCAGTCAAAGCTGCGGCTAACCGATTGAGGTGTTGCGTAACGTTGTTTGGAGGAAGCCAAGGATTAAATTCCAGTTGCGCTGTTAACGCGTCCTTCAGGAAAGTTCTGAATCGTGTCACTGGTCTGGTCGTAGCATTGTCCGCTGTTGTGAAGAAAGGGAAAGAGCCATGGAACAGACTAACTGTGCGGATTGTCGTCATATTTGATAGTCCATAAAAGGTATTCTGGCCGTTATTTCTGGAGGAGGGTGCTTGGATGGTTATGTTTTCGATGTAGGACACCACCGTCCCGTTGACGCCATCGGCACCGAGTCTTTTCCTAGTTCTCCAAGGAAAAGGCCCTTCAGTAGTATTCAAGTACGTTGCTACAACTTCTTCCCTGTAGCTTGCCCAATGGTAAGACGATTTCAAGGTCTTGACACAGAATGATAGCACACATTCTTGAAATAAGGGGGTCTCGTTTCGATAAACTCCAGCAGCATCCACAGAACCAGCGATCAGGACATCCAAAATCGTGTTGCGGATATGTTTGAATCTAACAGATCCACCAAATATTGGTCTTTTTTCAGGGTGAGTAACCAGTGGCAGGGCACGTCCGATCAGGGCGTGACCTGCGGGCGCTCGACCAGCCACTGAGTCCACATCCTCTAGCAAGTATCCAGACATGAGGACGGGCCGATCGCTCGTTGCATTCAGAAAGTAGCCACAGCTGGTAGCATTTGGATACGTATCTTCCGTGGAAGCCCCGGTCAAGTTCGCGATCCAGTCAATTCTGCTGTTAAGGCAAGCAAATGTAAGCATATCTTTGATCTCCACACAGGAGCTGCACAGCGCGAGGGTTTCGTACTGAGGCCAAGTGCAGTTGCTAGTGGGGCAGGAGAGCGGTATTTCTGCTCGGGTACCGTTTCCGAACGGTACTGGTTGAGTGCCGTTTCCAAACAGGAATTTTTCCGCCACAAATTGGATATCTAGGTCCTTATCGGCGAGCTTATTTCCATTAGAGGAAAGGGCCTCAAATGGCGGATTGTAGTTAACGACAGTCGGAATGGTACTGTTCCAACCGTCCAAAGTCCAGCGCTCTGGAAAGTCTACGACTTGTTGAAAAAACGGGTCAAGGACGAGGGACAACAACATGACAAGTGCACCGAGTGCAGCCAACGATCTAGCACCAATGTCAGTTCTGTGCGAGTAGCCAACTGGTACAGAAGCCTGCCATACCTGCCCTTAGTACGAATAAGAAGTAAAATGGCGCCCCATGGACCTCTGGAGGCATTGTCGAATATCTCGAAGTCCCACATTTGCTTCGAATCTCCGAGGAACCAGCTCCATTTCAACTGCCCCAGCGCTTCTGTAGTAGGCAAAAGGAGAGCCGCGCTGGCCACTCTTGACACCACCGCTATGTAGGCATTCAGCGTAAGCCCATACGGCCACCGAGGCAGCCTTTGATCTTTGAGGTATATGAGAACTCCCACAATGGCACCCATGCATATAGCGCTGATGAGCCAGCTGATGATCTCAAGGAGCCATCTCTTAAGAACATTTCCGGAAGTGTTATATCGCCAGATTCTCTTCTCAAGACGTTGTGCAAAGTTGGGCTCTTCTCTTTCAGTGACTGGGGACTCCGGCGTTAGAGTAGTGTCAGAGGAGATGTCGCTGATACCGAGGCCAAGACTGCTCTTCCTCTCGTGGCCAAAAAGGCCTTCATCCCTCCGATGGATGGTGGGAAACTCTTCCGGTGCCAAGTACCTCGGAGACGGTCTGCGAGAATGACGCTTACTCCGTCTCTGAGCCGGTGCTTTCTTGTCCAGGAAATATCGAAGTGGAGGACGACGGGGCTGCTGCGGTGACTGAGGACTTAGTTGAATTGGAGTAGGTACTTCCAAAGTACTCGGCGTTCGAAGAGGCGATTCCAGCACAATGTATCGAGGTGACCGTCCTGCTGTGCTGATTTCCGGAGCTTGATATATCTCGCCGGTGGACCCTCTGAAAGAGACTGGTTCACTTCTTCCATCCGGCGTGTCGAGATATATGGGGATATTAGGATATTGGGGCCAAGGGGGAAGTGCCTTATTTTTAGACATCTTCAAAGAGAAAGAGAAAATCGAGCAGTGAAAACCAAAACGAAGCCGTACAAGATCAAAGGAGCCCGAGAGGCTCACGGCGTTCGAGTTGGCAAGAAGAGAAACTGTCTTCGCCAGGAAGATTGCAAGGAGGAAGCCTGCTGTCGAAGGAGGAGAAGAAACAGAAAAGTGAAAAGTGCTATACCGCCCGCCAAAACAAAAAAGTAAGCGAGCTGATACTCTAAAGTTGCAGGCGCTCGTGAGGCACAGTCAACCGGAAGCAGGACCCTCCAGCGTGAATCTACGAATGACGGTTCCCCAGATCTTGATCTGCACCGGCATTCTTCGACAAGCGTAGATAAGATTGGATACATCTGTGAGGCGTAGCTGTGGCGCGTGAAACGACCAACGTAATCGCCAAAAATACCCCCGGCGTCTTCTCGAAGATTGCCATGTGTATACTGTCGCCTAGGTGAGGTCGGCTAAACGACGGTTCATGTCATAGGAACAGGCGCTGGAGCTAAACTGAAGAAGGAGGCTCAACTGTGCGCTGTCGAATGCGAGTGAAGCAGATTGTTTCGAAACGTCGGATCAGGGTTTGCCCGGTACCAATTCGGAACACATACAAGCGCTTAAACATCATGGAGCCCGTCATGGCCGCCATATAGGCGCCAAAGGAGCTCCAACTGCATCTGGATGTATAATTAGCAGCCGTCATCCTCGAGGCAACAAGATGATATATGTCGGATTGCGGCACAGTTTCAATGTAGAAGGCTGGAATGAATGCGGCGTAGACATCGTAAAGACGTCCCACGGCGGTAAGTAAACCTGCTGGCTAATGGGGAGGTGCCGTTTAACGCAGACATGGAGGCTTGAGTGTTTGGCCGCGAGATTGAGGGATGATGCGGCGTTCATGCCAAGCTTCTGAAGCGCGACGTTTAGCGCCGCGCTATTTTTGGGTGCAGTTCACAAGCACGTGATTTAAGATTGAAGCGGGCTCATTATTTGGGATACAGATTTCCCAGTCCTAGCACGTTGTCGTGTATATATGGTCGACCCACCGGACGAATCCTGTACCATCTCTCTTGAGCCCTCAACTGGCCTTCCCTACCTCGGCCGGTCCAGCTCACCCTCTGACCAGCATTATGTCCCCTCAGTATTATGCCTCGCTACATAGTTTTGTTCCATGTCGTTGAACTTTGCCTTCGAAAGGCCTTCCTCCTTTCTCAAAGGCCAGGCAGCTTCCTTGTGTGAGAACAGGTAAGATTCCCCACGAGTAACCATGGCTTCGTCGTACAGCGCACCAACAGAGGCACAGTGTGAATTGTCCATGGCATGCGAGCACATCAGGACTCCGATGAAGAACTATCCTCACTGGATGAACGACCCTCTCTCGATGCTTCGGCGCGGTCTTTCTCTCCAAGAATGACTCGCTGACACCACGAACACCAGCTTCTGAGCTTGCCACTGGCCTCTCGCTCCAGGTAAGAACTCGACCTGTCCTTCTCGTCCTCGTAGATCTTGACACAATCGCCCACACGGACATACTTCTTGGCCTTCATCTTGAATCCACCACCGACTCCCTCAATCTCTTGAGCATGATAGCTTGTTCCTTTCCATCGATCGGGGGAAGAGCCTTCTAATGATGCAAGTGTCTCCTGATCACATTCAATCTCGTGCTCTACGATCTTTGAAGCAAGACAGCTTTGTCCCCTGCCACATTCGACTCCTTCATTCCCCTCCCCGGCACCGGTGCCAACTCCGCCCAGATAGTGGCTATAGCGTGTGCGCCAGCTCCATGCTCGAACGTACATCACGTCCTTGGTTGCTAAATTCTGACCACACGGCTGGCATAGATAGACTGTATCCACGCAGCAGCAAGGAAGCCGCTCGAACGCGGAAGCTGTGAAGGCTCGGGCAGGTGCACTGCGCGCGGGAGTGGAAGTGTGGCTTAATGAGGGTGGAGGGGATGCGGAGCCGCTGGAAGAAGAGCGAGGTTTTTGCGGTGCGGTCAGCAGTTCGAGCGGAGCTGTTGCGCATGTCCGACAGAGGCGACGATGACGGGCACGCAGGCGGGGGGTAGGTGGCGGCTTGATTGTGCAATTCTGCCGACGTAAGTAAGTTGAAGAGCAACAAAAAGTATTGCCTACCCGGCAGACGACGATTCCGCAGTTCTGACACTCTCCGACCAGATCTCGCGCGCAGAGAGTGACTGGATGGCGCCCTTCACTGGTGACTAACCGCCAGGGTTGTTCGGGGGTGTATTCGAAGCTGCAACGTAGAGTATGCTTGATGAGTGCGGCGCGATTCTCGAGGAGATTTGCGCGAAACTGGCGACAGGTCCGCGCGAGACTGTCAAGAGAGTTGAGGTCGAGCAGACTGGCGAGCTGTATAACGACACTACAGCGTTAATATTGTCAGCCTTCATCAGGCGAGGAGCCAGCTCATTGCTGCGGTTCATGCTCACGGATAACAGCTAAGGATGGCTGAAAATCCAGAGGTCACGTTGGGATTGGGCCTGTCGTCCGCTACTGCTTCCTGGTCTCCATTGGAATGTGCGGCGCGCGAAAGGTGGGCTGGCTTGTCGTGAGAGACCCCGCTGAGATGGTCCTCATCCAGATTGCGTAGAATCGCCATACTTTACCAGCAGGGGGATAAGCTCAGTAAGGAAAACATCGACCTGACCAAGGCTCAGATCGTACATACACGGTCGATATGGATAGCGATGTTGTCGCATTGTTGAGGCAGTCGGGTGATGGCTGCACAGGTGCTCATGATGACGAAACCAGGGGCGCAGTTCTTGGCGGACTATACTATTTATGGCTTTCGCATCTACTCCCCCAGATAAATTGTACAGCATTCGCTCGCTATCGACAGGACTCCATATCATGGGCAAATGGAGAGTATGAGGACAGTATTAACTTAACGGTTTCGCTTTTCTTCCTGGAAGTCAGTGAAAAGAAGAAAGGAGAAAAGACCTTTGGTGCCATAGTTCTCCACTCGCATATCTTGACTGGCTAGTTATATACAAGTAAACACCAGAACGGAAGACTCAACATCAAATTGTCTCCCCAACCCCGGGGTTTCTGTTTCACGGTCCAGAAGGCCTTACGTCAGTGTGTCTGCTTCTACCGTCTATCACCCCTCTATCAACCTCTGCCTCCCATCTCCCTCTGCCTCCCATCTCCCTCTGCCTCCCATCTCCCTCTGCCTCCCATCTCCCTCTGCCTCCCATCTCCCTCCGCCTCCCCTTCTTCCTCCCCTTCTGTGGTGGTAGCGGTAACGGTAGTGTGAGAGCTTCAGGAGGAAGGGAACGAAAAAGCGAAAGTTGCATGAGGCGGTCATGGAATATTGGATCTTCCGTCAATGGGCGTGGAGGTCGTCACATTGTCTGTGTACATGAAGGTATTGGGATAGTGACAAGCGGCATTCTACTCCAACGTGACAGCTTTTGCAAGATCTGAGCGTCGTCGCGCCTGCTTTATGGTCAACGGAGCTGTTTCATTGAATGCATGCTAGGTATGATATTTTTGCTGAGGCCTGTTCACCATTGCTTTGGCAGTCTGATAATCGTACAGTTCATCACCTGGTTCTTCCCTCATCTTCTCCGTATCCCATTCCCTCTCCTTCTCTCTCATTCCTCCCGTACCTCCCCCATGGGGCGGATACGGGAAGCGTCAATGTCCTCGTCATCAATACCCTCCTCGTGCTCCGTTCTTTGATTCAACTTGCCATTGAAAGGGGCTATCTTCGAGCTCTGGATCACGTCGTCGTACCCTATTACACCGTGCGTCTCAGCGTGCGGCAGTTGGATATGATGATCTGGTCTTCGGGTCACTGACATGTTCAAGGCATTAGGTCTGCCACAACTCACGCTTGATTTCGCTCCGCAGCGGTTCCAAGTGATCCTCCTCAATGTCGTGATCCTCACCAATCACCCCGTGGTTGTCATGGGGTTGGTGGTACTTCACTGGCGATTTGAGGGGTTCGATCTTTGAACTCGAGTATAATACGTTCTGGTCTTGTGCGCTGACAGACGTTAGCAGAATTGAGTTCATCAAGTTAGTGGTATTTCTTCTAGCTCGGATGATTAGGGCAAGAGGGAGCTCACCTCGACATGTTGAGATGATTGGTTTGACGATGTCAATGTGTTTACGATGGAGTACTTTGAGACTGAGAGGAGGCTCTTTGAGGCCCTCGAGCTTTGTCGGGCTTATATATGGGGGTTTCGCCGAAGATACGTCAGGTTACTGAGTTATGACATCTGGTGCGTGGTGTGACCGAATGCTGAAGGCGGGGTTCAGTCTGCATACAAAGGACGCAAACACGACTACCCAAACGCAGGACAGGAAATAAACTTGCTATTTCATGATTAAGGTAAACCACACTGTCATTTTGACTTCCCATAATCTCGAAACTTTGTCAACTGCATTCCCCTCCATGGAAAGACGAGCATGCTCTGCACTCTGCTTTCCTCAACTGGATACTATCTCAGCCAATCATAAAGCCCTACTTCTTGGCAAAATTACCCCACGCCATGCCGCCGGAGGAACTTCGGCGTCGAATTTCAGGTCGACTCATCGTGTTGTGCAACGTTCATGTAAACATCAGTCGCCGGTACTAGTCACTCTCTTCTTACTACGAAGTCCCCAGCTATTGCGGAGAGAATTGGAGGCGCTCCGAGTCGCGAAATCCCTCCACCATGGCCCCAGGCACGCGCGGGCCCGTCCCGATACCCGTCGAGTTACAGAGTCACAACGTAACTCAAGACGTTCTCGATCTCCTAGATACTAAATCTCCCTTCAACACCTCCGAAGACCTTCCGAGCATATCCCAGAAAGATGTCAAAGCGGCATTGGATCGGTTGGCCAGCAGGTCCATGGTCACATACGAAACCAAGGATGCAGAACAAGTGCTGCTCACCAAGGAGGCCGAGGACATTGTTGCGAAGGGAAGCCATGAGTACCGGGTCTGGGCTGCGGTGAAGGAGGCTGGAAAGGTTTCGATAAAGGAGCTCCCTGTAGGTCGTTGCAAACACCTCTTCATCTCAACCACTAACGAATGCAGAACATTGTGGGAGCGGATTCTGCGAAGGTAGGAAGCGGCAATGCTTTCAAGAACAAGTGGATCAAGAAAGACGGCGAGTCGCTCGTACTTGTCACCGACGAAGTCAAAGATTCAACACAAGAGACCCTGAAGAAGATCCAAGAGTCCAAGACTCTGTCGGATGCAAAACTCCTCGCGGACCTCAAGAAGCGGAAGCTCGTTACCGTCTCGAAGGTGATAAGTTACATTGTGAGCAAAGGAGAAAAGTATGCGAAGGAGATTCCGGTCGAGGTTACGGACCTGACTGCGGAAATGCTGGCAAGCGGCGAGTGGGAGACCGCGAATTTCAAACCGTACAATTTCAATGCTCTGGGAGCTGCACAGCACGCTGGCGCGCTACATCGTACGGATCTCCGCACGACTTTTGATGATAATGGCTGACAATATCATAGCACTAAACAAGGTCCGGCAAGAGTTCCGCAACATCTTCTTCAACCAAGGCTTCGTGGAAATGCCCACTGCACAGTAAGGCTCATCGACGGCAGTGAGCATGTCACTCTCGCTTACAAACTCTAGCTTCGTCGACTCAGGTTTCTGGAATTTCGACGCCCTCTTCGTGCCGCAACAACATCCCGCTCGTGACATGCAGGACACTTTCTTCATTTCAGATCCACCGAAGGCAGATCGACCCCGGCCGGATCCTGACACCGAGGCACAGCTAGATGCCATGGAGGCTGGATCCAGACGGCTTTTCGCAACAGGAGAGAAGAGAGAAATCAAACCTCGCAACTACGAGCAATACTTCAAGAGTGTCCAACAAGTGCACCAAGACGGCGCCTTCGGCTCTATCGGCTATCGCTACCCCTGGTCAGAAGACGAAAGTCTCCGTCTTGTTCTCCGTACTCATACCACAGCGGTGTCCACTTGGGTGTTGCACAGACTAGCAGAGGACCCACGCCCAGCGAGATATTTCTCCATCGACCGAGTGTTCAGGAACGAGACTGTCGATGCAACGCATTTGGCCGAGTTCCACCAGATAGAAGGTGTCATTGCAGATTTCGGGCTTACGCTGGGTGGCCTCATGCGCTTCCTCGAGGACTTCTTCTCCAAGATGGGCATTGAGAATCTGCGATTCAAGCCGGCGTACAACCCCTACACGGAACCTAGCATGGAGATTTTCGGTTACCACATTGGGTTGGGCAAGTGGGTTGAGGTGTGTATCGAAAGCGTGAAAGGTCGTGGAAGAACCACAAGCTGACAGTGCCTTGTAGATCGGTAACAGCGGCATGTTCCGGCCTGAGATGTTGGAGCCCATGGGTCTGCCCAAGGATATGAGAGTCTACGGATTCGGTCTGTCGCTTGAAAGGCCGACCATGATCAAATACGGTGTCTCGTAAGTTATTTTCTGCCAGAAGATAGCATGGCTACTAACTTTTACACAGTAATATCAGAGAACTTCTTGGCCATAAGGTGGACTTGGACTTTATCAAGAACAACGCTGCCGTCAGGTTGGACAAGCACTGAGGAGTGACACTTTACGAGTTTTCGCGACGGGCGACATTGAGCTATACACTTCGAAAAATGGAGCGTGAACTGCTTTCTGACTTGCGGACGCTTGTAGATATGGAATGATGTTACGATACCTAAGACAATTGAGGAGGGCACGTTGTATACCGACATGATTGCCCCGTTGCATATTGCATTACAACTTGATCAGACTTCGCGTGGGAGCCGTCCCCAGTAGGGAGGCACAGCAACGGGGTTATGGCGCTGAGCAAGAGCAAAGCGCCTAATCTGAGTAGGCGACTGTGCTAGAAGTCTACACAATAGAGAAATAAGATGCGATGGCAAGACAGAGTCACTCAGCCAAGTGCAGTAAGAGGACAGTGTAGGTAGAGGTAGTTGTACGCTTCGAAAGCGCAACGTGGTGATTAGCTAGGAGTGGTAACCTCAGAGATATATGGTCTTTGAGAGAGCGCTATTCCTCTTGCTCACAGTACAACAGTAACATGGAGTCGGACATGTTTTCTGAAGAGTGGGATCAAGAGGTTCCTGAGGGTGGTAAGGTGCGGATGCATTGGGGTCGTGGTATTTTTAGAGCAGATGTCATCAACGCTGGTTAGTCCTAATGGGGTATCTAAGGTAGCCAAAAGGAGGCTGGATTCGCTGTATTTGTGGTGTATTGTGGCTTGGCAGGCCGGGCATCAGGCCTCTGCGGCGAACGCTTCTGCGCCACGGTCTCACGCAATCCGCGGAGGCTTTGAAGGTCATTCCACAAATGCCATCCGAACATTGCTGCAAGAACAGTAAGAATACGAGACGATGGGCAGCCGGAGCGATTACGGTACGGAATGCTTTGCAGAGGATGAATGGCAGTGCATGTACGGAGTAACCTGGTGATTCTGCTGACAGCATGAGGCCGATGAAACGGCACCGCGTCCATGGAATCACCTCGAAGCTGGGCGTATGCGGCGGGCTCTGTCCGAGTCCATTTACAGCATCGATACATAGTATCATACATATCGGATTGTCAGCCTCGGTGTTGCTATATTGGCAGTGAAGGTCTTGTTGAGGAGATCGCGATGGAGGGCGGCGTGCAAGGCCGTCCGCCAGAGCTGGTGTGCAAGCCCGCTCCGTAGTGGTATGCATGAAGCCCGAGTGATGGGATAGAGGCTCGGCGCGGCACGGCATGGGATAAGAGGACGATAACAGCTATCGTGAGAGGAGATGCAGATGGTAGGCAGATGGCAATCATGGCCTCTCTTTCGTGTCTTTTCAGCGTAGGTCTCTCCTCGAGCAGAACGTTCACCATTTCCCGCAGAGGGGTGACGGCAACCCTTTCTCCCAGAAATTTCTTCGGGTTGCGCCTTCTGTTCTTGGCCTTCCCGCCCTATCCGCATCGCTCCAGCCAATCGAGTGGCCGGGCAATATCGCACGACCCCTGGCCACTTCCAGGCCTCCTGGCTCTTGCCTCCCAGAACCGTCTTCCCCAAGATTAGTCGTGCCTTCCAAGCCTTCTCAAAGCTCGGTCCCCTTTCACCCTTCTTCTCACCCTCTCCTCTTCTTCTCTCCTCCCTCTCTTCTGCACCGCCGTCCTCGCCTTATCCCCTCCTTGCCGCCCCCCGTTGCAGCGCCTACCATCGGGCCCCCAGCCTCTCGTTCTCTCTTCTCGAGGACGTTACACACTCGTTTATCGTAATCCTACCCCTTATTATCCTCCCATCCAGCCTTTCGTTACCCCCTACCGCGTTCTCATCGCGTTCGCTCTCGAATTCCCCCCACCCATACAGTAATCCGAGACTCGAACTCGTCACCGGCGAAACGGCAGACAGGCCCCGAGCCCCGCCCCCTAACGCAGATGCTGAGTCTGCTCTAATCTCTCCACACGACACCCGCTCCTGTGCACACACAAAATTACGCATCGCGTCCCACCGCCGTCATGTCGCGCTTTCAGATCAACGCACGCAAGCTCCTCAGTGTGCGGACGTCTCGTTTCAACTACGAGAAGCTACCTGGCGCTGAGTCGCAGGCTTCCTCGCCCCTCTTCAGCTCTCCGTACTTCAGGTCCTGGAAGCAGCGGAATCAATGGCCCAACCGCCTGCAGCGTCCGCGCCTCTCGTTCGCACGCGTCGTCACCCTCATCATCACCGCCCTCCTGCTCACCTCGATGCTCGCCACTGGCCTGTACAGGAGGCACCTTCGCGATCGCGACCGCGGCAAGGGCGAGGAGAGGAAGCTGTACCATTGGGAACACTACCCCAAGTAAGTGCAATCGAACGCACTCCACCGTCCCGTTACTGTCATGCTGACCCCGCCTAGGCTGAGTGGCTTTTATAGTGGCATCCGGAATTTGGTGTCCTACGAAGATTGGGTCTCTGAGCAAGACTTCGTGAGCCATTCAACCAGCAGCAACCCAGAGGACAACATCAAGCCCAAGGCGCCCGAGAGGAAAGAGAACAAGGAGCCGCCCAAGGACCCTATCGTCTTCAATCCCTATCCCGACTTCACAAGCGAAGAGTACCTCAAGACCTATGAAAAGGTTGAGCCGTGCTACCTGGACGACGAGGACAAGGTTGAAACACCCGACATCTACGCCTATCCCGGTATCCCTCAGAACATGACTGCGCCCTTCTTCGGCTCGTACGAGGAGCTGGGCATGAATGAGAAGGTGTGCTTCGATCGTTTCGGCAGGTTCGGCCCTTATGGATACTCCTACTCGCGCGAGGAGGGCGGCCTTGGCATGTCTGGCAAATCCGAATCCGCCGGCGCAGACAAGATCTGGGCCACTGAGAAGAAGGTCGATTGGCGTAACGTGGACTGGGGCAAGGCCCAGAAGAGGTGCTACGAAAAGAACAAGATTCGCTTCAAGAGCAACGAGACGGAAGCCAAGGAGAACAAGGATGGTGAAGGCGCCCAGCCAGCCAAGAAAAAGCTTCCGCGCCACGCCTATATTCTGCGAACCTGGACTGGCTACAAGTACAGCGACTACCAAATTCTGACCATCCGGGCCATGATCAACGAGCTCGCCATCAAGTCGGGTGGTGAGTACGATGTCCACTTCCTGCTCCACGTCAAGGATGACAGTATCCCCATCTGGTCCTCCCACGAGATCTACCAAAAGACGATTCAAGAGAACCTTCCCAAGGAATTTTGGGGCATGGCAACGCTCTGGTCGGAGCAGCAGATGAGGATGTATTATCCGGAGCCCTTCCCGAACAACGTCTATAACCACGCCAAGGCCCCTGTCCACTCCGTCTATCGAAGTGCCCATTTCGCTTTGCAGTGGTTTGCGCAGTACCATCCCGAGTATGACTTCTACTGGAACTGGGAGATGGACCTTCGATTCAGCGGCCATTATTACGAGTTCAACAACCGGATTGGCGAGTGGGCCAAGAGACAGCCTCGCAAGGGCATGTGGGAGCGCTCGAGCCGCTACTACATTCCCAGCCTGCATGGCTCATGGCACAACTTCACCGAGATGATCGAGGAAGAGACGTTCAATAGCGATGAGAAGCCTGTGTGGGGTCCCCCCAAATTTGAGCACGCCCCAGACGGCATGCTTCCCTCTCCCCCGGAGACCGAGCCTCCGGTATCCTACCTCCAAGACAACTACGAATGGGGTGTGGGCGAAGAGGCCGACTTGCTCACGTTCAACCCCATTTTCGACCCCGCAAAGACAAACTGGGTGTTCCGCGACGACGTCTCGGGCTATGACCTGGACCTCCCCGAGCCGCCGCGCCGTTGCGCCATCATCACCGTCTCCCGCCTTTCCAAACGCTTGTTGGACATCATGCATGCCGAGACGTACCTCATGAGGCACCACATGTTCCCGGAAATGTGGCCGCCCACCGTTGCCTTCCACCACGGCCTGAAGGCCGTCTATGTACCCCATCCCGTTTACTTTGACCACAACTGGCCGTTGGAGGCGATCGACGGCACGTTCAACCACCCTCCCAAGCCTACCGACAGTGTCTTCGGCTGGGGTGAACACAATCAGCTCGGCAACAGCTTCTACTACAACGCCGCCTTCTCAGCCAACTGGTGGAGGCGATGGCTCGGCTCACGCGAGAACGAGCAAGGAGGCACCGAGTTCGAGGAATCGGGCTCCGGCCGCCTATGCATACGACCGACGCTATTCCACCCCGTCAAGTACGAGAAGGGTGCTGAGTAACGTTATCTATTTTCATCTGCACCTCTTTAATCATCGTTCTCTTCTTTCGTCTGTCTTATAGACTTTGGAGGCACTCCTTCTACAGTACATTGGCGTAGCGTCAGCGTTTGCATCTATCTAATTGGCGACTGGAATGGCTGCGATCATATCACATCGGGCGGCGTTCAAAGGAGTTTCAGGAACGGCATAGATGTGTTGTCTTGCTTCGTGTTGGCGTTTCGACTACCTCTGTCCTGGGAATACTCTTTTTCTTGTTCGGTGGAAAGAACCATGTGGTTGGGCAGTTGGATGGGACAGCAGCGAGAGAGCAGAAAAGGCGCTGTGGGTCGTAGCTATTGTTTGAATAGCGGGGGTTTCGGGTTATTGTTCATGTGCTATGGTTTGGCGGAGGCGTTCGCTTTCCGATGAGAAGTTGGAAGGGGGGAGGAACAAGGGTCTATAGTATGCGGACGGATTGGGTGTAGAGGCCAGTTGGGTTGTAGAGTACAGTATAGTGTTAATGTGCATGTATACTTTTGTTACCTTTATGTTTGGTTTTGCGGTATACTCTTGTCGTTGACTTGTCTGCTGTCGCCCATGATTAATTCACGCAATTGTGCCAGGCTTGGAAACCTGTCCTCTTTCGAAACCAAGGTTTTCCATGCTTTGTGTGTCAGGTCAGCGGGATATCGCCGCAGCTCTCATGTAAAGCGCCTTTCCCATATACTCCTTCCATATCACAATTTCAACCAACAATATCATCAATTGACGAACGGTGAGATGGCCGAGCGGTCTAAGGCGCTAGCTTCAGGTGCTAGTCATGAAAATGGCGTGGGTTCGAATCCCACTCTCATCAACATCTTTTTTTTTTCCTTTTCATTCTGCTTTTTCTTTTTTGCTTCTTTTTGCAAAATTTATTGAGAACTTCAACTCGTTGAGTTAAAGATGTGAAAGGTGGGGTTGTGGGTTCGTTTTCTGCATCGAGCGGGGTGTGGGCTTGGCATAAGTATTCCAGCTAACCCTCATTTTCTGTGACTTGCTCGTCGAAACTAACATAAAATGATCCGATTGCTATGGACTGGGATGAGCGCGCAGATAACGCGTGCCTCGAGTGGTCTTATAAATTTATACAGGAACGAGGGCCTAATATCGCAAGATAGGTTTCAACCTTCTGCAAGAATTATCCCAGCGAACTTATTGACGACCATGCGGTTCTTTCAACTGGTGCTGCAGGATCCGTTTTGACGATGGCGTGCAATAGATAGTTTGCTTTGCAGTCCCTAGACGCGTTATAGACAGAGAGAGGAAACTTCTTTGTAAAGTAGGGACTATGCGATTAATCAAGCAAAGGACGAGCATGCCCGCGCCTACCGTCCACGCCTGGGCCTTTCGACGGAGAATGCTCCGGGTTTGGGACCCTTCCAATGTTCCCCATCATGCCTCTGTCCGTTAGAGATGACGGGAATGCCCATGCGGATCCAGGACGCTTGACCCTCAAGATGCAAGAAATCGAAGCCTACCTAATAGCGGAGTCAAAGTAGGAGGGAACGCGCTCCTACACATAGGTTCTCTACTGCGACTAATTACTTCGCCTACGTAGCTAGCTAAGGAGGACCCTCGAGCATTTACACGGAACAACCCGACTCTATTGATGACGCTGAGGATAGATGCTCGAGAGCAAAGTATACGTTCCGCAATAAAGCGTTTTTATTACTAACAAGTATAATATAACAGCAGTTTTAGATTAACTTAGTCTACAATAATATGCACTTTAGAAATATTATTATATACAACGCTATAGAACTAAAAATATAGTAGCAGTGCCTAACGAGGAGTAGGCGTACACAGCAGCGTACTAGATAGTTTACTTTAATTGCCTGCTAAGATAGCTTTTAATAAAGAAGCTAATTTGTTAGCAATATGCTAATAGTAAGGAGTTTCGCGTTCTATCTACAACTTGTCTTAACGTGTTCCTTAGCGAACTAAAGCAGGAGGAGAGGGGAAGAATCGATAGAATGCAGCAAGGAATTGATAGAATGCAGCACTTTGAAAGCAAGGAGAGACTGTCTGAATGGCCATGATCGAGGGTACGGGTGCCGAGTGGATTGTTAGGGATATCGATTGTGGGCATTCGGCGCAGGTTTCGAGGCCTGAGGAGTTGGCTGAGTTGTTGGTGGAGTTGGCGAGTGAGTTTGCGAGCCTGTGAAGGGTTGAGATAGGGTTACTCAGTGCTTTTATGTGAAAGTGAGGTTATGGAACAGTTCGTCGATTACGATATACAATTACTCTATAGTACTGCTTGCTGAACAGTCATTAAGTACCCAGTCAATACTAAACCTCGCACGGCACGACAGTCATGTGAAAGAGTCCCTTTTCCACTTATCTAGTCGCCACCACCATCGGCGCCAGCAGCCTGGCTAGGCTCCGCTTGCCCCCTCTCAGCGTCGTCCTCGGCGGCGTCAGTCCTACGCTGATTTCCGTTCCTATGCTGAGCCTTTGGGTGTTCCCCATGTTCAACCAGCGGGTAATGCAAACCGGGCTTCGCGGATAAAGCATCACGAATTTCATCCACACTTTTGTCGGCCCAAGCCTTGCTCCCCAGGTGAGACAGGGGATACAGCGGGAAATTGTCCTCGTGGACAACAAAGTCGTCGCTCGACGGCGCGACGCGCGACATGATGATATCGATATCCTTTCGAATCTGCTCGCAGAAAGCATCGAGTGGGAGGTCGTTGACGTCGTCTCCAAAGGGGTTCTCGATCTCGCGGCCAATCAGCGCGATGCCCAGGATGATGTAGGCGGCGAAGACGCTGGCGGGTATGGTCACCCAGCCGAGGGATTTGTAGAGCTGGAAGGGCAGCAGGAGGATGTACACCCAGGTGATCTGGCTGATGGCGATGGAGTAGGCGACGGGCAGCGGGGTGTTGAGGATGCGCTCCGTGCCTGTGAGGACGTCGTTCATCGTGGTAAGCGCGTTGAGGGACTGTGTTTGGTAGATGCTGACTTTGAAGGTGCCGTTGTCGTAGATGGTTTTCATGTATGCCGACAAGTGCGAGAGGATCTCCAGCGGCAGGTTGCCAGGGGGCACGCGCGCCCTCTTGATCAGCTTTCGCGGATTGCTCTCAGCCATGGGGACGCCGAGGAACTCTCCGGCGGTCTTGAACACGCTCTTCTTCTTCGGTGCCGGAGGCTCGGCCGCCTTTGCATAGGTATCCAGGTGCCCGACTAGATGCTGCAAGTCGTCGTAGTGCAGGCCCGGCTCGAAACGCAGCTTGTGCTTCAGCGCTACGGCGTAGGCGGCGATCAAATTCAGGCAGCTGATCTTGCCCAGCAGGTCATTCTTGCCGAGCGCGGCATCTTTGTCGTGTCGCTCGTCGGCGTGGATCCAGATAAGGCGCGCAAGGTTCTGGGAGACGAAAGTGAGCTGGGCCCAGTACTTGCGGCCTTCGTTGTAGCGCTCGTACGCCGTGGAGCTACGGAAGCTGAGGGCGAGACCGACGACGAAACCAAGGACGGTGAGGAGGAGTTGGTTGATTCCGACTGTGGGATTGAGTCAAAAAGGTTGACCAGACTAGCAGGATTGGAGAGCAGCCGTACGGTCATGGACGAATTTCGAGATACATGTGATCATAGCTGACCAGCCGCCGACAAAGAGAAGCGGTAGAATCATCTCCGGAGTGATGCTGCCATGTAGCCGTAGAAACATTGGCCATTTGGAGTGGTGATCGAGGTCGCGTGGCCCAATCTGTAGAATGAGTTAGCAGTAATTCGCAGTGCAATGCCTATTGGGAAACCATACGAAATAGTCGTCCAGGTCTCTATCGGTGGTTTGCCTCCTCACCGCTGGGTGAGGCTCTTTGGCGCCATTCGTCTTTTCCGCCATGGTGATTGCGGTGTGAGAAAAAGTTCACTGATCTCCATGTTGACAGGGGCGGAGGGAGTATTTGTAGCGCCGACTGTCTTGATGAGTAGCGTCCCTGGTGGCGCCCCTCGACCAAAGGGACTACACTACATATGATCAGCCAAGATGCGGAAATCCAATCTTGTTCGGGCGCGTAGCGACTCGACTTTGGCTCTAGGCGTTTTCGGGGTTATTTGTGATATGGTGGCTGAATATATGCGCTGGCAAATTCGGTTGTTGCCGCCGCTTTTGGCAGATCGACATTGTGGCAGCTGGTGCCCCAGGTGGCTGTCGTAACAGCAGATGCTCCAACTCTGTTCTCATGCAACCACGTCAAGGCAGGGAGGAGAGTGTTTGTTATGTTTTCACGAGGCTGATGAGGCTGGAGTCAAGTCGGTGGGGCGGCGGGTCATTAGATTCACGTCTGTGCTTCAAGTTTCAGCTGTGTTCGCCATTCTAGATCACGTTCTAAGCTCCAGCAAGCTTGGCGAGTATCCCCTTTTGCTTTCCCCATTGAGGAAGACAACGCAGAAAATTCCATTGCTATTCGACTAGCTATCTGGCAGCTTAACTGAAGGGCGTTGTCAATAGCCATTAACGCCTTAATGCCTGCTTCATATCACAAGAAATCTTACAAAATGTCGCTATTTCCTTTGCCCCGTGTTATTGTATACATATCAACCCTTAGCATACGTGGAACAACTCGAGGAGGGCAAAAAAATTCGATTAATGAAACTCGCACAAGGAATCCCTATTTCGCTACTGGCCTGTTATCCCATGTGGAATGCCATCCCAATCTCCGTTGAGGATTTTCCGTAGCTCCATGCCCATGTATGATTTGTTGAATTGATCCAGATGATCGTCATTTACGCTCTCTTGTTTCTTATTCAACAACATCTCTCGTGTTTTCAGCAAGTAGTCATCAGCAATGCGTCGAACTGCCTCCTTGTCATCTTCTTCCATCTGTGCGAGGTCCACGTATCCGTATAAAAGTTGAGTTTTGGTGATGGCTTTGCTGCCTCCCAGTCTCTCGTACAGAGGTGCAAAACAGCGGTGGAGCATTGCCCAGAAAGCATTATAGCCGCCGAATCGTTCAAAGTAAGGGTCTTCCGAAGGGTGAACCGCTAGTTCACTGTAGTCCCGGAGGTTCTTGCCAACTATGTTGTGTCTTGGGCAAGGGGCGTTCACGAGCAGAGTCATTTCCTTCTCCAGACGGGAAGGAGTACCAAGTCTAAGGACACAGCGGCAAAAGAGATATCGGTGAACAATATTGAAGACGGGCTCCCACTTCATCGTGAGTCTCCGGCAGACGAAATCGAGCCTTGGCACAAGGTCGTCACCACGTTCCTCAAAGAACAGGGAAGTGGGCCGGTTCTTGCTGCTCGATTGCTCTTGCGCTCTTGGACGTCGTGATGCAACTTGGTAATCGCGGTAAAGGTCTCAGTCGATAAGGATATCAGTCGGTTCGAAGGGGAGATCATCAGGTTCTACCCACTGAACTGCCAGCTTACACGAATGACCATAGGAGATTTTAGTAAGCAATAACGACTAGAAAGAGGAAGACCCTACCAATATTTGAGGGGGATATTCGGAAGTGTCGTGCGTTCTCGGTTTGTAGCATCGCATACACCGATTCCTAGGTGGACCATGCCAGGAACCCATAACGAAGGACACCTTGGCAGCCCGATCATGTTTTACGACGCGTAACCAATTCGCGGGAGAAACGATGTGCCTTTCATTCCATTCCCAGAGCAGAATGTGGCGTCGTTCAATTTGCTTCAATCCGGGGAGTCTCTCGGATTTATATTTCAATCGCAGAATATCGAAGAAAGCCTATAAGTCCTTAACCTTGAGGTTCAGATAATGGTGCTGTTGGTTTATCCAACTGGATGGTTAATGAATAGAAGGGCCAACTACCTCTAGAGTCTCACAGAGAGACACAGGTAAGAAATATTCCGCGCCCAGCCCATCATCGATCTTGAGATGATCTTCAAGCATACCAGTTTCCCATGGGTATCCGAGTTGCTTAGGTTTATTCGTCATTTGGCGGACTATCCACTGGGCTGTAATATCCAAGGTATCCAGCCTCTGCGTCTGCTGGTAAACATACCGCCTGAGACTAGCTAAAGGGTCGTCAATCTTCTCCCGAAGTCGGTCAAACGCCTCCTTCCGTCCTTCGCCATATAAAAGCGGCATATGTATGTTGAAGATACCCAACAATGAGTATGCTGCATCCTCTTCCCGTTTGGCCTGGCGATTCGCTGCCAACGATATGCGCTCCTCTGTCGAGAAATGGGACAAGGGAGTTCCTTGCAGGGCCGCGAGCGCAATCCCCGTTATCTCAGCGAGTATTTGCTGCAGTGAGTGCTTGCTACCAAGCCAATGCCCCTCTTTACTGAAGAAATCTACTGATCTTGGAGCAATGAGCTCCTGGAGTGTCCAGCCGCGAGTGAACCATCTGCTTCTTGCGAACGCTGCTTTCAGTTCTGGGGTAAAGTCGTTCTCTCCAGCGGACCGGTCGACAGATACGTCGGCCAGATATGCGTAGCATCTTGCAGCCTTTTGGTACCAGCGAAACATAGAGTTGATGGCCTCGTCAAGCTCTCTGCTGCTTGATTTGTTGATGCAGCAGGTGTCCACCCAGAAAAACCCGAGGTCGTCTTTCGCAGCTTGGGCTCCGCATAACGTAAGTTTACGATAACCAGCCTTGTTCCTACCAGTGCCTTTCAGTAAATCCTTATAGGTAGGTTCCTCATGGTCGGCTCCCCAGGTGTGTGAAAGAATGGCATATTGAGGAATATCCTTCTCAACATACTCGACAAGGCTGAAGTTGCCGTCTTCTTCAAGCCTCAGAAGACGCATGAGAGAAGAGGTCTCAAAGTGCGCTGTTGTTAACGGTGTTATTCAAGCAGACACGAATCAAAGAAGAACGTCGGTCAGGCAGATACACAGAATGTATTTTTCTCCAGTGATAGTAGCGGAGGTAGCGAGGAGCAGACTTGTCTTAGTGAGGCACAGCAATCTGGCCATGTGATCTCACATGCATACGTCGTGACTAATCAGTGTTACCCAAGGTGTTCCTTTTGCTGCTGAAGAAACAGAGCCGTTTCATGCTGTTAGACTTCAACTCATGATTATTCGATCCTACACCTCCAAATACTCCAACAGACCAATGCCGGCCCGTCCTAAGGATAAGCGGTTGCCACATCGATCAGAAAGCCCTTCACCTCTTCCCGAGCCACCCCATCCAAAATCCCCACAGCCTGGACTGGGACGAACGCGCTGAACTCGCCCACAGTAACTCAACCTGCATCTAGTCTTGTACATCTAACTAGCAACGAGTCCTAAACATCCTAAAATAGGTTTCCACCTTCTGCAACAACTAGCCTAGCAAACTCGTTAACGAGGACTACTGCAGATCCCTTAACTAGTGCTGCAGGATCCGTTTTAATAACGACGTGCAGTAGATAGTCTCGTTTGCTGTACCCAGACGCGTATTTCTTAAAGATGAGGGAATGGGAAAGCTTGACCTCTAAGCTGTAGGTACGTATATAAAAGCAACCTTAGATATGTGGCTACGAATGTACTACAGCAGCCTTCTTATCCACAGCCTGAATCAGCACCCGCCGATAACTCGTAAGCGGCGGCCTCCCACTATCTGTAACCTCCAAAATCAGATGCAGCACCTGGCCCTTTACGACCGGCTTGCGCCCACCCAAAAAGTCGACACAACAACGATCAGCTGGAGGCAGTGTAACCTCTACAACACGACCCTCTTCATCGACCTTCTCGATGTCAAGAGAAGCCACTTCAGCATCGACCAACCACTGAGTAGCGCTCGGTTCCTTGTACTGCCACCATTTGAACGTGAGCGTGTCGCCGGCATCGGGATCGTACGTCTTGCTGGCGTCGAGCACGATTTTGCTGCCAGCTTCGGCTTCGACGCGCACGGGCTGGATGCCCGCGGCGCCGTTGATGGAGATGACGGGGTGGTGATTGGCTTTGTCGAAGTCGCCGTGCAGAGTCCATTGCATTCGCGCTGCGAAGTCGTTCTGGAAGGCGTCTCGCCATCGCCAGATGGTGGCGTGGTTGGATGTGTATAGCCTCCCGTCTTGGCCAGTGACTCTGTCCACGGCGTCACTGTAGTGGTTGCTCCCGGATGCGTTGGCGTCGGTTTTTACGTATCGTCCTCCCCAAGATCCATACGAAGGGAATTCTGGTACGCCCAGACCGTTCTGGATCAGGTACAAGAAAGTAGGCGTGTCGCCTTCGGCAATGAATTCGTAATCTGGGTAAGCTCTCCCAAGCGGTCCAATCCGGATATGCTCCTTGATCCACTGCTTTTCCCATTTCGAGAAGTCCGGTCCGCCCTGGTCGAAGCCGTAGAATTTGTCTCCGGAGATCCCCGTCCAGGTAGCCATTCCGTAGTGATTCCAGCCATGTACGGACGAGATGTAAAAGATCATGGGGAAGTTGTTACGTATCCACACGCCCGTGTCGTCCTGGTCCGATATGGCATAGACGCGTAGACGCGAGAATATGCGTGCTGCATCTTCTGGAGTATATTTCTGGTCGATGGCCAATATCACCTGTGCGAGGGTGTTTGTCCCACCCCAGCACAGGACCCACAGGGGCTTCTGTATATGTGCAGTGATGCGCTGAAGAAGAAGTTCGCCTCCAGGCGAGAGGGGCAAGTCATCAGCGAGGGCCGTTAGACCATATGTCTTGCGCTCTTCAGCATTTGGTCCCGGACGGAAGACTATCTGGCACCTACCTCAGCGCCTTTCCGTACCAGACCTCTCAACTGCTCTGCGCTGGGGTACGGCCAGTCGGGATGGACATGCTTGTTTAAGTTGTCGACTGTGTCGGCATATGCGTCTATGATCTTTTCTATGTCCTGCGGACACACCCTGTCCTTCTGCCAGGTGCTTGTACATGCGACAAGTCCTTCGGTTTCAAATTGGTTCGAGTAAAGGAGATATCTGCACAAGGACTCGGCGTCGTCTGGCTCGTTGCTGATGTCGGTTAGGATGAAGACTCTGGGTTTGGCGCCATAGGTTTGGAGACGCGAGGCAGACATGTTTGCCGATGTGGGTTGATGGTACAGCGCCCATTGGGGCGACAACGTTTAAATAGGAAGTCTCCATGTCATCGGGAGTTTATTTTCGTGCTGGTCTCACAGGCAAACCGAAGATCAGCCACGAGCGTCGCGCAAGGGGAGTTGTGGGGGGTAGGTTTCGCACGTCACTGGAAACGGGTGCCAAGACTCGGTTACTTGCCATGTCGTTAATCTGTCACATCTGCAATGTGAACAAGAAGGAATTAGGAGACCTTTTCTTAGACGCTAGAGACGGCAGAAGGACTATATGCCACCCACCTTGTCCCTAACCATCTCTTTACGAAGACATCCTTTTCATTCCGCTGCTGCACCGCGCAGCCTGCCTGAGGGCTTTCCACCCTGTGAAGCCCAACTAGAAGAACGCTTTCTGAAGATAGCTCTGGAAATTGCCGTCTCTGAAGCTTGGAGTCGCTGAGCCAAAGTCCGTGGTCTCAATGGCCGTTCTCGCCGCCGCCGTCATACTCTCCCATGCAATCAGGGGCTGCTCGCCGCCTTGTTCGACCGTGTCAATCAACTGATGGTTGACGGGCCAGATACTGATGTAACCGATCTTGACTCGGGACCCGCTGAAATGGCCAGAGACTTTCTGGTAATCTCCATGTGCAGAGATGGCGACTCCTCGCACCGTCGCCGTTTCGGAAGCGGATGAGAGCCACACAACGACGTTCTCCCAGTCATGGCGGTGGCCGAGTCCGCTTGACGGGCTGTCCTTGGGCATATACCACGAATACCTAGACCGCTGGTTAGCCGTAGACAAGGTCCGAGGAGTGATATGTGAGTACATGATAGCAAAAGCGCCATTGTAAGTGCCGGCACGAGCGTAGACCTGGCCTGTGGACTTTCCGCAGTTCCCATTCGGTGCGCCGTCGGTAGATAGACCGCCGCTGTGAATGATATCAGTGTCTCACTCATAAGGCGGAAATTGTTGGCAGAGCAGAGCCTAGTTTCCTCACATACCTGGTGTCGCCTGCAGCGTTCACAGCGGGGAATGGGACGCAACCGTTGTATACCTCGAGGTAAGGCTTGTACTTCAACATGAGGGTTCCTTCGATGCTCGAGGGCACGGTCTGTGGGAAGCCAACAACGGCATCATGATTGATTACGGCGCGGGGCGCAAGCTGCAGAGGGGCAGCATAGGAGTACGAAGAAAAACAGGCGAGCGCCAGGATGCTGTGCTTGGTGTTGAAGACCATGTGGAAGCGTGACGACGGTGACGGATGACAACGCTGGATATTCGGCAGGACGAGGATTTATGTACGCTCCAAGCAGAAGACCAAGGCCAGAGTATAGCGCAAACTCGATGGGACGTCTATTGGAGCTTTCCTTCCTTGTTGTTAGATGCTGGCGACTTTCTCAACTTTCTGTCCAGTAGCAGGAGTTGGGTGCATCCCGTGGTACAGTTCTCTGTTCTGAACGGGGATACTTCTACTTGTAGGCTCGTAGCTCTTTCTCTTGTATCGTAGAGCTAAGCTTAGACTATCCGGAGATCAGCATCAGGGAACCAGACGTTGCATCTTGCACACATCTGCTATCGGAGTGCGATACCTTTTAAGGCGACATGTCCTGGTGTTTATTGAAGAGAGCAGCCCAAGGGTTGGCCGAGCCCTGGTTGAAGTGGTCAGGTTGAGGGTGGCCGACAGGGCTCCGGGTGAATGCGTGCCCCTTGTGTGCGGGAGGATTGGTCGATCACTGCTGGGGAGGGCAGTGTTCCGATCAGGAAGGTGATTCATGTCTAATCACAAGTTACAGGAACATCGACCCTGAACCTTGGAACTGTAACTTATGCGACTTCTTGAGAGAACGTTCGGTGTCCACGGTCCTTACTGTTACCAACACTAGAATCTCCATGGTGCGAACCGGTGGGGGCCTTTGTTTAACATCACGACAAAATGAGCTCCAATATTGAGTGACGTTCGAGACCTCAACCCACACGCGCAACATTTTCCATCGTCCGAGTCCTGAGGTGGGAGGAGGCCAAGATTGTATTGGGGCAACTTTGACGTCCCTGTTGGACAGTTTTTATATCAGGGATTCGCAGAGAGATATCGGAGCTCAAAGGTTTATGAATGCATTAACATATGGAAAGTGAGAATGAAGGACTAGTCCGCAGAAGCATTGCTTCTCCATACCCGTTCGACGTAAGCCGCCAGATATACACTCGCAAGCGCCTATGTTTTGCATCACTCTTCGAGCGCTTGCCCTGTCACTTCTTTTTGGTTTGTTCATCGTGGCCTCTGGCGGGTTCAACATCTTCTTCTTTCTTCCGCTGCCTCGCGGGCCCTGGTTGGCTGAGAAGTTCTACTTCACGTAGCCAGACAGTACTTCTCTGGCCATCCGGAGGGATTTGCTTTGGACCTGGCAGAATCTCGCGTAGCAGGTCATTGATCGTAATGCCTTCACTTCTCAATCGTTCCCACTGCCCTTGGTAGCCCAAACTGACCTCTTCGAACCGAGTTTTACCTCTCCAGTCCGTGCGCCTCCAGTGCATGTGTCCGTTGACGACCACTTTAGCGTTGTACTTGGTATGCCAGTCCTCGGTTTGCGTTGTCCCGCACCACATGTGCCACCTGTCCATATGGTCCGGCAGGTCGACCAGATCTCTGCGGAGAGGCCAGTGTCCCGCAATGACCAAGGGGTATTTCATGCCGTATGCCTCGCATGCCGCCTCGAGCTTTTTCCCGAACCTGGCTACCAAGGCATCGCACCATGCGTCCCGGGATTCATATGGATAGGGATCCAGTATGTACTCATCCGTGCACGGCAAACGATCTCCTTCCGTCGCCCACCCGACAGCCCTCTCTCGGCTCACATAGTTCGGTCGGTAGCTGTAGTCGTAGAGGGTGAAAATGGGTGCGATGATGCAGGTATCCCCACGGCCCAACCACAGCATATATGGATCTTCTGGAGTCTTCACGCCGTAACTGCGGGCTAATTCTGCGAGAATTTGAGTTGATTCGTTCTGTATTCAATGAGGAAATGACAACGTCGCACCGACACACTTCTCATACTTTGCCTGACCTCGAAGACCACCGTCCATGGTGGACAACCAGAGTTCGTGATTACCGGGGGTCCAAAAGACATAACGGAAGCGAGCCGTGGTTATTTCGAACGCCAGCTTGAGTTCCTTGAGGGTCTCTCCTATATCTCCGCATAATATAAGGCCATCACCAGGATGCGGTTTAAGCTTCCTCAGCTCTTCTGCGTTTATTGGATTGTTGAGATGAAGATCAGAGATTGCCCAGAGGCGACGAGTCGGAAGAGACATGTTAAAAGAGTGTACTTCCACAGTTTGACGGATGGAGCCAGATCAAAAAATTATTCAAGAATGATTGTGAGTATTGAAACGAACGATAGTGATAAGAACTCCTGCCGCGGGGAAAGGTATCGCCTGTGCTCGATAGATGGTCGTAAAATACTGTGTTGGGGTCGCCGCAGGCTGACGGCAAAACGGAAAGCATAGTCAAGTCTGGAGTCAAGCCTGGAATGTTCGGCTCCTCTAATGCTCCTGCTTGTCCTTGTGCATAAGTATCAACTTGACGATCATTATGGAAGGCGGTACCGATCGTATAGGGGTATCACTATCCCGCGACCTCGACAGGAACGTTCACCGGAGGTTCCAGGAGACTGCAGTTTGTCTTCGAGGAAATAAAGGTTCGCGGCACATCCACGGTCGATAAGCACAACGCACTCCAGTCCGTCACCTCACCTTTCATTCACCCCACCTTACTGCCGAACGAATCGCGAGATGGCCCTATGTCACAAACCATCAAGCAAATGTGATGGAATGACCTTTCCTTAATCATTCATGCTCTATATGTTGAGATCGGGGAGGCATCGTCGAGCACATCGAATAAGAATGGAGCACTACAGTCCACTCGGTTGCTTGACCGTCAGTCAGTGAGCATGTTCCAGATCCGGGGATGAAAGGGAGCATCTGCTACAGACTCTCTCCCTGTCACGTATAGACCCGACCCAAGGCGACCTCTTTCCTCCAATTGACCGCATTTTGGTAAGCCTCCAGGTCCAGATTTCCGGCGCTCCAAACCGCGATGGCTTGTACGGATACACCAGTGTCATCCTGGCCCACGACGTATCCCAGTACGTTTACCCAGCATCCCACATCGATATCATGGCGCTGTATGGATTCCAGAATGACGGATATGTTCACGCGAGCAACACGCGGCCTCTCAGAGGGCGGGTAGTTGTGCTTGAGGCGGAGGGTCGCATCCTGGACGACATATTCATCGACGCTGCAACGGGTAGTTTAGTGGCGGAAAGCGGTCAAAAGTGGAAACGATACCAGCCTAGGAACCGGACTTTGTCGCCACGGTCGCAGTTCTGCAGGTCTGACAAGAAAACTAAGCTCGATGGCGGGGGACCCGTCATGTTGATTTCTCCCTTGTCATGGAAACAGAGGTGGAGAGATGGAAAAGGGACAGGGGTTGTTCCGCGCCGAGACCCCTGTGCCAAGACACGCACGTGCCACTGCTTTTGGCGTGATACCGTCATAACCGTTCTCCAGGCACGCCTCTGTTGGGACTTCTGCTAACACACTGCAGGCTACAGCAAGTCTGTTCTTGCGAACGTCCAAGATTCCGGCTCGCTTATACTGCCAGTGGAAGCCCTGTACGCGCATGAATTTCGATCTCCGATCGACTGAGCTCTGATCAAGCCTCCCGATATCACCGACTGACCCCTCCACATCCCCGCGTACCGCTCCGACACCACGCACGAACTCCCTTCGCGCTACAGTCACCCTCGTTCAACCCGGAGTTCTCTTAACCCGCTTATCCCATCTACATCTTAGAACAGTGCACCCACCATGTCCGGCTGGGGTCTCGGCTGGTTCGGCGGAGGGAGCCAGAAGCAAAAGGATGCGCCGAAGAAGGCCATCCTCCAGCTGCGGGCACAGCTTGAGATGCTAAATAAGCGCGAGAAACACCTCCAGCTCCAGGCGGACGAGCAAGATGCGCTGGCCAGGAAATATGTGTCGACGAACAAGGCTGGTATGTGAAGGCCAACACCATCGCCCCGCGCCGCACACTTGCTCTGTTTTGCAAACATGGCTCTGACATGTGCGTTCAGCCGCAAAGACCGCGTTACGCCGGAAGAAGCAATTTGAACATTCGCTCGAACAGACGGCCGCGCAGATCATGACCTTGGAGCGCGAGATTTACTCGATCGAAACCGCCAATATCAACAGGGAGACGCTGGAAGCGATGAGGAATGCGGGGCAGGCGATGAAGCAAATCCACGCGACACTTACGCCAGAGAAGGTGGAAGATATCATGTACGTTTTTGCAAGTCCTGTTGCTCTTGGTCGCATTGTCGGCTGCTAACATGTACTACAGGGAGGGACTCCGAGAACAGCACGACATCGGACAGGAGATCTCAGACGCCATAACACAAGGAGTTGGAAACAACCTTGTCGACGAAGACGAGCTCGACCAAGAACTCGCGGAGCTGCAGCAGGAGAAGCTGGACGAGCAGATGCTCAAAACCGGCACCATCCCAGTTGGTGACAAGGTTGACCGCCTGCCGGCGGCAGCACAGCACGAACCGAAGGGCAAGGCGCGGGTGGAAGAGGATGACGAGGAAGAAGAGCTGCGGAGACTGCAAGCGGAAATGGCCATGTAGTTCATCCGGTTGGCGATGCTGTGCGTAGGATACATAGACTAATCGCATGTGGAGGAAGGGAACGGCTGTGATTAGTGTGGAGCGGGGTATGGATATACCCAGGGAGACTTTAGGCGTAGGCGTATGGCATTACCGGTCGGGCGACTGCACTTTTCTGGGGTTTTCTGCGTTTCTCCCTGCGTTTCTACGACATACATCTCCCGATGTTGCTTGCAATATCAGTTTCACCTGCTGAGATGCCTGTGCGTATTACTATACATCTTTCTATTCCGGAGGCTTTCTTTTGTGTTGCCGTTGTCTTTCTGCGCCGAACAAATCTGATTAACATCTGGGAATGTAGAGAAACCTCTCTTCACCTTGAGTGATACGTGGATCCAAAGTAGGAATGCTGACAGTTTGGATAACGGATTAGTACCTCTGATATATCTTAAGAAGCAAGGATGCAAAAGACTGAATCAACGAGGGCGCATGTCCAGCACCGAGCATACCCCAGGGTTCCCACCTGTAACGACCCTAATAGTGCAAACCGCAAAACATCACTGTCATCCCTCTTGCACACTCATCCAAACCTTTCCAACCCCCTACTTCAACACCTTCTGCACCGCTCCTTTCGCCTGCCTCAACAAACCCTTCAGCTCCCCCTTCAACTTTTTCCTCCCTCCTTTCTCTCCTTCTCCCTCCTCCGTCCCCTCCTCTACCTTACCATACAAAAACCCCTCCACATCCCCAACAGCAACCCCACACTCTCCCCTCCCCATATACGGTCCCTTAGGCCCCCACCCCACCCGCATAACCCTCGCCCTCCGTCCCTCCCACCCAGTCCTCGCATCCGTAGCATGAAAAACACCCCAAACCTCTCTACCTTGATCCTCACCCCCTACACAGACAAAATTGCCATGACCAGGCCCATACGGCGGCCTCCCATCCCTCTTACACGTGAGCAGCGGCTCAGGCCACTTGCGCCAACTCCCCTCCACACACGGATCGCCACCCACATACTCCAGCACCGCCATCTTGTACTCGGCCGTCCAGGACCCCGCGCACGAATACACGAGCCCGACCCAGCGGCCGCCGTCGGGTGAAACCAGCAACTGCGGCCCCTCGTTGATGCCCGAGGTCCCCGAGTACTCCCACTGGTAGTTTGGCGTCGAGATGCGCGTCGGTGGGCGCTGCGTGTGCGGGACGCAGCTCGTGGGGGTCGTCATGCGCGCGATGAAGAGTTCCTGCTTGCTCTCGGTGTCGACGACGCCAAGGGGCCAGCCCGAGTAGACGAAGTAGTCGTGCCCGTGGAGGTGGATTACCGTGCCGTCGATGGCCCATTGGTCTTCTGGTAGGCCGTCGACGCGGCCGTGGAAGGTCCACTTTTCTGGTTGCAAAGGGGATTCGGAAGAGGGTGGGCCTTCGAGGACGTACATCCTGTGGCTGTGGTTGGGGCGAAGAGTGCGCGGGTCGTCGGCGGCGAAGTAGACGTACCATCGCCCCTGGAGGGAGTGCAGCTCGGGCGCCCAGATGTCCCCGCTGTAAGGGGTCGAAGGGGGTGGGCGCCAGATGGTGACCTTGTGGCTGCGGGATTCGAAGTTGAAGAGGGAATCGGCGGACCATATCTCGATGCGGTCGCCAGCGGTGAAGGTCTGGGATGGCGTTAGTGCTTTTTCTATTGGTGGTGATGGTGTATGGGCGATATGACGATTCGAGGAGGGATGTGGGGTGCGCTTTGGTATATACACTAGGAGAGCCATGGAACAATGGTATAAGCGTACCATGTAATATGTCCCATTATCAAAGATAACATATGGGTCCGGCGTGGTTGTCTCAGTAATGTTAAGGATGACATCGTTGTATGATCTCGGCATCTGCAGATGCATGTCCGGAAACGTGGTATTCTCCATTATAATTTCTCTGCTGCTTCTTCCATGCGTAAAACACTTCCGCGTCAGCTAGCTCTTTTTCCGTTCCCACTCTTGTGAGGTTGATGGCGTGGAGCGAGGCCGCGGATAGTGGAGCCGAGTTCCTAGTTAAGGGGGTAGGGAAGGGGGTATGGAACGAGAAGAGGAGTCAATAATACAGGAAGAGTTCTTCAGAGAAGGTCGTTAGCGATGCGAAGAGGGCAATGGAAGCCGTCCTTAGGACAGTAAGGATAGTCCAGGATGAAAAAATATGGTCTGGAAATTCAGTAAGATATCAGGCGTTAAAAGACCGAGAAGCGGGATGAAGATGTAACTCGGTGTGTACCCATTCTATACACGTGGAGAGGTGTGGCCTGGTGGACGCGCAAGAGGGAACTCTAGTGGGGTTCATTGCTATGACGTCAACGGGACTTTCTAGCTTCCTTTCAGGTGGGAAATGTGCAAAAAGGAAGAACCATAATTCAACATGGTGGTGAGTTCTCATACATAGTTAAGTATCACAGGTCACAAGAGGATGAAACAAGCTTTCGCATGGTAGGTCAGCTGTGTGGCCACCCAAGCAATATAGTGGTTTTGATTGGATGGAGTGGGACTGACTATTGACACCTACGCAACATTGAATGTCATTGGACAACCGTTCTACACGTAGTCCACCTCAAAAGACAGCTAGAACCGAGATGGTGTAAAAGATGTGTAAGTAGACTACATAAATCCGTGTTCGTGATTGCCGCACCCTAGCCCAACGCATATCCACACCGCAACGCCATGCCAAATGCGCGCAACATTCCATCCTTCATGCACTACTCCTGAACACGACGGCCCCTCCGTTCCTCCACCGAATCGTCTCCCTCGCCGCCATGACATGCAACGCTCTACTAAGCGCCTGCTCACTATACCCCTTTGAATCGACAAACTCCCTCTTGAGCGTCGAAAGATTTACCTGCCAACCAATCGGCATCCGCCGCCTGAGTTCCTCCTCAACCCTATTCACCTCCTCCATGAGCTCCTTGGAACTCTGGCCCTCGCCATGGATAACAGCGTCCATTGTCGACGCCAAAAACAGCCTTATCGCCTCATCAACGTGTTTCTCGTCCGCAACAGGTGACAACTGCAACTTGGCCAACGCCTCCGTGATACGGATAATGGCTTCGAGTTGACGCACGGTGATAGGGATCGAAGACCGAGCATTCGCATCCATCTCACTTGCATGGACTTGCTTGCGAATCGACACGAAATGGGACGACAGTTTCTCCGCTGCCTCGGGCGATAGCCGCGGTGCGCATTTCTGCCGACAATACGTAATGTAGCGTTTCATCTTGTCGATTGGGATTTCCGCTTGGATGGGCTCCTCAACGCCGCGGCCGCCCATGGCAATGCCCATGACGTGCTTGGCTATGCGCTCGTCGCGGCCGCGCTCGTGCTCGTCGCGCACGATGAAAATCATGTCGAAGCGGGACAGGATGGTGGTTTGGAAGTCGATGTTCTCGCCGGGGGTCTTCATGTCATCGTAGCGGCCGAAGATGGGGTTGGCGGCTGCCAGGACCGAGGTGCGGGAATTGAGAATCGTGGTGATGCCAGCTTTGGCGATGGAGATTGTCTGTTGTTCCATGGCTTCGTGTATGGCGACGCGGTCTTCGTCACGCATCTTGTCGAACTCGTCGATGCACACAACGCCACCGTCGGCGAGCACCATGGCGCCGCCTTCGAGGTAGAATTCGCGCGTGTTATGATCGCGTTGGACAGAGGCGGTAAGACCGGCGGCAGAGGAGCCCTTGCCAGAGGTGTAGATGGCAATGGGGGCGACTTTCTCGACGAACTTGAGGAGTTGGGATTTGGCGGTACCCGGGTCGCCCAGGAGGAGGACGTTGATGTCACCACGGAGTTTCATACCATCAGGCAATATCTTTTTGGAACCACCCATCAGAAGACACGCAATTGCCTTCTTGATATCTTTACTTCCGAAGATGGACGGGGCAATGCAATTGGCGAAGGTCTCGTAGAGGTCCGGCCTCCTACTCATCTCCAGAAACTCTTGCTCCTCCTCTTCGGTAAACACAGCGTTGCCTTTGGTGCTGTGGTCAACATCCGCGTGAATACCCACAGCGCGAATATAGGGATTTCGGATGGCTACTGCTGCGTTTTGCGACCGCTTGGAGCCCTTTTGCTGGTAGATAGAGAACACTCCCATGATTGTGCACCGAGTACCAGGAACGACCCGGTTGGCAAGGTAGCGATCCGCAGAAATCAGGATGTGACGGGGCAGCTCACCAACAGGCACTTGGTCTGGGGCCTCTTGAAGCTTCAGCACCTGCTGATCTATGAACTGACACCGCTCATGTAGCACAAAGTATGGATCCAGGGGACATTTCTCCGAATTATCGCCCTCTGTTCTCGTCCTGGCACATGTCCGAGGTAGAGAAACTCCTGTGAATCCACCTGCCACCGGGAGGATGTCTTCGTGGCCGCAATTCCGGCAGCGAATGGCCAATGCAGTCGCCTTGGATGACAACGTTGAAGCACCGATGACGATGCCAGGTATCCGTACAAGTCGGGAAACATGTGATGCTGTCAGGTCGCGGATCGATAGCTCGGAGGCTGAGGAGTGGAGCAGGAGTTGGTGTTCAGGGAGTTTAATGGATTTTTGCGAGGGGTAAACGATGCGCTGCGTGCAAATCTTCAAAGCGGCCTCGAACTGGTCTAAGTTAGTACAGCTAGAAAGTTAGGCCTCTGGGTTCACGTACGAGGGGAATGATCTCCGCTGGGTCCTGGGAAAGCATATCTGCCAGCTCGTCGTTGTAGGAAATGAGGTGAGCCATGTCAATGTCGCAGTAATACTGCTTGACCAGCACATTCTCCCGAATCTGGTCTCTGTGAACTAATTAGTGTCGAATGAGACGAGGGTATCAAGGAAGTCTACCTGTAAATGAAGACATTATCAAGGTGGAAATCCATGACGAAATCCACCAGGGCGCTCTGGATTCGAGATGGCGAACTGCCATCATTCCGGTCGTCGCCATGCTGGCTCCCGAAGAGACTGACTGTGTAAGTACTTTGTCGGTCCATTGTGCGCGCTGTACGAGAAGTTCTGGTGGGCAGAGGGGGTGTTGCTGGCAGTTCGTATAGCGCCGGTGTTGAGGGCGCGAAAAGGCGCGTCGCGTCGCGTCGATCGCTGCTTAATCATCACATCAATTAACTCCATGTATAGGTTAGCGCGTTTCTTAGCTCTCTCAACGTCAACGAGTGCACGATCAATCACCCTCATAGTTCCACCACACTCATCGCACAACGTTCCTTACACCTCAAATCCCGCCAAGGCGCAAAGACAGGTTGTATATGGTCTCAGGACGTTTTTCTGAGGCCTTGCTTGCTTTATCAGCCATCAAGTTGTTGCTGGACCGTTGTTCTATAAGTGGAGATGCCTGAGCGGAGCAGACAGCAGGTTGATCAACTGATCTTAATCACTAGTCCAGGAAACGACAACGAGCCGGAACTCCCTTCTCTTCTTCCATCAGGTTTTGTGCCCTCAGGACAACCGAGTGGCCTGCAATCAAAGCCTAGTTGGGGAAATACAAGTATACACGAGCAATCCCCAGTGGAAAGAGCTATCTATCCGGGTTAGACGACTCGCCAATGGTACGACTTGGTTGCTCATGCACTTTGCCCTGGGTTCCCCGCACCGTGCAGCTACCGGCTCCCTGGTCTCCTGCGTGGAAACCCAAATCACCCACTGGGTCGGCATCATGGCGCCATTTCAGCACCTACAAAGTACGGAGTACTTCCACACCAGGTGTAGCTTCATGCGCGTATGTGTAGGATGCTTTCCATTTCCTCTCGTTCCCACCGCTGCCATTTCTGTTCGTCCCGTCCATTCCGTTTCTCATGTCCGCAATCGTTCCAGTCAGTTTATATACACTTTCCTTGCCCTTCTTTGGGTACGAATCAGCGATTCCAGCGATTATGATATATGCCCTCAAACTGGCCACTTTATCGTATCTGCATTGCGAAGACGATTCACAGGGAGAGTACTCCGTAGAGTGCGCCGCCTCGCTTCTCATGTCCCTCGATTGCCTTAGTGCCTGCTGTCCGCACGAGAGCGAACCCATCTGTTTGTTCACCTTCAACCGTCATTGGACCGAATCTTCCCGACTTGAAAACTACCAAGGCCAACACGGCGCCGGACATGCAGCTCAATTATTTGGTGTTGTGATACGGCAGACTCGTCGACAGCGATGATAGAGCCAGCACTGAGAGCACATGGCTCGAGCACACGCTCCCATTGGCCCATAGGTTCCGCGAACGAAGCGTTGAGGCGGCCGTGGCGCGTGGGCTTGGCGTGTCTTGGCGACCCGAGCCATTCCGTTCCGCAAAGGCGAATGCTCTTCCGTTTTGGGACGAGTCCCTCTATCATCCCCCTGCTGAAGGCACGCACGTCAGAATAATAATGCCTCTGGCTTCATCGTATACAGTATGCCCGCTACCTAGGTAGTGGGTTCGGGTGCACGCGACCACGTCGGCCTTCATATGTTATACGATGTTGGCTACTACAGTTGTCGGGAGGGATTGCTACGTCTTAACCATGCTCGCTTCTGACTTGAAGCTTCGCAAATGCGGCGTATGCCCTAATTCTATGCTATTGTCTGGGCCACGCCTCTTTGGAGAACAAGCTCTCGTCCACGATAGAGCGACCGCCATACCAAGACCATACCAAGACATCAGACGGCTCCCGACTATGCAGAGAGGATTGTGAAAAAAGCACATGCAATATCCGAGTCCTTGATTGGCTCGTATTCCCTTTGCTGGCGTCCTTCAACCCCTCGTGCCTACTTACTCCGGATCATGCGAGCTGAAGGCGACCACTATAAATTTCAGTCACCTCCAGTACCCTCCCCGGCTGCAGCAGTCTAACTTGCCGGTACTCAAACCACCCAAGATGGTGAAACTTCCGCAGTACGACTATCTCTTTGCCATAGGCACCATCTTTGCCTTCCTCGATGCTTGGAACATTGGTGAGCCTCAACATTACACCCTCTTTTCTATGGACTCTAACACTGCTAGGTGCCAACGATGTTGCCAACTCCTTTGCAACATCTGTTGCTTCCAGGTCACTGACCCTCAAGCAAGCAATGTGCATTGCTACCGTCATGGAATTTGCGGGATCCGTGTCGGTGGGCGCACGTGTCGCAGAGACCATCCGGACAAAGGTCGTCGCCGTCGACCTCTTCAAGGAGGACCCTTCCGTCCTCATGCTGGGTATGGTCTGCGCAGTTGTTGCATCTTCCATCTACCTCACCGTTGCCACTCGCCTCTCCATGCCTGTCTCGACCACGCATAGCATCATGGGAGGAGTCATCGGCGTCGGTATTGCCGCGATTGGAACCAATGGCGTGAACTGGGGTTGGAACGGTGTCTCCCAAGGTAAGAACATGAACACTGACCCGAAAAAGTACGCTGACAACGTGTAGTTTTTGCTGCATGGGCCATTGCTCCCGGTATTGCTGGCGGATTTGGCGCCACCATCTTCCTCATCACGAAGTTTGGTGTCATGCGCCGCAGCAATCCCGTACGCAACGCGTTCTATGCTATCCCCGTGTATTTCTTCGTCACGGCTGCGCTGCTGGCCTGTATGTGTCATCCCCGTGGATGCCGCGTGCTACAGTTAACCCATTCTCAGTGCTCATTGTGTGGAAAGGAGGCTCCGCCAGAATCAAACTCACGGACCCGGAAACGGCCGGTGTCATCATCGGTACTGGCGGCGCTGTCGCTCTCCTCGTCGTGGTCTTTTTCCTCCCATATCTTTACCGCAAGATCGTCAAAGATGATTGGACACTCAAATGGTGGCACATCCCCCAGGGGCCCCTTCTTCTTCGCCGCCCCGAACCGGAACCACGGCCGGAAGGGGTTCAACCTATACAGGACTACTATGCCGGTCACCTTACTAAGGAGGAACTCGAAGCTCAGAGAGCCGCTCAAGGCCATTCCAACGACATTGAAAAACACCCTGTCTCTCTTCAACTGCAGGTTGATTCGAATTCGGACGGTGAGCCTGCAGGGAGCACCTCGCAGGAGCCTCCTCGGGCTCAACTGTCCGTGCCCAAGGATGGAACGAAAGCTCCTCCTCCAGGCCCCTGGTACTCTCCGGCCGTTGCATTCTACTATGTCAAGCGAGCTCTCCTGCATGGCGTAGAGCAAGATGTTCTTTCTGCCCAGAAGAAGCGAGACTTGCTCTCTGGCGACATCGACAAGGTGCATGCCCATGGTGAACACTTCGACAACAAGGCCGAATACGCATACAGCTTCCTACAGGTCCTGACGGCCGCAACGTCTTCCTTTACCCACGGTGCAAACGACGTGTCCAATGCTATCGGCCCCTACACGACCATTTATTTCATCTGGTCTACTGGGAAGCTCAGCAGCAAAGTTCCAGTACCTTATTGGATCCTGGTCTTCGGGGGTGCCGCAATCGTCATCGGGTTGTGGACGTATGGTTACAATATCATGCGCGCTCTGGGAAATAAAATCACGCTTCACTCGCCGTCTCGTGGGTTCTCAATGGAACTGGGAAGTGCCATCACCGTTATCATGGCCACTCGTCTCAAGCTCCCTATCTGTAAGTCCTATCTTGTCGCAATGGCAGCTTTAGTCAACTTGCACCTGTCCCTAACGACCACCTACAGCAACAACCCAGTGTATCACGGGTGCCACTGTTGGTGTGGGTCTCTGCAACGGCACCTGGCGTTCCATCAATTGGCGGATGGTCGCCTGGATATATCTAGGTCAGATTGTCCTCCCTCCTAACCTTCTAACATTCGTCCTAACTCTATCCCTAGGTTGGATAATCACGCTCCCCGTGACGGGCATTATCTCTGGATGTCTCATGGGTAAGATTATCCCATCCGATCACCTCGATAAGCGGATCTAATCCATAGCAGGAATCGTTCTTAATGCGCCTAGGTGGGGTCAAGGCTTCTAATCTAGTTCTTTGGATAACCCATAGGAGGACTGTCTGGTGTGGTAACGCCGTAACACGGTTTCCCTAGAGCTATGCTATCCCCCGCTCTCCCCGACTCCCTCTTTCCTGCAACCTATGTACCACGTCGGTCACGGACAGTGAGCCTGTTGATTCGTCTGCTATACCCAATCTTGATACCTTGCATATGCACAGAGAGACTGCGAGAAGCTCCCGCACTACTCGATCATGGAATGGAGATTTGTCGGCTACCTAACAATGAATGCTCACGCAAACGCTAAACCGAAAAGGGTATTCCGGTGCGCTCAAAATTCATGTGTGAGAGTCTCGCTAAGTCGGGTATCTTTCAGAGAGTCCAACGTGGAGTATCCTCTTAATATTAGAATATCATTCAGACTTCAACGATACTGCAGTGTCCACGGTGTGGACAGTACTGTGGCCGCGGAACATGCACATCGACGGCCGCGGAATGGCCGAACGGAACAATTCCGATTCTGTAAAGTTGACACGCCTTCCAGGAACTTTGTAAGCGTGGTTGTCGAAAACGCTTGCACGAATGAGGCGGAAATACAACCTAGCGCGCTGGGGAATTGCTGTTAACCGGGAAAAGTTGCCGCATGGCCAGCATCCGCATGCACTGTGACGGTATTCTTTACGGTGTGGTCTTCTATTCCCGATTGTCGGCCATTCGCAAAACGTCTGTAGCTGCAGTCATAATCTGTTGCTTGATGCAATTCTCCACCCACCCATGGCCTGGGGTAACGTACGTCGACTAGGGAAAATGGCTGAAGATCTAGGATTTCGCCTTTCGACTTTTCACCCTACTCGTATCCCTCCCTTCGAAAGCCTCCAAACGGTGTACAGTCGGCCTTCGGAACGGAATGTCTGCATCCGCTGGTCCACCGTCCGAAGTCCATTTGGAAAAAGGTCTAACGGAATCTGATAAAAGCAGAAGCACCCACGAGCACGAACGTGGACATCCTCGGAATGATTCCATCAACACGGTCTCACGCCCTTCTTCGCCGATTGAAGTGTCATCGGTCTACAACCAACCCAACAACAAGAGCACCCGCAGCAGACTCGCTCGAAAAATTACTATTCGCTCCAATGCCGATGTCATTGACCCTGGACCGCCTCCCGATGGCGGCCTCAAGGCCTGGACGCAAGCTCTCATGGGCCACCTCGTTGTCTTCAACACCTGGGGGATGATATCCGCGTTTAGCGTCTTCCAAGCCTATTATACTTCGGAGCTGGGACTGGAACCCTCGGCCGTATCTTGGATTGGCTCGGTGCAGATGATGGGACATTTCGCTCTGGGGATATTCACCGGCCGGGCCTTTGACGCTGGATTGTTCTACTGGCTTGTCATTCCGGGACTGATATTAGGTTCGCTGAGCATGTTCATGACATCGTTGTGCGACCAGTACTGGCAGTTGTTCCTTGCCCAGGGATTGCTCTTCGGACTGGGCTGCGGGTTGCAATTCACCCCTTCAGCATCCCTGGTGTACACATATTTCTCGTCGAACAAGGTCGTTGCTCTGGCCATCGTCGCTTCAGGATCCGCCACTGGCGGCCTCATCTATCCCACCATTGCACGCCAGTTGATTCCGAAGATTGGCTTCGCTTGGACTACGAGAATTACCGGCTTCATCATGCTCGCAGTGGGATGCTGTTACTGCTCGCTCCTGCGACCGCGGTTACCCCCTCGACGAAGCGGTCCCTTGCTCGAATTGTCCGCCTTCAAGGAGGCCCCGTACACGCTCTATCTGATTGGCGTCTTCCTAACCTGTCTGGGGCAATACTTCGGATTCTACTACATTGGCTCCTACTCGTTGCAAGTCGTCGGCGTACCCTACGACGTCTCAGTGGACCTCATCATGATCATGAACGGCGTCGGCGTCGTCGGCCGCATCCTCCCCGGGTACCTCGCCGACCAGTACTTTGGCGGCTACAACACGCTCATCCCCTTCGTCTTCGCCAGCGCGGCCGTCATGTACAGCTGGACAGCCGTCAGGACCACGGCCTCGCTCTACGTCTTCGCGGCCATCTATGGTGTCGCGTCTGCGGGGTTCCAGGGCTTGTTTCCTTCGGTGCTGAGTTCCCTGACGAAAGACCTGAGTAGGGTCGGGGTGAGGAATGGGATGGGGTTTTGTATCGTGGGGTTTGCCGTGTTGACGGGGCCGCCTATTGCCGGGGCGCTTGTGCAGAGGGGAGGATACTTGACGGCGCAAATGTGGTCGGGGAGTATGATTGTGGCGGGGGGTGGTGTGTTGGTGTTGGGGAGGGTGGCGAAGACGGGGTTGGTGCTACGAGCGAAGGTGTAGGTTTGATGATTTCTGTCCTTTTTGACTGGAATGAGATGGTTCATTCAGCGTCGATGACTTGAATATATGTAGTATGCCCAGGTGCCAAGATTCCCCACGACCAACAAGCTCCACGCTTTCCACAGCGCGTGCTTCACACCCCGCGTCCACGCTTAGCCTGATACGTCAGAACGACGGACATTTGCCCCACCCTAGCTCCATCTCCAGCTCCTCGACGACCTCACCTCTTGCACCCTCTCTGATAAGTTATTCTTCAGAAGACCTTCTTTTCTCCCCGAACCCGACCGCTATGTCGGAGGCACAACCTCCACTGTACTCGCCGTTGCTCCAGCTCCCTGACGAGCTCCTCGTGGAGACAGTTCGATACCTAGACTGCAACACCCTCTGCTCCTGCGCAAGAACCTGCCAGCGGCTGCAGCGGATCTGCGAAGACGAAATCTACTCCGATGTCAAACTGCGCAATACGGACCGTCTCCAAGAAATATGTAACGCTTTCGCTCGGCGACCCCGCCGCGTGCAGGCAGTCCGCAAGCTCGCCATCCTCTACAAGTATCATGAGAGAATAGCTGGGACCCTGGATGACCGGCAGGTACTCAATGAAAGCATCAAGGACATGCGGAACCTGCGGGAGTGGTATATCGAGAGCCCCTTCGACAATTTCAGATGGGGAGATGCTGGTGGAGCGGAATGGGTGCAGCGGGACATGGAGATGTTCAGGCAGGCGCTGGAAGGCGCAAGCCTTCCCAAGACTCCGAAGGAATTGGAGAGAATTGGTCTTGGTAACTTGCAGAAGCGTGTGTGGCGTCCAGTGTTCTTAGCAAGTCCAGTGACGACTAATTGAGCCCAGTGACGATCCATTCGCATGGTACCTCTGCCGATTTCTGGTACTTAGGCGCATTCCACTGCTTATTTAGCCATCCTTCACTTCAATACCTTCATATATCTTGCGTCGCTTTCCCCGATGACATCCCGCAGTTAGAGCCGTTCGCCAACTCCACGCCCCTCACGACCCTTATCTTCGACGAGTGCGAATTGACGCCGGGAAGCCTCGAACGAATCCTCAAGACACCCAAGTGGCTGAAACATCTCACACTCGGCGAGAACTGCTCGAATATTAGGCGCAGCAAGGGCCCCGATCCCAGATTGACTCGGAATCCTGGTGCAGCAATGCAGGCACTGCAGGCCGTTGCAGATTCCCTGGAATCTCTAGCCCACTATGACCCGTCCTTCTACCTCACTCTGGGTGGACGTGCACCTCGCATGTACCTCAAAGGCGACGGTATGCGCAACTTCCATTGCCTGAAGTTCCTCGAGTGCGATGAGCTATCGTTCCTCCATCGAGCCATCATCATGAACCACACACTTGCGCCGCCCAACCTGGAGACCCTCCGGCTGCAACACCATCGACGTTGCAGCGACGACTATTTTGACGAGCCGGGCCTTCCCCAAAGCGAAACATATGTCGGTATACCCAGCCTAAAGACCCTGGAGTTCGTACAACCCATATTAGCCCCTGTTTTCACCCCATACGCAATCGCGCGATATATTTGCGAGCCCGATTGCCTGCGGGAACGACATAGCTTTGCGTACGCGCTTTGGAAGCATGGGATCGACGTCGTCCTGTATGCAGAGCTGACGCGAAAGGGCGGCGTCATTCCGCCCTATCTTGACGGCGAGCCATTGCCGGAGCTCATGCCTGTCTACAACTCGAGGAAGATTGGCTTCAATCGAGTGCCTCCTCCTCCGGGAGAAGACACCGATCACGAAGAGGAAGAAGAGGAGGAGGAACCAGTTGTTCCGGAGGATTGGCGTGAGGAACTAGCCGCCCAAGGGGAAGCTGAATCGACCGCAGACAAAGGGGACAAGAGCACCAATACTACGGAAGAGTCGGATTACCTGAACGACGATCACATCAAGGCGATCCGAAACGACGTGTTCAATAAGCTGAGGAACTACCTCTCTCGCGTGCACAGCTATCGCGGTCTCACCATCCCTCGGCATATCATCCAGGAGGGCCACCCTGAAGGAGAGCTTCTCCAATTCGTCCTCGAATCCGAATCCGAATCCGACTTCGACGGGTTCCACGAGGAGAGCGATGATGACATTGATCACGACTTTGAGGACCACGACTTTGACGAGCACGACTTTGAAGAAGAGGATGAGGATGAAATGGAAGTGGATGAGTTTGAGGACGACTTTGGGACTTTTGATGTGCCGCTCGATATCGGGCCGTTTTATGCGCATCTGCTGAATCAGTTGAACGCTGGGGCGTTTTCGAATCCGATGAACGAGGGGGAGGAGGCGGGCGAGGAGGAACAGGAGGAACAGGGTACGCAAAACGGGGATGGAGATGGGGATGGAAATGGAGATGGAAATGGAGATGGAAATGGAGATGGAAATGGAGATGGCGAGGGCGGTGATGGTGGAGACGAAGGTGGAGACCTTGATCTTCCCCCATTGATCAATCATGCTGGCAATGTACAAGATGATTAAACGTTTGGCAGGGTAGCGAAAGGGCACTGCGGAAGGCTTTCGCTCGGTGTAGACGGCTTGGAGGTTCGGCCTCGTGGTTGCTGCGAGATCTGAGGTTTTGTCAAGCTTGACACGACCGTAGTGTTGCGCTTTTCAAGCTCCGAGCCGCAAAGTCCTAGAAGGAAGACTGGGTAGAGCCGGAAGCGGATGTTGCTGATGTGGTAAACCAGAAACATCGACTTCGTCTCTCGACCTAAGGGTGGGCTCTGTTCGCGTTGGTGCGTCCTTACGGACGGCCATTCTTCCTGTCCTGGAGATGGGCGGTTATCAGCGTAGTACTATGTACACAGTTGTGGAGACAATAATCTTGCGGAGTACATTCAGCCATAGTTAATCTCAACGATATCGGTCGTCAGGTTTGTACAGGTTGACTATATTTTCAGGGCAAAATAAAAGAGAAAGATTAGGAAATGTGATCAGCTATGATCACAGATGTAACAAGTATGCATCTAGAACCCTAGCAGATTCATTTACTGTGTACCACCGGTTCGGCTGCCATCGACTCTGGACCACTACCAAGGTCGTGCACACGTGTTGTTGAACGACCCCACATTCTCGAACGTGGACATGGGGCATGTGCCCTCGTAACGCTCGGGCCCCTCCAATATGCATAACCGGACCAAACGGTTAATACTGTGTAATTCTGCACTTTGGGTTGATTGGAAGAGAAGAGCTACTATTTTGGGAATACGGAACCGTTGAGAAAAGGTGGGTAGCAAAAGCTGGGTGGAGACGGATTGGGGGGGAACGGTTTTAATAAGTGTACTTGGTGGCTGCGGGGAAATACTGGGAGGGATTCTGGTGCTTTTGCAGGAATACATCCGATGGTGTCTCGACTTCTGGAACAGCATATTGGGATAGAGAGAAAAAGAACAAGTTTCGATATGAAGCGAATGATGGAGGAGACGTTATCAGAGCAGTGATAAGGAAAGGATCCCCCGGTCAAGCTCGAGAGACGCAAACTGCGTGAAGGGATGCGATTTCCAATTGCAGATTGATGCCACCCTCCACTTCGACTTTTTACACAGTACCTCCTCCTCCCACACCCATCCATCATCGGTCATCTGGATTTCTCGGCGCCGGCGCATTTGGAGAAACGATCCGCGCATTTCTCTCTTGCAGTGGTCACCACGAACACCACGGTAGCTAGACTACCTCACGCAATTCCTGCGAGTTTATCTCACAGCGCGATCCATCCTCCTACTTGGAACCTACCAACACTACCACACCATCCCGTCTCCATACCAACCACAACTCCACCAACCACCATGAACACCACAAACAGCACATTCACCTACCAAAACGCCCTCTTCCCGCACAACCCCTCCCCCAACGCCTCCGCCTGGACCTTCCCACCCCCCGTCCCCGCTCCCTTCCTCCGCAAATGGATCGAGGATTTCTTCTCCACGAACAACCCCTCGCGCACCCCACCGACGGCAGAATCGCCAGAGCAGAGACCCCAGCAGTCGTACTACTTTGAGGTGGAAGCCACGAAGAGCGGGATGGGTGGGAAGCAGGGGGAATTTGGGAGCGCGGAGAAGGTGGTGAGGGTTGGGGATGTGGTCGAGTTGGCGTGGGTGGGTGGGAAGGGGGATGCAGAGGCGGGGACGGAGACGACGCAGGGAAGGAGGAGGAGGAGGGAGGGGATGGAGAAGTTGGGGGATGGGACGAGGGAGGAGCGGGTCGTGAGGTTGAGGTGTGTGGTGTGTAGTTTGGGGATCAAGGAAGGGGGCAGTGTGGGGGATGCGTGTGAGAAGTGTGAGTTCCTGCTCCCTTTTCTTCTTTCATCTTTCTTCGTCTCTTCCCAGAGTCAAGCTTCGCACGTCCAATCTCTTTTCTACCTCATGACTTTGCAGATCCTAGCAGACTCTGCTTTAATGCCGCGATACTGACCCACTATCTTTCTCCTACCCCAGACTCGGATACCTCGCACTTCTCCCCCTTCACCGACATAACGCCCTCGCATCCCAACCCCCCCGCATACCTCTACACCATCCCCTCCCTCTCCAAAACCTTCATCCCGCCCGACGAAGCCGTTGGCTTGTGCTACTTCATGCTCAGCGACGCCTACGGCGGCATCACTTGGGACTTTACGATCCCCTTCCCCGTGGCGCAACGGAGTCGGGCGGCAGATGGGCAACCGGCGTGGCTATGGAGTAAAGACGTGCCTGGCGGAGTTGCGGATGCGTCGATTGGGAAGCAAAATGTAGGTGGAAGTGAGCAAGGCGAAGGGAGGGGAGCGGGGTTAAGCAAGGGCGCGATCAGTGGGATTGTGCTGGGTGTGTTGGTGGGGATTTGCTTGTCTGTTGCTGTAGGGTGGATGGTGTGGATGAGGGAGAGGGGGAGGTGGAAGAGGAAGAGTGTGGGAGGGTCGTTTGGTGGGGATGGGGCGGGCGTGGAGTTGAGGGGGAGGCGGGAGAGGGGTGCCGTGGTGAGGTGTTTGGAGACGGAGAGGGATGAGCTCGGGGAGGTGCCGCCGGCTTATCATGAGGTTGTTCATGGGGAGAGGGGTGTTGGGGTGTGAGGAATAAGGAGAAGAGAAGGGAGCAGGGAAAAGAGACCAAAAGAGGGACAGTTTTCTGAGCAGCTGGAAAGAAGTTGGAACTCGGCGGCGATACTGAAGATCCTCGATGGCCAGGGTCGATTTCACGAAGGGCTGCTGCGTCGTCACTGCTCTGTTTATTGTCGAGTATGCAACCGGCCGTGCATTCGCCAACATGAGCGATTGGAAAAACCGCCCAGCACAAGTGCGAACTCGACCGGCGAGTTCTACCTCAAACATTTACCGGGACGGGTCCATCACTACCCGGACGAAGCAAGGAGGCATCATGAGTGAGAAGACAAAGGTGGAGGATTACCGAGACTTTTGTTATACCGAAATCAGTCAGTCTTAGCGACGGGGCGTCCGGGGTAGTAAGCATTCAGACATGCAGCTTTCGGGAGACATACTTCGAGGAGCAATATGAGGCCTGAGGCCTCAGTCTTGAAACATCGAAGTTTACGCCATTATGCATAATGCCTTGGAGTAAACATTTAGCTCGCGACATGGTGCAATTCTCTAAACGTTGCTTCTGTCACCATATCGCTTCTCTACTCTGTGTTATTCTTACGGTGTGAAGTTTCATGAGATATGGCAAGAGTGCTTGGATTTTTGGGGACAACAGCATGGTGCGCTCATGTGAAGCTCGCGTGGCAGTGCGGAAGACTGGGATAGCTATATGGCCGGCTTTTACAAAGAATCTAGTAGTAGATTTTTTTCGCATAATCAAATGCAACTGATGGTCCTTTGTAGACGCACTCCGTAGAAAGGGCGAGCTCAGTGTTGATGCAGGATTATTTGAGCAAGCAGTGCGCCAGTACGACTTCCTGAGATTTGCTAGGGGAATTAGAATATGTGTGTATTCAACCTTATACTGGTACTTGCCCAGAATTCGATGGTTTTTTCATTGGGTAAGATAGCGTTGTAGTAGTACTGGAGGCAGGCTACGGAAAGGCGGCATGCACACCCGCGAGCAAGCAATTTGACAGAGGATTAATGAATATTGTGAGGTTGCTACCTCTAGGTGATAAAACCGGCAACTGCATTAATGCAACATGCAGCAAACAACACTCGTGGTCCTCGCCTCAACACCCATCCCATGATCTGAACACCTCTCAACAACCACTGCGCAGCGGTACCCCTTCTCCAGTAAACCCACGGCAAGACGATCCGTCCCTTCCTTCCCCACGTCTACTTCACGCTTCCTCTGTATCCCTCTCCCTCTCCTTCCCTTTCCCCTTCCCAAACGTAAAAGCCTCCCACTGCGCAATCACCGCATCCATCCTCCTCGCCTCCAAATCCTCCACCGCATCCCGCGTATCAGCCACATACGTACTCCTCACCAAGCTCCTCGCCTCCCTCGTCCACTCCTCACTCCTATACCTCTCCACCGCCTCCGTAATCTCCCTCGGCAACCTCACATCAAGCGCCAGACACGCCTGCGTGAGCAACCGAAGCAGCGGCTGCGCGTAGTATATGAATCCCGATATGGCGCTGACCGCTCGCAGGCACGTCAAGAGTCCGAGATACGACTCGTGCATCTCGAGGGATAGGTGGGACGGCTTATCGGCGGCGATTTCGTCGAGGCAGCCGAAGCTGGTGATGACGACGGGGTGCAGGATGAAGGTGATTGCGTTTTGCCAGCCGTGGTGGACTTCGTGGAGGGTGAGGAGGCGGCGGAGGGATTTTAGAGAGGTTGAGTAGATGGATTGGGCGCGTGGTGCGTGTGGAGAGGGAACTTCTTTGGTTGAATTCTGGCGGAGGAAGGGCCGCATGAGGCGGATGGTGGAGGTGTGGTAGATCATGCTGTGGAGAGTTAACTCTTTGATTCTGTTTTCTTACCTGAGAAACATTGTGTGGGACTTACGCAAAAAGAAGATTCTCTGGTGAAGTGTGGATGCTGGGGTCGAGCGCGGCGGGTCTGTCGTTCCACCACGACTTCAAACGGAGGTACAAATCATCCACTTTTCCAAACGACGAGGCAGCAGGTCCAGCTTCGATATCGATCTCTGACAGCACCTTGGAGACATCCAACATTATGACTTGCCGAGCGCATTCAGACCGAAATAGCACTACGAATCCATTAGCTACTTTAACACGATATTGCCATGAACATCTAACCTTCTTCATGATCCGCACTATGACCTGGAATGCTGTCCGGCGGCGGTGATGTTAAAATGACTGGGATTGAATAGGTGAAGGACATTGACCTTTCTCATTAGCGGTCTCTCATATGCATGTCATGCACCATAACTACTCACATTTGGAAGTTGAACAGGCTCCAAGCCGTCACTGCTCGCACTCTTGACCAGTCATCCTGACTCACATCGACCGGACATTGCGCCGCTGCGGTATGTTCAGACTCAGCGAGGCCCAGTTCACGTGCCATTTGACAAGCTTCGAGGAGAAATTGATGGCCGTCTTTATCTCTGCCATTTTTACCAAGTACGAGGAAAAGGATCATGGCAGCTTGAAGTCTCGGTAAACTGATGCGAGTAGTCTCAGCGTCCCATAGCCGTCTCGCCTCGTTGTAGAAGTAGGTGATGGCATTGTCGGTGAATGGTTTGGATCTGTCTTTGACTAGCGGCGAGTGAAACTGGCAAGCGTCAGCAACACTACGAAATCTTTAACACGGAGGATCAGAGCTCGAAATTGGATCAGACGCACACCTGCAGCAGCCAATACCGTATTGACAAGAAGTTCTGAGCAGAAGGCTTTCTTGCCACTGGCCATGTGCTCCAGGAACAGGTTCCAATCCAAGAAATGATAATATCTGTATTCGCACCTGGGATTCCAAGCCGCGTCAGAAGGGGTTTCCACGGACATCTGGCCTGTAGGACCAACCTATGCCATTGAGTTAACAGATGGGCAGCAAAATCTGCATCGTCTGTCACGCTTGTCCAATTGATTGCTAATCTGAGCCTTGGATCACTAGCCTGTGAGGCCACGGATTGCTCTGACATTGTGTCCATTGGACTGCGAGAAGATGAGCCTGAGTTAGCGGCTACACTGAGTGGGTTAACGAGAGAAATCAGACTGCTTCGGACCCTTACCGAGCCGAGACATTCAATGGAGGTACATATCGACGCTTCTGGCTCATGGGTATCTCTAGATCTCGCCCAAGAATGCTGTGAGGGAAGCGCGGAGTGTTTGCAAATGACGGATGTTCAAAGTCGACAGACTGGAGCGTAGCACGTATTGACGGTAGCATAGCCGCTTCTAGTTGTTCCGGCACGGTCGCGGGCTGCTGGTTTTCAACGGAAAGACCACCATAACGAACGGAATCGGCAAGCTCCCGGACGTGTTGCGAAGGATTGGTGTCTGGGTCACTCTGCCTGATACGCCGCAATATTTCAAGGGCTTCTTGCTCCGGCCTAAAGCGCAGGAAATCATACAGTTCCCGCAGATTGGACAGCTCCCCTTGCATCTCTTCGTTCTTGCGCTTCATCGCCTGCAATGGTTTTTCGTGGGGTCCCACGTCGTAGACACAGTCAGTCTCTTTGAGGGCGCAGCACCTGCTACAGATGAGCCATTGTCTGATACATGTAGGAAGGCTGATAGCAACCTGCATGTTGGACGGAGCCCATCGCACTGCAGGATGGATGTCAGTGGAATTCAGAAAAGCAGTGCATACTGAAGACGACCTTTGATTTGCGTTTGCGACAGGCGGCACATGCCCCCAACGTTACAGTCCTTTTCGGCTTCTGAGTCAAGGGCCTGCTTTGCGGTTGAGGGGACTGTTCTTGATCCATCGGCGCAGGTTGCAGTGGGCGGAATGTCGCCATGTCAATCAGTTTTCTGCAATAATGCTAGCAGGGCTGGCTATGTATATAGGAGAATGAACTTCGGTTCACCAGCATATCGAACTCTAGAACCATACGCGTGATACGGGAACAATCGACTGAATGTCGACAAGGAGGTACTCGCGAGGGAAATTCGAGTAGACACGGTGCTTGCTCACCCGTGGCGGGAGGACCCAGTCGAAGGGTAGGATTCCGCCATACTCGGAATAGGTGGGGATAAGACGGTCCGCGGAGCACAAGGCACAAGGGAACCTGCAGCGGCGGAAGCCGTCACAGCCGACCGGAGAGGAGTTGCGCTGCTCCTGAACCAACCAGATCATAGATTCTCTGAGAGCGTTGCAGAGGTTACGGAGCACTTGCTCCGAGCACACTCATCAGCTCTCTCTCGGATTCGGGTTGGCGTCCTGGGACATTCGCGTTCACCGCTCTGATTCCATAAAACTTATGCTAACGTCAGTAGGTGACGGCTGCATGCTGCCGGATCAGCAAACCCTAGAAAAAAGCGACGAATTTGCAAGAAGAGCAGCGTTTAGAAAAGCTGTCTTATGAACAATCGGCAAATTAGTATACCGAGCTCGCTTCTTTAGTTCAACTGAATGTCTTTGTCATCTCGATTCATTCTTCGGCCAAAGTTCAATTCGAAAAATACACATGTCTATATCCTATTTGAGCAAAGGCCGTACTCCCAGTACATTTGACGAGCTTGAAGTGACAGCAGCTTTTCAATTTCCCATTAATGACGTGGCCCATTCTCCAAATGGCAGACCCTAAACGCCACGCTATACCGCAAAAGACAATACATATACAAACTGGAAACACAGTCAGCGAGCGGACCTACCCTATAAGTCCGCCGCCTTGTGTTTCTTCATGTTATTATAACCCGATTGCAACTTGCGGAGATAGGCGTTCCTGACACCCTTGGTTTTGAGCTCCTTGTTGCGGCTCTTTTGGTATTCAATATAAGCCATGTCCTGGCCACCGGACAACTCCGATAGCGTGCCAGCCGTCCTGCGCGCTCCGGTTTTCTTCTTCCGACCGTCTTTCGACGCAAACTTGCTCTGGAACATGTCTCCAGAGATCTTCTCTTCGGCCAATTCGGAGTCCTTAGCGAGCAGGACCTCCAAAAGGAGTTCGCGCCTCTCCTGCGGTGTATGAAAAGCAAGATCGGTCCGTTGCTCCAACCCCTCCAGTTTTGTGATGACCTTGAAAGCATAACCTTGATCCACAAGGAAAGCTTGCCGTTTGGAGGAGTAGTACATCTCGTCCGTATCCTTTGAAACAAGAGAGTAGAAGAACGCGTTGAATCCTTCATCATTTCTTCGCTTAGCGCGCAGAATCCTGCCGAGCCGCTGGGCCTCTTGACGCCGCGAACCGTAATGCGAGGAAATTTGTATGAGGCACGTGGCTTCGGGAAGGTCCAAGCTGGTGTCACCAATCTTGGATAGAAAGATGGTGTTCACCATGTCGTTATGCTGGAAATTTTCCAAGATGCGGAGTCGCTCTGCTTGCGGGGTCTGCCCGTAGATGAAAGCTTTATGCAGTTTTGTAGCATATCTCTCTAATGCCCAGACGTTGTCGGAGAAGACGATGATCTTGTCTCCGCGCTTCTCGTGGTAATCGATCAGGAATTGGCATGCCTGGAACTTTCTTGGATTCATGACCGACAAGAGCGACCTCTTCTGCACAGTCGAATTGGGTTTAAGCCATTCGGTGTAGAATTCCGGCGTCATTTGACACCACACCTCAGCACATTGCACTCTGGCAATGTGACCTTGCTCTGACAACTCTTGCCAATTCGCTTCGTAGAGTTTCGGCCCAATCAGGAAGTTCAGGTCCTCGATCTTGTCATCCTCCCGGAGCAGAGTCGCCGTGAGTCCCAACTTGGCGTGCGAAGCAATGGAATAGGTGACGCGTTTGAAAATGTTTGCAGGCACAACATGAACTTCGTCTGCAATGAGCAAGCCCCATTCACGACTCCGGATCCAATCCATGACCTTCGCTGAGTCGTATGAACGAGGGCGCTTGGAAGTAATCATGGTATAGGTGCTGATGATGATGCCTGCATCCCGGGGAAACATGTTCTTGCTGTCCGCGGTAAAGACGGCGATGTCCTCGGGGTCAATGTTTGACCACTTGAGGAATTCTGCTCTCCACTGAATCACTGACATGGCATTCGTGCAAAGAACAATCACAGACTTCTTCACACCGCAAGCGGCCGTGATTCCGACCAAGGTTTTGCCAGCTCCGCAAGGTAGCACGATGATGCCAGACCGCGCCCGTGAGTTAGAAAACATCTTACTCAAAGCCTTCTCTTGGTAGTATCGAATTTGGGCATGGGGTCGCAAATCTATATCAAGGTTGGTGTTATTCTCGTCATTAAGGAAATCGTATTCCTCAGTGAGCGGTAGCCCTATGACCTGGCAGCGTTTGATGACCTGTTCTCGTTTTTCGCTCTGAATCTGGAACGAATGGACTTGTGCAACTTCCTCGTCGTCATCCTCTTCCCTCAGAGCGGCTATCATGTCTCCAGGATTCGCGGGTTCTTGGGGATTCGCAGCATGCGGATCTGCGGAAGACTGAAGACGTTGATTGGCCCCAGCTGCCATTTTAGTCCCTGGTATAGCCATTACACCGATTTTTGGCGCAGCCTCCTTGATTAACCCATCTGTATTGTCCGCTCTACACGCGGCGATTTCAGGATCTTGCAAAAGCTTTTGCAGAATCTCGGGGTCGTCGCTCTCGATATACGACAGGGTCTTTTTCAGTACGATCTTCGCTTTACCAAATGATGATGTGGATCTTTCAATGTACGCTATCACAGACGGCGAAAGTGCCGACTTCGAATATCTGTTGAGTCTCTCAATAATCTCCTTGCTGGAGTGGCCGACGGATACAGCGGCGAACAGACTGTGGGGGGTCAGTGAGTACTCATGCATGCGCGACACCCGTGATTGTGGTTCGGCAATGTTGATCAGGAAGTCCTGCGCCTCGTCGAAGAGCGGGTTGAACGACTCCAGAATGATGCGGCCACCGTCGTCAATCCAGAGCGGCCGATTCGCGTGGTCTGGCTTGAGTGGCGCATCCCACTGATCAGACTTCTTGAACAGGAACGAGGCGGCATCTGTCTGGTGCTGTGCCCGGGCTCTCTTGCTCATTGCCGCCACATCAAACGACTCTTTCAGCCGGTCCAACGTTTCCTGATCACTCAGGGCCTCTTCCTCCATCGACTCGAAGCCATCGTCCTCAACGACGGCTTGGTTTTTCCGTTTCGGAGGCATGACGCAGTCGGGAGGCGAAAGAGCGTTGACGTTGAGGGTCGAGCGAGCGGAGGTGTTGTAGCTGAGAATGGAGGTCTGCAATGGAAGACTGAAGTAGCAGGCCGCCCGTCAAGCTGACTAATGCTCGTTAATCAGCACGGGCACCGCCACTGGCATAAGCCACACTTTTTGATAGGAAGGCGGGCGAGTACTGGATTCGACCTTGATTGCGGGCCGCATCAACGTTACGACCATCTCTGTCCCCGCTCAACACTGCTCACCTCTTCGCAAAGCAATGCGTGGCTAGAGTGGCATGAATCCTCATGGGCGCTTCCGATTCGAAACTCAGCTTCAAGCAAGGCATCTTCCGCCTGTCTGAGCCCAAGCAGATTCCCGCCGATGATGCATACTGGACTGGCGTATGCACATCCCTCGTCCTCGTTGAAGACCCAGGCAATGGCTATGCTAACCAAGAATGTGACAGTTTTGGGAGCTGCCCGAGTCGAGCGAGGATGTCTTCTCTCTATTCTCCGCGGCTGATATTCGCCGTACCCGCGACAATAACCTCGCAAATCTAGAAACACTTATACTTGCCGTCAGCTCACGACTCAACGTCCTCCGCCACCACCCTTCGTTCCCCGATCCCGAACTCGCACCCGAGCGTGACGCCCTCAATTGTATACGGGTTCTCACTCGATTGTTGCCTTTCATCTATGAAGCCGATCATCTAGAATCATGGGAAGACCAGTTCTTCTGGGCCACTCGGCGAAGGCGCAGCCGGCGGGGTCAGGTCGCGCGCTCAGAAGTCCTCTTTGACGAGGAAGAGACAGATCAAACGCCAGATCTCCCCGCAGAACCAGAGTTTGAGAAGGCGAGGCCGTTGGCGGAGGAGATCATCGATACATTGATAGACCTGTTGTTTTTCTCGGAGTTTACGCTGCCCAAGGCACCTCCGGGAAAGAACAAGGTGACCTACGCAATATGGCAGAGTGGAGTAGGCTGCAACACGCCTGTCGCTTCAACTAAAGAGCTTGAGAATAACAGGACGGAGATATTACGCCTGTTGCTGACTTTTGCAAGCAAGTCCATGTATATGCCTGCGAGTAGGTCTTTAGCAATCCGGTTAGAGATGCCATTGACCAGCTGTTCAGATATTCTGCCCGTCAAAGGCGTCAAGGCCATCACGTACATGGCCACATGCGCGGATAAGCAGATCGTACTCTCAGTTCTGTGCTCACTTCTAAACACTGTCCGTAACATCCTATCTCCCCATATACGACGCTGACCATTTATAGACGCTGAAGTACAACCCTGCGTCATGGCGGGTGCCATACGATCACGTCGTGTTCAAAGACCACAAGCAAATTCTCGTCACATACTGCCTTCAACTATTACTGGTCTTGATACTATACCCCATCCCTGAGCCAGGTAATGGCCCACCTCCCAAAAACTTCTACCGACATTTTTTGGGACGCCTGCATCGCCCGCAGGACTTCCAATTCCTCGTCGATGGGATGACTAGAGTCTTGAACCAACCGGTATGTTTCCGCTACCAGCACCTTGCTTTGGCTAATGTCTTCAAAGCTGCAAGCCACGGCATCATATCTTCCAGGGAGCCACAAGTCGCTGACATGGGCCCCGGAAATGATAATGCTCTTCTGGGAAGCCCTGCAGTGCAACAAACGATTCCGCTCGTTCATTATAAACACTGATCGCGCCCACGACTTCGTCGTCTTGGTGCTCTACTACGCGATTGATCAGCGCAATGACCCGACGAAACAGGGGGTCGTCAGGATGTGCATCTTTGTGCTTCAGACCATGAGCGTGGAACCGAACTTTGGGAAGAGTCTAAACAAAACTTTTGAGGGCCAGGAGTCGCTCCCAGCAAGCATTCGGATACCCAACTTCCATGGCACCTATGCCGATTACCTTATCACTGTATGTTGACTTGCTGTGTGCCGGCTCATATACTGACCCCGCCAGTCAATCTATACACTCCTCACTACAAGCAAGGGCAAACTTGATGCGATCTACCCAGCTCTCCTTGCCATTATCAACAACATCGCCGCATACGTACAAAACCTCGGAAGGGCGCCAAGCTCCAAACTTCTTCAGTTGTTCTCCTCAATGTCTTCGCCGAGCTTCTTGCTCGCGAATGAGAAGAATCATACTTTGCTTCAATCTCTACTCGAAGCGCTTAATGCAATGATTGAGCATCAATATCAAAGTAAAACAGTCCATTCCCCGGCCTACTCGCCTTGCTGATCTTTTGGTAGAAAATCCCAACTTGGTATATGCAATCATAAGATCACAAAAGAAATTCCAAGCCCTAAGAGACTTCACGCTTGAAAGCGGCCAGGAAGAGATCGAGCGGCAAAACCAGTTGCGCAAGGAGCATGCTAATGAGCAGCGACGAGCTAATTCCATCGACAGCTTGAGAAGCCCAACCACTCCACGTACGCCATCACTTAGCGATGTTCCCGAGGAGAACGGTGCATTCGCTATAGGCGACGATGACGACTCTGATGGCGAGGGCGAGCACCGAGTTTCAGAGGCTCCCCGATCGCCAGTCCATTCTACTGCAGGTGGCTCCAGGAGCGTGTCAATAGCCTCCTCTGCAGACGAAACAGTACCACAGCAATTGCGCGGCATGTCCGAGAAGGCGCGCGGTAAAATGCCAGTAGGACAGCCAGCGTTCTCGCGCCAGAACAGCACGACTTCCCTCAACAGCATTAGTACGCCCAATCTCGGTCCCAACGGATCCTTCATGCCTACTGCATCATGGGTATGTTTCTGTAGTTCCGCTCCAGCTATACGCGACACTAATCTTATCCCCAGATCGAAAGCTGGTTGCCTACCCTCCCCCTCCACACTCTCCTCATGCTCATCTCCGAACTCTCCCCCCACTTGCCATCCTCAGTCTCCGACCCCTCCACCGCCCTAAAAGTCATCCAGTCCACTCCCGTTCGCGGCATCGAACCCTCTCCCATTCGTGTCCACCTTTTCGAATGGTCGGCTCTCTCCCTCGGTTGGTACGAATCCCTACTGTGGGGCTTCGTTTTCGCCTCCGAGATGCTGGTTTCTAAAGGCACGGTCGGAGTCTGGAATAACACCAGTATCCGATTGTTCAAGGTGCAGGAAGCTGCGGTGCAGACGCCGAGCCTGCTCGCGCCGCGGGGTGCGGTAGATGCAGTGGGGAGTAACCTTGTGCAGCGGATTGGAAGCCTGAATCTTGGGAGAGGAGGGGGAGGGGGTGGTACAGGTGGAGGAGCGGGCGAAGTGACCGCTCAGAGACACAGTGGCAATTCCGGGCAGGCGGCGGCGCCACCTATGAGCGTTAGGGACGTGTAGGTGCGTCTTCCAGGACAGCTTTGCGGACAGCATTGTTATGGAGTGGTTAGGAAGATAAGGCAAGGCCTGGAGTTACATAGGAGGGGTGGCGGGTGGCTAGATTCTACATTGTTATCGTCAGATGCCACCGAGTAGTGTTTATGTCAGCATACTCCCGATAACTATGTGATTGTCTTACAACTCTTCTTGTGTTCTTCGTTGAAGAGAAGTCCACTAGTATATTCGAAGCATCGTATAGCTCGTTGAGGTTAATTCATATGGGTGTGAAAAAGAGCATCAAACCATGAGATTAGCATGGTTCGACAGAAGGTCCATCTTCGCCATTGAGGCCAGGCGAAGCCGAACAGATCTATGGAGCTCCGCTGGACTTCGACGAAGTATTGAACTGGGCCATATTGAAATGGTTACCTGGACCGGAGAGCTGGTAATTTCCGTCAGTGCTGCGTATGATTAGCTCTTTGGCAAAATGACAGTGATGGTTGCGCCGCACAACGCATGACACGGAGTCCCTCAACCTTCTCAACAGCCTACTCTCCGCTTTCTCTCCAAATCTCCTCGTCCCAAGAACGCAACAGTTGCGGCGCACTCATTATACCGCGCATGTGAGGCTCAGCAACCTGGGGCACCGCGTACAGTGTCGCTGGCATGGAAAGCGGCCAACAAACTCGTGCCTGATATGCGCGAGTGTCAGGACGTTGCTGTCACACTTCCCTGGGTCTCAATTTGCCATTCCAGGAAGGTTGAGCGTCTATTCGGAGAGCCTTTGTGTGCTAAAAAGCGTCGAAAACAGCTATAGGTATATGATCAAGTTGCTATGCGTTTATAGCAGGCTAGGACCATGAGTTCCAAAGTCCGGCGGCGGGAAGAAGCATTAGGACATGCAGTGCGTGTTAAAGACTACGAATTGAATTGCGGAGACAAGAAAGGGGACCGTGGTTGCGGCTATCAAGTTTGCAGGAGAGAATGATGGGGCGACCGGTAGCGGCAGATGGGGACCAGGGCTGGACCCGATGTTAATCTACGGTTGGGCGGGAGTGCTGCAGTGGTAGGGTTGATGGTTGTTGGGCATATGTACAGTGCGGATTACTGTATGATCCTTTTCTGTGATGAGGGCGTTAAAATGCTTCTAGGTGGAGATTTTGGAAGGCAACAAGATTACCCTGCCCATGGTGGATAGCATTCTCCAGGGACTGGCGATGAGGTGGTTGTCAAGAGGCTCTCCTCGGTCCATCTTCGTGCAATTGGTAGCAGGAATAGCGAAGCAGCTTTTCCCTGTGGAGGGTGAATAAACCGTGAAAAAATGCATAATAAGCTTAGACTATAATAAGAGATCGCAAGCACTATATATCTGGAGTAAGGGCCAGGATGTGGGAAGTGGACCGCTTACATAATCCCTCCTTTCACAAGCCGCAACTGAAATCGTCGATCGTTGGGCGTTCCTAGGGAAAAGCGGGAAGTCGTGGCTTGGCAAGCGAAAGGCGGGGGCACGGGCCAGCCTCGTCAGAGGGTGATGGGGAAAGAAAATAATTCACGCACGACACTTCATCACTCATTCACACCCCCTCACCTCACACAAAACCCTCACGCTTCTTTGAGTTTTACGCTCTGAGACTCCACCAAAGCTCTCCGAGGAACTGTCCAACTGCTGTCGGAACACAGCAGCCGAAGCTTCAACCATCTCGCAGCAATACTTCCGTGAAAGTTTGCACGTGTAGCATTTACCTAACCACCTGGGAAGCTCTTGGGCAGCCATTGCTCACTTGCACACTTGCCTTCCTTGCGTGTCCGACCTTGAGAGCTTTCTGATGAAAAATCTCGCCTGGGTTTTCACAAATTAGCAACTCTGCCTAGGCTATAGCAGCCCGCAGCTTTCGTTTCCCCTTCTACCCTCTTCCGCTTTCCATGCGTCGCGAGGACCTGGTACGAATCCTATCCAAGCCTGCGAAGTAAGCCGTCGTACCTCTTTATTCTTTGGATCCTTGGATTTTTGAGAACAAACTTTGTCAGATCATCTCGAAGTTTTTACTGACCCCGTCAGGCCCAGATAACACCCGCTACCAACGTCCGTCTAACTCGAACCCTCTATAAACATATAAGCAGATCTCCTCGTCTGCTGGACCCGATACTTCCACCGGGTATCGGAATCTAGTCGCTCGAGGACCACAACCGTCTGACACCATTTCCCGGCGCAAAGCCTCGTTTATTCCGCTCTCCGCCCGACCTCCCTAACGCCCTTTACGGACGTTCCCTACCAGTACACTTCTGCTGCTGGCACACGCCAGCTCCTTTCACTTTTCCGCTTCCCGTGGGCCTTCTCTTCTCAGGCGGACACCGCATTGTTCGTCTGGGTGGCAGATTGTGCTGCACATTTCCCTGTCAATCAGCCAAGGCTCTGGATCACGACCTGACAGCTTACAATCGAGCTCCTGAACTTGTCAGGTGCTTCTTCGGTAGCTCAAGACATGGTCAGCATCGAAATTCCGAAGAACTATACGGCGTCGCCATCGTCGCATATTGGCACCCCTCATCTAACTATCAATAAGGAAGCCACCATCGACCTTGACTCGACCAATGCCTTCGAAGGTACGCACTCGCGTCGCTTTCTTCAAGGAGTATCGCTTACATGGTTACAGGACCGGAGAAGCTCTTGGAAGTATGGTTTGCCTCGTCGGCTACCGACTTGCCGGGCAAGGCCAGTCCCCTGGGCCTGAAGGCCGTCTCCGCTGATGCTTGGAAAGGCATGCTGGACCTCGTCAACTGCAAAGTCCTATCCGTCATTGAGTCTGAGCACGTCGATGCCTACTTACTCTCGGAGTCAAGCATGTTCGTCTTCCCTCATAAGGTTGTTCTCAAGACTTGCGGCACCACCACTCTTCTTTGGGGCCTTCCTCGCCTGCTGGAAATTGCTGCTCTGGACGCTGGCTTTCCCCATATTGCTGCGCAGCCTGAACGTGGCATCGCAGCGGCGGCAACCCCGTACCGCGTCTTCTACAGTAGAAAGAACTTCCTCTACCCTGATCAGCAACGTGGACCACACCGCAGCTGGCGCGACGAAGTCCGTTATTTGGATCAGCGATTCCAGGGTGGCAGTGCCTACATGATTGGCAAAATGAACGGAGAGCACTGGTATCTCTATATTACCGGCCCTGATACACGGCTCACCCCACCGCCAAGCCCAATTATTGAGGACAACAACATTCCCGAGACGGAGACTAAGTACATCAACTACCCTACGCGCTTGCTGCCTGAGCATGTCACCGAGGAGGAGGAAGACGAGACCTTGGAAATTCTCATGACCGACCTCGATGAGAAGAACGCCCGTCAGTTCTATCTCGAGGACGCGAGTGCGGTCGCGGAAGGTCGCTTTTTCCAAAAGGCTCGTGAAGCTCGCAAGGCCGCTATCCAGAGCCTTGGCGCCATTCCAGAAGAAAAGTGCGAGAGCTTGGGCGGCTCCACTGTCCTCAACTCGAACGCTACCACCCGCCCTCAATCGGAGGACAACTTCGATGTTTTCGAGCAGACCTCATCGGACCATTCTGGATTCACCTCTGACGACGACCTTACCTTCCCTGAGGAACTGACCACTGAAGGCCACACTCTTGGTACCGTTGTCTCTGAGGCCTGCGGCCTGGCGGACGTATATCCCACATCAAAGTATCCGGACGCTCGCATTGACGCTTACCTCTTCACTCCGTGCGGCTTCTCTGCCAACGGCGTCATCCCCGCGCCTGGCGGCGCCGTCAATGGCGCCAAGAAGGGCTCCGATGCTACCCACTACTTCACGGTGCACGTCACGCCGGAGCCGCAATGCAGCTACGCCTCCTTCGAGACCAATGTCCCGGCCCACCAGTGCGGTCGCGAAACGGTCGAGGTGGTTGAGCACGTCGTGGGCATTTTCAAGCCCGGCCGCTTCAGCGTGACTATCTTCGAAGCGAAGCGTAACAATGAGGATGGGATGGCCGCGAAGAAGAGCAAGGGGATGGATTCCATCAAGGGGTATAAGAGGATTGATCGGATTGTGCATGATTTGGATGGATATGATCTTGTGTTTAGGTACTTTGAGAGGGAGGATTGGAAAGGGGGTTTGCCGAGGTTGGGGGAGGTCGGCTTTGGAGATCTGTAGGGCTGTGAGGGAGGAATTGGTAGGGTTGGATGAGGAGGTGGTGTTGAGTTTCCATCTTGATGACACTTCGTTTTCCTTTCATCCGTGGGGTCTTGGTTTCCTAGTTTTCTTTGACGACTAGTCCCTCTTTAGCGTGCAGGGTATTGGTCTATCTGTGGTTTTCTTGGACATTCGTTGTTCTGTTTGTGTGTGAGGAGTAAATTGATCCAAATGATAGTGACGGAAGTGGTGGCTGGCCTTGGTAGTAGCCGTCATTCGTTCCTTGGGTGCAGGTGTATTCCTCGGACATGCAGTCTGCAATGGACACTCTTTTGTATGATTCGATGAGTGAGAAGGGTTCGAAGTTCTCTGCACCGCTGCACAAAACCATGAAAAGAATGATGGGAAGTAGGATCTTTGGCAGGACTTTCTACCAGATACTACGAATTATATACTATATATCTAGATGTTCTTATACTGAGAGAGTGTATTGTTCGTGCGAGTGTCATATCGAATCGTGAAATCGTGAGTCGTGAGGAAAAAAGGTCGAGATGTCGTAGCGTCGTAGGGAATGTCGAGGGGGTATACGTTTAATTTATGGGCGAGAGGATGTGCGAAGAGAGAGACTGGGTCTTAGATACGCTCTTTATGCTCTTTTTGACAGCCGGAAGAGAGGATTCGTGCGCCGTGAGGTCATTAGAGAGACAACTAGACCACACTCACACCTCCCTTCTTTCGTGAAATTCCTTGCTGCTGCTGTCCAGCCAGACTCAGAACCTCCCTCAGTCTCATCTCCGCCCTCGTCGTCGCAGACTCGGATGAGACATCCGCATTAGTCCGATTCCAAGGAACCCAGGACGCGAGTGAGGAAAGTGTGCTCGAGCGTGGGCGAGTAACAGACATGCGGCTCATGCTTGAGAGGTTGCGACGATGTGTGCGGCCAGCATTAGCGTTCGAGTCGTTCTGTATAGTAAAGGAGGAGGTATTCGCCGCCGCGGTCTCAGAACGGGTCTCCGGCAGAGGTACATCGGTAATCGTCGACGAGAGATCCAGAGAAAGATGGTGTGATGGCTGCGGAGTACTTATCAGAGCCAAGGAGGGGATATTCGTCTGCTGTTGAGGCCGATCCGGGCCATCTGCTTTGGACGTGGAAGTAGAAGTCGCGTTGAACGTGTCCGCCCCGACCGTCTTCCTTCTACTCCTACCCCCACCGCTCGCGCCGCTAATCACGCTCTTGAGACTCCCGTAGGCGGAACGACTCTGGTCCTTCGTCGACGGTTCCCCAGCAACACTGAGTCTCTCGCTCGAGGAACTAGCTTCCGGCACCGCTGTCAGGGTATTCTCCCCACCCACACCCGCACCAGCAGCACCCCACCCCTGCGCACCCCTCACCACACCCACGCCTCTCCCTCGTCCAGACACCAACGCAGCTCTACCCACCACCCACCCCTGTCCTATGCCCGTCCCGGTTCCCGTGATGGTCCCCTGCGGTGGGAGATGGGCATCATATTCATCCGCCAAGCTGAGTCTGCTCCTCGCACAAATTTCCGCAATCGCGTCGATGGCGTCTCGAATCTCGGGGTCCACGGCGCGAAGGATGGCTGAGAAGGAGAAGTCGTCGACGGGGGGAAGTTGTGGCGTTCGGGAGCCCGATTGCGAGGCTAGACCTGCGGAGAGGTTGGACGGGTTCTGTGAGGATGTGTGGCCGTTCATGTTGATGGTATAGAAACGAGAGGAGGAATTAGAGGCTTGTGAGCGATGCCGACGCGGACCGGAATATGTGCGTACCACTACCGGTTGACTGGATAGTGTGGTGCTGCTCGATGTTGATTTGGCTGAAGACTTCCTGTTGTGATGTTTCGTGTTGCTGGAGGATGAGGAGTGCGATTGAAAGGCGGGCGCATTGAGGGCGCGTAGGGCGGCGGACTGTGTCGGCGGGAGGGTATTTGTGAGCGTAGTGGTGGCACTCGGCACGGAGCTTGTGCTTGTAGCCAGGTCCGAAGGTGTTGGGCCTTGTGTTTCGCGGGACGGTGTGTGAGCGACGATTGCGGCGACGAGTGGGGTGCTGTGAGGGGTGTTTGTAGGTAGATTTCCGTTTCTCCAGATAGTTGAGAGGGCAATGGATGGTCGAGTAGTCGTGGCGGGCGTCAATGTCGGAGGAATCGTCGTGGTGGGCGTGGAATCTCGTGGCGCATGGAGGTGGAGGAGAGGTGTGCGGTTTCCAGAATTGCTCCCGTCGTCTGTGACTGGTGTTTCAGACGGAGTGCCAGCCGTCGGCGAGGTTACCGCAAGGTCGGGCATCGTAGAACTCCGTTTATTGGAGCTGCGGACCATGCATGGCCGGTATGCAACTGTGGTTGAGCCTTTGTGGACGTGGGGATGCTTGTGGTCGAGGGGTAGTGTGCTGGCACAGCTGCAGCTGCACTTTGGCCTTGGCGGGGTGAATGTGTCCTACCACACGTCCAAGGACGAGCTGGCTTCTCGGAGAATTGTTGCACTGACGGCAGCTGTGGAGCCTGATAATATGGGAGTCGAGTGTTACTGGTCCCCATGGTACGTCGTTGTGTTTACTCGTAAGGTAGAACTTGTACCTCATATTCATCATGATCCACACTCCTACAATTATACACTGCTGGCAGGCATTCGACATCGAGCGGGACCCCTGCACATCGAAAGCCGTTGTTGAGGGTGTGCAGAAAGCGATAATGCTGGTATTTGCCTATGCATGCTGCTAGCAGTGCGGTAACACAGTTGAGACCATGTGGTCTCAGTTTCATCATCTAGTGAGGGGTTGCCGGCACTGAATCCTCAAACTGCTTCTTGACATTGTTTTGTTCGGATAGCTTCCAGTAAAGGACTCTTTGGCGGCCTCTGTCACGGTTGCTTTCCAAAATCTCTAGCTCCAATCTCTTCTTCTAGCCATGCAACGAGTCCATCCGACGATTCCTCCAGGATTTGGATTTCAGCTTTGATATTGAGCATGAGCATTCTCTGCAGTTGCCGTCTCCAATCAGTCTCAGGTCCGTCCTCTGTGCAGAGGTCCCATTCCAGCATTCGACATGCCTTTGTCCGGTCCCTTGGAGACAACCTCAGCAGACCTTGTGCGTTTGGATTCGCAGTTATTGCTGGAGCGCATTCCTCCTGCGGGATTCGGAAGAGATGGTGACTATGGACACCGAGCCAATGAAGATTGCGCAAGTTCGGTCCCCCAGTATCGTCATTGGTCTTGTTCTCATGGGCAAGACGATGAGAACCGTACTTGTATGTTGACATGATGGCAATACCATCTGGATCGTAATCGACGACCGCAAACATTCGTACTTCCGGAGAACGGTCTGCAATATGCTGAAGAAACGTCCTCGTAGACACATCCGGGTATCCCTTGGCCTAATGTAGGTCAGTTAACTTGGCTGCCACTAAGGTGAATTACCAACGTACTGTCACGACCAAGCCTGCTTGGAAGTTCAGGTTGTTCCTAGCTGAGGAGCTTACTAGATGGCGAAATGTTGCCTCTTTCTCGACGATGATTACCCATTGGACTGACGAGATGTCCAAGGTATCACTGCTATTGACGTTCGGCAGTAACATCCCCTATATGCTGCATGAGCATGATCCGGATACTGAAATAGTCTTCAAACCTCATTGACGTTAAGGCCATGAATGATTGTGCCGTCCGCTCGTACTAAGGTAAAATTTCCGGCAACAAGGCCTTTGGCAGCGGCAGTCTACAATGTCAGTGTGACCCCAGGTAACGACGCTACATACGTACCACATTGAGCAGTGCCCTTGGGATGCCGAGAGTACAAGCCAGATCGTCAACGAAGCGGTCCACGACAGATTGTTTCACAAATAGGTCAGGGTGTCTGTAGTAGAGATCCCTGCTTTCCTTCAGTCCACCACCTGTGCCTAGGCTTGAATGGCTCACCTCTTGGAGGCTACTACATCTTCGATCAAGCACTCGTGAACAAGTTGCAGAATCTTAACAAGCACGGCTGCATTTTGTCAGTGAAGGTGGAGAGGAGGCGCGCGTATGTGCAGACTGAATCTCCAAGCCTCCTGTCCATTTGATCCTGGAAAGCTGATCTTTCTGGTTCTCGGATGAGGTGCACGCTCTGTCTGCTTAGACTGGAAGCTATCCCGACGACTGATCCCTGACCTTGTCTTGAGGCTGATGGAGAGCTCACTGTCACCAGCAAGAAGTCCATCTAAGATTCCTTCTATGAGACCCTCGACACGTGCAATAACCCAGTCTCTAAGCGCAGATTAGCTCTCGATCATATCGAGGCGTGGTACAGACCCAGTACCGGTTCTTGACTGTTCCTGTTGTGGTGCCTTGAATCTCGTCAGCTAGCTGGACCGCGTTCTCGAACTCATCGAGTATGTCTTCATCCAGACTCGCGTCAGGGGTGGGGGGCAAGAGAAGGTTTTGAGTGTTCTCTTCCTCCCACAAATCGATGTCGGAGTCGTATTCCTCGCCGGGTAGCTCATCCAGAAGATCGCTCTCATCATCAACACCGTCCTGAGATTCCTGCGATGAGGGAAAACTGAAAAGCATATCTTCCATCTCGTGAGGCTGCATGGTTCCCCTGTGAACCGTGACATGAATCTTAGGCAAATTATCCAGAGATCAGGGCTAGCTCTGGCGAAGGGCGTGGGTGTAGTAGAGGTGGCAGATCAAGTGAATCAGAGATAAGTTTAGATCGAGACGTCAGCGAATGTTGAGAGCACTCAGAAGGATATCATTGCGGATGTCACTATTGGCAGAAGCATCGACCAGCATGCCGCTGTGCTGCCAGATGACGGAATCTTGTTGTCGCTGATGGCGGAGGAGTGATGGCATATGGATGTCGGGTTTGTCGTGCGCACCTTCCTCCAATAGCCATTAGGGGCAACGACGCCCCAGATGCCCGTCAAGCAAAGGCTTTCCCAGTTATCTGTCTCTACAACTCTCAACTCAAAGAAAACGTGCCTATACTTTTCTAGTTGCCTGCAGCTAAAACAAATAGTGAAAGGGGTTTCTCGCCAGGGACGCTAATCCCAAAGAGGAAAATAAAGTTGAAAGCGGTCAAACTCGTCGGTTTTGCGTCGAACACCCAGGCAGCACTTCGCGAAATGACGCACAGACCCTCCTTTGAGCGCGCCATTTCATCCCCCACATCAACGCGTCGCGTCCGTGTTTCCATGACTTCACGCACTCCATATCTACCATCCTAATTGTCGTCTTTATTAACCCGCAACCGAATGCCAACAAGTCGAGGACCTGTTACGATGGATATGGAAGATGTGCAGTCAACTGCTGCTGTAACACCGTCGCAGAAACGCCCTTTTGATGATGACGTCCCCGTGTCAACGCCAACTAAGAATGTCGTCGTTCAATCCGATATCGATGGCACACCACTGACGGTTGTCTCGTCAATTGCCACACCTTCGCCGCTCAAGAAGTCTTCCCAGGCCTCCGTCCCGCCAAGTACCAATGCAAGCAATGCTCAACCTACAAGCTCTACCAGTGGTGCTCAGCCAGTTAAGAGGCGGAAGCTCACGGACAAGGAGAAGGAAGAAAAGAGGTTAGAGAAAGAGGCCAAGGACAAGGCAAAAGCAGAGCAGAAAGCAGCAAAAGAAGAGGAGAAGCGGAAGAAGGAGGAAGAGAGACAAAAGAAGAACATTGAGCGAGAAGAGAAGAAGCGAGCTAAAGAGCTAGAACAGCAGCAGAAGGAAGAGGAGAAACGTAAGAAAGAGGAAGAGAAGCTAAAGAAGGAGCGGGTATGATTGTTTCGGTCACCATTCAGCGTACTATGACTGACTGCGAACAGAGTCAAATGAAGTTGAATTCATTTTTCAACAGGCCGAAGGGGGACTCGGGTTGTGCAAGAACAGTGACGGTAGAGCCCAATCACACTTGCACATCCGAAACAATATCATTAGCACCGGAACCCCCTATGCAAAATGCTAACACGACTGCGTCTCCGCAGAAAGCCATCCTTCGAGCAGCGAAAACCGATTACGAACGATTCTTCCTGCCGTTTCAGCTACCCAGCCACGCGATCATGGCCCCGATAAACCGATATATGGAGGATCCTGAGAAGCTGGCTTCAGCAAGAGCACGACTTGAGCAATTGATATCACAGGAGGACGTCTGCATGGAGCCAATCTCGGTGGAGAGCTTCAGAGGACAGTTCCCGAGATATGCAGGTCGTGGCCCGGAGATGCATTCGATTAAAGAGATAGTGGAGCGGCTCAACAGTTCCTCAACTCATCCTATCGACCTCACGAAAGATGGCGACGATACGCAAGATCCGCTCGCCCTTCTCAAACGAATCCCGATGAAATATTTGCATTTCCCGGAGGACGTCAGGCCGCCGTACTTCGGTACATACACGAGACCGCACACTCGACGGGAGACCTCAAAGCTGGCAATGAATCCTTTCTCACGTACCATCCGAGAGTTCAACTATGACTATGACTCCGAGGCGGAATGGGAAGAGCCAGAGGAGGGTGAGGATCTAGACTCTGACGGAGAAGAGGATCTGGATGAGGATGGAGACGATGACATGGACGGCTTCTTGGATGACGAGGACGATGGCCCGATCAAGAGGAGGATGATCAGCGGTGACCTGCAACCAGTCAGTACCGGACTCTGCTGGGAAACCCCGAATGGTCTCTCGGTATTGAACGATGGATCCGGAGCCGTCTCTACAGAGTTCCGAGGTTTTAGAATCGGCTTCTTACTTGGTATGTATATTACCGGGATTGGCAATTCTTGTACTGACAGGGAAGATCCACAACCTCAATCCATTGATCCCTTCTCCACCGCGTACTGGGCGCCTGACCCTGTATCCCTTGCTAAGACAGCTGCTGTTGCTAGCAAGGATGGTCCAGGCAGTGGGACCATGCAGCCACCGCGCCTCCCCCTCGCGACAAGACCCATGAACAGCATGATGAACTCATTGAATTCCGGCAACGGTGTCGCAGCTGGCGCGGGCGCCAAAGCCGCAAAACCTCCAAAACGCATGATACCTGCAGATCAGCTTCCAGCATTCAAGGCTGAAGTAGAGGGTAGCGATCTCACGAAGATTGCGCTGATTGAGGCCCTCAAAAGGAAGTATGTATTTGCGTCATCCTTTCGCTATACTGCCAGCTAACGATTGCTCCTCCCAGGTTTCCGAAATTGCCGAAAGATGCCATCAGTAATACTCTCAGTACTGTGGCTGCTCGTGTCGGACCTAAGGAGGTCGATAAACGATGGGTTCTGCTCTGATCTTCTTCTCAGCATCGGTTTTCATCGCGATTCCACTCAAAACCTGCATTGATTTTTGGCACATCATTAATCTTCTGGACTCCAACAAGATCCAATTACGACCAATCGATCATCTTCTTCTGTTATAATAGCGCGGCGTTACATTGGTACGGCGCATCGGCGCATGGAGCCAGGCAAACGCTGCGGGAGAGCGGCGTATATGTATTACCTGCATCAGCATTTTGAGTGTATCTTGAAGCGATAGGTTATGAAGGAAGAGAACAAATGGCGCAACAGAGCACAACGCAGTTGGGTGGCACAGTCGGGCGCTCTCGAGAGCGAGCTGTACTCAACATGGCATGTATAGATCTGTATACATAACGTATGTATACGCCTATCTTAACGTATTTACATCTCTTCAACAGCCTTGCATGTTTCTCAAGCATCCGAGCTGAGTGCAGCAATTTTCGCCATTTTTCATACTTTTCATCCGTACCAGTCTTAAATACCAGCTTCCATGTGCTAACTCCCCGCATCCTTCGACTTGCAACAGTAAGCGCGATGGCTGAGGCACAAGCGCCAACGCTGCACTCCTGGGACACATCCCAGTGACAAACCCAACAGAACAAAGGGACGAAGTCGTACGTGTGTCCGCTGAGCTTTCTCGAACGACTTGGCTGCGCACGCAGGGAACATTCATGTCGCCCTTAGATACATAGTGGGGTGGGCCTAAGATAGAGTTGGAAATTGACGGAGAACATGGGTACATGATGGAGACATAGAACGGAAACGTTCACTTCCGCCTAGAGCCTCAATCCTTACCTAACCCTCAGGCCGGCCTCCCATCGCCCACGATTCCCGTCATAATCTGTGCCGCAATCCCCGCAATCCAGGAAAGATGGAAATAACTGCAGATGTAAGAATAGCATCTTTCGCATCTACCCGCTGTTTACGCACAGATCCTTCTGGGCGGCTAGCGTCGTTCCGCTGGTGCACTGTCATCCAATCGACTATTTATGGTACCCATACCCGCCAATCACGTCGCAGGAGCAATTCACCGTCCATACACGCGGGATAGGAAAATCAATCTTCCGCTAAGCGCCTGACCCTTGACTGTTGTAAACATCTTCGCTGGGCGTCAGCAGCCGCCAGTTCGATGGGACAACAGTGGTGCGGCTCTCCTGCGGGCAGGGGAGAGGGGTGCGGAATGCATCTCCTGTGTAAGCACGGTAGTCTAGTGTAAGAATAGTACCGTGCTTCGGGCGTCTGCTCCGCGAAAGACAGGCTAGCTTTCTTGGAGGGGGGCAAGTGTTGGGCGGATGGAACATACTTAGATACTGGCCAGGTAGGAGTCCTTGACAACACTGCCTCGTTTTGGCTCTTTGCTGAGACACGTCCACGAAGTAACGTGTCTGGAGAGTGGAATCTCTTCGGACTGTATACACGTTGGAGGAAGGAAACGTATCTGAGGAGTGGTGAGAGACCTTGTTTGTCTTGTTCTGTTGAGTGCAGAGCACCGCTTGCAGGCCTCAAGCGGCACCCTTTTCCTTTCTCTGTTTCTTTGCTCTCTTCATTCTCCCGAAACCATGGCCTCACTGGTCCTTACTATCACCCTTTCTCTCCTCCTCCTCGCTCCTCCCACTTTCGCGTTCAACTGCTCCAAACCCCCCATCTACGTCGACATCCACAAACGCGCTGTCCACGATTCCTCGGAATTCCAATACGGCTCTTTCATCGGCGTCGGCACACCAGCTCAAAACCATAGTCTGTGGCCTTCGTTAACGCAGAACCATACGAGTTTCGCAGCGTCGGCGTATTGTAGGAATAGTTCGTTGAAGGGATGTGAGGACGGGACCGGGGGATTCTTCGTCAAAAGCGACTCGACCAGGTGGGTTGACTTCGAATTGAGTTGAGATAGGGTTTGCTGATCCTGCGTGCGATAGCTTCCAAGAGAACGATAACTTCAAGTCCCTCGACAACAGCAGATTTACAGGCTCCAGCTCCTTTGGCCAAGATACACTCCGTCTCTACACGCACTATTTCGAAACCGATGGCGCGTCGCAGACGCTTGTTGAGAATTCCACCATTGAGATTGCGGAGAAGGGTTCCATCGCCCCTGGTATCGTCGGCATGGGTCTATCATCTACCCTCCTCCAGAGCCTCGTGTCGAAAGATATCATCGCGGGGAGAACATACTCGCTGTACATCGGCCAGGGCTTCGACCGTGCCGGCGGCGCAGTAAACGGCAGCAACACCTTTGGCGGCTTCGACGCAGGCCGCTTCACCGAACCCGTCCACGCATACAAGATGAAAGAGTCGAACACAAGTCCCTTCACCGTCCGCGTCAAGGACATCACCATCACGAGCCCGGACGGCCGAAACGTCTCCCTCCTCGACAAATCCGTTTTCCAAAACACGGACGCCGGACCCTTCGACGCGCAGTTGACGACGGACCAGTACCCACTGTCGCTCCCCTTCTCCGTCACCGAGAACTTCAAACGCCAGCTCAACGCTCGCCCGGATCCGGAGAACCGCTTCGGGGACGATAGTTTGCAGCTGCCCGCTCCGTTCGCGGGATCGATGACGATTGTCCTGGATGACGGGTTCAGCGTCACGCTCCCGGGGGAAGTCCTGTCGAATGCGTCGAATATCTCGCCGGTGCAGAACCGCGCGAGGAACGACTCGAGGCCTTTCTACCTCAGCACGGCGTTCCTCACGCAAGTGTACCTTATGGCTGACTTTGACTCGTATACCTTCTTCCTCGCGCCCGCGGTGCAGAAGAACAATATCGTCATGCCGACGACGTTCTGCCCGAAATCAATACCCCGTCCGTACGTGTGGCCCAAGCAAAGTGCGTGGGTGAGGAATGGTTTGATCGGCGCTGTGATTGGAGGTGTGTTTGGTGGTATCGGGATTGGGATCGTTGGGTTCTGCTTTTGGGCGGCTTGGGTGAGGAGAAGAGCGGAGAGAAGGGAGGAGGATGAGGAGAGGGCGAGGAAGAGGGCGAAGATGGAGCAGTTTGAGGTGGAAGAAGGGGTGGGGACGACGGAGTTTGAGGGCCCGCCGAAGAGGGGTGCAAGGAGGGGTTGGAGGTTTTGGAGGAGATGATGGAGTTTGAGGTTCTACTTCCCTTTCTTTTTCTTCCTCTACATTTTTATTCCCCAGGGCGGTGTTGATGGCATCGTCATTTCGCATTGGGATTTCTCAGCTTTTGGGTTTTGGGTTTTAGGACTGGCTCTTCTCGATTAAACGTAAGTTGATATATACCCGCGCCCTGCCTGTCCGGCGATTTCGTTTTCATCAAGGCTTTCCCTCTTCTGCTTTATGCCCCCTTCAGTTTCCGTTGCCTCCGCCGCATCTTTCTACTCCGAACCGCCTACACGCTTTTGGACCATAGGATTGTCCTTCTCCCACTCAGGCCCCTCCATCACAGCAACATAGTCCTCCCCCTTATTCCTCTCCGCCCAAGCTCGCATCCCCTCCTCCAACCCCTTGACCAACCCCTTATTCAACGCCTCCTCAGCAAAACTGACCCTATTCGGCCACCACGCCAACATATTCTCCGCCCTAGTCCCGCTCTTCGACGCGAACAATCCTACAGCCACATCGATGATGCCACCCCAAGGTCCATCCTTCTGCTCACCCCGATCAACGTCACAAAACACAGTAGCCCCACACGTCCCGCAGAATGCCCGCGTCGTCGCCTCCGAGCTCCGATACTCCTTCAGCGTCGTCATGTCCGGCCAAAACGGCTTGCGCTGGAACCCTACGTTGGACCCGCCATCCAGGGTAATGCATGAGGTAGGCACGAATGCCCAGGCGGTAATTTCGAACCCGGACGCTCGCCTGCACGACTTGCAAGCACAGAGACCCGCTAGGTGTCGCGTAGGCTGCATGTACGCGTTGTCCTTGTACTGTTTCCGGCTCTGCCCGAACCATTTCACGTCCTCGTGGTTTTGGCGCTTCTCCTCGGCGTCGGGGAGGTTGAAGGGGATGAGCAGGTCTGGGTAGGGCGAAGTGGCCAACTCGTGGTTGGGCACCCAGATATACATTCCGACTCCTCTGCAGTGGCAATGGGCGTAGATGTAATTCCTGAGCTCCACGGCAGTGTAACCTTCCTCTTTTTTGAATTCGGTCTCGGACGCCGGAGGACGGGAGGGGTGGTTCCATTCTACAGGGATTTGCTCGCTTTCACCGGCTTTTCGGAGATAGCGACTTAGACACTTGTCGTTGATGTGCGTGACGAATTGACTGGCGCCTCCGTCGAGGGTGTCTTCGATCCAAATGTGGTCTTTGTAGTCGACGATGCCGTCTGTGCTTTCTAATTGGAGAGTGCCCGAGGCGACTTCGAAGTGTTCATCGGCGCGATATTCGAGGAACATGTGGGTTCCACATGTTGAACAAAAGTGTCGGGTTAGGATGGACGAGGACTCATAAGCGGTCAGGGTTGATAGGTCTGGTTCGGGGTTGCCGGCAGGTACGGTGATGTACGAGGTGAAGAGGGTGCCGGAGGTGCGGCGAGAAATGTCGCAAGAACAGAGACGGAGGTCCAAGGGCAGGGACGAGGTCGGAACGGAGAAGGTGTAGGTTGAGCGTCCGCAGAAGCAGGATGAGGTGAGCTCTTTGGAATCGGCCATTTTGAGGTCACTTAGGGAAGTTTATGTGACTTTTAGGAGGGGAAGATGGGCAAGATTTCAGGAAAGCGGAAAAGTGAATGGTGATGTGACTCTGCATGATAAGGTCCATGGAGGTATATATGGCAGAGTGAGAAGCTGACAAAACAGTATGCTAGCTGCCCAATGCCGTTAGAAAAGAAGGAGATACCCCGCCCCCGCACTGTCACGGAAGCAATTGAGTGTATATCCGGAAGCGAATGTAAAGGACATGGTTTAACGGGGATACCGGTAGCTAATAGAGGGCATACCAGTGAAATGCCAGCAATCTGGCGAAACATAAACACAATCCTCAAGCTCAGGCCTGTATTGCGCCAGTACCTCCTAGGGAAAAAAAGCGGGGAATGATTGTCTTTAGAAGGAGCAGCTTCGGATTATTTGATTTGCTTCTTTTGCCGCGACATTCTAACGGGTGACGGGGTGGTTGTGGCAACCTAAGCATGTTAACTTTGCTGGTATGCTCGCTACCAGGGTATTAGCTACACAGTATTGGTATGCCCTCAACTTTGCTCAACGTGAAGTTGGCAGAGTGGACCAGAAAAGGGAAGCTGGCCGATCTGCCGTGAGTTGGCATTGGGTAGTGGGCCATGCCGCAAGCATGACCAGCACTAACACGGATCAGGAGGCAGCGCGAAGATCTCAAGAAACGCCGTTCAACTTGTCAAGTGTCGACCTCAGCTGAACCACGCCGACCACAGCAACCCGTTTCCGTATTCCGCACTATCGAGTCGCTGCGCGTTCGAATCTGCATCCTGATGACACGGTGAACGGTGAAAAACCGAAGGATAATTCAGCCCGTGGAGTTGGCCTCAAGCCTCTTACATCATCTCCGGCCGCGGGGAGGTATCGCCGGCCTCATTCCCCTGAACTTAAGCTTTTCAAAAGCTTGAGATTTCGCCTTCTGGCAGTAAAACTCCGATTCGATAAATTCAAAGTATGGAACCCAAAGCGGTCGTTTCCGAGATCTACTTAGCCTATGAAAGCGAGACCGCCTTCCGACATGTGGATATGCTGTGTTATATCACAGTAAGAATCAACACCGTATCCCGGGAGCAGTCATCGTATGGACGTAGAACTGGGTCGGCTATTTTTCGTTTCCAATGTCAGCCCCTGGATGTTGTGTGACGTGGGCTCTGGGACTTGACCCAGTCACCAAGTTGACGGTCGATGCATGGGTCATCATCTGCATGTCTTCGCCAACAATGCCCGTTTTAGGTTGACAGGAACCTTGGACAAAGCCACGATTATGCATGTTGAGATGAAAAAAACGAATGCCATTGTGTTGCATTTGAGCGACTCCGAGTACTTCCCCAATGGGCCATCGAAGTCGGATTTTGCAGCCTGTACGGAGTACGCGGCGACAGCGACAACCTGCGACTTCTTCCGCAACGAGCCTTGGAAGCTACATAGTCTACGTCGTAGAGGGGTTCAAGAGATAACTTATTGAAAGGTAAGCAGCGCGCAAAAAAGGGGTCATAGGTATCCGGTACCTGATGTGCTGGCGGGAGATTGGGAACTTTACCTTGAGGCGGAGATCGTGGCTTGCGTGGCGTACGAGCTGCCGCATACAAGCAGCGAGATCGACAATTGAATGAGCCACCCGAATAAATCATCCAGCGATGGGATTTCACCGGTGGACCCAGTTCCAGTCCGATATAGTTCATGGCACTCCTACCGAATTCAATGCTGCTCCATCCCTTCTCTGCTTCCAACTCGGAGTCAGTTCTCTTCTCAATTCGTGTTCACTGAGGGCTTCTATGACCCCGTTATGAAAAGCATTCTTTCTTTGGCCCTGCTGTACGCGGGCTTCGTACAACACACCCGTGGAGCTTGTGTCAATTGCACAACCGGAAATTTCAGTTCTACTGCTCCCCGCAAGAATATTTGGCTGAGTCTGACTGAGCAAGAGCTTGAGAGCGTCTCCACATACCTCAGTGGTAGATTAAATCTCAGTGCAAGTCCAGATGCTGGGTAAATGGTGCCACACCCAATCATGCAGTCACGCCACTAACAAGACTAGAACAAGAGTAAACTCTATGTAAAATTCCATTCTCTCAACCTCTCGGCACGATCTAACCCGCACCAGTTTCGAAATCGAACTTCTATCTCCCAACAAATCGGACGTGCTCCCCTGGATCAGTGGCGAATATTCAGCAGAGCCTAAGAGATATGCACGCGCAACTGTGGCATACGGAATACCAGACGAGCCATACTTTCAGGAATACATGGTCGGGCCTTTACCAGCAACCAACGTCACGAAGTTACAACCTCTTACCTATCCGTTCAACAGCCGGAACCCTGGAAAGACTAGAATTCCATCCCTCATATTACCTGGACAGGATGTTGCCAGCGCCGTGCTCAAGCTTGGGTCTGATATTGCGGACATCACTCGCGAGCTGTGGAACACGGTACGCGTAGCTCAGCTCAAACATGGGTGGACTTGACTGACTATTCCACAGACTATCGCAGATGGAGGTGTGACATTCCGGACTCAGTTTCCACTCCACCAGGAAGACGGTAAAACACTGACATGGTTCGAATTCATCGGGGTTCCTACCGACGAATTCGATAGCACCACTGTGCTTCCGTTAGGCGTATCCCTGAGAATCGACACAACCGATCGCAATTACACGAAGTGGGCGATCACAGGCTGGTTTTGTCTCGGGAAACTGTACAACAGCACAGAGGAGTTCCGCGAGGCGCTCTTCTCACCGGGTTTCGAGAAGCCACCTCCAAATATCGACGGGTCCTGGACTGCCCTGAACCAACGAGGCGATCCGCTACCGCTCGACAATCTGCCACCGCCGGTGTCCGTGTCTCGAGGGAGTCAGAGATACACCGTTGATGCGCAAGAAAACTACGTGACATGGATGGATTTCTCATTCTACTTTTCCACAAGCAAGAGCACCGGACTATCCCTATTCGACGTCCGCTACAAAGGCAAACGCCTGATCTACGAGCTCGGTCTAGAAGAAGCTCTCGCCCACTACGCAGGCTCCGATCCCTTCCAATCACAAGCCAGCTTCTTCGACACGTTGAGTGGTATGGGCGCCGCTATGAATCCTCTCGTTGCTGGCTACGATTGCCCAGAATACGCCACCTTCCTCAGCGCTAATATGACGATCAGTGGGCAAGCAACTACTATCTCCAACGCTATATGCCTCTTTGAATACGACGCCGGGTTTCCCATACGTAGACACTTCAATGTGCAAGGCTACACCTATGCTGCGAAGAATATACTGTTCACTATTCGAACGATATCTACCGTTGGCAACTATGATTACCTTATTGAATACAGTTTCTTCCTCGACGGAGGCATTGAGGTATCCGTCAGAGCATCTGGGTATATCTCAGCTGCATATTATGCGAATAACCAGGACTATGGGTTCCAGATCCATGATTTTTTGTCCGGGTCGATGCATGATCACGTCATAACGTTCAAAGCGGATTTGGATATTCTGGGAGAGAAGAATAGTGTACAGAAGGTGGAGTTTGTGCCTGACACCGTGGAGTAAGTCGAATTGAGGCATCAGACCTTTTTCACAAACACTGACGCAGAGAACCAGGTATCCTTGGGCACCAGGCCAACTTCGTAATACATTCCGTGCGCGCAAAAGCTTCATCACAAGCGAGTTGGACGCCAGTATCAACTGGGCACCCAATGATGCCGCCATCTACGCCATCGTCAATAAAGACACCCCGAATCGATATGGCGAATTCCCGGGGTACAGAGTGCGGAAAGGTAAATATACACGATCCCAATGATTTCAACATGGATTTAGAAATTGATCGACGTCTACAGCATCCGGTGCTTCACACCTGACAGTCGTCAACTCCTCGAACACTGGCAACGCTGCGCACTTCGCCACCCACGATTTATACTTCACCAAGCAGAAAGACACGGAGCCGCGAGCTGCGGATCCATATAACGGCCATGATACTCAAGATCCACTTGTTGATTTCTCCAAATTCCTGGATGGTGAGACTCTGGAGCAGGAAGATTTGTAAGTACCAATCCTCTAACGACAGATTCCTGATCTTGCTGCAGATATTGGCAGTGCTAATTCCTAGTCTAGAGTTGTCTGGTTTAACCTTGGTATGCATCATGTAAGTTTTCGATTTTGAGACCGTTCTACACTTCGCGAATGGCTTATTCTTGGTAGATACCGCATACAGGCGACTTGCCGAATACGCTGATGACATCTGCGCATTCGAGCATCAGGCTTGAGCCTTTGAACTATTTGGAAGGCGATCCTTCGGTTGCTACGACGCAACAGGTGAGGTTTGTGCATGATAATGCGCAGGAGGGTGAGGAGGAGGGAGGAGCGTGAAGGGGTGGGCAGGCGCAGGGTGCACATTGAGGACGAATTTTGCGCGAGACCTGGAGCGGGTCTCTTGAGAATATGCATATAGATGGCCTCAAGTTCGGAAAAGGTCTTCACTTGAAGAGTGGGCAGGTCGAGCTCTCGATGAAGTGTACCAGTAAACATTCGGGTTGATTCCCATCGTCTCCTGATATATCAAAAATAGCCGTATATGCAATGCGTGCTAATATCCCGCGTGGCCCGTGTCGGCTTCCATCCTTACAATATGGTACATGAGACAGAATTACACAGTGAAGGCTATGCAAAATGGGCATGGTCGTATATCCTCAGAAGGTCAGGCCAAGGGGCGCCAAAATCTTGTCCCGGCAAATCCTGTTCGCAACTTCTCCTCCCCGCTCCAGAGCTACGGCTCCTACAATGGCGTACAATGATGTTGAAAGTACGGCGTCTATGCCGGACGATTGGAGGTTGTCCGTCTGAGATAATCAGCATGCGTGGACGATGGGGCCTCACAGTAGATATAACGTACCCTCGCCGGTTTCCACCTGGTTACCTTGTCCAGACCATATCGCTGCGCAATTGGCGCTAACCGTGCAATGTTCAACTCGCTGTCTTTCGCCTCGTGTGTAAGGCCAGCGAGCCCATCTAACGCGGGATGTTTATATGGTTTCCTCCCGTACTGATCAACTTCCGGTATAGGTGCGGCTTGCGGGGAATTTAGCAGGGCCAACGATGCCTGCAGCGATACTATACGCCGACCTGTCGTACGGCAATCAGCATTTCGCTCAACTCTCAAACCTTCAATTCGACCATACCCAGAAACGCCAACCGGTCATTGTGTCCTCTCCGTCCGTGATCAAAGCTCTTGTGTGTCACCGCCAACCACTTCACCTCATCGCTCAACACCTTGTCCCCTTTCGGTCCCAACATTCGTATGTACATTTCATCTAGCCTCCGGGGGTCTTCATTCACTTTGAACACCGGTCCTCTAGGTAGCGGCCTCGTCCGGAAAGGCGCAACCATTCGCGCAGGAGTTTGTTGCCATCTTGGGCGCTCGTATCCCTCTGGATCATTTTCGGATACCAGCTTCGGAGTTGAGGTGGAGAAGGAGCATGCGGAGGTTTCGGAGAAAGCTCTACATGCGGGTTGCTGGGCGCGCAGCGATGATGAAGCCGTGGTTATTAAGGTCCGGAGAGGCTTTTTGGACGCCATTGGAGGTGTGCGAATGGCGTGTCTGTGGGAGTTGGCCGGCGAATGGACGAGGGACTTGGTGAGTGACCGACGCTGCATCGAAGGTGAGGGTTGATGAACTTCATCAGAAAAGTAGGGTTTCGCGCTAGTGCTGGATAAGGTTTAGCGCGGTTTTTCACGCGTCGCCCTCACTCACCTCGCGACAATCCGCTCGAGATCTGCAGTGGGTTTTGGAGCCAACATGGCTAGTATTTCTCATTCGAAGTCTCTCCAGGATCTACTCTCAGAGGCGCTACCTAAAGATGTACCGTTCACGTTCTATCACTACTCCACACCTCCGACGAAATCGACTCCGCTGTTCAGCGCTCCGCCGCACCACAAGTCCGAGCGAACGTACCGCGAATCGCACTTTTTGGCTGTCTCGATAGTACGAAAGTCGCAATCACCGTCCGAAGTTCCCGAAGAGCTCCTTATACTTGCCATTGAGGTTCTCATCTATACCACTGAGAATCTTACAACGATATTCATCTCGAAAGCGGACTCTACGGGATATATTGCGGAGCTTAGCCTTCCTCGAGCACAAGCTGGATCCCCGCTGAAGTCAATATGTGGAATCTTCGTCTCCTGGCTGGCCCGGGAAAGACGGAGAGAAGGAAAGAAGTTGGTCATATCGTTGTTTGCGAGGGCACAAGATCAATACCTCTTTCCGGCGAGCGTTGAGAACCCAAATAAGCATGTGTTGGACGACAGGGGACTGATAAAGTGGTGGTGTAAGGTTCTGGACCCCCTGATTAGAGAACATAAAGTGGAAGAGGATGCAAAGAACTTGACGGAACGACTGGCCCAAAGCAAGAATGGAAAAGAGAATGTCAAGTCCTTGAAGAGCGAATACACGGCTAAGGGATACCTTGTCATACCAGGATTTGACGCATATGATACGCTCCGGTATACGCCATTGCCCTCCTCATCAGGTCCACGTCGCTGGGTTGCTTCACATCCGTTACTGAAGATTGCACCCCATCCAGGAGCACCTCCCAGGTGTCTTGTTCCGCATTTCCCGGACGATCCGAAGTCCAGGTTCCTTGACGAGTTGGATGAGGAACTCCCCGATGCCCGCACCGAAGAAATGAGCCAGCTCGGTGGAACGCCCAGCAGGAGTAACGGACAATGGAAGAGTGTCAAGACGCTCGATCAATTTTGGGAGATGATGGCATTCAGGCAAGAATGCTCATCAGGCCGTATAACGGGGTTTATATGGGTTGTCATCACACCGCCCCAACCTTCAATTCCTGAGGAAGATGAGTCGGAGGAGCCTTCGCAAACCCAAACTGTGAACGACTCTCAAGATAGCCCTGCGATCCACCAGTCACCAGCACGCAGCAAGGCTTCTCCCCGGAAACCGCGAAGAAGAAAAGTAAATACAAGTCATGGTCCCATTCCGATCATACTGCCGAAGATCAAGTCGAGTGTTTCGAACATGTCGGGGGTCTCTACTGGGTCTGGCGGCACGGCTACGAAGCTTCCACCCGAGGTTACACCCTACTACAAGTGGCCATCAACGTCGCGAGGCACTCTACTGCTCTCCTCTACCGCGTATGATCGAGCCCATGAGATTATAACACAGCAGAACTTTGCCACTCACACTGCAGCAGCAAGGAGTACGAAGCGCTGGAAAGATGAGGTAGCGCTTCTTGGAGGTGGTGACGACTGGAGCTGGACTATTGTGGGTCAGAAGGAAGGAACACCATCTGCCACACCCGGATACACCGATGCCGCTGCTCCCATGGCTATCATAGGGGCCAGAAAGAAGAGAAAGCCTGAAAACGGTAAGGAGGCCGAAAGCAATGAGACAACATCGACAGCGGCGAACGTCCTAGGCGGTGGTCTTGTGAGAAAGAAGGCGAAAGTGGATGAAACTGGCTCCAATGTTCCGACCCCAGAGCCGGCGAGTAAGGTTAATACACTTGGGACTGGACTAGTACGGAAGAAGACGAAAGCTTGAGATCGTTGAGTCCTCTTCAGGATCTCTTGGATTTTGCATGATCTGGAGTTTGTTCTGGGTTCTTGGTTATTGATAGGGGCGTCGGGTTTTGCATATCACGCGACAACGATTGGCATGCCGGAAGCTTTTTCTTCAATGATTTTAGTCTTTCAGTTTGCATATATAGTAGCAATGTATTGCTTGACTGTCTCAAATCTTGGTCTTCTAGAGGGGTCAAGTCATGTCATGGAGTGCACTGACCCATCTTGGAGGTCATTTGAGCGGGGGTTCAGTCATGACCGAGATGTGGAAGACCCACCTACAAAACAATATGTTCTTCAACTTCAACCTCACCTTCAAAGGAGTCTCGGATCTTCCCGTTGTACCTGCATTAGCCCTCTCTACCCTTCGGCCACCTCCTTAGCGCAGCCCCCACGTGACGGCCCGCTTTTGGGCTCTGCAACCCCTCCGGAGAAGACAAACACCTCAGAAGAAACCACGGGACGATCGCGAACGGCCGAATCATAGCGCATGGGGCGGTTTTCATACCAAGGCCTCGAGATCGATCATGTCTCCGTGCGCGACGTCATTGCCACGATATGCCTTGTCTGGTTCGTTGTGGTGTGGATAGTGGGCGCGATAGGATTCACCCAACTGTAAACACCGCAAATACGTCACTTGCACCGTGCCGAAGCTGACACAGGTAGATTCCGCTACTTTTGGAGGCGCCCAGAACCAGCGATATGCCTCACGACCTTGAAGGAAGAAGACCTCCCTCAGGTTACTGTTATACGGCCGGTGAAGGGCCTTGAGCCGCGTTTGTACGAGTGCTTAGCTGCCACCTTTCGCCAGACGTATCCGAAGAGCAAGCTTCGAATCTGCTTGTGCGTGTCCGATCGGTCCGATCCCGCCCTACCTATTCTCGAGCGTCTAGTACGTGACTTTCCCGGCTTCAATACAACGATATACATCGAGGAGGATGATCCATTGCTGCGCGCACATAAAGATGCGCTGGGACCCAATCCCAAGATTCGAAATATGAGCCGTGCATACAGGGAAGCAGGAGAAGATGACATAATATGGATTCTGGATTGCAATGTCTGGGTTGGGAAAGGTGTTTGCGGCCGTATGGTGGACCTGCTCTGCGGCTATGGAGGGAGGAAGAAGTACAAATTTGTGCACCAAACGCCTATATCTGTGGACATGGACTCTCAGAGCATATCTTCAGAAGAGAGAAAGGAGCTTTTAGGCGGCGAGCAGGATGCGACGTCCCCAGACACGGGCTCTGAACCACACAGCCGGTCTCGTGGATGGCTCTCAACTCTCATGCAAAGGGGAGGTGCGCGGTTGGACGAGGCTTTCATGTCGAGCTCGCACGCGAAATTCTATAACGCCATCAACACCGTGGCAATAGCTCCATGTGCTTTGGGCAAGAGTACCATGTTCCGACGTTCACAACTCAACTACGTCACCACTGGCGATCCGAACAGAAGCCCCGGCCTTGACTTCTTCTCCGATAACATATGCGAGGACCACTTGATTGGAGACGCCCTATGGAAGAAACCTCAGCCTTTTGAAAAGCCGGGATATACGCCACCTCCAAGTCAACAAGGCGAAAAATGGGGCAAGCACGCTATGTTATTCGGCGACCTTTGTTTCCAGCCGATGTCGCATACCTCCGTCTGGGCTTGCATTGACCGCCGTGTGCGATGGCTGCGCGTGCGTAAATTCACCGTTACGCTAGCCACACTAGTGGAGCCTGGGACCGAATCTATTCTCTGCAGCCTGTACGGAGCATATGCCATCACTACGTTACAATGGTTCCGTTGTTGCGGCATACCTCCGACCTGGAGCGTCTTTGCTGCTGTGTGGCTTTGCAGCATGTCAGTATGGTGCCTCGTGGATTGGATCCAATACATGCTCCTTCACTCCGCAAGGACTGTGGAGCTAGACGCCAATACCCCCGACTTCGTCCTTCCACAACGGTCCGCCTACGGCCGAGCCTACTCCGCTTCCCGGACTCCCCTACTAGGCAAAGCACGTCGTAACCCTAGCTTGCTTGATGGGCGGAGGAGAACTTTTCGTCAGTTCTTCTTTGCGTGGTTTGCTAGAGAACTGAGTGCGCTGCCGATTTGGATTTGGGCATTCTATGGTGGTGTCACCGTACAGTGGCGGGGCAAACGCTTTTGGGTGGGCCTGGATATGAAGGTGCATGAGATTCGGGACAAGCATGAGAAGAACTGAGCTGCTAGGAACCATGTGGATACGAGATTCTGAAGTAATGTGTTTCTTTCTTTGTTTGTATTGCATAGCCAGCGAGGTCATATTGCATGGTATGGCATGAGGCATCTTTGGCGTCTTAGAGGTATCTCTTCTCTAGATCACGGTAATCGGCTAGAACAGCATGTGAGTTAGATGCAGGAGCTAGAAGACGAATGGTATGTGTTTTAAACATTGATATTGCTAACCTCCACTGGTGTGGCTTGTTACTGACTTTTCTAGCCGTAGGAGGGGTTATATGATTTCAACAGTCAGTTGTCAGTGCGGAGAGGGGTCAATGACTTCAACTTCGTCACCGGTACGCACATCAGCCGAATTAGCGCCTGCGAGTCCGGAGAGTGTCGTCTTCTGATTTCGCTACCTGGATCTTCTTTTCTTTCACCACGGAGATCCCTCTCACTCTTGTCCACACCCAGGACGTGTCAGTGAACCGATATTCAAAGCATCCCCACACAATGGCACGCCTGGACAACCAGTGCATGCGTCAATGGCTCCTTGATCTTTGTGCCCGTCATTCCGTCTGCATCACTGACGAACCCGCCAACCGCGTACAGTGGCCGTGGTCGTCGGCCGCGACCGCCCCTTCTCACAGCATCAACCCGTTCGATCCCCCACTCCAGACTTTGCTGTTCTACTTCGCCGTGTGCGCTCCGGTCTTACTCTTCTTGCACTCCGTATACACATCAATGCAGAGATGCAACATCGTCGAGAAACCACTGCGTCGTCCCTCGGCTCATCAAGAGGAAGTCCGGCGCATCCCGTGGAAGAAGAGCATCTATCGTCGCAGCAAAGTGCGTATGCCTGGGCCGGGGTCTCCGTTGCGTACAGAGTTTCGACCGTCGTACCGTCCCGTTGCTTCCAAGGTTGCAACACGTGCAGGTAGCTAGCTAGCTCCATGGGTGTGTCTGGACAACGTAAGAGGGAAAGGATCTCACGGTAGTGAGTCCGCAAGCTTGTGAAGCAGTAATCAGAACAAGGGCAGAGTCGTTACTGACAAATAGCAGGGCGTCCTGAACGGGATCTCCAGACGGACAACCGCATGGAATACGATGATGTGAGATGAATCTGGCGGCCACTTGGGTCCGGTCTCATTTGCCCTGGGAAACGAGCTCTTTTATACAACCACTTCCTCTAGGCGTCTTCTCAGAAAGGGTCGTTCTGTCAGACGGTTATTTGCGGCTCTTTGGTGTATCAATCGCACATGGCTACTGGCTTCATAGATGCCTTGTTTATATAAACCGCAGTCAGTTGCTCGGTTAACCTAGACGGGTTCCTAGTGATGTTGGTCTATCTATTCGTTCACTCTCTGTTCTACGGGAAGGATCTTTCTGAATGGCACTCCTTTTATTGATAGTGCCGGCGTGGGGTGCTGTAAATCAAATACATATACGTAACCTTTCCAAATCACTCTCACAGCGCTCATGTCTTGTTTCGCAGCACGAAGTATCACAGTATCTACAACAAGACTTCACCTGCACTCGTGGAGGTCCAAAGCTAGCTCGAACAGGAAATGGATGGTCCGTGCATCCGGCAGCTCTTTCCATCTCTGACACCTTATGACTGTTTGCTTGTACCTTCCACTTTGACTTGCTTCAAATAACTGTATGCGCAACGTTGAATATGTTATATCTTCTCCGCATATGAAAGGAGAGATAATTCGAACATTTAGTGCTCCTCCTGGACACGACTATTTCAATACCTTTGATGCTCGCAACGTAGTCTCGAAACAAACACAAACACGCAGCCGCATACCATGGGCGGACAAGCCTTTGCAAAGGCCGGCCCAGACGGATCTGCCTTGAATGTGCCGCGAATGCCGACATCTACCTATCAGGCCTTGTCCTCAGAGATCCAGCGGAAACTCCAGACCATGTTTCGAAATGTCGCTTTACCTCGAGAAGCACCTGGGAAAGCAGACCACGGCGACATTGACGTGTTGGTCGAAGGGGCAATGACTCAATGGAATCCGGATACGCTCAAAGAGTTGCTTGGGGCCGAGTACTTTTACGACAACGGCGGCACCAAGTCCTACGCTGTCCCATATGCCGATTCGCCTGACGAATATTTCCAAGTTGATGTGGAGATATGTCCAGGCGAGGGAACTCCTGATAGTACTGATCTCTTCAAGTGGACGCTCTTCCTCAAGTCCGATTCGGACCTATTGCAGATAATCGGCATTTGCCACAGGTCCCTTGGGATCAAATGCAACGACAGGGGCCTTCATCTTCGAGTACCAGAAATCGAGTCGTATAACAAGAAGAAATCCCTCCTGTTCCTTACCAGAGACCCAGACGAGGCAATGAAGTTCTATGGACTCGACACAGCAAAGTACTGGGAGGGGTTTCGCGACGAGGAAGAGCTGTTTGAGTGGGTTGCGAATGGCAGGTTCTTCCACCCCTCCATATTCGATACTCGACAGGAGAAGGCGAACGATCGAGCTCGCCAGAGGAAGCGCCCGATGTACAGCAGGTTCGTAGAGAACTTTATGCCACGTCGTATCGAAGCCGGCTCAGAGAACGAGCCCTGGACTCCCGAACAGGTTCGCAAAGAAGCTCTGGACACGTTCGGCAAGCACAGAGAATACGAGGAGATGTTGGCTGAGCACAGAACTCGAGAACGGGACATTGCTATCTGGGAGCGTGTGAAGGAGGCTCTTCCGGTTCAGGGGAAGCAATTGACTACGGCACTAAGATCATTGCGCCGCTGGGTTGACTTCAAGGATGGTCACCCTTTTATTACGTCTGAAGCCATGATTACGGAACAACCTCTTTGGGGAGCTGCCGTCGTCGATGAGGAACTTGTACTGAGTTGGGTGAGGGAAAATTGGGAGCAAGTGAAGAAGCTGGAGAGAGCACGCGTGGTAAGTCTGGAGCAGGGGTGCTTGAGATATGGAAAGACGATAGAGTACACGGCTATGTATAGGTACTATGCCTTTTCTTGAACCCCATCCCACCTTTGCGCACTATTTTTCTCTTCAATTCAAACTGACAATTTGCTTTAGAGTAGAGTGAGGCGGGAGAATAAAGACAAGGCCCACATCGAAGTCGAGACGAGGAGAGTTGACACAGACGCTGAGAGGACGAAAGGAGCATGCACGCACGCATCAGCAACGGGTGATATCGAAATGCACACCAACGGTGTCACAACAGGTGGACTCGGAACGAACGCAGTTCACGCCAATGGAGTTGCAAGTCATGAAGTCCCTGGAACTGGGAGTGAGGCGAACGGAGTGCACATCAACGATGCCCATACAAATGGAACCAGTACGAAGGAAGACAAGGTCAATGCAGATGAGACTGCCAAAGCCTGCGCCGAACTCGAACATATCAGGCAGAAGGAGAGCAACGCTCGAAACACCTCGACTCAAAGATTCCAGTGTTGCATGCATTGATCATGTTGCCGAAGGAGTATTTGAAAACACGACAAGCCGACAACGGGTAAGATTCCTCGTATCCCTATGTTTTGCAGCAACTAACATTGCCCACAGGCGTACTGTTTAAGCATATTTCCACCGATGATGTAATTCCAACTAAGCCGACGATTTCCTAGCACCGCCGATGCATCCGGAGAACGTTGTAATCGGAAGGGCAGAAATTTTCAATTTTGAAGGGGTAATCAAGTAGTTTCGAACGGGTAATGAAGTAGTTTTGAAGGGGTAATAGAATGCTCGCGTGGTTCTGATTCGCCGAGTGCTATAGTAGTTGCCGGACTGGCGGCGGGAGGGAGGCGCGGCCGAGTGACGGCGTCCCAAGACCGAGATTTCATGATAATAAATATTCTCCTCCTCGCCTCCGTCCATTGCTCATACTACTAATCTGAACTGGTCCTGATCACCACTTCAAACTCCTTCGTTTACCTTGAAATTCTTTGTGTGAACAAGACCCAGGTACTAGAGTCCCTAGGCTTGGCGCAGACGCTTATCAACGGTCCCTGGGAGATACTTTCAACTTTCAAAAGAACAGTCTCCTCCTCACAAAAACACCACAATCGCTATACGTCGGCAGACGCCCACTGATAACGGCTTAACGCCTGAGAGTTGGGGAACCTCTATAATCGTAACGGTACATGCCTGAGACACTCCGAGACGACGTCGACATGCACAACTCGTTTCCAGAAGTGCAGCTGCCGGAGGGGCGGGTGCTTATCATAATAACAGGTAATAACGAGATTCTGCGACTTCAAACTTGTAGCTTACCGTTGGACTACTAGGTGGTACGATATGCATGAGAAAATCAGAAAATGGTCTGGTACCGGTATGTCAAAAACCAGTACGAAATGAGCTCTGTTATGTGAATCTAACATCTCCCCGCACAGGCAAGAGGATTCCTAAAAGCTGGACTGGCACCACGGCCGTGCTTCAACGACGGGTCGTATCCGGAACCACTGGATCTGGTGATTGATGACGCGGGCACACGGAAAGCGGTGCAGAGTCTTCGATGCCCCATCAGCGCCTACGAGAGAAGAGTCCGTTATTGCGTGTACGAGTTCGAGACGCTGCTGGACAGCAGCTCCATAGACGCCGCCGGATGGGACCAAATTGCCAAGTGCATCTACCGGAACTACCAGCTTTTCGACGGATTCGTGGTTCTCCATGGCACCGACTCACTGGCCTACACGTGCTCGGCCCTGAGCTTCATGCTTCACAACCTAGGCAAGCCGGTGATTCTGACGGGGTCGCAGACGCCCATGATGGAGTTGCAGAACGACGCTCAAGACAACTTGTTGAGTTCGCTCATCATAGCGGGACACTTCATGATTCCCGAAGTGTGTCTATTCTTCAACTACAAGCTCTTCCGCGGGAATCGGAGCACAAAGGTCTCGGCCGACGACTTCGAAGCATTCGCCAGCCCAAACATGCCACCCTTGGCAACGGTCACTTCGACGCGGACCAAGGTGCAGTGGGATCTCGTCTACCGACCCACCGTCGTGGAGCCCTTCAGCATCCAGACGAAGCTGGACACGGCGCACGTGGCCTGTCTCCGGATCTTCCCCGGCATAAAGCCCGAAATGCTCGATGCAGTGCTACGCTTGGAAGGCCTCAAAGGACTGGTGTTGGAGACGTTTGGAGCCGGGAACACGCCGGGCGGACCGGATAGTGCCATGACGCGGATCCTCGCCGACGCCGTCAAGAGAGGCATCGTCATTGTCAATGTCACGCAATGCCTGAGCGGCAGCGTGAGTCCACTGTACGCTCCAGCCACGGTGCTGGGGAGAGCGGGCGTGGTCTTCGGTCAAGATCTCACGACCGAGGCGGCTCTCACCAAGTTGGCGTACCTGCTGGCGCTCCCGGATGCGACGCCCGAAGAAGTTGCAGCACGGATGTCGGTCTCGATTCGCGGCGAGCTGACGGAGAAGACGAGGACGCATTTTGAGCACCCGAAGAGCGGTACCTTGACGCCGGAACTGTCGAGCTTGACGGCACTGGGGTATGCCATTCAGAGCGGCAACCTACAGGAAACGCGAGACATCATACGGGGCGAGCCTCGATGGCTGCTCAACGATGCCGACTACAACCTAAACACACCGGTGGTAAGTGGCTTTCCCGTTCAACGTTCCGACTCGGGGTACTCGACTCCGACGGAGTGGGCACGACCCTAGGATCCTGTGAAGACAGACATGGTCCCCTGAGCTGGCCGGTATCGGAAGAGTCGCAGAGAGAGAGAGAGAGAGTCGGTCGAAGGGGGTGCAGCTGCATCATCTATCTTATCTCTCGACAAAGACGAAGATGCCATGAGCGGCAGTCAACCAGAGTCGTACGATGCATGGCGGTAGCACCATGCTGGCTCTTATCGCTCTGCTGACTCCGGATTAACCCATGGACCGAAGCGAAGGATAAGGAGCGAAGAACAAATGATGCAATATGGCGTATGCGAGGGAGGAAAATGCTGACATGATTGGAACCACTGTGTAGCACCTCGCGGCGAGCGGACCGAACATTGAAATCCTGCGCGACTTTGTGGCCCAGGGGGCATCGGTGCATCTGCGCAACCGCAGCGGGCACACGCCGCTGTACCTGGCGGCGGCGGCGGGGCGGAGGGAGCACGTCGAGGTGCTCATGGAGGCTGGGGCGCATCTGCACTCGGATGAGATGGCGTCGGCGAGGAAGCGTGCGGCGGAGGGGAATGGGGATGGGGAAAGGGAGCTGTGGGCGCTGGTCACAGGACAGACGGACGGAATCGAAAAGGTGGTGAGGAATTGACGGCACTGGATAGGACAACGAGCACGTTTCTGACGGGACGAGTTAATGAGAATAGGAGGCTTGGTTGTCTTGTGTGCGTGTGGGTGTGGTTATGTCGCCATATCGGGGCGTTTATACTATAGTATGCATATGGGGTCCTCTGACTTGTTCAGAGCGAAGTCATCCAGCGCACCAAGGAGCAATCTGGGGATGTCTGGGTTTGGTGATGGTGTTATTATTGCTGCATTACTGCTGCCGAGAAGCTGCAGGCGGACGTGTAGTTGTTATGCCGACCTGGCTCGCTGAGGGGAAGAGGAGAGAGAAGAGGGCCGGGGGACATAGAGAGGGGATAGGAACCCAGGTGGCGGCTTCTGCCGAATCGCGATCTGATAGTGCGGCAGTACTCAACAGCGGCAAGCCAAGGTGGAAGCCGATCAATGAGAGGACTGTGGTAAAGAACGCATACTTATTAGTGTGGTTGACTCCATACCTTTTATAGAGCTGAGGTTCATTTTTTCGGGGCTAGTCCATTTACGCTTTTTCCTTCACCTTCTTGGCGGGCTGTCTGTGCAGTTCCCTGTTTGGGTGCCAGACAGCCAGCAGCAGCCACACAGCACTCTGGTTGACATTCCGTTCCCCAAATTCCGTCACCACCCCTCCCTTCTTCTTCCTCTTCCCATCCTTCTCGTCTCTCTCACGTTACTCTCCGCTGCGCGTCCCGACTCACTGGAAGGAGATGTCGTTGCAATCACCAACTCTTGGCCCCGCAGAGGAGCCGCCCCGCCCCGCCGCGGGGCCCTTGCCGACCGAGTTTGCTGGCAGTCTCTGGCATTGCTCATGCTCACCGCGTGCCTCGTCCCATTGCGTCCCATTGCATCCCTATTCGATTGCCATTACCTAATACTTCCCCAGCACTCGCAATGACGACGAGAGAAGCAGGCTCCAGTCGCCAGTAGTTGAACAGGGCCGGCCTCTGAATTTTCTGCTTCTCCTGCTTCTCCGGCCCGCTTTGCGACGGGCGAGCAATGTTGGATGAAGCCTTTTTAAAGGTGCACCCCCGGTGAAGCTGCTGCGACGCACTGTGTGTATGAATGCCTGCTATCTATTCCTATCTGCAAGCACGCACCCCAACGCAACACCACCACCCCAGAAATCTATCAGTGAGCAATCCAATCCACCGTCCCTACTAGACAACCCGCCGATACTTAGTCGAACGACCGCCCGAGATCCCATGACTGCTGGTTCCTGCTAGACTAGTAGCACTCCCCTTCGGCCCTGCAATCACGAGTCGTCCCCCATCTTCCCCAACCTTTCCTTTGTGCCTGCCTATAGCCTCTACCTAGGTACCGGTTCCCATCCTCCAGGGCTCCTCCGCACCGCCGTCACGTGTCCCCGCGCTTCGAAGGCCATCTATTATTCTGTTAAGGGCATCCTTGCATGCCCCGATTCCGGCAACCACGACCTGCGAGACCCTGAGAGATCACCACCGTCCATCTACACCATCTCCTTGCGACTGCAAACCTCTCACACCACAGCTCCTCTCCTCTCCTCTCCCGCCGCCTACCTATCCTCATCGCTGCTCTTATTCCTCTCTGCTGCCGCCGACCTGCCGACCTACCATCCAGCACCCGTCTGCGCACCGCTCACCGTTGTTTGCTGCCGTCCTTCTGCCGTCCTTCCCTCTTGGCCGTGGATGCGGCATCGTCCTTGACCACCACAGAACCCTAATCTCTTGACCTCATCTCCTTCCTTTTACTCTGTCACTCTTCCAAACACCTTTTCCTTCCTATTATGCCGGGGACCGTTCCACGGATGCAACCAAAAACCGTCGTCACCATCAACAGCAATGGCCGCCAGTCGGCGAGCTTCATCCGCGTCGCCGCCGCCCTGGGTTGGCAGGTGCGCGCCCAGATGAAGGACCTCAATGGTATTGTCGCAAGAGAGATCTCTGAGCTCCCCAACGTCACCGTCTTCATCGGCCCTCTCGAGGACAAGAAGTTCCTCGACACGCTGTTCAAGAGTGCCCACGTTGCCTTCATCAACACCACCCATTGGGGTGACGAGGTTGCCGTCGGTCGAGCCCTGGCCGACGTCGCGAAGAAGGCCGGCATCCAGCACTACATTTACTCGAGCATGCCAGATCATTCCGTCTTCGGGAAAGGATGGAAAGCACTTCCCCTCTGGGCTCCCAAATTCACCATTGAGCAGTACATCCGCCAGATTGGTCTACCGGCCACCTTTGTCTACTGCGGCATCTACCACAACAACTTCACCAGTCTGGACTTCCCCCTCTTCCGCATGGAACTGCTTCCGGATGGCAGTTTCCGCTGGCAGGCACCCTTCCGCCCGGACCAGAAACTGCCTTGGTTGGACTCGGAGCACGATATTGGCCCGGCCGTGTTCCAGTTGTTCAAGGAGGGACCGCGGAAGTGGAATGGAAAACGGTAAGCACTCTCCAACAGTTGCCCTTCCTTCTTTTCCTTCCTTTTCTTTTACGTCTTGCATTCCTCTTCCTCCACCTTGGCGGTTCGACGTTCCACTTGCTAGGGTCCAATGACCAATGCCCCTACACCGCTTCTGTGCAAGCGCCCAGGTCTCGAGGTCTGGATCTCCCGCTGCACTCTATCCGCGGAGCACGTGGACGCCTCTCAACCTAAGGGCCCATATTACGACTCCACAACATGATGGTTGCGACATACCGGTACTGACTTGTGATCTCTCTCTCCCCTAGCATCCCCCTAGCCTTCTCCCTCCTCACCCCAACCGAAGTCTGTGCCGCCTTCAGCCGCGGCCTCAAGCGCCCCGTATCCTACCGCCAGGGCCCCATCGTCATCAACGTTCCCACTCCCACCGGCTACCGGGAACACCTCGCCGCCCTCGAGGAGACGCTCGCGCGCCAAGGAGCAGAGTACTTTGGCCCAGACCTGCAGCCCCTGTGCCCCGAAGCCGCCATCCAGCTGTGGGAGGGCTGGAGGGATATCCAGGAGTATGCTCAAGAGGTGTTTCCTGTCGAGGAGGCGGCGAATGGGCTGACGTGGATGGAGGAGGTAGATACGCCTGCGCATGAGGTCGAGTACAATTTCCAGATCAAGTGCTAACGTATCTTTCTTTCTTGGCGGGGAACAGGGCGAACTCTGCGGTTTCTTCAATGGGATCATGGGGTTGGCCGAGTTGTTGGATCAGGCGAGGCTTTGATCGATCCGGCGACGGCGACGGTGACAGCGACGATTCGGCTCCGTGTTCTGTTCATTCCCGAGTGCGGCGGTAACGGATGCAGTGTCGCCCTGCCAAAACCTCGGGACGTTCATCGGGAATCGGAATTCAGACGGGCTTTGCAGACGAGGAATGCTGATGATCGAACACGTTGAAGAAGAACAGCCTCTCCTCCCCATCCCAGGACAACGGCCGGGCTTCTGTACTTTTGAGACGTTGCCGGTTGCCGCCCGGCTCATCATCTCTACTCTCAACTCACTCTTCTCTTCCCTTGTTTCTTCCCTTTTTCTAGTTTCGACTTCTCTTTTTCCTTCCTTTCCACGCTTAAGCACGGTGTTTCCAGGCGGTTTCTTGTGCATTGATTGGAACGGATCGATCGGGGTGGAACTCTTTTTTTCCGAAATGCAAATGAATGCATGCATGGCATGGGGGCGAAACCGAGAAAAAGTTTTGGTGTCTTTTTTAGTACCTAGTTAGCTTTTCCTTTCTGTTCACTTTTTTTTCTTGACTGGGTTTTTCTCAAGTATATACCTTTGGTGGATGGGTTATTTCTGTCCTCCGGGCATGGCTGCCACCAACTTTTTGTGAGCGGTAGAGAAGGGCGGATTGGTCGGGTGGCTGGGCAGTGGTTCGGTGGTTCTGTTAAGGGGCTTACGTGTGTACCCGTGAAAGTAACGAACAACAAGGAGAAGAGGCTCTATATAAAAACAATTGAAATACCGGTATACCATTTGGAGCACCATCGAGATGCAAGGACTGACTAAGGTGGTCCACACCACGCCGTATATCACAACAGAAGCAACACTAACATCAAGGGCACAAATCCAAAAGCACCCCTCATGCGGATGCATATTCCCGCAACTGCAAGTGGAGAGGAGATAAGACCAAAGGGAGTAGCCCCAAAAAGGATTGAAATAACCCAACAAACTCCACCCTGGACCCCGACCCCCAACCGAGAGCCATGCCATGCCAGAAGAAACCCCTTTCCCCCTATTCCCATCCACCAGATTCTTATGAGAGAAACCCTTCACCCCACCCCAGCGCCAGAGTGGACACCACACCAAGGAAGGACAGACGCTCTCGTCCATGCACATGACAACGTCTATGCAGCAAGACAACAACACCACCACCAACACCACCATGATGCCCTAACACTTGACCTCCCCTTTGCACATCCCTACCTAGCCTCTGTCTGAACTCCTTCCTACACCCTTCCACTCTAAAAGATAACCTGCGATGCGACAACCCAATACAAACAAAACATCTACCCTCCACTATAGCGGGCGGAGCGAACCACCAGCAGGACGCGCCCTCACGCTCGACGAGCCCTCCTCGTCACGAGGTGCAGGTCTCCAGACGCGGATGCACTGGTCATCCCCCGCCGACGCAAACACCTTGGGGTCCGTCGGACTCCACGCGACGGCATTGACGCAGCCCGACGGGTGAGCTTCGAGGCGCTCCACAAAGCGGCCGTTGGACCGCCAGAGGTAAATGTACCCATCTGCGCAAGGGGACGGGTTAGTACTTGCTGGGCTAAAGAGGGAAAAGAGTATACCTTCACTGCCGCTGACAACAAACGTCCCTCTGTCGCCGCCAAAGTCCGCTCGACAGACATTCCCTTCCTGCTTGTGGCCATCGTAGAGCATCATTGGCTCGCCATTATCGACATTTCGAAGCTCGATCCGCCCAGGGTAACTGCCGAGAAGCATGAGCTTCGGATCGTGGCCCACGGCGACGTAGGCGAATTCGCCGTCATCCTCGGCCGGTATTTCGTATACCTTCTCGGTGGTTTCGAAGTCGTACACGTGTACTCGCCGAGCGGTGACGGCGATGAGCCGCTTGCCGTCACGCGTTATTGTGAGGTCGTTGACACGCATCTCCTCACTCCACTGATGCATCTTGCTTTCCTGCAGGTCCCACACCGCAATCGGCTTTTGCTTATCGTGGGAACCAATGACGACGTATCGATTGTCGGGTGTGAATGCGGCTGCTGTGCATGGATATGTGAATTCAAAGGTTTTGAGGCAGTTGCCCGTCTTAACGATGATCAGAAGAAAGCATCAAGGATAATGAATGACATACCTTCACATCCCACAGCTTTGCTGAATTATCGTCCTCTTTGGAGCATGTTATGAGTTTCTTACTATCGTAACTCCAAGCCACGAAGGTTATTCCGCCTTCGTGCTCCTTCAGGTGAAAGAGGGGTTTGTAGTTCGCGGTGGAGTATATCACCACGGACTGGTCTTTGCTGCCCGACGCGAGCATGGTGCCGTCGGGAGAATATTGCAGATGCCAGACTTCATCCTTATGATCCCGGAGCTCCAATACTGGTACGGTTGGAACGTCCTCGCGGTAGCAGATATGCCGCGCGTACAACGTGGGTGACGCAGCCGTGTTGTGATATAAACAATTGTCTAACCATTGACTCTTGAGATCGTCGAGCAGGTGGGCTAACCGATGCTCGGGGATCATGATGCTGGGCGATATTGATTCTATGCAGAGTGAGTACTACTTTGACGACTTCTGGCAATATAAGATGCTTACCAGTGAGCTCTGATAGCAGCTTCGAACGCGATGTGCCTTGGGCACCATCCCACCGTGCCGACGTCCTCAGGTCTTCGGGAGATCTACACATCATGAAACTGCAAGCTTTCAGTGAAATTTCCTCCCAAAGGGCCGTGCTGGTACAGACCTGGACAGCTGGCTAAGCCTCTTCACAGCATCTGGGACGAGCGGGGTCAACTCTTGCCGCAGCACTTTCAGAGCACTGCTGGTATCCTGCGACTCCAACAGTTCCAGATACTTTTGTTCCCTCATTTTGAAGAGCATCTCTTCCCTGTCAGCCCCCTCGGCTAGGGGCAAGCCACGCGAAGGCTGCGAGCCGAAATACCTCGAACGAGGCGTCTTTCCCTTCGTCTTGTGGTTGACGGTCAGCTCAACACCACCACCGTCGTCCGACTCCTTTGAGCCAAATAATAAATGCTCTGCTGCTACCCAGTCGCCCTCCAGCACGGCGTTCCGAAACGCGGCTACCGTGGGGCCCTCTAACTGATAGCCACTCTCCGAACTTAGCGCTTGGGCTGCCCTCTGGTACCCCAGATCCCCTAAACCTTGTATCAATATGCGTGTCACCTCTTCCCGGTCGTGTCCAAAAAATGTAGCTGGGAGGGTTGAGTGATTAGCTGCCGAGGTTCCATTTGTATAGGAGCCGTTGCTCTGGGAACTTGGGAGGGAGTCTCCATTGGAGACCTTACCCATTGATTCCCTGAGACCCGGAGAGCGGGTAGAGCCATTGGTGTAGTTGAACGAGGGTGATGCTGATTTCTTCGATGCTTCTCCACTGCGCATTGTCTCGTGTGCTATGCGCCTTCGCTTCGAAGGGCGGCGGGAGGACCGGCCTCTCGTATGCTCAGATTCGGGGTCTCCTGGACTGTCGCTGTCCTCGGAGGAGGTATACGAGCGCTTCGCTGTATTATCCACTATTGTATCTGCTGTAGCGGCGTCGGTAGGCTCCAAAAAGGGTGTCTGAGTAGTACGTTGGCTGGTATCGAGGGCAGAGGATTCTGGGGACGAAGAAGCTTGGGAGGTCGGGATGGCTGGGTCGGCGGAGGCGGTGGGGGACGGGCGGTGTGGGGGGTTTTCGTCGGCCAGGACGAACGTTTGAATGAGGTACCCGCAGGATAGCGGGTAGCTGTCGTGGAGGCAAGTATGCCTTTGGATGGGTGGATCGAATGTTGGGTTGGGTTACGATGAATACATAGGAGGGCTCGAAGAAGGTGAGGAAGCTGGTTGTACTCCGTAGGCCTCGCCGTGACCTATATGGCGGTTGCAAGTAGCGGAGCAAGAAAGAAATGCAGAGTGCCAGCAAGAGGGTTCTTCGTCACGGATGGCGGTTGGCGATGTCACACCCTCGGGAATGCTAGAAGCGCGGGCGGAGCAATCGGCTGACCGGAGGCGTAAAGCAAGAGCTGGCGAGTAGGGGTGACCTGTGACTGGCAGTCGAAGGGTAAGGAGAGTGTTTGGTGAGGAAGTTGGGAGAATGAGCAGTGGAAGTGGTTGAGAGATGTCGGAGCAAGGTGGTGGGAGCTCTGGCCGGGGGGGGCAGCAGGTGGAGGGTTGGAGGGCACCGTACTCCGTAAGTAGACTAGCAGAAGAAGGTAAGGCGCAACCGCTGGCCGAGGGCGTCGACCCTGTACCGAGCACGTCACTTGAGCAGGCCGGAAGCAACAAGACGTGCAGCCGTCTAGGAGAGAGGTTGCGAGAGAGATACGAAGGTAGAGGGTAAGCAGGATCAGATGTATCTTCCAGGAGGTACAGTACATATGTCTATACAGAGTACAACTCGGCGGTGTCCGATGTAAGTATCATGGCGGCCTTATTGTGTACATTTGGGCATGGGGGGTGACCCTGGTCAAGTCGTCACGGGGCCAGCTATCTACTCATCGCCGCATGATAACGTCTTTCATCACCTCCCAGTTCGACGTTCACCTCAACCGTGACCAATCTTGGTGGTTGTGAATACATCGTCAATTCCGAATATGCCTCTACACAGTTTGTTTTTCGCCATTAGGTGAATTGGGAACCCAGAATATAGGGCCGAGAGGAGGTTAACTGGCACACGTCATGTTCGACACGTCTGCACGCTGTCATCGATTTCCATGCGCCAACCACGAGTTGGGGCATATGTCGATATATCTCCTGGCTGAATTTAGAATACTATACTATACCCCTTGCCAACGGAGAGGGTATTCGGTCTCATTCCAAATTCAGAGTACGGAACGGGCCGAGGGAAAGGGTCACTGTGACCCTCCAGGCCTGTACTCCGTATCTATCGATCGTGACTGCATTCCGATAACCTCCTCCTCCTAAACCACCTTCATTGTCGAATTCACCCCTACCGCCTCATGTTCCCTATCCGAATTAGCCCTTCGTATTTCCCCCAGCCCAACCTTTCAACAGCACACTCACCTAAACCAATTCAAAAACTGAAACATGCTCGCTTTCGGCGTCCTCTCCAAGCTCGTATAATTCACATACTGCAACCCAAATCGCGTCCCGAGTCCCTCTCCCCACTCGAAGTTGTCGAAAATCGCCCAACCCCATGCCCCCTCCACATTCACCCCATCCTCGTATATGCTCAGCAGAATCTCATCCAGGTAGCTCTGGAAGTAGTCCGCCCTTCGCAGGTCCCAGAGGATTTGATTGGTAGAGGACAGGCGGGACTCGAAGGGTTCGGCGGTGCCAAACTCGGTTACGACGATGGACGGGACCGATGGGAAGAGAGTGGTGGTGATGTGTTTGAGGAATTTGCGGAGCCCCGAGGGGGCGCTGTAGAGCCACGACATGGAAGGGTCGGCCGCTGGACCGATCGGGAAGCCGTTGGGTGCGGTGGAGGAGCTGCGTGCGCATTCGGGGAAGCTGGGGTGGGAGCGGTGAGAGGTGCAAGCTTCAAGATCGCCGGAAATGGCATGAGCTGTGAAAGAGGAGTATCTGGTGATGGTTAGACTGCTTTTTTGTGAAGGAATCCAAGGAGTGAGCACTGACGGATCGATAGCATAAAAGTCGCAAGACCCCTTGATCAACTGCTTCTCCTCGTCCGTCAGTGTCGGCAAAAGATCTCCAAGAGTGTCTTTTAAGCTCTTCGGGTAGTCTCCATCGGTCCATGGACCTCCAAACCAGCCAATCTGTTCAATGTCAGCTCAACAATACTTACTAGTGATTTAGGGACCGCAAACGCTGAAGTCGAAATTCCTTTGCCTGGCGATCTCATCCTCCGGCCTTGTACTATCCGCCTCGAAATAATTCCCCGAGTTCTTGAAGGTAATTCGGCCCCTTCCCTTGAATTCATCATGATACCACTTCGCCACCTTAGCATGGGCGAGCAGTGTATAATGCCCACATAACCACCTGCTTCTCTCGCCTTTCCCCACTCCATTGAAGGCGGGATATTATTCACCAGCTGGGTAATTGCTGTACTGCCAATTGCAATACTGCGGCTCATTGATGGTGAACCACTCATCCACATACTCATCGTATCTGCTGATGACGAACTTAGCATAGTTGAAGAAGTCGTCAACAATACGAGGGGACGTCCAGGCCCCGTACTCCGTGAACAAGGCCAGCGGCGTGTCCCAATGGAAAAGAGTGACGGAAGGACGCACTCCAGCAGCGTGCATCGACGAGATCACGGAATCGTAGTGTGCAACGCCCTCGGCATTAACTGGGCCGTGTCCAAAGGGGAATATGCGTGGCCATGATATACTCGGGCTGAATCTCGGGATTCCCAAACTCTTCAGTCGTTCAATGTCTTGCTTATACAGCCAGTAATGGCTGCCCACTACATCTCCCGTAGTGTTGTCTCGTACGAAATTGGGCACGCGGTGCGACAGCAGGTCCCATATGCTGGGCCCTTTGCCTTCGGCTCTTGCTGCTCCTTCAATCTGGTATGCAGAGCTGGCCAGACCCCATTTAAAGCCAGGCGGAAGCTTCTTGCCCTTCAGTTCTGGATAGCGGGAGGATACGAGCGGGTGGAAGTGGTCGGCATCGGGTTGTGGGTAGATGCTGGGCTCGGGGGTTGGTTCCACGGTTGTAGTGACGGCCCCAGTCGCTACCGGCCCAACGAGGTTCCACAGCTCGTTGAGCGCATCATTTGAGAAGTCTGTCCGCATCGTGGATGCAGTCGGCTGTGCTGAGACATTGAAAGTCGCAGTGCTATAGCCAGACGGAGTGGGGAAACCATGTGTAGATGCATTGTTCCATTGAGATAGTACTGGAGGTGCAATGGAAAGAAGAACAGCGAAGGAAAGATAGAACTTAGCCATCTTTGTGTATCAGAAGGACTGATATGAGACAACTTGGGTACTCGAGAAAGGAGGCAGAATACTTATACCACTTCAAAAGGAGCAGAATCTCGGAAACTCTAGCTCGCCTCGCAGCACAATCATGTCATTCTCCTCTTCTACCCGGCCTTCCTAGGCCCTGACATGCGTCCTGCGAGGGCTACCTTCCCCAGAAGCATGACGGATCTCTGGGAAGATGCACCTTCCAAAGTACTCCGGGGTTCTTGTTGGACAACTTCCGAAGCTAAGGCGATCCCCATGTTGTACTGGGCAAAATGTGAAAGAAGAGTCAAGGTGAACGAAAGTAAACAATCCGGTGCAGTCGCGGCTGTGAGTGTACATCCACAGCTTGGCGGAGTGCGAAGCTCCAGTCTCCGTGCCCAAAGGGGAAAGACGGGAACAACCAGGGTGAGTGGTGGGATGGAGCTGTGGAAAACCGTTGCGCTGAATGCAGCCGTCTTCGGGAAGTTCTCCACAGTCAGCATCATAACTGAAGCTGTGGTTAGACTGGACCATGGCCTCGAGGTTGTCATTATTGAACTTAAAGTAACGTGGGCGAGACGTAGGAGAAGCCATGCACCTACTTTCACTACTGCAGCCAAAGGCCAAGAATATAAACCCGATTTTAGAAAGAAGATCTATACATATACATACCCCTCTAAAAACAAGACCGAAGCCAAATAGAACTGGTGGCTTGGACATTGCGTACTAGGCAATCTTCAGGGACCTTTCCACCAGTTGACGAACCGCAGATCCCGTATCCAATGATCAAAATGTGGCATTGTCGAATCCAGAATTGTACTCCAGCAAGCGCGTGGCCAGATTAAGCTTTCTTCTGCTTCTTCTTGGAGGCCGGAGAGTCTTCCGCTGCTCTCTTCTTGCTCTTTCCTACGAGCTCTGCAATATCAACCTCCTCGTCATCACTTTCATCATCCAGATCCTCCACCTCGAGCTCCGAGAGATCGTCATCGTCGCCTTCGTCCTCGTGGGCGCGGACTGTAGATGCATTGTTAATTTCGAAGAATCGCAATAAAATCACGTATGGGAGACTTACTATAATACTTGACCGCACTGGGCCACATATCCTCCGCAATGATGGTCGCCAACTGATCCCCCACAGGAAACACCTCCGTCTCCTGCGAATCCACTCCATCATCCTCCTCATCCTCCTCCTCCTCTTCCACCTTCTCCCCCTTCTTCTTCTTCTCCAGGGCTTCCGCCTCCTTCTGATTCGCCTGCTCCGACTCCTCGGCGCTCACCCACTTATAACTCGACACGAACCCGAACCACGCAAAGAAACTCGGCTGCGGCTCCTCACTCTGCTCAATCTTCTGCGCCAGCTCCTTGTACTCGGGCAACTGCGTCGCCTTCTTCGCGTCCCCGCCCGCCTTGGCCTGTTTTGCCTGCCACAGCTTGTACGCTGCATCCGTCAACCCGCCGGACAAATCATTACCCTCCTTCCACGCGATCTTGACGGGCTCCGACACCAGCCCCTGCCACCCATCCAGGCTCTTGCGGAACCAGAATTTCTTCTCCAGCACTCTATCCTCAAAGTACTCGTTCTCGCCGAAGCCGAACTTGATGCTGAAGCTGCGCGGCGAGCCCTTGGGGTCGTCGATTTCGAAGCGCGACACTTCGAGCGTCTCGAGGCTCTCGGCGAAGACCTTGGAGTCCGAGGGAAGGATGTACTGCTCCACCTCCGGCGGCGACTGCTCGAATACAAGAGCCCAGAAGTGCGGGATTTTGGCGATGAGGTCGGCGCGCTTCTTGTAGAGGGGCGCGTGGATCTCGTCGGATTTGCGGACTGTAAAGGTTAGAGGCGTTGCGCGGAGGAGAAAGGCGACGCTGCGCGGGATCTATAGAGACGTACTGAGTTGGATCTCGGCATCTTCGAATTCGGCTTCTAGGACGCTGAGTTCTTCGAAGCGCGCGATGCGCTCTTCTGGAGTTTGCTCGGCCATGGTTATAGCTAGGTGTAGCTTGAGCTTGGAGGTCCCGAAGCTGTGAATCAAGTTAGTCAATGCGTACGTAGCAGAGCGCAATTGGTATTAATGCCGGTGATTTTCGTGTCGGTATCCGTGCCTCAATTTATAGGGAAAGTGTACCTACCACAATTACTCCTCTGTGATGAAGGATGAGAAAAGACACCCTCGCCCTCCCAGTCCAACTTTTACTTTTATCCGGGTGCTCTGCAGCTCCAAAATTTTGAGCACGGACCGTCTCAAAGTGGGTCCACCGTCCAGCCGTTGCAGATCTCCTTGGCGTGTGAATGTGAACATTGAAGTGAGAGTGGAAATCGGTGGGTCACGTACTCTGTAGACTCCATTGTTTAGAAGTTGGGGATTTACGCGGAACTATCCGTTTGTAGCAGGCGCAAATTCCAGGTATACCCTCATCCCAAGTAACACGAGGTGGAACCATCGAATATCCAATTGTATCCCGAACATATTGAACACAACGCCATGCCCTCTTTGATATGCTCGGCGCAGCAATGTACCCCACGGTACACGTATCATACATTTCTCCCCTACAGTTACACTCACCCTCTGTATGCATGCATCTCTTGCCCAAACCCACCAATCCATAAATCCCAAGTTCTTGCCAACATATCTCCCCATCATCTACCTCCTCCCCCTCCCCCTCCCCTTGGCCCCCTTCTTCCCACCAGCCGCCGCCGCCGCAGCAGCAGCAGCCGCCCCCTTCTTCTTCCCCTCGGCCGACCCCAACGCCGCCTTCTGCCTCAGATACACGCGCACCACATTCTCCACACTCCCCCTATCATGCTTCGCCTTGCGCATATACGTCAACCGCGCGCGCCTCGCCCTCTTCTGCGCCCTCTGCACCACCTCAATGCCCTCCACCAACGGACTGTAAATCTTGAACCACATCTCGACGCCGACGCGCGTGAGCTGGCCGCGCAGCAGGATGGCCGTGTCGACGCCCCGGCGGCGGATGCTGATGCACACGCCGGCGAAGGGGTCGCCGGTGCGCTGGCGCACGAGGAGGATGTCGCCGACGCGGGCGCACTCGGGGTTTTGCAGCGAGAAGAGGCGGGTGCGGGCGCCGGTGGGGTCGAGCTGGGCGATTTGCGAGTGGGCGAGGATGGAGACGGGAGAGGGGCACGTCTTGTGGATGCTGGGTTTCGTGGGGTAGATTTGGAGGTGGCGGGTGTGTGATACTGCGAATGTGTTAGGAGAATCATACTCTGTTCGCTGGGAATGGGAATATGAGAGGGTGGTCGGCAGATGCACGTTCAAGCCCAGGAAGCACAGCGTACCGCCGTTCTTCTCAATCGGAACGCCACTCCTCTAAAGCCCGATTCCAAGCATACGAAATCCACATACTCATCTCCCTCTTCTTCTCGTCCTCATACTCCTTCAGCCACTGGCCCTTCGCTTCCCAGAACCTCTTCCCCCTACCCGTCTTTCCCTCTGGCAACCACCTCTTCACGCTCCCGTCCTCCTTCTTCGAGTCCGCCTTCTGCACCTTGCCATTGTACAGATGCGGATACAGCCTCGAATGCATCTCATAGATTAGGCTGGCGCGCGCCTTGTGTCCCTTCGCCGCGGGCAAGAGATTGGTCGCCGCTTTCGAGCCCGTGCGGGTCGCCGATGTTGCGGATGCCATGGTGGGTCGTGTATCCGTTGGACCGGCGGGTGCTGTGTGTGTCGCGCTGATGAGCCCGCCGTCCGCGCGGTGTTGCTGGTGTCGCTGGATCTCTGGTGTTGAAAATCGAGGTCGGGATGCCGACCGGGGTTGACTATCGCGCTAAGCTGATTCCGGAATGCCCAATTTATACACAGTAACACCAGAGCCTGTTATATCGCTGTACCTCCAAGACGCTTAATTAGACATAAAAAACAGCAGTGCAGATCGAGTGCGGGTGCTTGCTCAGTCAGATGTATAAAAAATTGTAGTAAACTTGGTTGGTGATAATTTCTTAGCAATTCACTAACACTGCCTATCCATATCACCCTTCCTCTCCAAAAGGATCTATGGAAGCCAACCAAAAAAGCACCAGAACAGTCTCCAGCCGCAATCCCAAAGAGAATCTTCCTATCCCTTCTCAGTCCGAGTGTGGGGAGGCCTTGGGCAGAACATCAAGGACCAAGACGTATCGGGCGATTGCTTCGAACCGAACATTTCCCGGGAAGAAGCTCGTTACAGAAGCAGTGACGGTTGTCTTGACTGGTAGGTCCCGGGACGTCGGCACAATGCCACGAAAACAGCCCTTATCCGCATCCCAGGCCAGCGGGAGGTATTCCGAAGCCGAGACAGAATATATATAGGTGATCGGGAAGTTGGGGAGACCGAGACGGTCTTCGAAATCCAGCTGCCTGAGGCTGCAAGTGATTCGATATTCAGCCCCAGCGTGCAGCGCGGAAGGAATATCGTCGAAGTATACGGGTGGAGGCTGCCACATCACTTCGCCCACTATGCAGAGGGAGTCGGTCGCAGGAAAATCGAAGCGTATCTCCACACTAGGGAACGGGAAGGTGTGACAGAAGCAGTCCCGAGTGCGAAGAAAGTTATACAGCATGGTTTGGAGACCGTATGCCGAGGACGAGAACCATGTGAATGTCTCCGCACACGTACGCAGGTTGTCGACAAAGTAGACGTTGGCCATGGCCTCAATAAGCTCGCACATGTCAACATCAAATCGGCGAACCACCTTAGCCGAGAGGAAGCAGCCCAGAAGCGAGGTGATAGTCCACTTGGCCACAATCTCTATAATGGAGTTTAGACACGCAGCTCGAGGGGACGAAAACGCATACCATTCTCTTGGCGTAGCCAGTCTTCGAATTGGTCCACAATCTGATCTAGGATCAAACTCTCGAGGGCTATCTTGAAGTTGTACTCCTAATACAGAAGTTCTGTTGCCTGCTGAGGGGAAATGCCTTTCCAGCAATAGATAACATCATGGTGTCTGACCGTTCTGGCCTTACCGGTAAGATGGGAACGTCGAACCATGGGGAGATATACATCTGTAAAAGTCGCTTTCCCGGACAAGCCCGCTAGTTCTAGGCCGATATCAAGCCTGTGGAGAAGTTCCTCGATGGCTTCATGCCTATGTTGCTCGGCCATTCTCTGCGGGGGATGAGCGTGTGCGAAAGAGACCGGCATTGTGAGGCTTCAGTAGACTACACTATTGGCAATGGATTCCTGGAGCCAATAATTCAGCAAGCGGACTATGCGACAGATGATCGTAAGCTTACCTGCTACCCAACGATAAAGATGATTGTAGCCAGTACACTCGACGAGAAGAGCGGAAGAGAAAGGGAGCTGGCATGGCGAGGAGACAGCAGTAGGCAGATTCGTGCTTGCCTGAAGATCGACCCTGCACTTAGCACTGCAACTTCCCCCGTACAATTGAACAGCTAGAACCCTGCAGAGATATAACAGCCCTTTAGAGGTACTTTGTCTAGGCATTATGATTCCTGAAGCCTAGCCCTTTAATAGCGCAAACGGATGGCTGGCAATGGACTTGCGCCGAGCAGGTACACCAACCTACGAAGCTAACGCAGCGGGGTGTTCAGTTGGACGCGAAATGGAAGGAGCTTTCGCTAGTTCCAAGGTTCAGGGGTTAGACAGCATCCATCATCGCACGGGTTGTGAGGCGTTCATTCTTGTTGCCCAATTTTGAGATCTGCAAGAACGCGTCGACGCCAAATCCTTCCAGACTGTGAATCTCCAGGCTACCGGCCCAGTATTCTGCATATCGTGTTAGCGGGAGATGACGCAATAGGTGGAAGTCGGCCAACTGTACCTGAATAAATCCTGGACATAGGCAAGCCGATGCCCAGCCGCAAGTCGGGAGGACGACTTGCCAGCGAGGACAAGGAGCCTTGGTGGTTGCGAGAGTCGCCATATTTGGTCTTCGTGTTGGGCGCTGGAGCATGCTGATGAGACTGATGACCAGGGACCTTCAGCTCTTGGAGCGTGCCTAAGAGTTTCGGCACCCGGGCAAGATTCTCGATTCTCTTCTGGCGGCGGGGCCCCTTGCTGAAACTCCACAGGTGGGGAAGGATCTCGGTGGGAATGCCGCCGCCCTGGTCTGAAATGCGGATGATGACATGTTGCGAAGTCTCACAGATCAAGACCTCAATGGGAGGCGGCGTCGTGTCTTTCCATTGGCGCTGCTCGATGAGAGCCTGGATTGAGTTGCGCAGAAGCTCACCTATGATGTACTCTAGGTGGCTCAGGATATAGGGAAAGGTAGCATCCAAATGCCCGTTGATGCGGATCTCAGGTATGGCTGCCTGCGGACCGTAGGCTTTCCTGACCAGATCCTGGGTAGTCTTCCCACAGCGCTCCACTATCTCTCTGGCATTGCAGCGCAAGAATATCTCACCCACTGCCTCGGTGTCGTGAGCGGACTGGGCATGAGGGAAATGCCAGGGGGAGTTGAAAGTATCAGTGAGGGCCAAATGCTGCTCTGCAATGACCCTTCTGGAGATGCGCGATCTCAGCATGGTGTTCATGAACCGGTCGGTTTCCTCGGGCTTCATGAGGCCTTGGACTTCCAACATTCCAATTGCAAGCCGGGGTATGACGGTTGCATGCTCGGCAAGCGTTTCCTCGAGGAGATTGCAATAGTTGTCATTCTCTTCCAAAGTTCTGATCTCCTTGACGCGGCGGAAGCGTTCGAAGGCTCGGTGGTACAGTTCGTAGACATGGGCGAGATGCGGGTTGGCAACGACAACGTAGGGCAACGTCTGGATGTCACGAAGACGATGGGCGATTCTGTTTGGCTTCAGCAATGGGAATGAGAGGGCATTCCATGCTACGGCACCTGGTGGGTAGCTCCAGACGGCAATAGTTGGCGCTGTCAAGCAACCGAGACTCGGTCAGGGTGCGTCCGAAAAAGGTCAATTGGCGCAAGCTTATAGGCCGAGCTTCACGCTGCACCCATCTACAGAGATCAGGAGTCAGTGCTTTAGCTGTGAGGATATGTATGAGAGGGAGCTGCACTCATCCAGGGCCATGGAGGGCTTCCAGGCAGGAGCTGCAGACGTTCCATGCACGCCGCGGGATGCGCGCACAGGGAGCACGAAGAGACGAGAAAGACTGCTGTGGTCGTGGCATGGCCTGCGAGCCGTGGGGAGGCTTGCTATGCGAAGAATCATGGTGGACGGAGCTGTGTTGGTGAGCAGAGGTGGAGGAGTGCTAGCTGGAGATGGGTACTCGAATATAGACTATACATATATAAGGCCGCGGGGGACCGAGCGCCGGCTATCATGCCCGCGCATACCAACCGTCGTTCGAGAGGCATACAGCCAGGTGGTTTGCAGGTAAGTGAAAAGGATGCAGCAGTGAATGGGGCATGGCCGCAAGGGGTAATGTGTCGTGTTTAGCAGCTGTGTTTGCAGGTGCAGCTATCCTTCGCTATGTCAATATTCAATGTTGACTGGTTCCCCGCGTACCTGTACATCTCCCTCGATACCTCTGGATCTATGTATAGACAGCGAACTTTTCTTTTCCTACCCCTCCAACACCACCACCACTCACAGACCCGCTCTAACACAGTGCGCCACTCGTCGCCAGCGATACAGCTGCCACTGCCCGCGAACTCGTCGTCTGTTCGCCGCTCCCCAGTTCCGCAACCGCCTGCCTCTCCGAGATTCTTCCTACCAAAAGCTCCGGGGCGTCATCACCGCGGCGCGCTGCCCGCCACCGCTTTAGCGAGAGGCCCGTGAGACCGTGGCAGTGAACATCACTTCTCTCCACACTTCAGGAACTGCTACCCTTCCAGTTCCCTGCTGTTCCTTCCACCCCTCCCCTCCTCGGCGCCTGCTCTTTGCCTCGTCAATTTCACCTCTCCATTGTCGCTGGCTACCTAGGTGCCCTCCCTTGTTTCCGCCCAGAGCCGCCTTTCTTCAGTTTTTCAGATACCCTTTCTTCTTTCCCCCCACATCACCTTGTTTCGCTCGTGCGCAGCGCCGCCACCAGAATCATGGACCAGGTATGTGCCTCTCCCACCGACCGCTGCCGCTACCCCAATTACTGAATTCTGTACCTTGTCTACAGATCGGAAGCGACATGATGGTCGACTCCGAGTTCGACGAGAAGAACAGCGTAGCCATTATTAATCCAGACGCCGACGAGTCCATGGACGACGAGGAGCCCGAGCCCGCGCCCCGCGCCGACGAGTATGAAGCCTTCATGAAAAAGCACATGCCCGAGCTGGTGGACCAAGAGGTCGAGGATGCGGCATACCACACCTGGAACATCACAAACTGGCGCAGCCTGAGCCGCAGGGAGGAGGGCCCCATCTTCCATTGCGGCGGGCATCCCTGGCGGATACTCTTCTTTCCGTACGGCAACAATGTAGACTACGCTTCATTCTACCTAGAGCACGGCTATGGCGAAAATGAGATACCCGAGGACTGGTATGCCTGTGTCCAGTTCATGCTCGTGCTATGGAACCCCAACGACCCGACCATGTTCATCTCCCACTCCGCAAATCACCGCTTCACTGCCGACGAAGGAGACTGGGGCTTCACACGTTTCGCCGAGCTGCGCCGCCTCTTTCAGGTGTCGTACGAGGACCGCGGCCGGCCCATGGTCGAGGACAACTGCGCCAACATAACCGCCTACGTACGTGTGATAAAGGACCCGACCGGCGTCTTATGGCACAATTTCCTCAACTACGACTCCAAGAAGGAGACAGGCATGGTTGGACTCAAGAACCAGGGTGCCACGTGCTACCTCAACTCTCTGCTCCAATCTCTCTTCTTCACCCACTTGTTCCGTCAGGTCGTCTATCAGATACCCACCGACCAGGAATCAGGCCGCATGGACAGCGCCTATGCGCTACAGCGCTTGTTTTACCACTTGCAATACTCCAACACCGCCGTAGGAACGACAGAATTGACCCAATCGTTCGGCTGGGATTCTAAGCAAATCTTTGAGCAGCAAGACGTGCAGGAGCTGTCCCGCGTGCTAATGGACAAACTGGACGAGAAAATGAAGGGCACCGAGGTCGAAGGTGCACTTGGGAAGATGTTTGTGGGCAAGACAAAGACTTTCCTCTCCTGCATCAATGTTGACTATGAATCGTCGCGAATCGAGGAGTTCTGGGATATCCAGCTCAATGTGAGCGGAAACAAGAATCTCGATGACAGCTTCAAAGATTACATACAGGTGGAGATCATGGACGGAGAAAACAAATATTTTGCCGAAGGCTACGGGCTGCAAGACGCGAAGAAGGGCGTCATTTTCGAAGAATTTCCCGAAGTCCTCCACCTGCAACTCAAGCGGTTCGAGTATGATATTAATCGGGACGCTATGATGAAGGTCAACGACCGTTATGAGTTCCCCGAGGTGTGGGACGCCTCGCCCTACCTTTCCGAGCGTGCCGATCGATCCGAGCCATATATATACCACTTGCACGGAGTCCTGGTTCACAGTGGTGACCTGAACGCAGGCCATTATTATGCATTTCTCAAACCTAATAAGGAGGGTGACTTCTACAAATTCGACGATGACCGTGTAACGCGCGCAACGAGACGGGAAGCCCTTGAAGAGAACTTCGGGGGTGATGTTATCAGCGCCAACGGCGTTGGACAAAGGAATCCTTACTCCAAAACGTGGTCGGTCAAGCGCTCTATGAGTGCATATATGCTGGTGTATATTAGGGAGAGTAGGTTAGATAAAGTCTTGATGACGGGACAGGAGCCTACACCACCGAAGCATTTAGGTAAGTGGTTCAGCGTTCTATACCCATTTGCCTATTGCTAACCTTCTGAAGCGGATCGAGTCGCAGAAGAAGACGCGCTGCGTGAGAGGAAGAGAAAGGAAAGGGAGGAAGCCCACCTCTACATGGACATACAGGTCGCTTCGGTCGCCAACTTCAAGGCCTATCAAGGTTTCGATATAGTCCCGTGGAAGGGAGACCCGAACTCAGAACCGCCTGCCCACCCAAAGACCTACCGAATACTTAGGACCACGACCATATCGCAATTTTGTGAGATCGTCGCACAAGATCTGGAGGTGGAGCCGACTATGCTCCGCCCTTGGGCGATGGTGAACCGCCAGAACGGCACAATCAGGCCGGATGTCCCGATTGACCATCCTACCATGACTGTGGAAGAAGCCTCAAACAAGTTTTCCAGCAAGGTGCCATTCCGGTTATGGATGGAAGTGGCCGAAAAGCAGGCGGAGGATGGTCATGGCATCTTTGGCGAGAAGCTCGTTGATCTAAAGGGTCAGCCGAACAACCGGCCGCTGATGCTTTTCCTCAAGCATTTCGATGCAAAGGAGCAAAGTCTGTTTGGAGTGGGCACCTTCTACGCAGCATTCCAGGATAAGGTCCAGGATGTAGGGCCTCAGATCTTGAGGTTGATGGGATGGCCGGCTGGCACGAATTTCAAGCTCTCGGAGGAGATCAAGCATAACATGATTGAGGCGATGAAGCCTAAGGTGACCTTGGCCCAGGCCGAGATCCAAGATGGCGACATCATAACCGTGCAACGAGTGCTTCCCGACAAAGAGTATGTACTTCGTCATCAATGTAGACTGCTTTGCTAATGATTTTCTAGAGCCAGCCAGATCGCGGCCGCCGGTGGCTATGCCGAAGCGAAGGAGTTCTACGACTATCTCCTCAACCGTATCAATGTGCAGTTCGTGCCGAGAGTGGACTCTGAGCTACCCACCTTCGCTTTGACGCTCAGCAAAAAGATGACATACGACCAGCTTGCCGCTAAGGTTGCGGAGCAGATCCAAGCTCCGTCGACTCACATGCGTTTTACCACAGTGACTGTCGGCGGAAAGCCGAAAGCGCCCATCAAATACAACCCTCAACTCACACTGAATTCAATACTGTTCCCGGGTACCTACAACTATGGCACCGCGACGCAGAAATCCGACGCACTTTTCTACGAAGTCCTCGACATGAGTCTTAAAGAGATGGAGCAGAGGAAACCAGTAAAAGTCACGTGGTTGCCGGAAGGAATCCTCAAGGAGGAGGAGTATCAGCTCATGCTCCCCAAAACGGGCCGCATAACGGACCTGATCGAGTCTCTCCAATCAAAAGCGAACATAAGCAGCGACGTTGCCAAACGAGTACGGGTGTACCAGGCTCATAATCACAAATTCATGAAAGAGCTTCCCATGGACTTCGGGATCATGAGCATTGGCGAATATATCACAGTGTATGCAGCGCCGTTCCCTGAAGGGGAGTCGGACAAGATGATTACCGTCTTCCACTTCGACAAGGAACCAAATAGGCTTCATGGAATACCGTTCAGGTTTCCTTTGAAAGAGGTACAGTCTAACGACCGTTCACGTAAGAAACACTGCTCATTCAGGCGCAGGGAGAACCTTTCAGTGAAACCAAAAAGCGTCTCTCCGACTTCACCAAGATCAAAGGCAAACCTTTCGACAAGATAAAGTTCGCTATCATCAGCAAACCTCAATACTCGAAACCGCAATATCTAGACGATGGTATGTCTCCCGCTCCCTAGCACTCGTGTTCTCCACTGACACTCACCTTTTAGACGAGATATTATGGGATCTTGCCGACCCCGCCGACAACATACAGCTGGGCATGGACCACGTGAACAAACAACGGAACTTATGGGGCAAGGCTGACTCCATATTCATCCGTTAAGCATTTTTTCCATTTCCTTTGCTGACCGCTTTTATCAGCGTACGAGGGATTCTGCCGCGGCCGTGCTTCCATTCCCGGGTTCGGTGCTTTGAAAATTGCGTAAAGTGCATTAGAGAGGGATTGCTAGCGAACGTCGTTTTTGGATTGCGTCCCCGGGGAGCAAGTGGCTCGGGCAATCTTCTGTCCTGCCATGCGGTGCTGTGCTTATTGATACACCTGGCGCGAGGTTTGCATTCGAGGAGTTCATCTTTTCTTCGTTTAATTCTCCCTTTAGGATTTGCAGTGGTTTACGGTGGACGTTGTGAACGTGGGATCGAAGTGGCATGTACGATGGGCATTGGAGTAGGGTTAGACTTGGCTTGGGGTTTTTGGAGGGTGGGTTGAAATTGGCTTGGTGCTTTTGGTGCTGCCTTAAGCTTTGGGCTGGATTTGGGGCATTTGATACTCACACACGCGAATCAGAATGCAGGTATTATATGCTAGACGCCATTCAACTTTTTGAACCTCATGGTTGTCGAGCAAGCTTCGTACCCTGAGCGTACAATGGCTTGGGGTAACAAGTTGTTCACCTCTTAACTGGATTGAGATGAAAGCCGAACAAGCGCCCTTGCCGCCAAGACTTTCCCGCCAAAACATTCCTCCATCCCCGACTGCCCTACCCTGGTACTCCCGTAATCGACAGCTGGAAGTTACCGCATCGGAGCACGACACAATTGTTGGTGTCCACTCAATCGACAATTCCCAAACCTCCACACCACCTCCTCTCTCACCCGCCAGAACCGGAATCCCGAAGTATCCCACGCCCGTCCTCTGACAAGACTTCACACGCAAATTCGGCACGATTGGGGAGGAACTGCTTGCCCGACGATGCGGCTCCTCGGCGCAGTAGCCTGCCTGCTGGGCCTGGCGCACGCAACAGCCCTGACGTACAAACTCGAGGCGCACGAGAAGGCGTGTTTCTTCGCGACGACGGAGCATCCGGGGCAGAAGGTGGCGTTTTACTTCGCTGTAGGTGATTCCCTTCTCGCACAGCTCCCATCTTCATTCGGAAGTGCTGCCTCAGAGTCTATCGTGCATAAGCTGATATGATGATGATTTTGGCGGTATATAGGTGCAATCAGGAGGCGCCTTTGACGTGGACTACAGCGTCGTGGGGCCCAACGAGAAGGTGATACTGGACGGGAGCAAGGAGCGGCAGGGCGACTTCGTCTTCACGGCGCAGGAGAGGGGCGAGTATCGCTTCTGCTTCAACAACGAGATGAGCACGTTTGCGGAGAAGGTCGTGGATTTCGAGATTGCGGTATGTCCTCTTGCTCCGTTTCTTATAGCTATCACACCCCCGTGATTTCTACCTCAGGCTTCTTCTCTACCAAAGCACAGACGACTCATTGCTCACTTTCGAAACTCGCAGGTCGAAAACGAAGCCCGCAACGCACAACTCCCCTCGCGCCCGGGCACCAGCCCGGAGCAGACGTCGGTCCTCGAGGAATCCATCCTCAAGCTCTCGGCCCAGCTGTCCACCATCTCGCGCAACCAAAAGTACTTCCGCACGCGCGAGAACCGCAACTTCTCCACCGTGCGCAGCACCGAGAAGCGCATCCTCAATTTCAGCCTCATGGAGAGCGGGCTCATGATCGTCATGGCTGGGTTGCAGGTCTTTGTTGTGAGGTTCTTTTTTCAGGGGGCCAGGAAGGGGTATGTGTAGTGGGGTGGCTACAGTTTGGATTGGATGGGATTGGGTTGGGGCTGGGGGAGTGCGGGAGTGCGGGATACCCGGGAAGCTGGCTAGGTGCGGCGGGAGGGACAAGGGAATTGCGAGGGTCGGGAAATACGTTGCTCGAAGCGGATGCTTTTGTCAAGTGGCTGCAGACGCGTATACACGGGACGGAAGCGGGCAATATCATGCATGACATTATTACGGATCACCGTCTCTGGTTTTGGCGAAGAGAGGGGAACTGGGAACCTGGGAAGTAACATTTGGAGTATATCATTATGAGCAAAGCAGCTTTCGATAAAGTCACTTACGCCTGTGTGGATAATATCTATCCGAGGAGTGTCGAGTAGGTGGGACGAGATTGAGTGACTTATTTCCAGGTTGAGATGACACGATATGCTTTCCTACCGTGTAGTCCTTGTAGGGCCTGATTTCTAGGGAAGAAAAATCCATAGAGCTGGCATGTACGAGTATACTTTACGGTCTTCCAGAGCGGTACAATCCTCGACGTAGAGAGCGATGAAAGGCTATCCATATGTATTCGGAGCACTTGTAGATACCAATGAGAGACGTGGCAGAACCCATTCATGTACTTCTCCCAACCAAGCGCGGAGTACCCACGAGTGATAATCGCTTCCAGCAGTCCTACCATTCCCTCATCCAACGAGGTCGACATGTCCCTATACAGTTCGCGTTGTTAACCACTCAACACCACACATCACACATTGCACATCCTGGATACTCAATATAACGAGCGACGAAGTTGGATTTTCATAGCAGCAAACCTAGCGTCCAGCCCAAGTTCATAACGGTAAAGACAGGACAGGTAACAATGTGCGTAACCCTGAAAAACGAGAGACTTGCCATCTAACTGGAGAGGGAACAGAGTAAACCCGAAAAGCGATGGAAATGCCATCCATCTGAACGCTGAACCGAGATGTTCGAATCGTAATGGTCGTGATAATGAATGGACGAATGGGGAAATGAGGATGCCATAGAAGTGCCGTGCCGTGTCGAGTCGAGTCGAGTCGTGTAGTGTCGTAGAGATAGTGAAAGGAGGAAACCCAGACGAGAGGAATGAAACCCACACCAGCACCAGCAGACGCACGGCTTGCGCCTCGGTCAGACAATCTGATCAACCTCCCTTCAGCAGCCCCACAGCTCCTGCCACCCACTCACTCTATCCTCTCGCAACACCCCTCTCATCTACCTCTTCTCGCCCTCCCCAACCACCAACCTCGTAACCTCCATTCCCAATCCCGCCCTCATCTCCGCATCCTCCCTGCTCAACACCTTGTGCTTCCCACTCCCAATCCCAAACCGCCTCTTACAAGCCTTCCACGCTTCGATCGCTGCCACATACACCGCCACGCACGAGAAACTGACACCCCACTCCCAGCTAATCGCTGCATGCTTGAAGACATCGCGGTTGATAATGGGCAAGTAGATGATGGCGAACATGATCGAGAAGCCCGCTGTAACAGCCCAGAACAGGAAGCGATTTCGCCAGAGGGTTGGGAAGATGGAGAGACCGCGATGGGAGGCAGAGTCTGGGTACAGGTTGAAGAGAGAGCGGGAAAAGTGCTTGACTTCCCAGGCTGTAACGAGCAGCAAGAGCGTGATAGTGGCGTATGTGGTACCACGAGCGCGGAACACAACGCTGCATGTCTCATTCCAACCTTCGTTGCACCCAGAGCCTAGGTTTCCGCCTCCGGGACCTGCGTAGGCGACGATGGAGAAGGAAGCTAGACAGAGAGCACCCATGAAGAACCCGTAGATGAACTTGTCTGTGATGAGCTCCTTGGTGAAAACGCCGACGGACAGGTCGTGAGGCGGGCGGAACATGCTATCCGGTTGGGATTCCTCCAGCCCCAGGCCGATGGCAAGGAAGGAGGAGGTAATAAGATTGACCCAGAGGATCTCAATAGGTGAGAGCGGGAAGACGGAGTCGTTGTTGTTGTCCTTGAAGGTCAGGCCGATGAGAAGTAGGATGACCTGCGCAATGTTGGAGATGAGAAGGTGCATCAGGAATTTCTGGATGTTGTCAAACAGACGACGACCCTCCTCCACTGCTTTCACGATCGAAGCGAAGTTATCGTCAGTCAGAACCATCTTAGCAGCATCCTTTGCGACATCGCTTCCCGTGCCCATAGCCATACCCACATCTGCGTTTTTCAACGCAGGGGAGTCGTTGACACCGTCACCAGTCATAACGCAGAAGAGTTTCCTCCTATGCAGAGCGGACACCATCTTGACCTTCGTAGCAGGGCTGCATCTAGCAACAACAAGCGGTAGAGTCTCCATAGCGTCAATCTGCTCGTCGGACAACTGGTCGAAGTCCTTGGCAAGCATAACGGCGGTTCCGGAGTTTGCGTTTGGTACGGTTCCGTTGAGGATACCGACCTCACGAGCGATAGCCATGGCGGTTCCAGGGTGATCTCCGGTAAGCATGTGGACGGTGATGCCGGCGACCTGGCAGTCCCGCACCGCTCCCTTGGTTTCGAGGCGGGGCGGGTCGTAGATAGCGACAAGGCCAATATAGTTCAGTCCACTTTCCACAGATGAGCGCTCACTTAAATCGGTCCCAAGAGGCATAGTCTTGTGAGCGACACACAGGACACGAAGTCCATCGGCTGCCATAGCTTCCGCAGTTTCCAGAATGGTAGCCTTTTCAGAATCTGAGACATTGAGAACCGGCAATACGAATTCGGTCGCCCCTTTTGTGTAGACGTCGAGGTGGCTCTCCGCATTTTGGTAAACGACCGTCATCTTCTTTACAGTGGAGTCGAAAGGGAACTCTGCAGCGTGAGTGATATCAAGCGTCTGGAGAAGGGATTCCCTGCCCATGTTGAACCGCAGTGCCAGCACATGCAAGGCAATCTCAGTCGGTTCACCTGTAGCTTTCCAAGGCCCTGTGCGGGCTCCGGTCGTTAGCGTGGTCGGGGCCGTAATGGTGGTGGATTGCTGTATCGAAGTGCATGTTTCCGTATCGGTGTCAAAACGATCGACGGCTTCTTTATTCTTGGATGTATCCGGGGTGGGTGAAGAAGCGTCGAATGTGGGTTCAACAGTGGAAAGATTGCAGAGGGCGATAGTGCGGAGGAACGTCTCGAGTAGTGGACTTCGCTCATAGTCATCCAGATCGAGGCGTTTGCCATTAAGCTCGACGTATCCGCTTCCAGGGTTATAGGGATCTGTGGTATCGTGGACACCCAGTGTCCCAATGCCGGGAATAACCGCTTTACGCGTGATCATCCGGCCTTGCGTGAGCGTTCCAGTCTTGTCAGAGCAGATGTTCGTTACACCTCCTACGGCTTCAATAGCCGAGGAAACTCTGATAATAACGTTCGACTTTGCCATGGCCTTCGCCCCAACCGCTATGGTAATGGTAAGGACTGCAATAAGCGATTCAGGAATAACTGCAACCGCAACGCAGATGCCGTATATGAGGACCTCTCCTCCAACTTGCCACTTGTTGGCGGAGAAGACGATGATGGCGAGAAGGATGGCGAGGCCAAAGAGCAAGAGCGCGAACTTGCTCAACGTAGTCTGAAGTGGAGTGCCGACGAACCCAAGAATGACCTTGACGCCACTGACGAATTTCTTCCGGTATCTCACAAGCATTCTGCTGTCTTCAGGAACATCGTCGGTTTGACGGAGCATGCGAGCGATCTTTCCGACTTCGGTTCCCATTGCCGTAGCAATGACGATACCGGTACATCGACCGGATTTCATCTCGCTGCCGGCGAAGGCCAGGTTGGTACGGTCGCCAGTGGGGAGATTGACGTCGTCGAAGATCAGGTCAGGGGTTTTCTCGACTGGAAGAGATTCTCCAGTGAGGAAAGCTTCATCGGTATATGCATTCATCCCATCGATTAGACGAAGATCAGCAGGGACGATGCTTCCAACGTTTAGGTGGACGATGTCGCCTGGGACGAGGTCCACTGCCTTGATCTTGTCAAGGCTGCCATCACGGAGTACATTTGACTCCGGAGCCGTGAGTTTCTTGAGGGACTGTATGGTCTTTTCTGCCTTGTAGTCCTGCCAGAACCTGTATAAGTTAACCTTACCATCTCTAAATGGAAAGAGGACATGCTTACCCGACTATGATGTTGAGGACAATGACGGCTGAGATGACGCCGCCTTCGATGTAATCATTGATACCGAAACTCAATCCCATAGTAATGAGGAGCACCTAGGATGGAGGTTAGTCAGGGTTGGAGGGCATATCGCCTGCTTGGCCAAAGTCCTCGCGGTCTTTGGGCACTAGGACGGCCTCGTTTGAGAAGAAATTTACGAAGTCGAAGCAGCCGATGAGAGGCAGACTTGCTCTTGTGGATCTCAGATCCAAGGAATGCCTAGCGTCCAGCGCCTGAACCCACGTCCAAAGGTGCCTGCTGGCAGGCGCACCCCACCCGTCGATATGAAGCAGCCACGCCCGGGGAGAAAAGTACTTACTATGGTGAGGCTGTTCGAAACCTGCCTCAAGAGAATCTCCCACAGGGATAGCCCTTCAGCTCCTTTAACCTTGTTAGGTCCATAGAGCCGAAGGCGAGATTCCGCTTCGGTGGCGCTGAGTCCATTTCTGGGGGAGTTAGCAAAGGATTTCATGTACTTGGTTATTACAGGAATGTTCGTACTGGATATCCACACCCAGTTCCTTCGCAACCTGCGCGGCCGTGAGGGTGTGGGCAATCGAGAGCGATTTCGGAGGGCGCTCGTCGTGAGGTTGGGGGGTGCTATGACGTGCAGTGGTCTCTGGACCATGGTGATGATGAATGCCGCTACGTAGGGCACATAAAGGAGGTTCAGTCGACTCCTCGACAGTAGGAAGGCTGTTCTCTTCACCCATTCAATAAGGATAGGAAACCAGAGGTTTGTGTGAAGAAGGAGGACAGCAGGAGGACAAGGGAGAGAGAGAGTTATAGGCCGCCACACGTGCGTGCGAGTGCATGGGGGTTGTACGCTACTCCATGTAGAAGAGTGGGGTAACATACGACTTGATTGGTGGGTAGCACCAGAGGAAGGGAAGCTACGCTACGTGTGTCTTCCTGGATAGATTATGGAAGCACTGCGGCTCTTGGTATCGCCATTCACCATTTCGCATACCCGCCTCACTTTCCACGCTTAGGAACCAATAACACGTCTCAGGAATGCCTGAATCCCACATGATGATGAATCATCAATCTGCAGACTCGCCAAATCACCACCCAGCACCTGCTCCCCTCTGTTTGCACTTCTGCTGTCGACAAACCCCAGGGACACCGTTTCGAACAGCAACAACGCAAAATGGCTGGCCAAGAGTTCGCCCTTTGTGTGCCGGATTCTCGATGGACGTTTGTTACACAGCCACGATGCCCAGCCGGTTCGTCAGTTCGATGATGCAGCGCCCAGAGGCGTCATTCTCGCTCGTTGTTCAAGTGGCCAGTCAGACACAGTCATCGGGGGCTTTCCCTCTGGCGGGGCAAAGATCGGCCTCTCCAGAGACCGGAATCCGAGGTGATTCCTACATTTGCGAAGAATAATAGGAAGGTTGATGAACCGACGTCTGCTCGGTGGTGAAATGATTCTCCCGTTCCGAGATTGATAGCCCAAGGCAGGCTGGGTCCTCTGGAAACCTGGAACGTCTGGACTCGCCCCAAGGTGGGAACTCGTCTTCGTTATCATCACGTGCGATAAGAAGCGGAGCCGCGGCTGTCGCTTATCCTCCCCTTACCTGTTCGGGGATAGTCGGATCAGCAGCTATCACTGTCGTCAAATGATCCACGAAGGTGCACAAGCAGAAACGAACACTTTTTTATTATCATGCCCTCGAGGGTCAAAAAGACCCTTCCCGGATGGCCCTGATAAACCCAAAACCCGTGCCATTACCTCTCCACAGTTGTTCCCAATAGAAAGGTCGTAACATCGTGAAAGAAAAGCCCCCGGCTACTCCCCTAACTAGCTCTCCCTCAGGACTTCGGCTTCAGAGACGTCGGAGCAGCGACGAGGAGCCTGCTGCAGCTGGGTGTCGGCCTCGGCCAACGCGGCTTCCAGACTCATGTTGAAGGTTGCCGCGAGATACTGGGCGTAGCGTGTACGATAGGCCGACGCCGCGTTGTCGGCGGACCGATACAGCTCGCGTTTTGATGATGATGATGATGATGTGCCTGCTTGGAGATCAGAGGGAAAGCCGCAGTTTGAGCGATCAGTTATACCCGATGCGGGATGTAGGACTATCGAAGGCGTGCTAGGAGAGGATCTGGGAGAAGAGGAAGGAGAAGAGGTGGTGGAGAAGGGTAGATGCGGCATGATGATGGAGAAAGTCTGGTGTGAAGAGGTAAGTTGGTTGTGTCGGTTGATGATAGTCCTCTCGGTGTGGTAGCCCGTGACTGAAGCTCCTTGTTTATGAGTGAGAGTGTGGAATGGATCGGGATTTGATGATGGGTGGCCTTTACTCTTGGGCGACAGTTGGGTTCTTTTATACACGGCCGAGTTCACGATGCCGACAAGACCCAGAGTAACTGCCTTCACCGCAAGACCCGCCCTCTACAGGGATCAGCGGGATACAATGAAAAGGCTCAGACTCAAACCGATAACCTTGCAGGTCATGGATTGCCATCGTAACCAATTGTTACGAACAGCTTGACAACCTGGTGTATCACGACGCATCTTCCCTATAGCAACACGGCCATATCGGGCTTAGCGTGCGTTCTTTTCCAACCTCGTTCCCACACCGCTAAAAAAGGGCCAAAGAGAGGCGCATCGAAAGTCCGGGGAAGGGCCTACCCAGGAGACTCAGGGGCAACCGTCTGACACCCATTCACGGCTCCCCTCGTGGAGTTGTCCAACATCCGCCTGCAGCGTTGGCATTCCCCTGCCTCAGGCCCTCACCAATGCCGTTTCCTCCATCGCAAGCACCCCTTGATTCACGTCATGGCTGGCTGGCCATGTCGAGAGTCGAGCGCTCTGGGCCTTGACAATGCCTAGAGAAAGTGCAGGCGGTCTGTCAGCTGGCATGCACTCATCAAACATCCGCACTTTCAACAGAGTCAGAGGAAGCTGAAAGGTCGCCACGTCTCCCGGTCTGGTGGTCGCTGGGAAACACCACCATGACACAAGATGACGAGCCACGGCACCGCCATATTGCGCCAGCAAGTGGGTCTGTCAAACAAAGCCGCAGCTGGACCGAAACAGTTTTCTGTTGAGCTTCTGGAAAGGCACATTCCTTTCGGAGCTGACTAACCCTCTCTATCCCACTTGACGGGTCGACGACTGCTGAGGTGCGATTATAACCGCCGCAAAGCGTTATCACAGCGTCTACCTTAAGTTCTGCTAACTCATAGAGAAACTTCTTCCCAGACACGTGTACGGAGTAGTGAAATCTTTTCAAACAAGCCGGACAGCTGGTTCCACATCTCGCACGCATTTCCTTCACGATGTGTGTGTCCTTCGGTTCTGGGCGCGCCACGACAACCGCATGATGCCATTGCGTATGCGCATCCTGGAAAGTCTTACCCCATAGAAACTCGCACAGGTGAAAGAAAAACGTCACGATCGTTTAGACAGCTTCCGGTTTTGCTGCAGGCCAAGCGGGACTCTTCCGCAGTACAACCGGTATTTCTCAAGATCGGTGGGAATCCCGATTGTGGATTGTCACGAGGGGTGAGGGGCCACGGTGGTGACGGGGAGAAGTGGTCGATCATTGCTGAAGGGGAGGGGCCTCGGCAGGATCTGGGGAAGTGGGGTCCTTGTTTTGTTTCCTTTCAACTTGCAAGATCCTGATGTTACCAAAGTTTTCTAACAAAGTATGACGACGATGATTGTTCTCGTAGTTTCTGCCGATGAGATGCGACCCTCAATTTCTTCATCACATCATCATGGCCTCGCCACACATCAACCCCGAACCAGCCACTTCTTCAGCTATCCGTGACCAGCCGTCCCGTGACGCATCGGACACCGTTTTAACTCTGGAGACTCTCCACCTGAACGCATTGCCTAAATTTTGGAAAGGCTTGCACTAAACTCTGCCTGGACCGCCAGACATCCAAACTGTAATTCAATATCACGCTCACTATATTACTCGCACACTTGGACTTGACATGCAGAGCTCTAATCGACCTGCCGAACAATAATACATACTAGTGGGAACCAGGAAGAGATGGAAACAACTCTGCGCAGCAACACACCGTATCTCCTGTGGTCTCGGAAGGGATCCCCAAAACAGGCTTAATACACAGCAGCAGACTGACACTTATCCAGCACGAGAGATGCCGTATATCTGAACCATGCGTGCAGCAATCTTACCTGCGGGTAGAGAAACCAGATAAGCAGTTGCGCTATTTACACCACTGGTCGATAAGATATGCCGATACCCTAGGGGATCATGTTCCTATCGATCCGAAACACATTCGCCCATGCAGAGCTCACCGCATACACCATCTGCGATCCACCCCCTTCCCAGTTCATCGAATAACAACTCGACGCCTTATCCTCCCCTTCCTCGCTTCCAAACTGTCAATCTACGCTCCGTAATAGATAAAGCCTAAACGCCTGAATTCCCAGAATCCCGGGACGGCAAAGGCACAAGCATTCGGCAACGGGTTGCGGAGGTGGTTTTATATGCAGTTCCGTACAGACGGTGTCCGCAGGTGATAGTGCTTGCGTCTCATCAGGAAGCAAGCTTTTGATTCATGGGAGCAAGCTTTGTGGATATTGAGGAGGTAATATGCGGGGTTTCTTCGAGGTGCTTGGTTTGACGACGGTGTCGACGTGAGGGATTAGATGAGGGTGATGGAGTCAGCTGGGCAACGGGAGAGAGATTGTCTCCCTTCCGTGGTTCCCGAATGGTGGAGTACCCCTTGCATGTCACTGTATAGGATGGTAGGAAATGCAGAAAATCTAGGAAAAGGGGGGTGTCCCGTACTTTATGATTCTGCAAGACGAATGCAATGGGTTTCGCTCACGGGTCAAGAGTCTAGAAAGCTTGTCTTTCTTGACCACAATTTACGCTGAGCTTGTCAGCGGTAGCGATACGACATTGTTCAAGAGGTGACAGTCTTCTCACGCGACACCGGTCAACACGGCAGTTCGGCGTTCGGGAAGGGGAGAAGGTGTGCTGTTACCAACACCACGGACAACCGATGCTTGCGGCATCACTGCAACGTTTCACTGATCTCCCGCTCTCCCACAAGAAGGGGACCCGCACCTAGTATGGCAATTCTCAAATCTGCAACTGGTCATTGCTACCTGGCATATTTCCATTTTCAAGATATACCCCAATCAAATCCCCAAATCCTCCCTCACACCCCCGTCGCATTCTTCCCAAACGGCCCCAAACTCGGCGGCACATCCTCCTCCCTCGTCCCCCACTCACTCTCCCTATCCCCCAAGTACAACTCCAACGTGCCCCCCTCCAAGAAAAACTTATGTTGCAACCAATTCCTCGTATACTCCTTGCCATCCAGCACCGCCCTCTGGACATACACATTCCGATCCCCAGGCTGGAAATCGTGATTGCGTATTGTGGCCGTCTTCCCCGTCTGCCCGTTGCGGATACGGACTTCTTTGAAGAAGGGAGGCGTGATGAAGTAGACATCTTGTCCTGCGTTGGGGAAGATGCCCATCATGGCTAGGGCTTCGAAACTGCCCATGGCGCCGCTGTCGTCGTTCCCGGGGATACCGTTGATCGTGTCGTTGAACTGGCTGGGGATGTACGTGTGGATGCGTTTGGCGGAGAGACCAGGGCGTCCCGCGTAATGATAGAGGAAGACTTTGAGGAAGGCTTGCTCGTCCCCCATGTAGAGGAGGCCGGATTCGTGGAGGAAGTCCAGGCGTTGGACGAAGCGGTCCTTACCGCCGAGGGTAGAGATGAGGGTCGCCATGTCACCCGGGACAAAGAAGGTGTAGAGCCAGATGGGGCCTTCGTAGGTTTCGCGGCCGCTGGGGTTCCTGTAACGATTGTAAGTTATCGAGGCTTGCCAGGTGGCATGAGAGGCTTACAGATAACATCCAGTGAACTCCTGCAGCGGGCTGCAGAAAATAGGGTCCTGGTACCCCCAAGAACCATTCGCATACCGCGGCTGCAGAAACCCCACGAAGCCTGTGTCAATACCGTTGATCTCGCTGCGCTGATCCTTCTTAAACATATTCTTCCAGTTACCAGACCGGCCGAGATACTTCTTGAAATCGTCTTGATGGCCGAGCTCGCGAGCGAGTAGTGCAATGACGAAGTCGTTGTAGGCGTACTCGACAGTGCGTGATATCGAACGCGTTTCGGTTCCGACGCCTAGTGTGTCGTAGTTGCGAGTGGGAATGTAGCCTATTGTTTTCCAGGCTTCAAGACCGCCACGTCCTGGGTACATGTCAGTGACTATATGAGTGGGGTATTCGAGCTCCATTACCTTCCACGTCCCAATTCAAGGGTTCGATTTCTGCATCCGATATTACCGCTTCGTAGGCAAGTTTCCAGTCCACTCCTGCACTAATGTTCTTCAGATAGGCGTCTGCAATGACGATGTCTGCGTTCGACCCGCCTTGCGTAAAACCTAGGGTGAGGTTCATGAGCATACATTATCCACCTCAAGAAAGGATCCGAGCATACCTTTACAGAAGCTCATCCTGCAATCCGGCAACTTGCCCAGATATTTATAAATATCCAATAAGCTCCTCACCATTAGCGTCTGCGAGTGCGGATCCACCAACGTAAGGAAAGGATGAATGCTCCGGAAGGAGTCCCAGATACAATAAAACGAGTCATAGTAGGGCTCTCCGCTATTCCAATACGGATTCTCGCCAGTGTAGTCCTGAGGGCTGATCATGGTGCGGTAGACGCCGCTCCAGAATGCCCGCAACAGGACCTCGCTGGCGCTTCCGCTGTCAATGTCGATCACACTGAGTTTCTCCCTCCACGCCTTCTCTGCTACTTGGAGGGTTCCGTTGAAGTCGAAATCTGGGATTTCACGCTCCGCGTTCGAGCAGGCCTGTGCCTCGCTGATGAAACTCATGCCTACTCGGACGAGGATCTGGTTGTTGGACGTCGGCTTTTCGAATTGTACCCAGCCGCCTGCGGCGTCTCTCACTGTCTGATAACTCTTATTTCTGCTAGGGGAGTTATTGACGAAGATACCAGAGTCTTTCAGCTTGGCTCCGCTGAAATCTGCGCAAAAGTATGACTTGTACCGCCCTATACCGAAACTAGGCGAGAAAGTTCCGCCGCCTGTTAGTCGACCGTTATCATGTACGGTAATATTCCCGCCACTCATGGTATGAGGCAAATCCTGGAGGTCGACCACGATATGAGGAGCGAGCGTCATATTCGGTGTTGTTGGCACATCTGGAAAGGTGAAGCGGTATAACGCAGTGCGATTCGACACGGTCATCTCGGCACGGATCTGAGATTGAAGAGTTATGTCAAAATAGCCTGGCCTAGCATGAACACTGCCTTGTACGCGCAGGACCTCTCGGTCCCACTGAGCGTAACTGCAGGCATTGATGTCGTTGCGGGGACATCCTGCTTGTGGGAAGATTGGAAAGTTGCCCATTGATGCTGACTGAGCAGGTCAGTCTGAGCATGTGATGGGTTTGTTCATCGCTTACGCCTCCGGTACCAGAATCATGCATGTGTGAGAATCCAATGATGCTGCTATTATCTGACGCAAAGCCTCCTTGATTCTCGCCGTTAACATCTGGGCCCGCCTTGGCCATGCCTTTTCCAGTCAGCACTGAGCTAATACTCGAGCCTTATAGAAGTACGTACCAAAAGGCAGAGTTGCGCCAGGAAACACATGGCCTAATGTGGTCAACCATGCTTCTCGCAGTCATCGACATTCGCTCCCACCTCCATTAATCGTCCCAATCAGCGGGTCTACATAATCGTACGGGGTTTTGTTCTGTGCATGGGCGAAAAGTATGACGCCGGCCCACACCACCGAAATTGTGTATCTTGAGGAAGAATGCATAACTTGTCAGCTCTTCCGAGCATGGAAAGGGAGTCCGGCGGAAGTGAACAGACGTTCTTCAAGAAGAAAGCCACCATCGCCGCTGTGGGACTCATATGACCGCGTCGGAAAATCCATTCTAGCTTGGCAGCACCTCGGTATGCACATGTACGTGCACCTAATATGCCCAAGACGGAAATTCGAGAATTACTGTTGGACGCAACTAGGGGATGGGATCTGCCGGGAGTGGCTGCGGGGTACATTAGTGCCAATATTTAAATTGCTGGTTCCTATAAAGGGAATATGGAGTTAATATTCCCAGCCTGGAAATTAAGCGGATGTAAAAGTTTCCACCTCGCTTGAAAGTGGAACGAGGCACGGAGGACAGGAGCAAACAATGGATATCGAGAGGGGTAGCGTGTTGGCCGCTCTCACAGATGGTGAAATGGTGTCCTGCTGGTGGTCGTCGGAAGTCGATGGGTTGGGGAACTGACATTCACGGATACATATGATACAGATGCGTGAAGATACCGACTATTGTTCTGGGGGCTTTCCTGCGTTGAACCTTTCGCCCAACAGTGGCCAGACATATTGTCAGATATTGAACACAGATGGAGACTTTAGTCACCTTGTCCACGGATTACTTGGCCAACGATTCGTCCCTAATCTCAGTCAGTGCAAGTGGGGGGCTCATCCCTCTTCGCATCGACGTGGCATCCTCTTGTGATCAGGCTAGGATACGGCTAGAGACGATGACATAACGCCAAATCATATGCCTCTTCTAAGAAGAACTCGTGTCTGTGGTGTGTAAAGGTTCCACAGAAGTTGGAGGTGTGGTGCAAATGAAAATCACGGGCAAAGTTAGGTAGGTAGGCAGAGTTGAGGAGAACGTTGGCGAACGATCTAAGTCGTTCCGGGTTAGCATTCTTCACAACCTGTACTTGCAAGCCCTGGAGAACCCTCGCTCTTGAAACTCTAGGGAAACTGCCTGGCATAAATGAAGTCATCCTCTCAGGATTAAGCTATTGACTGACATCCATGTAAGACTACTTCGGTATAATACACCTGCGCCTATCACCCATGGTAGTTATCGATTACCGCCTCCGGCTCCACCTTCGCCCAAATTTCCTCGATCCTCTGCGCAGATTCCTTGCTCAGTGGCCCATTGTCCAGATACTTGGCGGTCTGCTCAACTTGCTCGAAGTTCCTACCAGCGAAGATGACGGCGTCTCCGAGCTCCTCTTTCAACGCCCCATGATATGCAACCCACCGATACGCCAGCTCAGCTTTGCTCACCCCCTCTGCCTCCGCAATGTTATTCCATTCAGATAGCGCCTCGAGGTAAGCTGGCCGTTTGTACAACTTCAAATACATGCCCCCGAGGGCGTTCTCATTGAAGCGACCCTCGCCTGCCTCGATCTGCTCCTTCGTCTTGGCCAAGAAGCCTCCCGCCAACGGGGAGTAAGCATAGAAGGCGATACCAAGTTTCCGCAGTGTAGGAAAGAGCAAAGTCTCCAGTTTCCTTGCTATCGGATTGTAGTTGCCTTGGTATACGGTCGGAAGCACGTACCCCTTGCTCTTTGCGATGTCGTATACCTCCTGCACCTGCTCCGCGGTGAAGTTGGAGAGTCCGAAGCGAACGAAGATACCCTTCTTGTAGAGCTCGTTGATTGCATCCAGTGCTTCATTGAGATCGGCTGACGGGTCTGGAGCATGGATGTACAATACATCGAATTGCTTGACGCGCGCACTGTCGAGAGAGTTTTGGGCAGCTTTGAGGATGTTGTCCTTTGTCAACGTGCCCGGTTGGAAACCGCCAGGCAGTTTGGTGGAGATCAACAAGTCTTCATAACCGGTAATACTCCTCCCGATCTTTTCTTCTGACTTCGGGTAGATGATGGCTGTGTCAACCTCCTTGACACCAGCGTTTTTGAGAAAGGCGAACAATTGGTCGACGTCATCCTTCTCTGAAAATCCCCAGTCCCCGATAGAAGCGCCGCCGAAGACCTTCTTGACCGTCATACTGTGTAGACTGAAGTTGGCTGTGTGTTGAGTGGAGGGTGATGTTTGATGTTGGTGAAGCTGGCGCTCAAGCTATGAGGGTATTTATGGATTAGGGTCGTGGAATGGCTAACCGTGAGTTGTGTTGAGTATTTCCTGCACAAGGGCACGTACTTATTTATACCCATTGAGAGAGGTCCACCGGTAATTACTAATTTTGATCATCATGTTCAGTAGAATTGCATCATCTCTAGATGCTTCCATCGATGCTTATACACAGTTACCACGATTCACTACGCATGGTAGAGTCGAATGGCTCCACCAATTTATTTAACTCCGCGTACTCCGCATTCTGCTCTATATATTAGTAACCATGCCGCGGCGGGTCGATTATATAATCGAGGTTTTCGTGCGAAAAACGCCGCCTCCTTCTCTTCGCCCGCAGGTTGCGAGCCTGGGGTGCACATGCGATCTACGGCATTATGGTTATTCGAGAGTCAGCAAAAAGCTTGCCCGGAGCAGGTCTCGTACAAGGGACTCATCCCTTCGAGCGGTTGCGCAATCTGTGAAAGTGATCCCCGGTTTGTCGATTTTGTCGCGGGCGAAAGCCGGATTTTGGAGGGGAAATCATTCATCCTCGGATGGAAGCTGGTGCTTGGCAACTTCTGCGAGATCTGCAAGAGGTCCTCTCAGTCATGCCATGTGTTTTCTTGATACTGTGTAGGTGATATCTCTGGTTCCCGATCTTGGGAAGTGCTATGAAGGAGCTGCACAGGAGCCGGTGCGCTAACCCTTCGGAAGCTCTGCGCTACATCTATAGGGTATACCGATTGCAAGGTTCGTCCATCTCCTGTGTTAAGGGTTCCTCGTATCAACTAAACATTTTTGCATCGACTTTCCACTCTACCCACTTGTTTGGTCCAATCTACTTCCGCAGTGATTCTATTTCGTGTTGTCGCTTCCCACCTGCTCGACTTTTGGGTATTTCTATAATTCTTGACCTACTGTGTACTATATTTTTAGCCACCGAATACTCTCGGTTGGGGCTGAAACCTACGAAATACGGGCAACGTGCCCCGAGATTTACCATTCCAAGATGATTCGCTCCATATTTCCGCAAAATGAAACTCTCCTTCGCATTTGGGGCCGTTTGCGAGAAACCAAGGTGCTGAGCAAGGCTTGCTCTGGTTATATAGGGCTCATGACTTCTATACCAGAGGGTCCATTCCAAACATCTGCATTCCTGCCTTCTGGTATGTCAAGAATGTTGCCTCAGCTCTGCTCTCTCGTAAGTTTTACACTTGTGGGCATTTCTTCATGTGCCACAATTCCGCGGGCCGTACCCTCCTCATTCGAATTGCGGCCGAATGAACTTGTTAATGCTACTCTCGGCCCCTATGGATCCGGCGGACGAGGCCGCACGGGGAGTACTTCAGCAACGTCCTTTGTCGAGCTTCAACTGAATCTCTGCAACTCCGGTCTTGCAAACTGCTATGCCGACGGCGACTCTATCTCAGAGGGTGCGGAGTTGATATATCAAACTGGCCCTAACGTTGTCACCGTTAACGAGATCTGCTCTAACGACGTGTCTACCTTACAATCCTATCTGGCTGAAGCATGGCCAACTGATTACACCTACTCAGTCTTCATGCCGGCCTTCGATAAACGCACGTCAGCTCCATATAAGTGCAAGAACGGATTCCAGTACGGCAGCGCAGTCTTGGGGAGAGTCGCCGCATCTACCTGGGATGGTATAACCGCGTACGGAGGACCGTATCAAACCCATGATTCAGGGAATGAGCAACGTATCTTCGTGTGCGCGGCGGCCAAGGGCGACCACTTTGCATGCACTACTCATTTGTCGGCCTCATCAAAGTCGGTGGCCCTAACTCAGTGCAAGGCATTGCTCTTCGATGCGGTTCCGTATTTGAAGAGCCAAAGCGGCTCTACTGCGAGGACTGTGGTTGCTGGCGACTTGAATCTGAAGTATGACTCGGGTTCGGCGGAGAATGTCCAGACCTGCGTGCCCAACGGGTGGACAAGGAAAGGAGATGGAGACGTCCAGCATACGATGTTTACAAATGACTTCAAGTTTGGAAGCACAAAGAAGTATGGATTGACGTATACGGATCATGATGGATGGCTGGTGAAGCTGACGACGTCTTGAAGTTGAGGAATGAGGTGGTGAATAGTTTGCGCTACCCTAGATTCCTAATAGCAAGATGCGTTGGGACATATCGACTGCACGGTATTTAGAAATGCGAACTGAAGAAATGTGCCATCAAATCCATGAGATTTAGATTGCCGGAGTGTATGAGATGGATTTGAGCACTGAGGTGAACAGGAGCTGTGTATAGATCGAACCCTAAACCGGCTAGCGCCTTGGCCAACAATCTTCGGACTCGCGATTCAAACTTTGGAGAGAACGCGCCCGCCATCAAGAACCATACGTTCGCCATGGCGCACTCTCGGTCATTCATCGCCCCCCTAAGCAGGCTGGGGTTATCCCCAATCGCAGGATCCCGCTCAGAAATCCCCCGTACCGCTTTCCTACCCTACCAATCCGTTCGATGCGCTTCACAGAAATCCACGAAATCGGCGCCCAAGAAGAAGAAGACCAAGAACACATACACACAATATGACATCAAGCACGCGGAGCAGTTCTCCCTTGTAGATGCAATGCAGTGAGTTGGCTTGGAGCGTCTGTTTCCCAGGAGCGGTAGCCTGATTATGCGGTACAGATATATCCGAGCATTCGAAGTTGGTCGCAGCCCCTCCTCATCCAAATACGAAATGCATGTACGGCTACGCACATTGAAGAACGGTCCCGTCGTTCGAAATCAACTCCGCCTCCCTCACCCCGTCAAGACCGATATCAAAATCTGTGTGATATGTCCCCCGGATTCGAAGGCAGCGGCAGAGGCACGCGCAGGTGGAGCAACACTAATCGGCGAGGATGATGTAATAAACCAGATCAAGGAGGGAGTAATAAATTTTGACAGGTGCATCTGCCACCCGGATTCGCTGCCGAAGGTCAACAAGGCAGGCTTGGGAAGGATACTAGGTCCTAGGGGATTGATGCCGAGCACGAAGACTGGGACAGTAGTGAGCAATGTCGCGGCGACTTTGAAGAACATGGTGGGAGCCAGCGAGTACAGAGAGCGTATGGGTGTGATCAGGATGGCGGTGGGACAGCTGGGTTTCACGCCTGAGGAGATGCAGAGGAACATCAAGACGTTCATGGAGGCACTTAAGAAGGATATCGGCCTTCTCAGCGACCGGATAACAAAGGAGATACACGAAGTGGTATGGCGCACATTTATCAATTCGAGCCACAGAGCTAACATTCATACAGGTGCTAAGCTCCACTAACTCCCCCGGGTTCAGCTTGAGCGGCGAGTTCAGGGGGCCAAACTCAATACATCCCAGGGAACTGTCAGGGCCGCTGTAGCATAATCTTGCGTATTGTATAAGATAAATGTACCATACTTCCCAACGCCATCGCTATGCGGGGTATCATAGAGGCTGGCCCCTATCATGAGGTCTTGAGAGCTTTCAGGACTTTGACTGCTTCCGCGGACTCATCCATCTCCGCGTATATCTTCATAATTTTCATGACACGATCTGAACCTTGTTTCCTTGCCGTTTGGGCTTGCTGAAGCGCGGTTTTCAGATCCAGTATGAGCGTGTTCCGCAATTTCGCCATTCGTGGCGCCTGTGCTGTGATAAATGGATGTTCCTGTCCGACTCCTTTCCCGATTTCCTGTATCAAGCGATATTGCTCTACGGTTCTGCGAAGTTTGGCGATGGACACCGAATATGCTCCGTCATCATCGTCCCCGTCTTCGTCGGATTCCTCCTCGCTGTCAGATACATCCTCATCCGCATGCACTTGAGTCTTTCCTGCACCGTCGACCTTAAGTTGCTCTTCTAGCAACGCCAACCGCGCCTCATAGTCGATCAACGCTCGGCCTGTTGCAATCTGTTTCCTGATCGCCACACGCTCGTCCAGCGCCCTCTTCACCTCCTCTTCCCTCTCCAAGACCTTGGCCCTTACAGTCTCCACCTCCTTTCTGAACCCCAGTAACCCCACCCTCACCTCCTCGACCTTCTCATCTCCGCTTCTCAAACTGCGGCCAAGCCCTAAGAAATCCTGGTAGTTTGCGTTGACGAGGTCGAGGAGCTCTTTGCTAAGCAACTGGCTGCGGGAACGGAGCTCGGAGCGTAGGTCTTCGAGTGTCTGGTGGCGGTTACGGAGGGATGATAGGTATTGCGAAGGGTCAAAGTCGAGGGCTAGGAAATCGCTGCGCTGCAGAGGGGCTGGGTAGGGGAGAGAGTCGTCATCGTCATCATCGCTGGCGTGGGAGGAGTTGGAGCCGCTGAACTGCGAAATGCGCATTAGACATCTCTCTAGTGCAGTTATATTTTCGATTGACTAAGACTCACATAGAAGCGACTCATTTTTATTAACTCAGGCCATTCCGGCTCTAAGATTGGGTTTGCTATTGTCTTCGCTCTACCCTCACAGATGGTGTTGTCCAAATAGCCTTGTCTTGGCACTTACTGCAACGGAGTTAACGTGTATCGATAAGGGAGCGTCTCATCTATCGATAGATAATAGTAACTTATAAATCTACCTACGAATGCCGACTTGGACCGGCATTACGAACCGAGGCTTTGGAACTGCATTTGGTTTGGACCGCGATGGATACTGTCAGAGCCATCCTTTAATAATCAAAGATAACTCGCCCCTCTCTCTGACAGCGGGGCAAAAGGCCTTGAGTATGAAATATCATTTGTCCCTCCGTATTGTTGAGATTGGACTGTCTCTACCCCCCGGCTTTTTGCGTACCTGACTTCAGATTTTATCGGCAATATCTGTTGTTAATCTACACCGTTATTCATTGTTGAACTCTGAGCCTACTGGGTTGGAAAGAGAGAGTCATGCCTCTACCACAGCCAGATCTGCCTGAGCCTGCGCACCCTAATATAGATTCGATGTTGAGCCGGAAGTTTGGAAAGGAGGTTGCGAACTACTTCTCCGGTATGCACGATCATGTCCCGCAGTTGACAGTACTACATACATGAGGTGCATATAATCTGACTGTGCAAAGGGTCCCCTCTAAATCGCGTATCCTTCCTCAGACCTGACCATGCATTCCTCTCCGCTGCCCTCAAACATCCCTCCGCTACATTTCTCCTTTTCAGGAACCTCGAACCGCTTATCAAGAATCCAGATGGCTCTGCACTTGCATATGCCACCTATAGCGAAGTCCAACCCATAATTGGCGAAGATCCATTTGCTACCTCAGAAGAGGACCTGATCAAGGAATTCAATTCGCAAAAGTACATACCGCAAATCATCTTTCTGGGGTTGGATGAGAGGAAGGAGGGTATTGTGTACAAGGAGCATTACAAGGGACAGCCTTACTTCGCGCTAGATGTGACACCCAAGGCGAGCGTGACCGAAGCGGCAGAAAAGTTGATTAAAGATTTGGAGGGACGAGGTTTGAGCTTCTCAAAAGGCAGGATGAATCTCTCGTTACAAGCTCAGGAAGGTATGTTGTTTCAGTCTCACAGCTCAAGAAGGATGCGTCACTGATGCGCCTATATAGCTGCCATCTACGCCGAAGCCCGCCATCTCCTCGACTGGAACGCGCGCAACCCCTACTGTGCCCAATGCGGCTACCCAACCATGTCCGTCAACGCCGGATTCAAACGCACCTGCCCACCCAAGGACCTTGCGCGAGAACTGAAGAAGAAGAACCCCGAGCGACCACCCTGCGCCACCCGTACTGGCATCTCGAATCTCAGCTTTCCCAGAACAGACCCTACCGTCATCATGGCTGTCGTTTCTGCGGATGGCCAGAAAATGCTTCTGGGTCGCAACAAGCGCTTCCCACCCTACTGGTATAGCACGCTGGCCGGATTCTTGGAGCCGGCTGAGAGTGTGGAGGAAGCTGTGAGGCGTGAGGTGTGGGAGGAGTCGGGCGTCCATCTTGGACGTGTGGTTATACATTCTACGCAGCCGTGGCCGTATCCGGCCAACTTGATGATTGGCGCTATTGGGCAGGCTATTCCTGGAGGAGAGGACGTGCATCTGGATCATGATGCTGAGTTGGAAGATGCGAAGTGGTTTACATTGGATGAGATCAGGGAGGCGTTGAGGGTCGGCACGAGTGGTTTGGGCGAGGGGCCGGGGCCTGAGTACAAAGAAGGTGGATTGAGGTTGCCGCCTAAGACGGCTATAGCGAATCAGCTTATAAGTGCTGTGGCTAACGGGTTTGTCACTGGGAATCCGAGCCTATAGATGTGACGGATAGAAAGTAGATTTGGATATATAATCTAGATTTCAATTGCTCCTCGCTAATGCTCAAGTCCTGCAATTCTAGGTTATGGCAATACAATGTATTTCTTCAAATGCTGTGGTATTGAGTCAATGAGCTGCTTCTGCTCCAGCCACTTCCTCGAGAATAGCCTGTCGGCGTAGCGGTATGCTCCATCGCAGAGTAGTGTGACGACGGTGTGTCCCTTTCCAAGTCTCTCAGCAACCTTCTTGGCTGCGACAACGTTCAGGCAGGAGCTCGCGCCTAGGTAGAGGCCCTCCTCATCAAGGCAACGGTATACCATCGCAATCGTCTCCTCGTCGGGAATGTGTAATGAGTCATCGATGAGGTCAATATCAGGCTTGAGGTTGTCCGTCACACGGCCTTGACCGATCCCCTCCGTTATGGAACCTCCAGATCGCTCAGTGAGCTTCCCCCCACTTTGAATGTATGAGTGGAGGACGGACCCAGGCGGGTCAGCAAGGAATGACTTGACGCGGCCATTGGATTTTTCCTTCAGGTACCTCGTTGTGCCAGCTAATGATCCTCCTGTTCCCGTGGCGCAAGTGAACGCATCGATCTTGCCTCCCGTTTGCGCCCAGATCTCCGGTCCTGTCGTCTCAATATGGGCCTGACGATTCGCAGTGTTATCAAACTGATTGGTCCACACGGCGTTCTCCGTTCTCTCCGCATGTCTCTTCGCCTGCCAGTTATAGTTGTCCGGGTTCTCAAAAGCCACAGCAGGGACCGGATACACCTCCGCGCCCAGAAGCCTCAACAGATCGATCTTTCCTTGCGATTGCGTGTTCGGCATGTAAATAACGAGTTTGTATCCCTTTGAGCGGCACACATGCGCAAGTCCAATTCCAGTGTTTCCAGCGGTGCCCTCGACGACAGTGCCACCAGGCTTGATCAGGCCAAGCTTTTCCGCATGTTCGACAACGTAGAGCGCTGCACGGTCTTTGACAGAGCCTCCGGGGTTTTGGAACTCGGCTTTGCCTAGGATTTCGCAACCTGTCTCTTCGGAGAGACGTTTGAGCTTGATGAGGGGAGTCTTGCCAATTGCTGTTACAAGGTATTCTATTAGCATAAAGGATTGACATGAAATCCCCACGGCTGTTCTTACCGTCTATGAAACCGCGTTGTCCGACGCCTTGCGCCTTGGAGACATTGATACCGGTTTGGTAAGCGGCTTCTATCTGCGCCAGGTGCTCGGCACTTCTCCAGACCGTAGCTGCAAACCTCCTCGAAGCTGTCCTAAACATGGCTTTGCTGAAATACAAAAAAGACCGCAGCGAGGGAGTTTGCAGAGTCTTCCGACGATGCGGCAACTGAGGGTTTCCGATAATGTCGACTCCTCGATGGCGCAATTGGAAATCCGACAGGGGTCGCCCCGCAGATCACGGGACTTGGCTATGCGCTTTCCCATTTTGGGAAGCGTGTTTATCCCGCTTGCCGACGCGACAACACGACTTCCGACAAGTCGTGCAACGATCCGAAGAACCGTTCACACAAAGCAAACCCATCATGCCTGGGCGAGTGGGAAGACGCTCTGCGGCGACCTCAGAAGAGACGACGAGCCGTAGAACTGCGACACGAACACGACGGACCGCCGCGGCATTGGCACCAAGAGACGAAGGTCCCGAGACCCTACTCCGCAAACAGATTGCCAAGTTCTTTTCCGATGCTCAACATGGCGAGGAGACACACAAGAAGCTCGTTTCCGGTATGAGGAATGTTCAAGAAGCGGTTTGCTATGAATCAGGACACGTAAACCCCAAATACAAGCAATTCGGTGATTTCTCTGAAGAGGACTTCAATGAGGAGGTGAAGAGATGTGTTTATAGGTTATTGGAGATCAAGAAGTCAGAAAAGGCTGGGGACAGGATCCGTGCTTTTCTTGTGGAGTTCTTGAAGACGGCCATTCAGAAAGGTACGGGAATGGTCTTCCCAAAGATACCACGCCAGTTGCTGATATAGAAATTAGACTATGAAGCCTTAGCAGGGGCACAAGCCGAAGAGGTCCTCGACTCACCCAGCACCCGCCTCAAATCCGAAATTCAAAACATTCTCTTAGACTCTATGGGTTCTAAGGACAAGATCGTCCGTTTCCGCGCTACCGAGACCCTCGCACGCCTGATTACAGATATCGAAGATGAATTGATAGAAGATGACTACTACAAATGTCGACGAGCATTAATGCGGCGACTTGAGGATAAAGAAGCCTCAATTCGAGTGCAGGCCGCCATCGGGTTCGGCACGCTCGCGACACGATATGAAGATCAAGACGGGAGCGACGCCGAGGATGACGACCGGGCTGGTGGTCTCTTCCGACTGCTGACTGTTATGCAACAAGATCCAAGCGCAGAAGTCCGCAGGGCTATCCTTCTCAACCTACCGCTCGACGACCCGAGAACCCGACCATACATGATCGAACGGGCACGCGATTCCGATGTTACCATGCGTAGGCTGGTCTACAAACGGCTCCTTCCAGCGCTGGGTGACTTTCGTCAACTGAAAATGGCGGAACGCGACAAGGTCATTCGCTGGGGCCTGCGGGACCGTGATGTTGGGGTGCAGCAAGCCACCGCTCGCCTCCTGTGCGAGCACTGGATACGAGTATGTGAGCAGACAGAGCCTGGCGAGACTGGTGTGGCCGTTGAAAGCGAGAATCGAGGCCTACTGAAAAGAGCAGCATTGATTGAATTCTGCAAGCAAATCCGGATTTTGCGCACTGGCTTAGAAGGTGGGATGGCTCACGACGCGATGAAAGCTCTCTGGGCAGGGCGGCCTGATTACCTCCACGATATCACTTTCAGGGATCAAGAATTCTGGAACGATCTCACCCTTGAGAAAGTCTTTGTCATGCGCACGTTTACAGACTATTGCTCCAATTCCGAAGATGAAGCGGTCCAGGATCTTCGAGACACGAAGATGCCTGAGCTGACTGCTGTCGGTTCTGTGCTTCAAAAATGGCTGCAAGCGCTCGTTGAGGAGTCTAGACGGACGAGTAAAATGCCTGAAGTGGACGAGCAAACGTTGAAGGAGCTCGACGCTCTGGAGTTCCTTGTGGTGCAGCTGCTCCATATTGTGCTGGGCCTCGACCTTAACGACCGGGTGGGAGGGAAGCAGATCTACCATTTGATTCAAGGCCCTCTGGAAAGATGGGATATTGCTGACAGCTGCACGGAGTTGATGGTGGACATTCTCCACCGAGTATGCGATAGCCGGAAGGATTTCATTGATATCATCAAGAAGTCCATAGAAGAGGTTCGCGACTCCGTCAACGACATCCACGATGAGAAAGTGGGGGACAACGACGTTGTGATGTCGGATCATGACGACGAAAGTTTCCACTCTGCTCAGTCTGAAGCGAGCGATGACACAGCCATCCCGAGCAGTCCGCGCGCACAGCAACCTCCGGAGATGAAGGATAACGTGCAGGAGCTTCTTGCCAGAATGAAATGTCTCCACCTGGTGGGCTGCATGATGAAGCATGTCTCCCTAAAAGTTCTCAAGGAACCAAAGACGCGCGATTTCGTCTTTGAAACCCTCAAAGGAGATATACTCAATGACTTGGTAGCTCCTTCGATGTCCCGCAAGCTACCATCTGTTCGCGCAAGTGCCTTGCCTTGTCTGGCTCATTTTGGATTTCTCCAGAAGGTAAGCCAATATCTTGGTATGGCATGGATCCTAGCTAACCTATCCCCTTAGAACCTAGCTGAGTCAAACATGGTGGTGATGGCGCACGCTTTCGACAAGGGAGACGTAGACCTCCAGATCGCCGCCATCAGAGCTCTTACAGACTGGGCCGCCGTATACCGTGACCTCTTCGCCAACAATCCCCAGAAGGCCGACCCGAACAACAAATGGTTATTGCCCGAAGACGTATATCTGCAAGGCTTTGCATCCGAAGAGCCGGAGATCCGCTTCGAAGCTTGCAAGGCGGCTTTCAAGCTTCTGCTGCCATACCATTCCCCCTTCGACGAGGAATTCACTCAGCAGATTCTCTTCGAGTTCGTCATCGGCTACTTCAACCCGCAGAACGCGAATGACACGGGTTTGAGACAGGCGCTGGTGTACGGCCTTTCATCGTACTGCCACTCGAGGACGGAGAGAGCGCTGCTCTTTTCCAGACTCGTGCCCACCGTCGTTCGTAAGCTCGTGCAACTGATTGAGAATGAGTTGGACGACGATGAGAAGGAGGATATGACGCCGTGGCCCAAGGTGACGGAGATTCTCGCCTCATGGACGGATGCAAGACTCGTCTATGGGAAGAGGGATACAGCACTTGGTGCGGCCGAAGATCCGCATACCAACCTTGCGGCGCTGATACTGGAGCGCGTGAGGAAAAGCACGTGCACTGGCGTCGAGCTCAAGGTTCTCATGTCGCTGTTGACGAAGCTGTACATCTCCCCCGCGCCGCCGCAATCGGCAGCTGGTGAGGTTTTCCCGGACGCCGGCGAGGATCGCGAGCTTTTGGAGACGCTGTATGAGTTGGTGACTGAGGCCGTGGAGGAGGGCATGGCGCCCGATGCTGTGAGTCGGAATTACCTGAAGAGGTTGGAGACGGGGCTGAAGAAGAGGTTGGTGGAGGTGGAGGGTGCGGTGGAGGAGGTGACGAAGGGAGTGACGTCCATCAAGGTTGAGGATCAGACTGAGCAGGCGGAAGAGGACGAAGAGCAAGAGAAGACGGTGGCGCAAAGTGGTAGGCGGAGTGCGGAGGCTACGACAACGGCGGAAGGGGAGGGCGAGGTGACTACGACGACTGTGGAGGCTGAGGATGAGGAGGACGAGGAAAAACGGGAGAAAGAAGATGAGGAGGAGGAAGATACATTTATTGCAGGCATGCAGGGAGAAAGCACGAGGATGCCTTTGTTTGAGGAGGACGAGGCAGAGGATGACGATACAGTGCGCGATCTTAGTAGAGCAAGCAGGCGGACGCCACGAAGGGCGGCTAGTCGTCGGCATACAGCCGTGACGGAGAGCGATATCATTGATGAGCTGCTGGAGAGTGAGCTCGAGGAGTAGGTCGCCTTGCACGATGTTGTGTCTCCATAAGTGTGGTCTGGGTCTCTATGCGGATGGGTACTTTGCGGCTCCGTTATTGACGGAGGGGGCGTGGGAATAGGATAAAGGTGATGGCGTTTGTGGTTTCTATGGCTGGAGTCAGGTAGATCTGTCATTTTGAATAATCGAGCGAGTCCCTTTTTCCCTTCCGAAGTCCATTCGTTAGAACTAATCAACCCCAGGGGCCTAGATCCCATATGCATATGAGAATATCTCTTCGTTTCACTGCCTGCACACGCGAATCATCTGTCCCATGCATACTTCACAAACCGCCTAAATATTGAGAACGCTACAGGGTAACGTGTTTTACAAGCGAGTGGACATTACAAGCGAGTGGACACCCCACCAACTTTCTACAACGCGTGAACTCCCAGCCCTCATGGCACCTCCAACCCAAGGCCAGCCGGCCTCGTACGAGGCTAATATACACCTTGCAATGTCAGCTATCCATCAAAATCAAATCCAGACAGAGGCAGTCGCTGCACAGACGTTTGGTGTCGCTCGAAGTACTCTCCACCGCCGACGGGCTGGGAAGCCTGCCCGACGCGATTGCCAGCCCAACTCAAAGAAGCTTACTGAGCTAGAAGAGGAGGTGATTGTTACACATATACTTGACCTGGATCAGCGTGGATTTTCACCTATGTATGCAGCTATACGTGATATGGCCAACAACCTGCTAGCTGCGCGCGGCGCAGGCCAGGTTGGCATCCACTGGCTGCGCAACTTCGTCAAGTGTACAGACAGTCTTACAACACATTTTAATCGGCCGTACGATAGACAGAGGGCTCTATGCGAGGATCCTAAGTTAATTAAGAGCTGGTTCAAGCTGGTAGAGCAGACAAAGGCCAAGTACGGCATCTGTGATGAGGACATCTACAACTTCGATGAGGCTGGCTTTATGATGGGCAAGATCACTACTCAGCTTGTTGTAACAGGGTCAGAGAGGAGAGGCCAGCCAAAGGCTATCCAGCCAGGCAATCGCGAGTGGGTGACGGTCATCCAAGGAATCAACGCTGCTGGTTGGGCTATTCCACCGTTCATTATATTTGCTGGCCAACACCATCTCTCTGCCTGGTACGAGGAAGCTAATATCCCACGCAACTGGGTAATTGCTGTTAGTGACAACGGCTGGACAAACAACGAGCTAGGAGTTGAGTGGCTAAAGTACTTCAACGCTTATACCACGACTCGTGTTGTAGATGCTCGTCGCCTCCTTATCCTTGATGGCCACGAGAGCCACCACTCCCTTGAGTTTCAAGAATTCTGCAAGGAGAACAATATCTACACGCTCTGCATGCCAGCTCACTCATCGCACCTGCTCCAGCCTCTTGACGTTGGCTGCTTCGCACCGTTGAAACATGCATACAGCCATGAGATTGAGGCTCTGGTCCGCCACCACATCAATCACATCACGAAGCTTGAGTTTCTGCCAGCCTTCAAGGCAGCCTTTGATCAATCATTTACATCAATCAATATCTGCTCAGCCTTTCGAGGCACAGGCCTAGTTCCTCTCCAGCCAGACATTGTTCTGTCAAAGCTTGATGTACAGCTCCGTATGCCTACTCCTCCAGCTGCTCTAGTAGAGGCTCTCTGGGAGGCTCAAACACCAAGCAATGTACATGAGCTCGAGGCTCAATCAACACTAATTTGGAATCATATTCGGCAGCATAAGAGTTCATCACCAGCCTCAATTATTGAGGCAATTGATCAGCTCAAGAAGGGGGCTAAAGTAATGATACTCTCAGCTGAGCTGATGCGTGATCGGATTGCTAGCCTTGAAAGAGCTAATGAGGCAGCTATAAAGTGGAGGCAGCGTAAGAAGAAGCGGATCTAAAAGCATGGAGTCTTAACAAAGGGGGCAGGAGAGGATATACTAGCTCAACAAGAGCTTGATGAGCAGATTGCTCGTGAACAGCGTCAAGGTGGTGCACGATCAGGACTCAGCCGCCAGGCTCTGGCACGCTGCACAAGGTGTAGAGAACCTGGGCATAACTCACGCACATGTAAAAAGAATACTTTAAACACTGCTTAATCTACTCTGTTAATATCTCTCTATTATCTTATATAGTTGTTGAGATATATGCCTACAAATGTGCGCAAAGTTGGTGGGGTGTCCACTCGCTTGTAATGTCCACTCGCTTGTAAAACACGTTAGTTGTAATGATTCATCGATGAGACTTCGATGCGATGAACACCGTACCCTACTCTGCAATTCCCTCAGACATGTCTGGATAAGCAATGCAAGATTGGTTACGGGCTGACCCTTGGGATAGAAAACAAGCACGATTCAAACCGCGCATACAAAGTCTATCGAAACGCCATCTACCGTACAGGAAGCGACAATCCTCCACGCGTCCATTCCAGACAGGCTATGACTGGTTGTTCCGAACCCAGTGAAGACCTTGTGACCGAGCGAAATCATCTTCCAATCTAGCGTGCTCGAAAAAAATCAGGTCTATATCCTGCCCCATCCGCTGCTACAATCTTGACCATCGCCATTTCCGAGGGAGGGAATCTACTCTACAAAGACTGCCGTCCTCAACGTGCCAAACCGAATGTCTACTAGAATGTATAGCTCGTCCAGGAGACCCATCTGTCAGTTGTCAGCAGTATTCCGAGACTAAACAGCTCGATATGACTTACACTGCGCTGTACCGGTCCTGAGTTGGGGTGTTCCACCCGGGATACAGTATGTCGGCGATGGTATATACCACTGGAGAGAAGGTAGGGTAGCGAATTGCGCAGGCCAAGAGCTCGTCCACACTATAGACGTTCACTCGGCCCCCTGTCAATCTCCGCAACAAGTCGCTGAAGAAGGACGCCCAAGTGGACGATGGGCGGTTTTGGGCAGCGGTACAGAGGTCCTCTTTTATTCGCTGTCTGTAGGCATTCGCATTATACGTGTCGTAGGAGGCTCGGTAGCAGAGATCTGATAGGTGGTTTGCAAGGGTTCGGGTAGTCGCATTGCGGAGTGCCGCTACGGAGAGCCCGAGTAATATGAGTGCGGTGGACATGATCACGGTTCGTTATGACCGGGTGAGGTGAGGTGAGGTGAGGTGAGGTGGGAAGTAACAATGATAGTGTCCTGGAGTGCCTCTCGGTGACCAAAGCAGCCTTTAATACTTCTGATAGCAGCATCTTCACCTTCTCGGGCCTGGGGCAGTTTACATCAGTGGCAAACCACTATCACATAGTGTCAGAGCAAGGGGGGGTTCGGTCGCGTCTTTTAGGAAGCATAAGTGGCCAGGAAGAGGGAAGATGGGTAGAAGCGGGAGTACTCTAAGGGCGACTTTAGAGAGAAATTCGCTATGCAATTGGCTACTTGGGCCCTGTTCGGTTGCAACTCGTGCGTAGGATCTTGCCTGCGGTCTGAGGGAGAGCAAATGCGACTAGGGAGGAATGGGAGGTAAGGTGCCTTGGCAGAGTGAATTGACCAGATCGTCACCCTCGGGGCAGCCAGCAGAGGCTATGTGCTGCCGCCTCTGAGTAATAGCTACCATTCTAGACTAGGAACAAGGATATAGAAGATGTGAAAGGAGACGCTGGTGTAGGCCCTGCGGCTGTGGTTCGACATGATGGGACAGCTGAGTCAGCCATTTGAATGGTTTACTCGATCGAAAGCTACTGACCCCACTATCCGACCTGTTAACGCGCATACCACTATCTGATAGCACCAAGTCACTACTCACCACCCTCGCGCCGGCACAGCCGTCCCGCCTCACATGTGAACGTTGCTCTTCAAGGGGCAAATCTAGCATTTCAAAAGCGCCTCGCTGGTTGCTGCCTATGCCCCTTGCTTCTTCATAAGACGATCGGGATGTAAACAGGGGCTATAGTTAAGGAAGTTGTGCGTGTGCCTTCGCCTTTCAAGGCTGCTAATACTGTATGTAGATAGCGAAGGGTCGTGCTATTAAGCTATAACACCACAGTAAGCAGCCCTACCCAAAACAAGGGGTTAATTGGCTGAAAACCAGTCAAGCTTTTTTACAGCGGGTCGATCACGTAGCTACTGTAAACAGTACCAAGCTTAAGGTGTCTAAGATCATTAGCTATATCCGAGGCCAATCCTATGCAGAGAGGCGGGGTAGATGACCACAGTAGTATGCGCGCTATTACTGTGTACTGTGATAGAGAGTGGTCTTAACAGGGCCCATGTCTTCCGTATCGCTCGCCACTGTGGCGGATAAGGGAAACACCCGCAGAAGCTCGAGCCACAATCAGAGGTAGGTGAGCTGCTAGTACATCAATTCACCATCATGTACATGGCTCTGCCGAGAAAACCAGTGAAGAGCCGCCAACTGACGGGCACGCAAGTGGGAATCACCGTCAGTGCCCGGTGCGCTCGGTGCACAGTCTCCAGCTACCGAGTCTCTGCAGCCAGCCTGGTGAATGGACCAACCCACCAACGGGCCCGAAGAAGCCTTTAGAACAGGTTCCCATGCTCTGATCCACCCACCTAGACTACTCCTCTCCCTGCAAGCCGCCTTATTGACAGCAGCACAGCCACTAAGGGCGCAACTCGCCGTCTCTGTTATCGTATGCCAGACTATGCCAGACGGTGGTTAGTTAACATTTGGAACATTCCGTGAGGGGAATTCTCGAGGGATTGCGCTCGAGTAATGCCAAACGGCTACGTTTTCTAAGTCAATTGAGGCTTGGGTACGTCACTGGCAGTGTAATCTTGCTGGTTAGCGGTGCCCAAGTACGGGTCCAAGGGCTCCGGGATAAACCGCAAGGGAAGCTCCTGTTCACATAGCTTCTTTTGAGTGGCAGTGCATGTGGCATGAACGACTTACTGTTAGTGCACTACCATTGCATCATCCAGGCGGACTTATATCTGGGACTCCCCGTTGCCCTACGTCTTCTAAACACTCATAGTACCGGTGGCAGCTTCCCTACATAACCCTCGTCCTCGTTTGCTGAAAGCATTAAAGGATGGCCGAAACTGGCATGGTGAGTCTGCCCTGCCAGAGGCCCTGTAGGGTGACCAGGCTGAAACTGACTGAGGTTACAGGAGATTCTCTGGCAGGGAAAGCCGCCTATCACCGCAGAGTAACGATTTCCAGCGCCAGTTAAAACCAGTGCGAGGCTAACTTATATGTGCCTCCGTCTATAGTGTGGTTTTCGTCCACGGACTCCGTGGGGACCGAATCAGAACGTGGGAGAAGGGAACCGTGGTCTGGCCACGAGATTTGCTCAAGGACGCCATTCCAAATGCTAGGATCATGACGGTGAGTTATACAATGATTCCGATGTTTCATATAAGAATGCTTCTAACGAGGGGTTACCCAGTGGGGTTATGATGCTGATACCATGCACTTCATGTCTGCGGTGGGACAGAGCTCCATAGCCGCGCTTGCGGAGCAGTTGCTCGACGATCTGGCAGACAAAAGAAAGCCGAAGGAAGCGGTGAGTTTGCTCGTTGGTGGAACTACGGTGCCAGATTAACCGAGACAAGCGAGAACGTCCGATTGTCTTTGTGACGCATAGCTTGGGTGGGTTGATCGTGAAAGATGTAAGTCCTTCACTTTTTTCACGAACGTCAACGACCGTCATATGAAGCAGGTTTCAGCCCTGACTGCTCGTAGGCGCTTTGGCAATCTTATGTTCACGGCCGCACCGAACACGTCTATTTCCCTCGAAAGGCGGCAATCAAGAAACATACAGCCGGTATAGTGTTTGCTGGCACACCACATCGGGGATCGGATCAAGCCAAATGGCCCTTGGTTGCGACAAACCTGGCCACAAAAGTGTTCAAGGACAACAACCCAAAATTGATTCAAGCGCTCATCCGGGGGTCGGAGACGCTAGAGCGGCTGCAGAACGACTTCAGCAAGATTGCTTTGCAACTACCCATCCAAACCTATACAGAAGACAAAAACCTGGCAGTCAATCAGAAAGTCGGATTCCCCTTCAATTAGACTGAGACCAACAACGCTAACGTTGACCGTAGGTCGTCGAGAATGATTCCGCTATCCTTGGTTTCCCCAACGAGGCAAGAGGGATTCTTCCAGGAAATCACATTGGCATGGTTAAACTTGGCTCCAGCACTGATACGGGTTATGAGAGGATGTCAAACTGCATCGCGAATCTCATCGAGGACGTGCTGGAATCCCAGCAGCAAGAAGGTTTGTGATGAAAGCTCAGCAGCGTAATTTTACAATGGGCGTACTCATTTTTCCTTGATAGCCCTAATGATGGGAACACGTAACATCCATGCCATTGCCATCCACCGATATGTGTCCCAATGCGAAAATCACATCACGTTCGAAGAGGGTGAAATCATTAGGAATATCAAATTCGTTCACAGCAAGTACTGGCTAGGGCAGGTTCGAGGGCAAGTTGGACTCTTTGTACGTGCCCACCATTGTCCCCTTGATGGTTGCATTTCAAGGGTTTAATGCGAGTAGCATCGAGATTGCGTTGAAATACGGGAAGGCGATGATACTGCACCCGTAGCTCCGACCCGTCGCTCGTCTCTTCAGACTAGTTGGAAGCCATCTTGTACTCCTGCGCCGCAGGCCGAAGTGGCCCAACCACTGCAACCAACACCCATGCCCTTTCGTCTTGCTCCTCAAACACCAGTTGCCCAGACACCCCCTCAACCCGAAGACAGATCAACAGACACATCACCGACAGAAGCCAGTACCCCACCCCGAACGGATCTCAGTCGACTGGGGCCAATGCTACTCCCGAACAGACCGAGGCGTTCTGGATAGCCATTGAAGAGGGAAACCTAGAGTGTGTGAAAAAACAAGTCCACAACGGCGTCGACGTCAACGCCGCCGCCCAAGGCGGCATTGGCCTCTCCACGTACGGTACCCCGCTCGTGACTGCGTGTGCCAACGGCCACGTCGAAATCGTGCGATTCCTTCTGCAGAGCGGCGCCAGGCCGAACCAGCCGGGGAATCCGAGGACGGCTTGCCTTCCGCTGCACACTGCGGCCTTCTGCGGCCACGTAACCATTGTTAGGATCCTTCTCAGCGAGGGCGCTAGCCCCAGTGTTCAAGGAGGCATCTATCGATTCGCACTTACGGCAGCGGCGGCTGGCGGCCGGGTGCGCGTCATGAACATCCTCCTCGACAATGGTGCGGTGCTCAATGCGCGCGACCAGGAGAACGAGACTGCCCTGCATGGTGCAGTCTTTGGTGGCTCGTTCGAGGCTGTCAAGTTTCTTATTGAGAGAGGCATCGAAGTGAACGTCAAGGGCGAGCAGGGCACGCCACTTGAGATGGCAAAGGATTTGCGTAAAGAAGGGTACCCCGGGGAATGGCGAGATATCATACTACTCCTCTCGGACAACCGAATCGATGTCGGGCAAGACGCAGCACCCCAAACTGCACAAGATGAAGGTAGCAACCACCCGCCCCCCTCGGAGCCGTACCTGGAACCAGACGAGCAGGTAGAACCCGTTCTCTTGGGGTCGCTACAATCATCCTCGTCCCTGCAGGAACTGCTCGGCAAATCTCTGCTCTACGCTGCAAGAGACGGAAGACTTTGGGACGTCAAGATGCTCCTGCAGCCTCCCGCCCCTGTTGATCTCAACCGAGTCTGCGACGACGACGAATATGGGCTCCCGCTCAACGCGGCCGCTGCGGGCGGCCACATAGCCGTCATGACGGCGCTGCTCGAAAACGGGGCCGACATGTCCCGGCGCGGGGGCGTCGTCGACTACCCACTGCACTTTGCGGCACTCATGGGCCATGAATGGGCCATCGTCCTGCTCGTTTGCTGGGGCGCCGACGTCGACCAGAGATGCGAGACATACCGCGCGACTCCACTGCAACTGGCGGCGGAAAGGGGGCACCTGGGCGCGATGAAGCTCCTGCTTAGATATGGTGCGGACGTCAACGCCCCTCCGGGTCGGTTTGGGTCTGCGCTGCATGCGGCGGCATCAAATAGCTACGATGCTACTCTGCTGCTCTTGCGGAATGGAGCGGATCCCCGGGCCCGCGATGAGAGGGGACTGACGACGGCTGATGTTGCTCGTGCGTATGGGCAGTACGATGCGGAGCAGCTGCTAGAAGGATGCGGATCGGAGCTCCGCCTGTATTTGTTGCCTGAGGGATATGTGGTGTGGCCGACGTCGATGGCTGATCAGGTTGCGAGGATGGAGCTACAGCGTGAGGCGGAGAGGGAGACGATCCTGCTGCAATTGATTGAGCCCGAGGTGCGGTGATGGCGAGGGGCGGCCACTGGTAGTTAACATTAGTAGTTTGATTAGGGTTCTGGGCGGGTTCTCTGCCTTTGTATATATAACCCAACACTCGCCAATGAGATGAATGAAACAAAGGGTGACGTTACACATAATGAATAACGACCAAGACGGGCTCGTCGAAGGTGACCCCCAGTCAAAGGAGAACGCCTGGCGTCCTGTAAACATCTTTCTTCGAACGAGGACAGTATACGTTAGCGGGGAAGAAATGACGGAAGGATCTGAGGACGGTTGAACTACTTAGTACCGACCTAGTTTGCAGCCGCCCCTCAAGCCAGTTATATATGTACCCCTTATTCCAAGCACATCACAGAAAGCTCCCAACCATCCTTTACGGCAATGCACGGCAGACCCATCAGGACAATGAAACAGAAAGAAGGGTAGTTCGGAATTGTTGCCACACACACACACGCCAGATGTATATACACATATACATACAAGATCTCACACCCTTCCCTGTCGATGATACATCTCCAACCGGCCAAAGCAGCTAGAGGTACCCATCACCCCGCCCCGCCCATCATCCACTTGGCTCTCGATACAGTTAGAAGAAAGGACAGATAATATGATATGCCACAATACACGCTGAGGAAAAGAAAAGATCAATAGAAAGATTCCCTCCTAGCAGCTAGACCTCCTCGGATCCCATCAGCCAGGCGCAGAGCTGATCTACACCCTAATGGAAGTGCCTCTTCCCCAGCAACCCGTGCTCCTTATCCCTACGAAGATGCATATAATGTCTCTTAACCTGGCCTTCCTTTTCCGGAGCATCAACAGTCACGTAGATGGGGACCTCCTCGATGACAACCTCGTACACGACGCCGGCGCTCGTGAACGTCGAGGTCGAAATGATGCTTCCCTTGCCCGTGGACTGGTTGGGCAGAGCCTCGGGAGCTGGCGTAGGAGCAGGAGCAGCAGCACCGTTGTTTTTACCAGCGTTGGCGTGGTTGACCCGCGCAACGGAGATGCCGCCGCCGTACTCGTCGGTGACGGCGGACCTTGCGGGCGCGTAGGACAGCGTGGGGACGGCGGGCTGCTCGGTGACGTGCGGGGGCTTGTAGCCGCCCGTTGGCTTCTCGACGTTGCCCGGTTCAATCACGGTGGCGTAGCCGGGGCCGGCTTGGATGGGGACATTGCCGCAGAGGCCGTCGGCGGGGCCGTCGCAGTTATCCTTGGCGAGGACTTCGGGCACGTCAAAGGTACATTGGGCGGTGTCGGCTTCGGATTGGATGTGGCCTTGGAAGACGGGGCAGTCTTCAATCTTGCCCGAGGGGTTACCGCACTGGTCGATGGCAGACTGGAGGAATTTCTGGTCCCAGCCGTTGATGAAGTCGGCGTGGTAGCCGTAGCCTGGGGTTGTTAGTTGTTAAGCTTCCGACGGTGATGGAATAGGGGATGCATACCGGTAGGGTCACCGTTGGAGAAGACAAACTGTCCCGGCTTGCCGTTGAACTTATTGGTGAACCAGATGGTCTCGTAGAAGAGCGAAGGGATGCGCCTGGGATGCGAATCGGGACACTTTCCGCCGTTGACCAGGTCGGGATAGGCCACGTGATCCTTGTGATTGGGAGAGTCAAGCTCGCCATTCCAGCAGGAAGGGAAGAAGATCTCGGCGCGGATACCCTGAGGGCAGTGCTGGTCCATGTAGTTCTTGTCCGGGAGGAAGTGGCGGTACATGGACGGCTCGGGGTTGATGGCGTAGTTCAAGCAGTTGAAACCAAGAGCCTTCAAGCCCAGGTTCTTCTGCGTGGTCTCTTCGGGGTGCTGGCTCCAGAGCGACTTCTCCATGTCTGGGAAGGACAAGGTGAAGTTACGCTGGCGGTTGTCACCCGCCAGCATCTGGAATCCAGGGGGGAAGGCCTCGATCTTCTCGCCCTCGTTCTTGAAGAGCAGGTAGTAGGCGAGCATGCCTCCAATCTGAGGGACGACCTCGGTCGTGCCATCCTCATGGATGAAGTTGAGGGCAGGCGTCCTATGAGATGTTAGGGATACAGCTGAGGGTTAGTTGGAGTTGAAACATACCAGTAGGCAGACTTGTCCTCGGTAACGCGGCAAGAGGTGCACTCGGACTGGACGAGATCATTGTAGTTCGTGTCCAAATGGAAGTCTGCGATCAACCATCAGCGAGTTTTCTTCAAAGATGAAACATGGCCTGTCTGATGTGGGACCGCTTCCAAATGTTCCAAGTGAAGAGCGAACGCAAAAAGGCAAAATGTTTCAGTTCGCACTATCCGCGCCCAGAAAGGAGATGGTTCATGCGCACTCCACCATGAGACCATAGGGCCGGGAGAAAGCTGTTACTCACTCTTTCCACCGTGAATGACGTGGCTGTGCGGCGAGACTTGTCCCGGGTTGACAAGAGGGTCGATTCGCGCAAGACCGGTTCGCGCAGTGCAAGGCATGCGCCAGAAGGCATCGGCGGCTCCAGAGAGGAGCAGCGCGGCCGCGGATAGCTGCGCAGCGGACTTCATGATGGTGGATAGCTATTTGCTTTGCGCGCAGTGTCGAACGAATGGTGCAGTGTCCACGGGTAGCACTGTTGGGGATAGCTGAATGTCCGAAGAGGGAAGGGGGGACCCGCAAGGGAAGTCGGATGGGTTCGACGACTTCTTGTGGTATACACTGAGAGAAGAGCGACCAATATAGGATTGGTTTTCTGCCGAAAACTATCCCGTCGTTACGAATGGGAGTAATGGGCCAGTATCGATGTTGGAAGGTTACAATGTCGCTTGTCTGTCGAAGTGAACCGTTTCCGCAGCCACCAGGACTTCCCTTAGCGCAAGTGCCGGATCGAAGCTGTATACAGGGAAAGGAATGTGAAGCCCAAAGGAGGGTAAAGAGTGACAGGCGCTCGCTGAGCAAAGCTTGGGTGAAAGGAGTGACTGGAAGGGACAATGGGGAGCAAGGGAAGGAGGGAGAAAGGGAGAGAGGGGCAAAAGGAGGGAAAAGGCGGCAAAAGGAGCCGTCACGATGGTCTTGTAGGGGGGAGATGAAGGAATGCGCGGTGTTCAACGAGGTGAAACCCAAATTAGCCAGCCAGGGGCCCTGTTCTGCAAGGGGCACAAACGCGCAGCTGAAACGATCGGCAAAGGGGTTGGGCAGGTCAACTTGGCAAGGCTCATCATGCAGGAACACGATCCATTCATCCTGCATCCTGTCGCTCTTCGCTGTGAAGGCTGGGAGAGGGGTTGGCTGTTGGCTGATGAGGACGAGGGCGCTTGAATCTCGGGGGTCACCACCGTCGGTGAGACCCTCAATTGCCGTAGAGCAAACCATCTACTCCGTACACAGTATACATGTCCATCGCTGTAGCACTGTGAGCACATCGTCATATCCCGCCCAACACTTTGTCACTGGAGCTCATCCCAAAAGCCGGCGTGCCCCTGTTGGTGATGACCGTCGCAATCTCTTAGTGTCCACAAAGGTCCTGGCGCGACTACGAATCATGATGGCATTGAAGAGGACGCCACGCCGTCTCGTGAGATGAGATGTGGTTCTGGTGAGGTTGAAGGGGTTTGCTTGTTGGTCTTCTGCTGCTGCTCTCCACAAGGACAAGAGGAGGACAGTACGGAGTATTGGGCGATGCAGTTGTCCACAGTGGGGAAGAAGGAATGAGATGAGATGAGATGAGGTGCGTGCAGGTGGCCGTTAGGTCTTGCAGTAGCGCCGAATACTTTACCACCATACCATTCTAGCCCTTCTTGAGGAAGCGGTGCAAATCCTCATGCCCTGAATGGTCAGTAAAGAGCCACTAACTCACGCGACCACGCCATGTATCATGATCCTAAAATACACCAGATCCCAACCAACCGATGCAATCTCCCCACACGACAGCAGCCTCATCTCCAATTCCCCGCAACAATCGGCCGCCCGCCGAAACCCCCGCTGTTTTCGTTGATCGCATTGCGCATCCGTGCCTACACAGTATGTACCGTGCAAACAATCACATTCATCTCTTCACACTGCCTGTACTCTGCCGCCCGGCAGACGCGACGTTCTGTAGTCTACGGATAGTGGCACAGCAGTTCCAGCCCTCTCATAAGCACTCCCCCTCCCCTTTGCCCATATATACCGTACGCCGTCCCTACATCTCACGTCGTCCAATCCCAACGCTGACATGTCATCTTTGCCCATGGCTGTAAGCGCCCGCGCTTGTGTTGTGTGATAAGCTCATGGCCTCATTTCCGATGGGCACCAGCGGCACCGAATAGATGGAATACGTATCGATAAGTGTACAATACAAGAAGACGGGGCACGGCGTGCGGTTCGATTGCGTGTCCGTCTTACAATCTGCCAAAGGGCGCATGCTGTGTACTACCTATATAGTGATACTGTAAACCTCACTGTACCTCTTTTAGTCAGATCGGATCAGATTCACCTCCAGGATTCCATCTCGTTCATTTTTAGGGGCAATATATTTCCCTCTGAGACCCTGCGCTTATAACAACACCCAATCACATACGGTAGGTAAGACCAACACTAGATCCTCCGAGGCTGACCAAGAGCGCCCGTACCGTGTACAACCCAAAATATATACTATCATATAAAATGGGTGCGGAAATGGTACTCCACAAGAATTTCCCTCCTTCTTCTTCTAAGATGAGGAAATTATACGTCTCAGATTTGGTTCCCTATGGTACACAGTGAACACAAGTGTTTTCTAAATTGGCCAATCGCATGCTTAGATATACCCGCCGAACGTCCCCATTGCGACCCAGCATCGTCAGGGATTATCTACAACTCTGCCCTCTTCTTTCCAAAACCAAAGAAGCCATATATATCCCAAAGCAACACCATCTTACGCCTCTCCTCCAGCGCTCGTAGAATCATCCAGAGAGACAAGAGACTCCTCTCGCCAACCCATGCCCCACCCCAAAAACACCAATTAACCTGACACCTCCAAGAGTTCCAGCCCCTTGCCCAACCGCACAAGAAGGAGCCGTCATGAGGGTCCAGGCTTCATGTGCGTCCACCCCAGATCCCTCCGCCACACGCCCGCCTTCGTATAATCCCCTCTGCTAGTCCCCCACATGTAGGCAAACCGAAAGTACTCTGGTACATCGTCCATGTGCCTCACCCATGTAAATGACGTCTTGCCCGTATCCTCGTATCCACGGTACCGCTCTACATCGTTGACCAGAATACTCAGACCATCGTAGTGTTTCGGGAAGGGCAGCTCCCACTCAAACGTGATGTTCGGTTTGAGCATGGTGCCAATGTTCGTATGGATGATGGGCTCGAGGACGAGCGGCAGGATCGTCCCCAGTTGAGCGTCGCCGCGGAGTTCGTCGGGCGTTTGCAGGATGCTGTCGAAGCCCCAGCGAGCGATGCCATTGATGAAGAGGCCGATGAGGATGCCTTGGAAGAGGAGGCTGGGCCGGTTTTGCATGGCGGTTCCGGGCGCTAGGAGTAATCCGAGGATGTAGTGATGAATGCGAACATTCATCTTGGGCACTGCTACCAGCGCCAGCAGTGTGACGCCGAAGATGGCGTATATCGCCAGATACCTGGGCAGTTTGCCCTCGACGCGCAGCGCCCATGCTTGTCCCAAGGCAATGAAGAACAGTGACAGCACTATGATGATCAAGGCAGGTATCGCTCCTGGCTGCTGTTTGATATCATGAGGTGTCAATCGTTGGATGGGAATCTTGTCGAAGGTGTAGTTGTTCAAAGCTCCAATCCAGCACCCGCCCAGCCAGAGAATAGTCTTCTCGATCTGCGCATGGAGCCCGCGTTGCTGAGGTAGGACACAATACTTGTATATCGCATACATGCAGAAACTTGCAGGCAGGAACCGGCCGAGCGCAATGCTGACAATTGCATAGTAGTCGGTGAGATTTGGAGGATCCGAAGCCAGCGCCACGTGGAAGAAGATCCCAACGAAAACTGAAGGGAAGAAGACCGCAGGCGACGTTGTAAACAGCGACAGCAGGATTGTAAAGGTCAACGACACGGCTAGAAGCGGCCACCGAAGATCTCGACAGTGTGACTGAGTGCCTTTCAGGAAAGTGAAGGATTTCGGAAAGTAGGAATCAAAGCCGATGCTCTTGATGTGCCTCTGATTCACGCTGGGGTAATCGGTCTTCTCTCCCACAAGAGAGACCACGCCACACCCGCCCATTGCATCATTGATGAAGCCGGCGTGGATCGCTGCACCGCACACGAACGAGTCTGCCCGGTAATAGGTATTCTCCAACGTCCCTCCTTCGTCTGTAGGTCCGCCAATGACCAGGGGTCTGTAGTTGACTTCTTGGTCGCCAACTGCATGGGGATTGACGACTTCCACCCGCTTACAGTTGGCAGGGCAGCGGAAAGGTACAGTAGTGTTTTCGAATGGACGACAAAGGTTTCCGTTCAGCCCGCACCCATTCGCGTCGAGCCTAAGCTTCGTTAGATATCTGGTTCTAGGACAGCCATGTCTCTGGAGCCTTACCAAAATCTATCATTGCACCTGAAACGTACTGGCGAGCCATATCCGGGTATGTCAGCAGCGAAGGCCGAACGGTGAAGGACCAGTCCAAAAGATAGTAACCAGCAGAGATAGAAGAATATGAGCAACGTTATCTTGTGCTTCCTCTTGGGGAAGTAGTTATGCAAGAACCGTACTGGCGCAGTCTGAATATGCGGAAAGAAGGGTCTGATCTTCCAAGGCCTCGGTGGCTGCGGGCCCTTCACCCAAGTCACTGTCGCCCTCCATGCCCGCTGTAACCGCGGCGGGACATATTTGTTGGCTGTGTACGGCTCTTGAGCGTAGTATTCTTCGTCAGAGGCATCAGAGTTGTTAACAAGTATTGTATCGGAGGCAACGGACTCGGCGGAGGCAGGCGAAGCATTCTCGTCGTCGCGATAGATCTGAGGAGGTGGTTCCCTCTGGCTCAGGCCCTCTTCTGTGGCCATTTTCCGATTGCTACGGGCCGCTGTAGGCTAGGTATGTGGAGAGTTCGCTCGGACAGGCAAGGGTACACAGTATGCGCCCAGCGCAATGAGGCGACGGCAGCACAGCTGGCGGGCGATCTAGAGGTACGAGTTGTGAATACAGTAAGAATGAATGGACGAGCGCAATACGACTGGATGGGCTGTCGGTGAGAACACCGGGTTTCGAATAATATGGTGTTTGGTCTGAGATCGTAGGAGGTTGCTCGGCGCCTTGCATTGAATGCGCCCGGAGGTGCCACGCGGTCCGACATGGCTGCTGACTGGTTCACCCCTCAAAGGCCCCGCCGAAGAAAGAACTCCAGGAAACTGCAAAAGTTAGTTCCACCTGCGTTCTTGAGCTCTGTTGTTGAAAGTACCTAATACCTAGCTATCCCCATATCTGCATGTACACGCGCCGTCCCGCACTTGCAGAGAGACGTCGCTTGCAGCCGTTACACTTTGGGATGAAAATGGAGTGTCGGTGTCGTCATAAATATGGATTTCTAAGCCGGCTTATCGCCGCCTTATCGATAGGAACGGTACATGTCCATTCCCGAGGCTGGGTGAGTTGAGGTGATCGCAATTGATTCTCTCGATGTCGCCATCAACTGTTGTGTCCATTGCGCGCCTATATTAGTTTTCGATCATGTCCCACCTGCATAATACATTGGCGCCAGAGCTGCCCGATCCCTTGGACTTGACCCACCACCTCTCGCGGTCCACCAGAGCTCGCGAGGCCTCCAGTGTGAAGGAGTTCTACAAGTACTTTGCTATTCCAGGAATCGGGCAACTAGCTGGAGGTATGGACATTCCTCTCCAGTGATTATGTATGCTTATGAGACATAAGGCCTGCCAAATGACAAGTACTTCCCCTACGACACTCTCGAGGCGAAAGTTGCCCACCCAAACCGCTGGAAGCCCTCTTCCCCCAATGATCCAGTCGATCCCCCGACAGACAAGCCTGCGTCGGCCTCGAAATCGAAAGATGGACCATCAGCGGCCCGGCTTCTCGTACCGCATGATTCGGGGAATCCGGATCCTCTCAAGATGATTGATTTGAAGTCGGCTCTCCAATACGGGACGGCACAGGGATACCCTTCACTGTATTCCTTCATTCGGCAGTTCACGAGAGAGAACTTGCATCCGGCCGTCCCTTATAAAGGCGGACCGGAGGTTATATTGACTTGCGGGTCCACCGACGGCTTTTCGAAGACGATACAAGCTCTGAGTGACGAGTGGTCCGCGGAGCACGACCCGGTAAACGAGAGGCCGGGTCTGCTTGTAGAAGAATACTGCTACATGAATGCTGTGCAGACGGCTAAGCCGCGAGGACTGAACATCGTACCGGTAGCCATGGATGAGGAAGGAATGCTGGCAGAGGGAAAAGGAGGCTTGCGAGACGTCCTGGAGAACTGGGACTTTTCCCGCGGACGACGCCCGCACCTGATGTACACCGTTACTATCGGACAAAACCCAACAAGCGGGACCCTCAGCGTTGCTCGCCGAACCGAGCTGTATGCTCTTTGCGTCAAGTACGACATTGTCATTATCGAGGACGATCCATACTGGTACATCCAATTCCCATCGTCGTCTGCGAGCAGCAAAGCCCCGAAACCGAACAAGGGCTCCGGTTTCGAATTCCTCGATTCGCTCATCCCTTCCTACCTTTCCCTCGACTACCAAGGCCGCGTCGTCCGCCTGGACACCTTCTCCAAAACCATGGCTCCAGGGTGCCGTCTAGGTTGGATTACCGCACAGCCAGCTCTCATTGAGCGTATCCTGCGTATCACAGAAACCAGTACTCAGCAACCCTCTGGCTTCGTCCAAGCCATGGTCGCAGAACTCATCATGGGACCACAGAGCTCGTCCGACCCAGGACGCGGTGGAGCCGCCGACGGCAGCGGCTGGAAAGTCGATGGGTGGGTGCGCTGGCTTGAAGGCCTGCGCGGCAACTACGAGCGCAGAATGGACGCAATGTGCAATGTCCTCAGCGACGGCAAACATCTCATCAGGGCCCGCCGACGGAACTTATCTGCACAAGCCGCTGATGAAGACGAGTGGACAATCGTTGAGACGACCAAGATCTACGACTTTGTGCGTCCTCTTGGAGGCATGTTCGTCTGGGTACGCTTCGATTTCTCTACTCATCCGCTCCGCTGGCAAGTCCCCGCCGCTCGCCTGTCACAAGCGCTGTGGGTCTTGTGGACTCGGAAGCCGTATCTCTGCCTTGTAGCCCCCGGCAGGATGTTCGCGGCCACCGAAGAGATTGCCAGAAAGGATGCGTTCAATTGCTTTAGGCTTTGCTTTGCGGCTTGTCCGGCCGAGGAGGTCAAGGCCATCTCCCAGCGGTTCGTGGATGGGGCACAGGCGTTCTGGCGTATCAAGTCGAAGGAGAGGATTGATGAGCTGTTGGGCGAGGATGCAGAGATGGGGAGTGTGGTCGGAGGAGATGCTAGTTTGGCGCTTCTGACTGGCATGTGCTAGCTAGCGTACGCAAAGTTGGGATGGATATATATTTGTCCTCTGTCCAGTCAATCATCTACGGCCATTTCAAATGTCAACTCTTCAGGGATTAGGGTGCTAGCACTGCTTAAAAGTGTAACAAAAGACAGAGGATAGATAACGTACCTCACGGGCGAGCCGTCCACACGGGCGAGCCGTCCACACGGGCGAGCCGTCCACTTCTGCCAAGATCCTACCAAAATCCATACTGTTTACGACAGTACAATACA